GGTTCGGTACTAACTTAGTGCGAAGGGTTCCATGGCACATGCAATACAACAGTCACATCCGCGAACCCATGTGAGCGACGAAGACGGCGCTGCAGCGCAGGAGGTTTGAACCACCTCCTCCGGTCACGCGTCGCGCGGCCACATCGTTGACGGTCGCGCTTACGCAATGTGGCAGTGGCGCGAAACGCCCAGCCACATTGGCGACCCGTACGTAGTGTTGGCCGAGCGTACAAATTCGACGGTTGTCACCAGTGAATTCGAAAGACCCAGGCTTCTACAGCTGCATGGAGATCATGAATGGCATTGACAGGAAGCGAGGAAGAGGATGACGAGGATACTGCACAGATTGAAAGAGCTACGGCGAGTACTGTACGGGGCGGCGCACGTCTACTACAGCACGGTTGTGTAAGCATATGGTGGGCATGTCGTTACATATGTGCACTGCGGACTATGTTCTCCAACTGGCGACTCCATGAACTAAGCGTGACTACACCAAGCGCGAAAACACCCATGGCTACCCCTGCAGCCGCTGCCACTCCGACACGCAGAAGACGATACGCGATATTTGAGAGGACGGAGGGACGCCTCACCGATCGCCGCTCCTCTGAGTCTTCGTCCAGGAATAGCCGGATTGACAATATCTGGGCACGAATGTCGCGCTTTTGACGTTCAATGTCGGCCGTATGACGGGCGAAACATTGAGCGATTATCCACAACGTCTTGTCATCTCCCGTCTTGATGTGGAGAAACTCGTCCTCGTTGTCTGGAACCTCGCCGAAAATCGTGAGTTCGCTCTGCTGCAGGTGATTAGCTGGCACATCTCATTCCTGCTGATGAGAGCCACCGCACCTGATTGACGGTAATGACCATCTCGTTTGGGATCAAGCGAAAGGGAACGCGCAGAATAGGTGGGTAATCTTCATCTGGCTCCACTAGGATGATATCTGGGAAGGGGTGAGCCACCGCGGTGAAGGAATATGGCTACGACCTACATGGCCCTCCGGTTAAACGAGCGACAGTCAACTGACCTGGATCCCAGAGTTCGTAGTGGTCGTGTTGCATGAGGGCTCTGCTGAAGTGTAACTTCGCGTCGTCGACATGCCCTCTGAACAATACTTCTGCCACTCTGCCATTAAGTGATCAGCAAACATGCAAGGTAAGCTACACGCGCTCACTCACCCGGGAATGTTCTTTCTAAAAAATGGGAGGCGTCGGATACTCGTCAAGATCATGTTGAGCAACTTGTGAAAGTTCGACATGTTGGTCGTCGCAACGGAGGCGGTGTAGGAATGAGGGAGCTTTATTTACCGTCCGCGCCATGACCTTGCTTTATCCGCGGAATCACCCATTTCTGTTCGACGGAAGAGGACAATGCAGGTCGGCCACCAATGACTGTATCCGAGCGTTTTATCTGGGAAAGCCAATGAGATAATTGGGAACGCTCGGACGCTGCAGATGCAGAGTTCCCGGCCACTCACAAAACCGAGTCATCGATGCGACGATAGGAATACGGCGTCCATGGAAGACGATGAGGAGGAAGAGGTTGGTTAGAAAAAGCTTAGTCGACTCGGTCAATCGAAGGGACCGCGGTCCGTGACTTGATGTCACACGTGAAGCCTTCGTGGCGCGCATGTGGGCACTGGACGTGAACGTTTGAACGTTTGAACGCTGAACGTTGAACGTTGAACGTTTGAACGTTGACCCTTCCTAGGAGCCTATTATGGGCAGATCATGGGACTCGAAATGCCGCCAAGAGGGGCGGCGCTACCTTGCTCGCGCAGGTCTTTGGAAGGGGACATCGACAAATACTGTAGCATCTGAAAGGCAACAAGGCTTCTGAACGTAGACTACTGTACAAAGATCGAGGACTTCTGCTATCGTACAAAAATTGAGGACACTGCTATTGTACACACTGAGTGCAAGACAGAGTTCATGATATGGAGAGGTCGGGTGCGCGAGTCGAAATAAGCACAATGATATGAGCATGTTCAAATATGAATAAGGCAGCTCGACTAACCTCCAAGGTAACTTATATCGGCCCTCGATGGAGAAGCGGAATAAGTATCGTACAGACGCGTACTAAGAGTGCCGCCGCACTGGCGCTTGTATTCGCAGGCTAATGCAAGAAGACAGACACTGCGTTGTACCCGGCAAAGCTTCTGTGAGGCGACTGAAAATTGGCATAAAGTACGTTGAGTGCTATAGAATGCTCCTGAATCACTTCATTTTGCTTAGAAAATCATGCCCCGTGCACAGTTCAGGCATGCAGTCGCAGTAGCAGCCACATTTAACGGGCGCTTGCAAGTATTACCTTACAAGGTAACTGCCACCACCGCTGCCTGGTGTCGCGAAGTGAATAATTTCGTTCATTTTGCATGGTCATACATCATGTACTCATTTACCTGTAGTTGTTCTCCACAACAAAGCCCTCCATGACTGTGAAACTGTCTGACTCTCTGAATATTTGGTGTCGATGTGCCTGCTCATGACGTATCGCTGCTCACGCATGTGACATTGACAACAGCCACAAACAAGTATTCAAGCGCCCGGCAACAATTACAGACGAGAGAGCTTGGAGAGAGCCTTGCTCTAACGAGCAAGGGATTAAGGTCAGGTATGCTTCAACAGCGGCGTCGGGCGAAGCCGGCCCCCTTCAGCTATCACAGGATGTAAACCCGCCGCAGTCGGTCTAGGCCCTCCACTGTACGGCGCCAGCATCAAGAGAAGGCTTCGTGCATATCCGTAGCGTCTCCGGGGAGATGTAGTTCGCAATCGGGTCCTGCCAGAGCTCGTATACCGCACTGATCATGCCCGTCCTCATCATAGTGATCGGTCGCGTTGGCGAAAGCCCCGTAGTCGAAATTGAGCCTGGGGCGGGTGCAGTTCTCGGGCTGCACAGTCGACACCGATCTTCAAGTTGTGCATGGCAATGACGGTGTGCATGGACATCGCAGTAGGTCATAAGCTCGGACCTGGTGGAGCAGCTCTGGTGAACGATCTTCATCCGTTTCACGATTCTGAGCCTGTTCGGCTTGTGAGCAATTCGAAGCGAGTCTACATGTCAAACGAAGTCACGCACCGGGCAGGAATCTCCCCGACACCGCGGCCGTCGATGCGTGAGGGTGATGTCCATCGTTCTGGTCTGCTGCGCCGACCCCCAGTACAATGCTTGTAACCAGGCAATCGTACCTTCTGAGAGAGGAAATGTTGTCGTCTTCGCGATTATGTCGGTACCATGTCCCCGGTGACGGCTTCAGGCCAAGCTCACCAGCTTGATCGGCGTAAGCACGATGAGACTGTACTGATCAGTGCAATGTGATGCTGCGCCAAGTAGAAGGAGGGCCATGGCGACAAGAGAGTTGCCCCTACAGGCCTACGAGGGCGAAAATGATGAACTCCGTTATGGCCGGATGAATCATGTCGCTGGCTGTCCTCCGGGTACTTCCCGAGGAGACACAACGTTGAGCGCCCATGAAGAAGACCTTGCCTAAGCTGTGGTAGAACGAAAGGCCGCCATCGTCTGCAGAGGCGATTGCTGATAGCCTCTCCGCACCAAGGCCAACGCTGACGATCCTTGATCCCGCTAGGCGTCCTTCCTGACGTCCGGCAGCCGCATCTGCCAAAGTGGTGGGCGAAACGAAACGCGCTGCGATCTCGGGGTATTCAAATCAAAGGTATGATCGAATGACAGCGCTAACGTTGTGATTGGTCCCTTGCTTTGTCTGTACAACAGAGCGTCAGGCTGAACCCAAATTCAAGGCAACAGAACATACCAATGATCTGTGCGACATATGCATTCAAGATTCTGCTTGAATTCAAACACGACCACTTTACCTGCATCCGTTTCGACGCAAATGAGTCGATTCGCTGCCATGACGGTGGGCGAGCCAGCGCTCTCGGTGCCCATCAACGACGCAGCCTTCTGGGCTGCTTCGCGAAGAGGACGTCGCCGACAGTCTGCGGGCGCGTCCATCTGAAGCCTCTCGCATCTCGGAGGCGACACTGCTCTCGCATCCGCTCTATTGGTTACCAATGAAGACCTGGACAATGCCAAGAAGTGCGAGGGACTCTCTCAGGTACATGAGAGAAGAGCGTACTCACGCTCGCCGACGAAGGGACTCCAGACGCTTGAGGTGTAGTCGAGCGAAGTCCCAAAAATGGTCCAATGAAGCAAGGGACGCGACAGCCTGCGAGAGGCTTCGGAGGCGAATGTGAACCAAAGTCTGGTATCGAAGGTGTGGGTGGTGTTGAAGGAGTGTCGTCGGAGACAGGTCCAACCGGCTGAGGACAGTGTTCATGAAATAGTGTTCAATGAGATATACGAGAGTATTTCAATAGGCAACTCACTCTGGCCTCGTCCTCCATCAGCGATGCTAGGTGTCCCTTCTCTTCGACGGCGTGCAAGATCGATCGCTCTACCTCACACTTGTCTAGCTCGTCCTCCTCGTGGTCATGACCCAGCACATCCCGCGAGTGTTCGCGATGCGGCCACCGGAGGGTGCAGCATCCATGTCGCTATACGCGAAGCCCTCGTCGTCGTCTTCGTCTTATCCGTCGTGTGCATGGCCGTCTAAGCCCTCCTCCGTGTCGCTCGTGAGTTCCTCCAGACGCGCCGAATAGTAATGCGAAGACGGCGACCTCGGTGCCTGGCGCGGACTCGAGGACGGTCGAAGGCGAGCCCAGGGCGGCAGCCAATCGTTGGCGAGTGCAAAGAGCTACGATTGTGACAGCGGACCTGAAGGCCCGACGGGGGCAGCAGTCGTCGATGGTTGTGTCCACTCGGATCTTACGGTATAGACAGTAATTAGCTGCGACTCTCGGAGTCGGACGTCGACGCTGAGTATGCAAATGGATGCCGGCGAACCTTCAGACGTCCGCAACGCATTGCAGACAACTTCAGCTTCATCGACTTGAGGCGTGGAGTGTGAACTTAAGGTCCCCCTGCCAATAACGTACTCAGAGTGAGTAGTTCCCAAACAAACCGGGTTATTGTGGGAGGCGACGCGCGACGCAATATTATGTAATATGGCGCGGATGTGTGGCCTCAACAATCGGGCCACCGTAATGACCTTCGCACCGTGACATTGGGTCACTTCCTGTGATCCGGCGAGAGAGGAGGAGGAGCAGTGCTGTATTGCGATCGTGCCTTGCTTGTGAGTCACACAACGGCTATACCACAGCGCAATGCGTACGGGCCTGAACGTAACGTCAGAGCTGGCCAACTCACGCGAAGTTCGAACGTCGCTCTGCGGGCCGTGCGATCTCAATATCCGAGGGCAGATCACAGTCAAAGTATTCATAGTGAGAAAATGTTGTTCCAATTCCCCGAATTGGGCTCAAGGCACAATGCAACTCCTCGAGCAGCGAAGGTACCGACGTTTACAAGAGGACATATAGTACCCCCAGTACGTCATCTCCATCTTATATCGAGTCGTTCATGTCATTTCTGGTGTTGATTACCTTCCATCAAGCCCACCGGTACCTCCGTGAATACTGTCATTTTCTCTGACTTCACCGGCTTGAAGTTAATGACCGTTCGACGACAGCGGAGTGACCATTCACTTCGCCGGTCAAGTGGACCATTTTGAGCGGATTGATATTCCTGGATCGCAATCTGACGAGGAGCCGTCTGATGTGCTGCTCGTCGAAATGTCTTGCGGAAAATGTAAGTGCACTCATCTACGGCTCGTCGCCCGTGTCGCTCAAACTTCGTTCTTCCAGACGCTTGGTTCCTGTGGGGGGCATCACTAGGGAACCCGTGATATTTTGTGCATGGTCTTCTCGGAGGACACCAGGGTACCGGTAATCCTCTCTGAGTACTCCCAAGCTGGTTAGTGTCTAAGATGTTTCGCTTTTAGCCGACACTGACAGTCCGCTGGACCCATACCTGCGACTCGGCGAGAACGAGGCCTCAGAACGTATAGCAACTCTGGTCATTTGCCCAGTGTATGCGATACCATAACAGCAACAATGTCTCATCGGACCCTACCACCACTGAAGATGAAGATGAAATCGTCGAGGAAGCTATTTATCTGTTTACCGCCCAGCGGTGAACTCGTAAGATCCTGCGCTAGACGGTTCGCGAGTCGACGGGCACTCTTGAGCGATCAGCTGCTTGCCAATTCGCCTCATACAGATGGGGCGGGTTGCTCCCTCGGCGGGCGAAAGTGGGCGGGAAAATCCCAAGGCGAGCGAAGATGCGGCACGGTCGGCGGAAGGCGTGTCGTGCGTGCGAGGGCAGAGTAGGACGCCAGCATTGAGTTGTATTGACGCAGATGCCGATGACGATGTGCAGAGATCAGAAGGCGTAGCGCAGCTCAGGAGCTTGAGGCCTGAAGCCCGAGTGCTGAGTATCGTCGAGTGGTGGGCGGTACACGTTCAGATATACGGAGCGCAGGCGAGCGTATGCTGATGCCACAGTGTTGCCGTGCAATGCAAGCGGCTCAGCGAACGTCGACGACCAGTGGTGGCGACCAATCTTGAGCTTGAGCTTGAGCGCTGCGCAGTCTGAGGATGGCACAGTAAGTCATACGAGCTGTCTTTGTCTATCCCCTCTAGCCGATAGAAACATTCCCTTGGCCCCCATGTGACCTTCCACGCCTCTTGTAGAGTAGGTTGATGTGTTGACATGAACACATGAGTTTCAAATTACGCCTCGGTGTGGAAGGTACACATCCATGAAGAATAGCAGGCGAGGTTCTAATTTGGAGATTCTGAAGTCGTTTGAATTGGAATGGAAGTCCTAGGTACGTGCTATCAACGCAGGAAGCTGGCGAACAACCTATATGTGACAGTGCTGCCTACAGGTCCACGTATATGAAGCCATTTGGATACTGATCTATCCACCACCGCTCAAATACACTTGGCCGTCGAGGGTAGGGATGGTAGTGCGAGTGTAAGTCTTTGCGGTGGCGCGGGAGCAGTAATAAGGGGTTGCCAGCAGGGGATTGCTTCGAGCCAGTGCCAACTTCTTTGTGCACGTACAGTTCTGCGGAGTGCTGTCTGATGGGCCCGCAATGTGAGCCACAATTTGGCCGAGGCAGAACAGTATAAGGTGCATACCGAGAGTACTCTTCGGTGAACAACCGGTGAGTGCCAGTTTCCGACTTGACAATGCGAGCTAGCCTAGCCTCGAGCCGCGTCCAGCCAGCAAACTCGCCTCTGAACTTAGCAGCTGAATGAAATGAGCCCAACGAATGCGTAACCTGGTCGATCGCTCAGAACATGCTTGGCCGGTATTAGGACAGAGAATGAATGAACCCACCGCCGACCGCCAATCCATCGCCAATATCCTTTCGCCTGGCACACTGCATGACTCACAAGCGAGTGTCGCGTCCGCGTCGTCCAAATCTGCAGCACTTGTGAGATCTGGATTACCACCGCACGCCACAATGATCTTCAGGACTAGCTCTCCTTGGTACTCGAGATGTGTAGGAGACCACTGGGGGCGAGATCCTAGATGCCTCCTCAAGGCACTGCTAAACACGTCGTCTTCAATAGACAGACCGAGGATCGCCACTTCCGAAGGGTCGAAGCTCCTGCTGCATCTGTAGAGCGTGTAACCGGCAGAGTACAGATGAGGATGAGACAAGGCATCCTGCCAGCGCAGTTCAGAACTACAATGTTGGCATCGAAAGACGCTCCGTGCGAGGCCAAGGACATCTACGGGGTGTGACGAAGAGGTTGCAGGAGGAACTAATTCCGCTAGCTGCCTTTTTCGCTCCTCACGCCAGGCCGATACCAAGGCATGTAGGTGTGGTGCGAAGATATTCTTCGTGCTGGCGCTGGCCTTCCCTCCGCGCGAGGCGTCGTTAACGGTGATGTTCCGTATCTTCGTCGCTGTTGTCTCCACCAGCACCTTGGTGTCCGGGAGCATCAGGATGTCTGGAGCCTGCGGTAGGGCAGCTTCAGGGAAAGCGGCAGGGCGCATGCAGACCACAGCTGCATCTAGCTGCTTAAGAAGTTCTGCATAGCACGCACGGATGCGTAGGCGGTGCTTGAGTTCTCGTATCTCCTCCATCCACTTCACCAAGCTGGGTGTCACTGCCAACAGGGCTACAGAGGAAAGCGTCTGGTAAATACCTGCTCTGCTGCATGTGAAATGTCTAGCTACCTTCGTCGTCGAGCTCTTCTGGTATCATTCCTAAGGGATGTTCATATAATTTCTTATGACCGCAACCAAGGTACGCCACTTCCCGCTGGAATCCAAGTACACACAAGTGGCGCGCGATTCTGCAGGGTATACCTCTTAGCAAAGACATGAAGGAGTCATGGTATGAAGTTGCCAACTTGGTGACTCTTTGGCGAATGACGGTGCTTTCTGTGGTGGACCGCTGTTGAGCCCATTCCGCCCAGGCCTTCTCTGTCTGTAAATAGTGAGCCCCAGTAATGCGCATCAATTGTTGGGCATACCTTCAAAATAGTCTGGGAGCGCTCCCTATGCACCCGCAAAATCTGCTCGCGTTGATGCGGCCACACCCCCTCGAGAGCAATCTTCAATAAGGCGATATCACTACGCAGTCCACGTGCGCTCTTGCTCACTGCTCAATGCATTCAGTAAGAGGTGGCAGCGCAGGCTAGCCGACGAAGACTCGCCGATAGCTGCAGGTATTGCACCTCCAATATACAGTTCTTGCGATGCTCCTTGTGACGCAGGCCCAATAGTGAGATACTCGATGTTTCGAGTCGTGCTATAGGGCCGGCCGAATAAGAAACACCGAAGCTCACTAGAGGACGGGCGCACCAATCTACGGCACATCCATCACAGTAACGTGCGCGAAACGCCCAAAGGACGTTTTCAACTCGAGTTCCTTGCCTTCCGCACGACATGCAAGTGGATTCCACGATGAGTGCCGTGTATTGCATCTCCGACATGAATAGCGGACAAGGCGGAGGTGGAGGTATAAATGATCTATTGCGCACCCGCCTCCACAAAGCGGGCATTTGGGTGGGCATCGCGAAGGCGAACTTTAATCGCTGGCAAGTTCTGGACAAATTCAGCAGATCCGCTGGTCGCGCAAACAGGGAGACCTGAAAAATGGGTGAGCGTAGATCAATTCCAAGGACATCAAAGGGCATGCCTCAAAGACTACATCATGCGGTAATTGCATTAGGTATGAACCCTCCGATGGTCCCAGTGGCAGCGAAACACGGTCACGGAAAGAGTGCACAGGTGCAGTAATCGGCTTGGCGTGAATACTCATAGAGACAAGACGTGTAGTTCGCAGGTTGGTGCACGGCCAATGATGAGGTGGAAGGGATGCAAAGCGAACGGCGGTGGCGCTGCTTGTCCATATGCCGCGTGTAAGTGGGAACAATGCTAGACAAACAGAAGCGGCCAACATTGTTCTGCGGCTCTCAGCCCTTGCGCACAGCTAGACTGAGCGAGGGTTCAAGAGAAAGCATACGCCTTCCACTTTGCCCGCGTCCTTTGTACCGCCTGCGCGACCCGGGGCTGATTCGCAACAGTCAACCTTGCGGCAAAATAGGTGCTTTGTAGCAGATGGGTAGTACAACGGGGCACTCCATCCATCCGTTAAAGGAAGACGGTGTATCGGAGGACAGAGAGTGGCTGGAGGGCAATGATGATGCGGGTCAGGGATACGAGCACGGGTAGTCCTCGCAGGGTGGTAGCGAGACCGACACCCAGCCACAGTGGGTCCACTCCGCCGCTCTACCCTGCGTTAGAGTCGCCTAGTCCTACTGTGGTAGCCGAGTTTCAGAACAAAGAGGGCAATAGTAGCGTACAGCCGCGCAGTTCGAGGGTCTGAAGAAACAGCGAGCACCAGGGCACCACCTCACAGCAGCAGCAGCAGGATGACTGCAGGCTGCAGAGCGACCTGCGTCACTACCCTAATCGAAGATCGCGCGCGTTACAAGTCACGCTGCACCGGGAGAGCACAAGCCAGGCAACGAGGGATATGCCGCCCAGTTATTCGTTCAAGGGCCATTTCGCCCTCCCAGCGCCGCCTGTTGGGCACGAAATGGGCCGGAAGAGCCGACCAGCAGATGAGCAGTGGGGACGGGCAACTTGTGCGCGGCGCGGCGCCTGCAGAAAGAGGCGTTGCGGCGTCCTGCTAATCCGTAGCACAATTGATCGGTCATACTCCACGACGCCAGCCAGAAAACTGACTCGCTCGTGCACCTCCGCGGCCTTCGGACTCCTTCGTTGACTGGCGACAGTAACGGCGCACTCCACAATGCGCATCGTCTCCTCCGTCACGCAAGCGTACACGTCAGGAAGATCTTCAGGCGCATCAGCGCCAGCACAGGATACGGTCTGGTTCAGCCCGCACAGACCGAGCTTCAGTATCGAGCACCAGGCGACAAGTCCGGCGCGACCGTCACCTCAATGCTACCGACGAGCATGTACGTCTTGACGAGCTCTGTCAACCGGGTTTCTCAGTTGGAGGTGATGCTGGAGGCCGGAGATTCGGAGGCGGAGGCCTGATGAGCGCGGACACATAGTCAGCGGCGAGTCGTTACTTACGACGTGAGACTCACCGCAGAACGCCCAGTCTTACTCTGACGCGGTAGAAGACACATTATCCAAGGAGTCCTGAGCGGTTCCAGCTCTTCCCCACCAAAGTAACTACGGTCCATCTCATCAGTGAGTGACCTGTGAGGTCGATGGCGGCTTACCAGACGATCAAATCCCCACTTCGACACGATGACGGATCCTTCGCGCGCATCGATATAGTTGCGACGGCGGGCGATAGCGGACATCTTGGCCTCGACGGATGGGTGCTCTGACACGGCTGCGGCACTCTTCGCGGAGCACGCCTTCGCGAGTCGGACGACTGTAAACGTAGGTTTGTGACGCTTCCCATACATGTAGTCAGCTCGTCCGGGAAACACATGGAGATCGGCGACGCAGACGCTGTGATGCTGGTTCAGACACGAGACGCAGGAGCGGCGGTGAGGAAATGCCTACGCAAAAGCCCGCAGCAGGCCGAACATTACGGGCGAGTGATCGTCACTTCATGAGAGGTAACGAAACTCTTGCTGTCGGATACCTTAAGCGTGTTTCGTCTTGGAACTCATTGACGTCCCTGCCTCTGCCCCGCGAGGTACTGAGTGGTGCGCAAATGAGGACCCACTCGCAACCGCCGCCACTCCCCGTTCGCGGGTACCATCGGCTGGCTGGCCAATCTGGACACGCCGAGTACCGACCTCCTGGCGTGCGCAGAGCGGAACCACCGGCTCCATTGCCTTAGGCACGCTTGAATGTTCGTAGCGGATCGGAGCCTCTCGAACGCGAGGCGGCGGCTCCATACTTCGTACGCGGCGACATGCCAGTCGTGGGACGTCGGTGTAGTGTGCGGCGATGCGTTTGATGATGCGCCTGTGGTAGATACCGCACTCGCTGACCTCGTGGTCGACGTCAAAGGACTGTAGGTTGTTGCAGAAGTCGACGCTGACGGCACAGAGATAGCAGCCGAGCGGCGTCGAGGGAGTCGTGATGAGGGTAGCGACGTTAATGTCACATCCGCGGCGGAGCGGGCTGGCGATACCGGCTTGCCATTCGTTGAAGTGCGCGACGGCTGCGGTGCCGAGCAGACGGACAGCTGCGGTGTCGAGCAGACGGACGACGACGGTGTCGACTGACGGACGACGACGGTGTCGACTGACGGATGGCGGCGACGTCGGGCTGAGGCATCAGGTACTGCAGCGTAGGTTGAGCTAAGACGAGCACGGTGACTAGCAGACAGGGAACGCACCTCTCCTACCGCCCTTCCAGTCGTTCAGGCGAGAGTGTTCGCTCCCGGTGTCGAAGAAGAGAACATAAGACGAGCCCTCGATGAGCCATCTGCCGCGGAGCGACCTGTATGGGAGTGGGCCTGGTAGCTGAGGGGTCCGATGAGACGATACTGTATCTGTCGCCATGCGCGGGAACACATACCGCGCGGAGTCGCAGCAGAGAACGTGAAAGGGGGCGAGCACAGGCTGGCCACCCACGACCTCTTCAGTACCGAGTGCCTTCTCGGTCGTGCGGGGCCATGACAGAAGCCGGGTCGGAAAGTGCGACAGCGCTCAGGAGGAGGAAAAGGAGACTCGAGTGTCGGGCGACATGAGCGACGAGCGTGAATGCGGTCGTCGCCTGAACGTGTCTGAGTCCATCACGTGTGGTCCCCAGGCTAGCGCTCCTGCATCATATTCTCGAATTTCGGTACGGAGTCCACACCACTGCTACTGTTGGTATAGTATAGTAACTCGCTTAGGAGTCGCAACACTGCTCAGATTCACCGGTATCCTGATATGTCGACGTCGCTGTCAAGGCTCCAGTGACGGCAAGTCCGGTGCGCTCGACCAGCTTCAAAGTTCACGAACCGCACCAATTGCTCGTGCAACTGTGTCGTATAGTGGCTCGCACTACCTGGCGCGATCGGATATAGTGCAACGCGGCGATGCAAGGGAGAGGGCGCCACAGGCTGAGTCCGCGGCCGCTGCGCGACGATCCTGGGCGCGGAACCAACGGCGGCGCCAGTACTGTTCCACCCGATGTTTGAAGACTGTGCGGCTAGCCAGGTAAGTTCTGCGCTCACGGGGTGCTGGCAGGAGCAATGTACAAACAGGCTTAGCTGACGGAGGGCTCGCACCAGGTATGATTCACTCGACACAGAAGAGTCTCGGGTTGTCGAGCTTTCCACCCCGCTCAACCAGACATCACTAGGTCTGTCTGGCGATCCAGTGAGGACGCGTCGAGTGGGAGTTCGATAGCCCGGTCGTTGTCGCCGATGGCGGGTATTCCAGCCTCAGGGAACCCCCCCCCGGGTCTGCGACCGCGAGCCGAGTGTCGCTCGACAACTCAGACTGAACAGGCCTAGACCAGGCGAGTGAACGCCAAGCCGTTAGCGATATCCATCTCCAACAACTGACCAAACACTTACTAGACAGCTGTACCTCCTTCGCAAAGAAATACATATCCTGCTTGTGCGAGCGCACGTTTGTCCGCAGTTGCTCGCCCGTTCATTCTTCTACACGAAGATCCGACGCAACGAGCCAAGATGTACGGATGCCGTCGACCTTCCGACCCCGAGGCCTGAGCGCAGAACTTGACTGCCAATCGTAAGCAAGCACGGACATGCTTCTAGGTGCGATGGCAGACGACGTTAATTACACCATGACGCAGACTCGGACGTGTGTCCGTCAGTGAACCGTCATGGTATAAACAGTACGAAACATAGCACGCGAGTACTGATTTAGACATATGCAGATGCGGGACGTATCATAGACTACTCACAGTACTCAATCACTCCTGATGCCCGAACGATCGCCCGAAGCCGTCAATAATTTGCTCGCCAATACGTACTGTTTCTCATTCGCCCTCCGGCGCCCCTCCTTCAGCCGTTCAATGCCATAACTGACGCTCCGAATCAACGCCTCCACCGGCATGCGTTCACCTACAATGCCAGGTGCGGCCGAGCGGTCCCGCAGCTCCTCCACGTCTGCGACCAGCATTTGTAGCGCATCTCGCGTTACGACTACATGGGCGAGGGCCTGCTGCCGGTAGTTGTCGACCTCCTTGAGGAGCGCAAGATGCGCCTCATTCTTCTGGCGCGCATGACGGTTTCCACCGAGGATCGTCCAGAGCTGGGATAGTAGCTCCCGCAGGATCTCTACTCCGACTCCTGCAATCACGAAGGGGAACGTGATCAGCACTCCCATTTATAATACAGGAAGGACTTCGTCCAGGACTATCTGCACCGCGACTGATTCTTGACTGGAGAATTCCGTGTGCACTTCTATCGCTCACTCACTCATTCACCCGCCTGACTCACCCGCAGCTCGCCATCCCGACACGCACAGCCCGTACAACCCGCGCTAACCCGTGTTGCTGGCAGCGGACGGACTCACCGACATGTGCTATCACAGAACACGTTCGACTTTGGGCTGGGACAGAAGTCCGAGTCACGGACGCCTCCAGCGAATGTTGGCCGAGCAGGAGGACGGTCGAGAGGTGCTTGTGGGAGGGCAGTGCGAACGGACAGTCGGTAGAAGGAGGCGGACGAACTGGGAGCATGGAGAGCCCGCTGTGTGAATACACCGGCGCCGGAGGCCTGCACATGAAAAGAGGCAGACCTGATAAATAGCGTGGCATAGCATAGCACAGCGTAAATTAGCACTAAGCAGTCGCGCGGGAGAGAACAGGCGCCAACCGTCCGCGTAGTGGGAACGAGAGCCCGAGCGTTGATACGACTCTAGGATACAGACGAGCGTTGATGATACTTTAGGATACAGCCGGACTCACAAAATCTACCTGGTCTTCGCAGCATCTCCCGCGAGACATGAATGCATGACGGAGAGATCGGGCGCGTCGATCGCGAGCCCTGACGAGCCACGTCTGGTGGGACAACAGGGTGAGCAGCACGTCATAAAAGAAGCAGAGATGGACGCACTCTGCACTATATGGTCAATACCGACATCCACCAGTGGGCGGTAGGCCACGATCAAGCCTGGCAAAAGATCAGCGGCGATGTTTGCAGTCAAGAAGAAAGACGTACGCGTCAACGAAGGTCTCATCGATGCCTTGAGCCTCGTCATCACCCTGTTCCTTTTGTCTGACCTGCAGATCGACATCAGTCATTTGCAGCAGATACCAGCCTATGGGTGCTCACCTGCTCCTCGAAGCGCAGGCGTTGCCCAAATAGATCGTTCAACTCCGTGTACGCGTTGCAGAACTCCTTTCCGTGCATGAAACCCTCGAAACACTCACACAGACCGCACCGAGAACGGTGCCACTTGGCCAGTGGTGATAACACTTGTGGGTGACCGACTACACCGAAATGAGTGCCATAACACTGAGTAGAACGATAAACGCGTACCAACGAAGGCTGGGGAAATGTAGAGAGGCTCAATGTATTCGCTGACCAGCTGTTCCGTGATAAGTGGGCTGCGAAGGAGCTGATTGAGGCACCTCTTACCTTGTCCAACCTTGTCCAGAAGCCGTGCTTTGTTCGTGGTTCGCTGCAGTCGACGTTGTGCTGTTGCACAATCAGCATAAGTGCGCATCCTGAAAACTACACGACATCCCTCGGCACACAAGTCACGCAGAAACCTGCTCGCCTCCTCAATGTGGAGCCTATCGCCAGGCGGAAACTTCACGCCCAACTTCTTCCCCAATAATAATATCATACCGCTTCCATAGCCGCTTGAACTCGAGTTCGTACACCTTGTCGCCGTCCTTGCCCTCCGGGTGGTACAGCAGCGTCGTCTTACCGCCAGTGATGTACTTGACCATGCTCTCGATCAAGCTCTCCGTTAGATCCATAACGTCGTACATGTCCACATACGCCATATAGAATTGTGAACTCGGGGTTGTGCGTCAAGTCGATGCCCTCGCTGCGAAACACGCGCCCGATGTCGTACATGCGGTCGAGCCTCCCCACGATAAGCTGCTTCAGGTAGAGCTCGGGCGCGACGCGGAGGTGGAGATGGAGGTCGTTGTGGCGCGTGACATACGGCTTGGCTGTTCGACCTCGAGGAAGCCGAGCGCGTCGAAGAAGCGGCGGACGTGGCTGATGAGCTTGCTCTGTCAGGAAGATGCGCCGTATGTCCTACGACAGGAGACCGAGATATCGCGTCTCCTGGTCCTTCAGCACGTGCTCAGACGGCAGTTGGTGCAGGTTCGGTGCGGGGAACATCATCTCCTTTGGCGCGATCGAGAGCTCGCCCATCTTCGAGCGGGGGTCCAGATGGCTCCGATTATATCTCCCCACCTGACATTGTCGTGGACCGACGCGAATGCCTCGGGATCCTTCGCGTCCCTGATATCCATTGAGCCCAGATGCGCATCGCAGTTGTGATGAGGACTCACTGCTTGGTAGCCATGATCTGCGCACTCTGGCCTTCGCCATGCGGGTCGTAGAACCTGAGGTTCTGACCGGACAGACGGACATTGTGTATGCGGCCTGCGAGGCACTCTGTGAAGTCTTCCAGCTTTTCACCAGACTTTATCTTGCCCTCCAGACCGTACCGCTCGATGTAATGCAACATCGATAGTGACACCTCATACTTGTGGGGGTACGGGTTGGGCAACTGGGTCTCGCGCAGCTTCTGGATGTGACGCGAGTGCAGTTCAAAGTATGCTGCGAAGGGATTGGATCAGTCATCACATATACAGTAGCTTTAGCTGTGATATTCTTGTGATGGGTAGGATGCCTGACTCGAGCACGGACATCAAAGGCGTCCGGAGTCCCGAGGACGTATACCCTGTTTGTCTAAGAACATGGGATTCATCTACGTCAGTCGTCATCAAATTGCCGTCACGACCACTTCAGGGCGATGTCTTACAACACGCTATGCATGGCACAAAAGCCCAACCCTGTATTTGGGCCAAGCGAATTACGAGCAAGCTACCCGCGTACTTTCAGGAGTATCTCCGGAGTCTCTCGCTGCGATGGTGCAATGAAAGTAGATGGACATGAGCACTCACGATTGGATTCAAGTCGTCCTCGCTGCAGGCTTCGCAGGTGCATCAGCAACTTTTTCGGCCTTCCTGGCCTCCTTCTCGCGCAACTTTTCCCGCCGCTTGAACCCCCTGTGCCCATCTAGAACGGTCAGTCCCGCAAAGGCGCAGAATTGAAGTCGGGCACACGTCTTGGAGATCATATCGGCCCCGTCGCCAGGCCTTGTGGGGTCCAGTGGGGTCCGTAGTAGCCATACTTGCGATGCGCGTCGACAACCCGTACACCACTCACCTACCCACCTGTCAAGAGGTGGGTGTCTGCGATTCGGATCTCGCCCACCTCTTGGCCTAGGGGTCTACTCGTTCCTGTCAGTGTCACGCTGCTCGGCCTCCTCCCACCCATGATGCATCCGGTGGAGCGCCCGTCAGCGATCGCACGCCACTGACTGGCTCCCGCGCGACCTTCCATCCGACGTCCGTCTCTTGTCCGTCCATGTCGTCGACGTCGTCCATCGGCTCTCTCGACTGCGCTCGCATGCCCTTGCATGCCCTCGGACGCCCTTGTGCACGTCCATCCTTGTGCACTCCTCTCGGCTTCATGTGCCCGCGTCTTTCTCCTTTCACTCGGCCTCCCCGCCCGTCTCCGGCGACGTACTGACGGCGAATTTGAGTGGCGCTGCTGCTCAGCTACAACACTGTACACGTCCAAAGTGGCTCATCGCATTACATGTCGTGAAACTCGCCCTACATCGCTGCGTAGGCGAGTCGGAGCAAACTGTTCCCTCACTCTGATACGCCCTCCCCTCGGCCCTTGCATGGCCTACTAGCACTCCGAGACGGCTACAAGGACCCGTCTCAAGTGTTCCGAGTCAGTTCCGCACGCGGGACGACCTTCTGTGCGGTACCGCACGACAGCACCCGGAGGCATCACGCCCACGGCGGCGCACTGACGACTTCATTCGGTAGGCCTGCTCTGCAACTACGACACTGTCCATGTTCGACATCTCTCTTCGTGCGACTCGCCCTACATCGCCACGTTCACAGGTCTGAGCAATCTGCTCATTGATGGCACTGCTCGGTACGGGACGGTCACGCAATACCGACGGCGACCGCACTGAGGGGACGACCACACTCGAACACAGTGTGTGCGCGGATATGCTTACCGTCCGGACATCGGAGAAACGTGGGAGCAAAGACACAGTGTATTGGAAGACGTATAGAGCGGAGTGGGAAGCACGGACTCCGTACTTATGTATTACATTTAGTCTACAAGCTCGTGACTATGTGCTTCGTTCTACGGATTGTCCAGTATATGATCACGAAATTGCTGTATTGTAGCACACACAAGTGCTGGATTGCGATGAGTATTCGTAAATCTTGAGGAACCTACAGTCAAATTCAAAGTATCACAACATCAGTGAAGTGTTCTGCTTGTCAGCGAATATCTCGCTGTCAGCATTACATCAGAGCAGTGTGGTATAACCTACGGTGTTCCTATGGAGCCTGGGTGTACTGCGGCAAGAACGGTGCCTATCCCCAGAACATTATGTTTTGGAGATAGGTATCGTGCATGCCGCAGATCATGGCGAGTTTCCGGCGGCGAGCGTACCATACGCCGCATGCGGACGGCGATCGTCGTTCGCATGATCAGCTATCCAGCTAACATGCTGTTGCGCAGGTGGCGTGACCTGGATGGGTGCAACGCGACAGACGAGTACGACGCGACGTAGATGAGTAGCGGGAACTTGTCGGCGGAGGCCCCACGCCGGCAGGCTTTGCTAACGACGGTGTCTGCGAGGGTGAAGTGCGCCGCGATCGGCTATTCAGCTAACATGCCAACGTAAGTATCGGCGGCGCAGCAACTGAGCCAATGTCACGTACCAGAGCAGTTCTGCGAATGCGTTAGCACATGCGTAGTAAGCGCATACGCAGTTAGCACATGCGCAGGAGACGGTCGAACCCGGGGGGCGACGGTTCACTTCCGACTGTTGAGTATTCTGGGTGCAGGACTGTGACCACCTTCCGCAGACCCCTGAGGCATATAGAATGTTAAATGAGGGAAAACCGAGAAACTAGGAACCAGCTGTATACACACCGTGCCAGACTATTGAGTGTCGGTGTGGGACTGTATACGCACCGTAAATTGGGTTGCTGAGTGTCGGTGTGGGACTGTGGCCACGTTCCGCAGGCCCTTGTAAGATATTGAATGAGGGGAAATTGAGAAATCATGAAACAGCTGTATACGCACCGTGCTAAAGCCTTCGACGGATATGCTTCGGGCCTGTAATGAAGGCAGGAGGAATAGGCGTTCTGCGGCGTGCGGCGGGGGGCGTCAGCGAACATAGGATGCGTTGTTCGGATGGTAGCGGTGAATGGGCGAGACACTCTTGTAGCGAAACTCGGGCCCTCAAACTGCGCACTATATATATTGCTCTGGGTGTGAGCCACTCCGAGTCCATGCAGCATGATGTAAGCCGTACCAGTCAGAGTACAAAGGTCAGAGTACAATCGAAGGGACTTGCAGTGGCAGTGGCACTCCGACGCCGCTTCGAGTACAATGAATCGAAAGATGAGTCAGTAAAAGACAAACGAGATAAAAGAGGAGAACTAAAGGCTCAGCGGTTGCAAGGCCTCGAGTCACTCAGCAACGGAAAGATAGACTAGATTGTGGAACGAGAACACGTCAGCGAGAAATGCCAATACGAAGGGCATGGCGTGCAAGTCAGGTAGTCGAGGAGCTGGAGTCGTGTCGCCTGCTGTGACTGCTGTCGCGAGAACACATTGCTATGCTCCTGCCAGTGCCCAGACTTCGAGGGCGAGTGCTCACTACCGACAGGCTCAGAGTGGTTAGCGGTCACTTTCAGCAGGTCAGAGTGCAGCGTGGAGAAAGGCATAGTCAAGGAAGAGGTCGAGTGCCGCCTTTTGGTCCGTGTTCCTTTGACGACTGGTGGGTTCAATTGATACTAGTACCTCGAGGCGCGCAAACGTGAGGACTAAATGGAAGCCCCTCCTCCTCCTCCTCCTCCTCCTCGACCCGACGTTCTGTCCCCTCCTCCCACGCATCTGGTGGAGCGCCCGTCGACGATCGCAGGCCGCTGATCGGCTCACGCGACACCTTCCATTCGTCGCCGTCGCCGATCGACTCTGGCTAAATGGATCCCTCCTCCTCCTCGTCGTCGTCGTCGTCGTCGTCGTCGTCGACCTACATGCCCTCCCCAAGCGGTCCGAGTCAGTTCCGCACGCGGGACGAACTTCTGTGCGACATTGCACGACAGCACCCAGAAGCATCTCCCGCCTGCACTACACGCCCACGGCGGCACACTGACGACTTCATTCGGTAGGCCTGCTCTGTAACTACGACACTGTCCATGTTCGACCTCTCTCTTCGTGCGACTCGCCCTACATCGCCACGTTCACAAGTTTGAGCAATCTGCTCACCCGTAGCACCACCTGGACGGGACAAATACACAATACCATCTCGATCGTCCACCCGACAGCGACCGTTCTGAAGGGACGACCACACTATGTGCTTCATTCGACGGATTGTCTAGCCCTTGATAATACGATCACGAAACGCTGTTGTGTACGACACACAAGTGCTGGATTGCACTGAATACTCGTAAATCCTGAGGAATTTGCAGTCAGATTCAGGTTATCACGTTACGGATCTGTCGGGCACAGCCACCACAAACGATCGTTATACGAGACCAGTTGCAATGCGATAACAGTAGCACGAACACAGCGATGACCAGCGGTTAGTGACGAACATACAGAGCACAGAACAGAATATAGTGTTTACTAGCGTACGACCACTGACCACCGACCCCACAGCCGTCCAGCCCGTATCCCAAGAATGACTCAAGGTCCTGTAAATGCCACAACAATGACTCACGACTCACTTCAAGTTCACAATCACCCGCTTCGTATGTGTCCCCGCCCTTCATCAGGAAAACATGAAATCTGTCTGACGGCCCTGTCAGGGGGTTCAGAAGCCTTCAGAAGCCTTCAGATTGCTTCAGATTGCTTCAGATTTTCAGCCCTCATGACCTCAACTTTTTTCGATGTTAACACGTCAGACAGGATCCTCAGAACGTTCAGACAGCTTGTCAGACTGCCCAGTTCATCAGCCACTTCAGCCAGGACATACGGAATCGACTTTTTTAAATCACATATATTGCATTCTATCACTACTACTGTACAAAATACCACCCGCTAATACTTATGTACAGTCCACTCGTGCGAGCTACTGCCCAGTGGACCCGCACCTGTGTCGGGCTTGCGTGTGGCAGGTTCGCTGCTGCTCGTTGTTTCATACTCGGTGCCTATGCGCGTCGGGCCAGTGAACGAGCTGACGGGTGAGTGGGTCAAAAAGGCACTGGATAAGCAAGCAGCCAGAGGCGTGCATACAAATGGCGAGCGGGCGAATTGACGAGTGCGCGGCATGCTCGTTCTAGTCCGTCTCCGAGAACTGCCGTGGTGTCGTCCCGAGCTCGCAGATCACACCACATGTGGAAACGTAGACGGCGTGCTTGACAGACGTTTCGAACGCGAGCGTGGGCTCGAGGATGCGCAACGTGCCGTTCATCGCGAGGATGATCTGCTCGTCGGGCTCGATGGCGTTCAGTGTGTGCGGGCGCGGCTGTAGGCTGGATTAGATCAATGCACTTGACGGCTTTGTTGAGCACGCCCTTCCTGTTGGGCGTTGAACATGAGTGCCGGACGTATGGTGAGAAGGAAGATGCATACCTTGGCGATGCCCTCGATGACGAGCTTAGCGCCGAATTTGGCTGAGGCCTGTTTGAGCGGCACGATCTTGCTCTCGGAGTGGACGGTCCCTCGGGTGGCGGGTGGAGTGGGTGCGCGGGTGAGTGGACGGATGCGAGTATAGGCGGCGGGCTGGCCAGCCATCGAGCATACAAGCGGGCGGGGCAGCTCGCTGAGTAAGTACACAAGCATACAAACGAATGGACGTGCCGCGGTTGGCTACGGGGTCGAGGTGAAAGACGGTGCACTCACCTGAACTACTGGCCCTTCTGGCCGCAGCCCCCTTTCCTTCCTGCGTGGTGATCCTTCACGAGCATCCAGCGATGCCCTTGGCGCATCGCTGGAGCTCGTTGCGGTCGCGTACAGCGCGGTCTTCGGCCGTGCAGTGGTCCAAATCGCCGATTGAGATGTTCTGTCTCTTGAGGACCGGCCTGCCTGTGCGTACTGGTGGACGGCGGCGGGAAAACGAGGGTGAAGCGGGCGGGAACAAGGGCGAAGCAGATGGGAAGGAGGGGACGGACAGTAGTGTAGAGGCGGACGAGAGGAGAAGTCCAGCAAACGCGCGTGACGTGTCGTGGCAGAGGCGCTTAGCACTTCTCGCGAGTTGCCTCCTCCACGTCCACGTCGCCTCAACCTCGACACTGCAACGCTGCGCGGTAGCGTCAAGACACACACAAGACGCGACGGAGAAGTGATGGAAACATGGAGTCGAGGGAGGCGGGCCCCTGCAGATTTAGTACAGGACCCAGGTGAGTCGCTCGCCCACTTGCGCATGCATGCGTACGCTCGCCAGCCCTTCTCGCCCGCCCGTCTTCTCGCCCGCCCGTCTTCTCGCCCGCCCGTCTTCTCGCCCACCCGTCTTCTCTCCCACCCGTCTTCTCGCCCACCCATCTTCTCGCCCACTCGCCTTCTCATCAGCCCGTACGTCTTCCCGCTGGCTCGCTGACCTTACTCGCTGACCTGCCTGGCTTGCCCACCCACCTCACTCGACTAGACATCCACCTCACTCCCTCACTCACCTCGCTCCGGTCGGGCAACCGACTCCGCACGAGCTCGACGAGCGCCTTGCCCCCCAGATGCCCGCCCCACCGGAAGTCGACCTTGGTGAGCCGCAGACAGAGCCCATGCGGGCCATGCAGCAGGCGGAGCGTCTCGTCCGAGATGGAGCTCTCGTGCAGCCGGCGCTCGCGGAGATGGGTGAGCGCGCGGAAGGCCGCCGCGAACGTCTCCGGGGCCAGGTCCATGTCGTGCAGCCAGCGGGTCGGCGCCCGTTCCGAAGTCCAGCGCCTCGACAAGGATTTCGGTGAACGACGACGGCGCGGGAGAAGGCGGTGGCGGTAGCGGAAGATGCGGGCGTGAGCATGCAGAACGTGAGTGCGGCGGTCGGGGATGTGCTCGTGACGGCTAGCGGTCCTGGGCTGACCACGGCGGGGCTGAAGGGCACGGCAGGGACACAGCTGAAGGAACACGAGGAGAAGAACCTGGGAGAGGGCCAGATGCCTCACTCACTCGTTCACCGGCCTGCCGGCCTGCTCATCTTCTCGTTTTCCCGCCCGCTTGCTCCACTGCCCTTCCACTTGCTCACTGACCCGCTCGCCCGCCGACCCGCCGGTTCTTCACTTGCTTACTCACTGTCTGTTTTACTCGCGAACGGGTGCAGGCCACGGCCTTTTTCGTTCCCTGCACGGCAAATGCAGTCCTTCGCAATCTTCCAACTGGGGCTCCAGACTCACCAAGGCCATGCCTGCCCCCGACGCACAGCAGAGGTGCTACGTGCAAACGCAGCCAAGAAACGCACCGCGGACACAGTCACAGCGGTGAGAGGAAGGCGGGGGGACGGGCGGGAGGGGTGTGAACGGTGAGCATATAGCAGGAAAAGCCGAGCGCATGGCAGGGACGGGCGAGGGTGATGCAGACGGGTGAGTGCAGACGTGCACGAGCAAGCTTGCTAACTGCAGGCACAGGAGGTGGCGACGTGAAGGATGATATGTACGCCGACCGCGAGCGCGCAGGGCAATTGCCCTGTGTGCAGACACAGCCGTCGAACGGACAGTGGGCATACAAGTGAAAGGTACACGGGCAGGCGGGCACGGGGCACAACAACGTGCAGCACGACATGTACAGTGACCGTGAACATGCAGGGCTAACGCCGTGCGTGCAGGCGTGGCCGACAAATGGGCGGCGGAGCTTCGTAAATCTATCTACGTATGTACATGAGTAGCTAATTATGCAATATAATGGTACTGGACGGCCAACGTTGTCTAAAGTAGCTTTGGTGCTACTGTCGAGGGCATGAGTGATGTACGCAGACAGTAAGTGTGATTGTATGAGTACTGTACAAGCTAGAAATTACGAGTGTAAGAGTACATGGCAGAGATACTGTACCTGTCTGGCAACTGTCTGTCTCTGAAGGTGACTGGTAAGTCTGAGTGAACTGAGCTTCTGAGAGGTGGCTGTCAGCCGGTCAGATGCTCAGAAATTGCCGAATTTGCTGATGTTCTCCTCTCATTATGCGGCATAGGCCTCATCCGCGCCTCGTCCTCCCCCATGTACCCATCCATTTGCTGCGTCTGCTTCCCGCCATGCTCCTCCGCCTGCTGTGGCGGCGGCGGGTGCATAGGATATTGCGTCTGAACGTCCATAGGGGCATGTGGTGGAGTCATCCGCGCGTGCTGTGGCGGCGCGGGGTGCGGGTAGGGCGACAGTGCGGACACGGCGGGCGCAGACTGGGCTGCGATGGGGATGACGGGGATGCCGCGCGGCGCACGCGCGCTCTCCTGCGTCGGCGGTAGCGATCCGGACTTGGGAGGCAGCGCGAGCGCGTGCCCAGGATGCGTACGGGGCGAGCGCGACGTCTGGCGGGCGGTCTGCTCAGCGGGCGCCGGAGGCTGGGAGTGAGGATGCGTATGTGGATGGGCGTGTGGATGGGGCTGCGACGGGCCGGTGTGCATGTCAGCCTCGATCTGCACGGCGACGATCTCCTTGCCCTTGCACGCGAAGAAGGCGCGCTCCTGCGCGCAGAAGAAGCTGGACGTCGATCCCATGATGGGGTTCGGCGGCGGCGGCGGGAAGAGCGCCATGAGTTCGTGGCCCGTTGGTGGCGCGGGGAAGCCGCGGCGGCGGGGCATGACGGCGGCGGACGCGGGGGAGAGCTCAAGATCTGCGCGCAAAGACGTCAGCAGGGGCAGTTTGTGGGACGGGGATGGCAGACCTCGGAGGGTCGGGGGCGACATAGGGCTGCGCGGGCAGGCGGGATCTGGCGTTCGAGCGAGTCGTTGCACCGGGATGTCGAGCTTTGTCGTGAATTTCAATGGTCAATTTGAACCTACTGATATTGTCTCGTCACCAGCGATGTGATGTGGCTGAGCCTGAGGCGCGTCGTGCAAAACGCCTGGCCTCAGACTATCCGATATCGGGCAACCGTGGAGGACCCAAGCGCTAATTGGGATCGATTGTATGTCTGCCGCATGCACCGAGGCGCAGGGATATCCGAGCTTCGGTATGGAAAGGTGACTGAACGGTGACGATACGGCAACACGTAGAAATTCCAGCGATAGATATACATGATACAGACAACTAAGTGGTACATTTTTACAACTCACTCCGTGGCAACGCCGTCCAAGGACATTCAATGCCACCTCCGTCCCATGAGCAGCCCAATCAGAACTCCGACAGCCACGCTACCAAGTACTCGTCCAACGCACGAAGCGGGTAATTTATGCTGGCTATCAAGGGAGCTCTTCGGAGCACCCCCGGGAGAACGGCCACGCATATCAGGAGTCTCTCGGACGCTTGTCTTTGCAGACCTAGCAAAGACCTTAGCAAGAGCATTCCCGAGATCCCTTGTCTCGCCGTGGATCACAGAACGCTGCTCTTCCTTCCTGTCGACGATCCCCGAGAAGCAGGAGATGCATCGGAAGAAAGCTGCATCGGTCTTGAACTGCGCGTAATACCAATCTCCCCCAGTCGTCCACTTGACAGTACGGAGAATCTGCTGACGAATTAGCTGAGTCGCTTTACGATGCGATAGGCCTCACCTGAAAGGCGATTATCCTCGTGTCTTCCCCCAGCATGACGTACTCATAGAAGTCGTCCGAGTCGTTTTCGCCGTGACCAATGGCGACGACTGCAAATGGGTAAGTATCATAGGCAACGAGCCTGCACAATGAAGGGTCTCACATTGTCCGGAAGGTAGCTCCCCGATGACCAGCTTCGACGGGCGCCCGTCACCTTCGTACTCAAACAACAGCTCCTCGCCGAAGCTGATATCGACAACTGGCTCAATGAGCAAGACACGCTCGACTCTACATCAGCACCAATGTTAGTTGAAGGTTGGGAGAAAATGCTTCAAACGTACGCCGGCGGGTCTTCTATGGTGCGTTGTTTGTGGTTGAACGAGGCTGCCGGTGCTGCTGTTTGGGGCCTTTTATATTGCACAGATTCGCAGATGTGCGAAGACAAAGGCTGTGACACGCGGACTGTAGACTGGGCACAATGGAGGGCTGGCTGCGCGTGCACGCCGGACCAAATGCGATATGATACCGGGACTCGTGCAGACCGTTTCTGGACATGCTCTCGCATCGCTCGCAAGTTTGAATGAGGTACAGGGCACAGGAATCCTCTTGGTACGCAGCATAAGTGATAGGAAAAAATAAAGACACGCACGTAGCTGTATGAACCTCGAATTATTACCAGTGGCATGAGGCCGCGCGGCCATGATTCAAACTGAGCGCGGTCGAGCACAGTGATTCGAGCTGACTCTTATCCGGAACCCATCTTCGCGTGTTCCCCTTGTGCGCCCACTGAAGCATGGCGAACTGAGCTCTGCATCGTGGAAGCAAGCGTCAGTGCATCCCGAGTGTGTCATGCATGAGCGCGTGAGATGTATCCGGGCCAGGTAGTGATTCCGATACCGCGGAGACGGGTGAAGAGAACGAGGCGGCGCGTGGCGAGCAATCTACTACGTCGTGAGAGGGGGAGTAGCGGGAGTAAGGCTCACCGGGTGCTGACAGGGAAGGAGACTTCAGTCGTGCGACGCGCAACGTCGCGGACGTGGCGACGTGAACATGTGATCTGATCCAGATCTCGTTCAGGGTGGACAGCCATCTGAGTATACCGTCTCCGAGCCTTGAGCGCTTGAGCGCTTGAGCTTGAAGCTTGAAGCTTCACTCCCTGGCCGCTGCCCGCGGCAGCTACATAAGTAGGCCTCCTCCTCAGGCTCGGGCCGAGATTCTGGTCACCCTGAGCACCGTCTGGATGATCAGCATACTCTGGCTCGTCGGCGGGGTCCACGCGCATCCCCCGGCTACCCATCCACATTCCCTGCCTCCTAGTAGGCGGTCATGGTCTGCGTGTGCGTCCTGCGTACCAGTCCGATCCACTTTCTTGCGCGGGCTCTGCGTCTTGGTGCTCACATTTCAACCTGTATAATTTATTGCTTTAGCAGTGAGTCATTGCATTATCGGCCATACCATGATGGGCACTATCCCGTTTGAGTTGCCATGATGCACAATGCAAGTACCAATCGGAACAGCCGAGGGAACATATATAAGAGGGCAGTGTCGTAACCTCTGGCGATGCCACTTCGCCCGCGTTGGCTAACCTCAATAATGTTGTTCCTCCTCTGCATCTATATGATGGTCAAAGCCGCCGTAGACACTCTTCCTCAAGGCCCTCCTGTGCCAGCGTAAGTCTCAAACTTGCAATTGGGCTCTCAGAACCGAAACTCAGGAATGCTTTCCTTTGTGACAGGGGCGTCAAGATCCGCTTTGCCGGAACAGCGGACATCAGGCAGCTTACCCGTTCCGATCGCGGCCATCGTGTGCTCAGAAACGCTGAGCTCCCCTACGTGCTCATTGTCCGGCTCACAACTGGGAGATGTAAGTCTTCACTTGTTGCTGAACCGCAAGAGAACTCATGCTCCTCATCATCTAGATGTTATTTTCGTCTCGCCGGATGCGATACTTCCCGTGCCACGCATTATGGTGCTGTCAAGCAGCACGGTGTACATCGTCTCAGAGGTATGATTTCTAGAGGACATCTCGCAACTGGGCATTGGTTTACACGTCGATTGAATAGCTTGCGCTAACGCTCCGCTGGGCCCACTCCACTGCCAATACCTTGAATTGGTATGAAGCAAGGATCCCGGGCCCCGATAGCGAACCATTCGAGGAGTTCGTCGGCTGCTTCCAAATGAACTACGAATCTGCCCTGAACTACGAATCTGCCCCTCGCGACACTGGCGTCGATGATGAGATCGACGCGTATGAGATCGCGCACATCTACAACCGATTCGAAGATTGTATTATGTGGGGTTCTTTCGAGGACAACACGACGTGGGCTCACGTTCGTGAAGCCTACTGGAGGGTATTCGCTTTCTCCGTGGCCGCACATTATATGATCGCAGTCCTTAAGATTCTCATAGCGACGTAACACGCGAATTTTCCAGCCATCCGAGTTTGTTTGTTTGTTTGCTCCCTTTATTATTACTGAGGGCGAAGCCCTATACTCAGTATCCCTCCGAATCTCTTCCAAGTCGTCGTCACGTAGCATAGCCATCCACCGTAGCTTCGTGTATGTATCTAAACAAGGTTGATGTAATTTTCTGTGATCTTTGTCGTGCTCAAACCATACCGATGACCCGGTTCATGCCACTTAGCCTCGGTCGCTTCGTCGATGGTTTCTTCAGTATCGATCGAACGACACGGGTCATTGCCTCCGCCTTGGCTCACTGACACTTTCTTCGGGAGAACTCTCCATCGCCCTCGGCCCGTCCTTCTTACTGTCGACCTGGAAGGAGGGTGTCCCTGCGGGAGCCATTCGTCCGACATGTGGATCGAAGGCTCACGGCCGACGAGCCTCGTTGTTGGCCGCGAAGAAGCGAGACGTCGCGGGTAGCGGGAAGAGACGCGGCCGCCGTACGATAGGGCGTACTATGGCACAAGCGAGCGACGCGAGCAAATTCATCGGAGTGATGTATGTCTATGAGAGTGAGTAAGAAGTACTTGTAGTCGGAAAAGAGACGTACGTTACTACGTATGCAGGCTCGCATGGGGCGACATGTGATGTAGCCGGACATGTCGCCCGCACATCGCAGGAAGGAGCGTCCCGCCCGGCCACCTGCGGCCATTGCTGGGACATGCCTGCAAGCGGACAGGAGACCATGGGCGGTCGTCGTATAGAACGCCGTTTCGCGTCTTGCCTCCAGTGAGGCCGTCACGAGAGCTGCACGCGCGTTGCCCAGTACTGTTCGCGTGTGATCGGAAATGTGGTGTGTAGGTCGTCGTTGGCAGCGACTGCGAAATGTCTGCCAGAGGGAGGGTTAGGTCGCTTGTATGGTCGTAGACGTGTACGCAAGCCGTCCCCCGCGTTGTGCGCCGTGTTCCGTGTATTGGCGATGCAACTGGTTTGAGGGCGTCGCGCGAACACCGCCCTGTGCGATGACGGCGATACACATCGTCAAAAGGTGTGCTGGGTTCTGCTACCTGCTGTCCAGAGGCGCAGAAGGGCCGCGGGTTGGCGCGTAGGGCGTACTGGAGAGGATCACTTTTGGTCAGAGTCGCACCGAGGAGCGCGTAGCAGGCCGCGCCGCGCACGGAATTGTTCCAAACTGCCAGGAAATGCACAATTGAGTTCTAGGACGTCGTTTGATGGTACTTTCGTGGGGTCCAGAGTGCACATCGGGGGCGGGGGAAGCCGGAGATGAGAGCTAGACAGGCGGGTTTTCTGTATGAATGTGCGCAATTGAAGAAGGAAAAGAAAGCTGGACCTGTGTGGACTCGGGGGCGGAGTTGAGAGTGTCGACGGACACATCTTGGTCGCGCGCATGAGCGTAGTATCGCAGCGGGACACAGGGCCGAAGCGCAAGAGGGGGGCGGGAGAAGGAGAAAGACGGCCGGGGAGGGTACGGGGAGGGGAGAACGCAGCGAGAGAAGGAAAAGAAAGCACAGGGAGGACGAGGAGCGACAGTAATGCGAAGACGGCGACCTCGGTTCCTCGAGGTAATCCCGGGTTCCGGGGGTAAGGAGGAATTTCTGAGGCCTCCGCACCCACTCGGAAGACCTCTCCGCGCACGTCGCACGTGCATCGCGAGCCAGGGGCGCGTCGGGCTCGACCAAGCTCGCTCTGATGTCAGCGACCTGCTGACGGAGGTCAGACGAGCATGCTCATTGGTCAGTCCTGCAGCCCGCTGCGCATCCCCTATCCTAAACAGGGTCTTAAGCTTGAGGCCTTGAAGCTTGAAGCTTGAAGCTTGACGCTTGAGCTTGAGGCCTGAGGCCTGAGGCCTGGAGCTCAATCTACTTATAGCTAATGTTAGTGAATGGGGCCAGTATGGACGCGGGTAGCACCGTGGGTGACTTGTTGGCGGTAAACCGCGGGCTGACTTACATCTCCCACTTGTGAGCTTGACAATGAGCACGTAGGGGAGCTCAGCGTTTCTGAGCACACGATGGCCGCGATCGGAACGGGTAAGCTGCCTGATGTACCTCGGTGGTACCTGCGCCGGTTTGGGCTTGCACCCGCCGTCCTCCCGTTCCTCCCCGCTCGCGCGCGCACGCTCGTCCCCGCTCCTCACACGCCATCCTCACGCGCTCCCGCCTGCTCGCCGCTGTGCCGATACCCACGACGCGCTCGTCGGCTGCGTTGGTACACTGGCCCTGTGGGCTCGCAAGTCGGCGTAATGCGCACGCCCCTGCCCTGCCCTTCGCTCACGCGCGCGCGATCCGTTCGTCGGCCGTGCTTGCGTGCTGGACGTTCGCCCTGTGACCTCGAGGTCGCCGTGTATCGTCCGGTTGTGTTCCTGCTCGCCTGTCCGGTTGTGTGTCTGCTCGCCCGCCCGCTCGTGCGTGCGTGTTCGCCGGTCGTGTCTGCGTGCTGGGCATTCGCCCTCCGCGCTAGCGGTCGATGTGTTGCGCGCGCCCCGGTGTGCCCAACGTCGCCGTCGCTGGTCTTTTGCTCAGCGCGTGGGGTCTGTTCGTCGGCCATGCGTGCGTGCCGGGAAGTTTCTCCCCGCCATCCGTTCAATCCCGTCCGCACTCGCTCCTTTCCGCACTCGCTCTCCACCCGTCCTCCTCCCTGCTCGCCGCTATGCTTGCGCCCGTGGTCCGCTCGTCGGCTGCGCGTGGCCTTGCGTGCTAGCGGTCGGCCTGTGCTGTGCTGTGTATTGCCATGCGCCCACCGTCTACTCGCCTTCGCGCGATGTTCGCTGACACGCGAGCAGTCCGTTTGTCGGTCGTATTTGCGTGTATTCGCCCGGCGCGCTCGCGGTCGATGTGCGCGTCGTGCTTCACATCGCCACGCCCTGCAATTGTAGTCAGCGCGTTCGCTCGCGTGCGTCTGCACTCACCTTGCCCCGATTTCCAGCCTTAGCTCTCGCGCACGCCGTCCGTTTAATGGCCACATCTGCACGCAGGGCATTGGCCCTGCGCGCTCGTCATGCAGCATGTCGTCGCATTCCGTGATGGGCGTTTGATGGCGGTGGGGAAGCCGTTGTCGCGCTCGCGCCAGTGATGCCCGCCCAAGCCCAAGCCCGAGGGCCGTCAGGGATGGATTTGAGACGGCGGCAGAGGGAGGAGGGTCGGAGCAGCGGAGGAGGACGTAACGCTGAGGACGGTCAGATTTACAGTCCCGGCGGGACCGATAGGGAAAGTAGTGAATTGCCGCGTTGGGCAGGAAGCGCAGTACGCATCGGGTACCGGTCGGGCATTCCCCGTCTGTCCGAAATGCGCGTCGTTCGTTGTTCAGCCAATCAGGTGTCTTGATACTCGTCTTATGTCTAACGGTCAGACCAATCAGATGCATTCTTTGACCGCCGTGCAAAAAATCCACGCCTCAGCTTGTACATAGAGTAGATTGGTAGGAGGTCCTCAAAATCACGCTCTATGCTTCAACTGAAGTTACTTAGCTGCAACGCGTTACGGGCGTCTCAAGGTCCGAGGAGGAGGAGGCTACTTAGCTAGCACCGGACATCGGTAGGCGCTCGTATGGTCGACTACAGGCGACTGTGTATATACGCGAGGGCATTGTATGCACGAAGCGGCGACCACCTAAGTACTTCTGGCGTCTGCCACGATTCCGAGACTCCTCCCGCCTCGAACTTCCCTCCGCGCCCCATCGACGACTCACTCGACTCGCCCACCACCCCCGACGCCACCTCTCAGACCTCCGAGAATAGCACGTACCAGACGCTGCTGAGCGCGGTTCCAAAGTGATGAACTCACGCGGGAATGTACGCGGGTCGCGCCCATGACGAGCTTGCGCGTCTCGGGCCTGACGGGGACACATCGCGCCGAGGTTGCTCAACCACGCGAGCTTGACCGTCTGTGAGCGGACCGTCGTCGAATACCTGCAGGAAGAGCGCAACGAATTCGCGCGAGGCCGTCTCAATCTCATCGTTGAGCACGATCGAGTTCGGCTTCCGGCGGATGTAGTCCGTGAGCTGGACGCCCTGGTCGCGGCCGACGTAGCTCGGAGGAGCACCAATGAGACGTGTGATGGAGTGCTTCCCAGAGTATTCGGAGCCGTCGATACGTATCTTGGCTTTGGGCAGTTAAAAGCAGGGTCATTAGCTGTGAGAATACCAGTCAGTATGCTTACTCGATACGCGAAACGACACTTACCGTCATGTTCATGAACATCTTGCTCGTACCAGAAGGTCCCACGAGCAAGAAGCGCAATTGGGCGCTGCTTGTTCTGCAGACCACTCCTGCTGAGCCGGAATCTGCGACCGTCGCGCAGGTGGCGTCCTTGACACGCTGTTAGCCCTACTCGTCGCCCGCGTGCCGTTCTCGGTTCAGCGACTACATAGCCTGGTTAGGCCTGGTGTCGTCTCGAGAGGCTGATGGACCGCGCGAATCCGTCCGGTACGGGGATAGCATTTACGACGGCCTTAACCACGCCCGGCGACATAGATGTAAGATCTATAGGAAGGCAATACAGGGGATATCAGCAGAGTGTACAGAAAGCATGCACATCCATTACAAGGCCTCCACCGAGGTAAGGGTAAGACGAGAAGTGAGAGGAGAAGCAGGAACTTGAAGCTTGTCGGGAATAGACCAAGGGACCATGTATGCACCCACTCGACGCCGGTGTGTGCGTGAAAATCAGGCTGGTACAGTGGTAGTATGCAGATGACCGGGCGTTACTCAGTTTGAGGACGAAGGATAGAAAGTAAAGAGGAATTCAGGCCAAGGGCATACATAGCTAGGCCTCTGTGCCTCCTACGTCGACTCGCTCCTCCGCACCAATCCCACAGCGATTCCGCCATGAAAGCGCTTGCAAGTTTTGGGTAAGCTCGGGAGGCGTCGTTTATCGGTGATTGTGAATGTACGAGAAAAGGACGGCGGACGGTGGATGTCGGTGGCAGCCCGCTATGCAGGGCCAGAGGAGGAAGTTCAACAAGTTGGTGGTGCGGGCGGAGGACGTCGGCGCCTAGGGGAATCCACGCCGATTCCCCTGTCCCGTAGACACACTCTAAATGCGACCTCTTTGAGTAGGGGAAGACGGTAAATTCGACGAGGGAGTGGGACGTATGTGGTACCGGGTCGCGGCAACCGGCGGCGAGACGATCAGCGCGAGAACTGCGGGCCGTGGATGCGAGGACGCGGGGCGCACCATGGCATTGTCTGGTCGTTCGGATGGGCGGTGCGGGTGATGGGACAGTGCGCGGAGGGCAAAGACACAGCGGGTGGGCCGCTGGACAGTGGGCCGGCCAATCGTGGAGAGGCGGAGATTCTGACTTAAAGCCTTGAGGGAGGAGCACCGACGGTGTCGAGGACGCGCTGACCGCTGTCCTGTCGACGTCGGCGTCAACAATGCTCAGTGAAGCTACGTGCGAAGTGCTGGGATGATTTACGGACTCAGACTGGTGCTGGAAGGACGACTGGGTACATCGTAATACACATGATACAGATAATAGTATGCAGTCTAGGCGGTGTTACTCGAGCTCGAGATCATCAACCGTAGGCAGGAAGAACCCGTCCCATATGCTGCGAACTCCTTCGACTCCTCCGTGCGTCGTTGGGTTCTCTTCTCCGAGCGCGTTGGCGACAGCGCACACAATGCTCCTGAGAGCGATATCCTCGATTGGTTTTGTCTTGATCGACTGTCGACAAATCGGGCATGTGTAATGCGGGGTAGGATAGGCCTTCAAAAGGTCGATGAGCTCTGCTTTGACGCGCTCCCGATCTGCCCTTGTGAGCTCAGCGTTGCGGAGAGCTTCGTGGTATGGCTGCAGATTAGGCAACTCTAAATGAGGGTTCCGACCCAGGTGTTGCATCAGGGCCTCGCTGAACCACTCGCGCAGGCACGCTTGGCATGCCGAGTGGCCACAGGGCAAACTGTGGGGGCAAAAGACATGGAAATCATGGTGACGCGGAAATGTGCTGGAGTAGTAAACTTACACATAGGGTAGCCACATCCGAGAAGTGCACACCGTGCATGTTGTATCGCTCTGCAGTGCATCCGTCAACCCCTAGCGACGAGATCAGAGTGGCAACAAGAACGATACGGGAAAGCGTACTCTGGCAGCCACAACAGTGCCCTCATGTTGCCGTGCTTGTCCTTGTAAATATTCAATGTCCTGAGATCAACCGCTGGTCAGTGGACCTAGTTACGTGGACCTTGTTACAACACACACCTGCTACAACAAAAAGGGAAGTTTTAGGTGAGATGATAGTGAGGGAGCGGCAGCTGGCTGAATACCTGCGTCTTCACCCTGTGTTCGTGCCCTTCCTGAACAATGAGCTGTAAACTGTCCCGTTCCTGCGACCATTCGTCAAGCCTAGTATGACTGGAAAGATGCAGAAAATTACCTGCGTCATGGAGGCCAGCTGCTGTAAGAGTTCATCTGACGCCTCGTACGCTGCGTCAAGTTCATGCTGCAACGTAGCCCTAGCAGCCGACACCGCGACGAGGGCTTCTTGCAGCGCCTCGTTTCTGTCGGCGGATACCTCGAGGTCTTGTCGTGGGTTCTTCGCCGTTGATGGATCCCACCGTGCCTTCTCCGGAGGTGCGTTGGCCCTTGGACGCTTGCTCGTACGATTTTGAGGGCGTTCAGGCGAGAGGTTGCGCGTGTTTGCTGGCCGAGTAGAAGTCTTCCGTTCTTCGCTGTGTCTGCGACGATGGGAGGCGGAGACTTCAGCTGCGGCATGCGCCCCAAGGTCCTCGTCGTCTGAAGAGATGCTGATGACGTCGTCGACCGCAGAAGAGCGCTTGGCACCCGAGTTGTTGCTCGACGCCATGAGAGTAGGCTGTGCGCAAAGGCAGACGAAGACGCACCTCCATTTATACCAGGCGCGAACAATGTAAAAAGCTTGCGTTGTGGTAGACGATCAAGATCAAGATCATGAGGATCAGCTGTGCGAGGATGTGGAGGCTCATGCCAACGAGACGCCTGGGGCTCATCTCTCTAGCCCCCTCACGCAAAGTCTTAACGGCGAGTAAATGGGCTAGCCAGAAGTGTTCTGCCAGGAATTAGCACAACCGACCACACACGTCAACGATGACCTCGAGCGTAAAGAGTACAGCACTGAGACATCAGCACGGAGAGGATAGGAGGAAGGCACAAAGGAAGGTGAAGACAGAGGAAGATGACCCGTGTTCACGTGGCGGAACACATTGTCCCGCAAGCCCCCTTCGCGCTTCCTCCTTTGCCAATATGCGCCTACGCCAAAAGTCGGTGCTGTGAAGGCCCTTGTGGTCAGGAATCAACAGAGAACGTTCGCAAAGACATCATGGTATAAAGTCACCAACTCGGTGGCTCTTGGGGAAGGATGGCGCTTTCTGTGGTGGACCGCTGCTGAGCCCATTCCGCCCAGGCCTTCTCTGTCTGTAAATAGTGAGCCCCAGTGATGCGCATCAATTGTTGGGCATACCTTCAAAATAGTCTGGGAGCGCTCCCTATGCACCCGCAAAATCTGCTCGCGTTGATGCGGCCACACCCCCTCGAGAGCAATCTTCAATAAGGCGATATCACTACGCAGTCCACGTGCGCTCTTGCTCACTGCTCAATGCATTCAGTAAGATGCGGCAGCGCAGGCTAGCCAATGAGGACTCGCCGGTAGCTGCAGGTATTGCGCCTCCAATGTACAGTTCTTGCGATACTCCTTGTGACGCAGGCCCACTAATGAGATACTCACTGTTACCAGTCGTGCTATAGGGCCGGCCGAATGAGAAACACCGAAGATCACTAGAGGGCGGGCGCACCATTCTACTGTACATCCATCGCAGTAACGTGCGCGAACGCCCAAAGGACGTTTTCAACTCGAGTTCCTTGCCTTCCGCACAACATGCAGGTGGATTCCACGATGACGGTCGTGTGTCGCACCTCTGACATGAATAGCGGGCAAGGCGGAGGGGGAGGTATGAATGATCTATTGCGCACTCGCCTCCACAAAGCGGGCATTTGGGTGGGCATCGCGAAGGCGAACTTTAATCGCTGGCAAGTTCTGTACATATTTAGCAGATCCGCTGGTCGTGCAAACACGAAGACCTGAGAAGTGTGTGAGTGTAGATCAATTCCAAGGATATCGAAGGGCATGCCTCAAAGAGTACGTCATGCGGTAGTCGCAGTAGGTATGAATCCTCCAATCGTCCCAGTGGCAGCGAAACGCGGTCACGAAAAGAGTGCACAGGCGCACTGATCGGCTTTGCGTAAATACTCATAAAGACAAGATGTAGAGTTCGCAGATTGGTGCACGGCCGATGTTGAGGTGAAAAGGATGCAAAGCGAAGGGGGGCGCTGACCCGGAGATGAGCAGCGGGGCCGGGCATCCTGTGCGCGGCGCGGCGCCTGCAGAAAGAGGCGTTGCGGCGTCCTGCTAATCCGTAGCACAATTGATCGGTCATACTCCACGACGCCAGCCAGAAAACTGACTCGCTCGTGCACCTCCGCGGCCTTCGGACTCCTTCGTTGACTGGCAACAGTAACGGCGCACTCCACAATGCGCATCGTCTCCTCCGTCACGCAAGCGTACACGTCAGGAAGATCTTCAGGCGCATCAGCGCCAGCACAGGATACGGTCTGGTTCAGCCCGCACAGACCGAGCTTCAGTATCGAGCACCAGGCGACAAGTCCGGCGCGACCGTCACCTCAATGCTACCGACGAGCATGTACGTCTTGACGAGCTCTGTCAACCGGGTTTCTCAGTCGGAGGTGATGCTGGAGGCCGGAGATTCGGAGGCGGAGGCCTGATGAGCGCGGACACATAGTCAGCGGCGAGTCGTTACTTACGACGTGAGACTCACCGCAGAACGCCCAGTCTTACTCTGACGCGGTAGAAGACACATTATCCAAGGAGTCCTGAGCGGTTCCAGCTCTTCCCCACCAAAGTAACTACGGTCCATCTCATCAGTGAGTGACCTGTGAGGTCGATGGCGGCTTACCAGACGATCAAATCCCCACTTCGACACGATGACGGATCCTTCGCGCGCATCGATATAGTTGCGACGGCGGGCGATAGCGGACATCTTGGCCTCGACGGATGGGTGCTCTGACACGGCTGCGGCGCTCTTCGCGGAGCACGCCTTCGCGAGTCGGACGACTGTAAACGTAGGTTTGTGACGCTTCCCATACATGTAGTCAGCTCGTCCGGGAAACACATGGAGATCGGCGACGCAGACGCTGTGATGCTGGTTCAGACACGAGACGCAGGAGCGGCGGTGAGGAAATGCCTACGCGAAAGCCCGCAGCAGGCCGAACATTACGGGCGAGTGATCGTCACTTCATGAGAGGTAACGAAACTCTTGCTGTCGGATACCTTAAGCGTGTTTCGTCTTGGAACTCATTGACGTCCCTGCCTCTGCCCCGCGAGGTACTGAGTGGTGCGCAAATGAGGACCCACTCGCAACCGCCGCCACTCCCCGTTCGCGGGTACCATCGGCTGGCTGGCCAATCTGGACACGCCGAGTACCGACCTCCTGGCGTGCGCAGAGCGGAACCACCGGCTCCATTGCCTTAGGCACGCTTGAATGTTCGTAGCGGATCGGAGCCTCTCGAACGCGAGGCGGCGGCTCCATACTTCGTACGCGGCGACATGCCAGTCGTGGGACGTCGGTGTAGTGTGCGGCGATGCGTTTGATGATGCGCCTGTGGTAGATACCGCACTCGCTGACCTCGTGGTCGACGTCAAAGGACTGTAGGTTGTTGCAGAAGTCGACGCTGACGGCACAGAGATAGCAGCCGAGCGGCGTCGAGGGAGTCGTGATGAGGGTAGCGACGTTAATGTCACATCCGCGGCGGAGCGGGCTGGCGATACCGGCTTGCCATTCGTTGAAGTGCGCGACGGCTGCGGTGCCGAGCAGACGGACAGCTGCGGTGTCGAGCAGACGGACGACGACGGTGTCGACTGACGGACGACGACGGTGTCGACTGACGGATGGCGGCGACGTCGGGCTGAGGCATCAGGTACTGCAGCGTAGGTTGAGCTAAGACGAGCACGGTGACTAGCAGACAGGGAACGCACCTCTCCTACCGCCCTTCCAGTCGTTCAGGCGAGAGTGTTCGCTCCCGGTGTCGAAGAAGAGAACATAAGACGAGCCCTCGATGAGCCATCTGCCGCGGAGCGACCTGTATGGGAGTGGGCCTGGTAGCTGAGGGGTCCGATGAGACGATACTGTATCTGTCGCCATGCGCGGGAACACATACCGCACGGAGTCGCAGCAGAGAACGTGAAAGGGGGCGAGCACAGGCTGGCCACCCACGACCTCTTCAGTACCGAGTGCCTTCTCGGTCGTGCGGGGCCATGACAGAAGCCGGGTCGGAAAGTGCGACAGCGCTCAGGAGGAGGAAAAGGAGACTCGAGTGTCGGGCGACATGAGCGACGAGCGTGAATGCGGTCGTCGCCTGAACGTGTCTGAGTCCATCACGTGTGGTCCCCAGGCTAGCGCTCCTGCATCATATTCTCGAATTTCGGTACGGAGTCCACACCACTGCTACTGTTGGTATAGTATAGTAACTCGCTTAGGAGTCGCAACACTGCTCAGATTCACCGGTATCCTGATATGTCGACGTCGCTGTCAAGGCTCCAGTGACGGCAAGTCCGGTGCGCTCGACCAGCTTCAAAGTTCACGAACCGCACCAATTGCTCGTGCAACTGTGTCGTATAGTGGCTCGCACTACCTGGCGCGATCGGATATAGTGCAACGCGGCGATGCAAGGGAGAGGGCGCCACAGGCTGAGTCCGCGGCCGCTGCGCGACGATCCTGGGCGCGGAACCAACGGCGGCGCCAGTACTGTTCCACCCGATGTTTGAAGACTGTGCGGCTAGCCAGGTAAGTTCTGCGCTCACGGGGTGCTGGCAGGAGCAATGTACAAACAGGCTTAGCTGACGGAGGGCTCGCACCAGGTATGATTCACTCGACACAGAAGAGTCTCGGGTTGTCGAGCTTTCCACCCCGCTCAACCAGACATCACTAGGTCTGTCTGGCGATCCAGTGAGGACGCGTCGAGTGGGAGTTCGATAGCCCGGTCGTTGTCGCCGATGGCGGGTATTCCAGCCTCAGGGAACCCCCCCCCGGGTCTGCGACCGCGAGCCGAGTGTCGCTCGACAACTCAGACTGAACAGGCCTAGACCAGGCGAGTGAACGCCAAGCCGTTAGCGATATCCATCTCCAACAACTGACCAAACACTTACTAGACAGCTGTACCTCCTTCGCAAAGAAATACATATCCTGCTTGTGCGAGCGCACGTTTGTCCGCAGTTGCTCGCCCGTTCATTCTTCTACACGAAGATCCGACGCAACGAGCCAAGATGTACGGATGCCGTCGACCTTCCGACCCCGAGGCCTGAGCGCAGAACTTGACTGCCAATCGTAAGCAAGCACGGACATGCTTCTAGGTGCGATGGCAGACGACGTTAATTACACCATGACGCAGACTCGGACGTGTGTCCGTCAGTGAACCGTCATGGTATAAACAGTACGAAACATAGCACGCGAGTACTGATTTAGACATATGCAGATGCGGGACGTATCATAGACTACTCACAGTACTCAATCACTCCTGATGCCCGAACGATCGCCCGAAGCCGTCAATAATTTGCTCGCCAATACGTACTGTTTCTCATTCGCCCTCCGGCGCCCCTCCTTCAGCCGTTCAATGCCATAACTGACGCTCCGAATCAACGCCTCCACCGGCATGCGTTCACCTACAATGCCAGGTGCGGCCGAGCGGTCCCGCAGCTCCTCCACGTCTGCGACCAGCATTTGTAGCGCATCTCGCGTTACGACTACATGGGCGAGGGCCTGCTGCCGGTAGTTGTCGACCTCCTTGAGGAGCGCAAGATGCGCCTCATTCTTCTGGCGCGCATGACGGTTTCCACCGAGGATCGTCCAGAGCTGGGATAGTAGCTCCCCGTGCTCCTCACTCAGTGAGATCCCCTCTTGCAAGCAGACTTCATGTATTGTCAGGAGGTGTTCCTGGAGTCGCTCAAGGTCTGCGGCGCTGGTAGTTGCCATGAAGAGCGTGTGCTGGGTCTCGTGTACCAGCGTCTCCATTACATTGGCATACGAGCGGACGATGCTCGCGCCGGTGGCAAGGTGGGGCATGAGAGTCGTCGCGAGCCACGGCAGCAAGCCCTCCTTGACTGTCGCGGCTTCAATTGTGAGCATGGCGTGGTCGTTCACGGCCACGATGCTGAAGTGTACAATTAGCAAGGCATTGTACGACGGATGGATCTACGGCTCACCGATCTACCGCGCCGTCAATCTTCGCGCTGAGCCTGTACAGCCCTTCGCCTGCCTTCTTTGCGTCCTTCACCAACTCCATCAGGGCTTCTGCGAGGATATCGCGGCTCCTCAGGTCACTGGCGCGTCCGACCGCAGGCGTCGCCGAGCACAATGGCGAGATGGGCTTCGAAGGTGTGTTGTTCGGCTCTTGCGCGGTCGACGGTTCCTCTTCGACGTTCAACGGCTCTTCAGCTTCAGCGGACGACGGCTCCTCAGCGGACAACGGCTCCTCAGCGCGGTGTATGGCTCTTCGACGGCGCCGGTACGCAACTCGTGACCGGCACGCGGTAAGTGACCCGGTACCGCCACAGAAATGACAGTCACGACGGTCGTGCGACGGTCAGAGTCTACCGTTCGGATGAGTACGGTCTGTCTGCCAGAGGCTAGGCTCTCGTCCGATCAAATCAAAGCCATAACTCACTGTTCTGTTGACTTTGGGATGTCAGTCCGGTGCTGTCAGGCATGCGTGTTTCAATGTTGTATGAGTATCTGGTGGCTCGGAGCGATCAGCTGACGTAGCACATGCGAAGGTCGGGTACGCGTAGGGTCACTCGGGAGCTTTATGGCACTGCACTTACCAGGTTGTTCGCTCAGTGTTCGCCTATTGGGCAACGCCCCAGTGTTCGAGAGTCTCCGAGGCGGAAATCAGCCAGCCTCCGAGTCAGCCGACAGTGAACAAGAGTCAGCTCGCGGGCGCGGCGACAGGGATACAGGGAACTGATGGTCAAGGACTCACTGGCACCTGAACGCATTGTGTTTAGGCCAATGGGAACGCTGCGACCCGGTCGGATGAGGTGGGCGTTAGATCGAACGCGTTTCGGGTGGATACCAAACCATGGGCCCGCACGCCACAACTCAAGGTCGGCGACAGCTTTGAAGCCATTTTCTACGCGGAAACGAAAGTCATGATCCGGACGTCAAAATCGGCTGGATGGGGTTGATTGGCACATTCGACTTGAACGGAATCGGGAGGGGGAAGACCGTCGGATCTGCAGAAGGCCAGATAGCACCCTTTATAATGGCTAGCGACGTTACGCTGTTGAAGTACCTAATAAGGTTCGCCCATGACGAGGAGCTCGATGTCGCTATCGTGCTCGACGAGCACACCTGTCATGTCGACGGTGTTGTTGCCCGCAGTCAGAGAGAGACCGATGCCGGGCTTTTGGCCTAGATTGACTCTCTGAACGAATATGGTCACTGTGAGAGACGACTCAGAACCTGAACTGACTACGAAATGTCAGATGCTACGTACATATTTCGTCAAGAAGCTATCTTCTGTGCGCCGACAAATTCGTAAACACGGCGTAACACGACAGTCGGTCCAATGAAGAGCACGACAAAGATCACAACACTAACCGTTCAGGCCTCTTCAGGTTCCCCTGCGCTCGCTATCGTGACGCGTAGGCAGGGTGGTATACGACAATTGCCGAAGGCGCAAGGTTCGATAGTAGTGCGAAGGGTTACATGGCACATACAACAGAGTCACATCCGGGAAGGGGATTGCTGATACGCCGTGCACGCTCATGCAGCGTTTCAGCTGTCTTGCAGTCGTAAGTTAATGCAGAGGACATTAGGAACTGGTATACAACCCCACTCGAGCTCCTGCGGCTTCGTGCCCAGGGCAATTCTCTCTTGAACACACCTAGAAGTCTTTCTGTGCGTGAAGCAATGATCGCCTACAACCTGCTGCTCTGGTCGTTCATAATCCTTGTATGTTCGTGCTTCATGTGCGCGACGTCCTCCGCGGTGACGATCGTCGTCGCGTCCCGCACGCGCTCTACATCTCCTCGGCCTCACCGTCGTGCACATTGAGCTACACTTCAATCCAGCTGGGATGGCTTCGTCAACACTGCTTCTCCTACTGGGGCGAGCTGACCTATTCCTGTCGCTGCTGAAGCGCCAATACTCTTCAGAGTGCTCATTCACGGAGTGACCTGGTCGTCGGGTTCGTCCTTGAAAATGCGCACCTCCAGGTCACGCCTGGAGCTCTCCGGATGTAGCCGAGCCGTGATGCCAGGCGGCGGCGAAGAGAGAGGAGGCCACAGAGATGGGTGATATCAGTCTCGGACGGCACTCCGCGATCTCCTGGTGAGTGGCACTCGGTGCACTACCCCAGTGCAGAGTGCGGGAGACGACGAGGTGCAAAGCATGAGCGAGCGGAGCACTTCAATGATAGTGTAGCTGGGGTGATAGTCCGGAGGAGAGGAGGTACTACATTAATGAGTAATAATCCCCAGCAGGGACGGTGTATGTAACTTACTAGCCCTGCGTCTGAGATCTGAGATCTAACCGCTGAGTCGAGGAGACTTATGTAAGTTCTCAGATCCGGACAAGATCCACAACCGGAGGAATCGTGCGCGATCGGGGTGTCGGCGATGCCCGATAGCCCCCTAACGCGCGAATTTTCTGGACATATGTACTGACCGCTCCTAGGACCTCCCGACCGCGCTGCACAACTTTATGAAAGACTTATCCCCGCTCCGAGTCCCATACGTTGAATCCAATGCTCCTTCGCCATTGTCAAGTCTCCCAATGGATTTGATGTACATTGAACGGTTGGCGGCTGTGGCGAGTACTCACTTTCTTTCTATCTCGATGCACTGTCCTAATACCTCTCAGACTCACTTCAAAGCAAACGAGTGGAGGATCGAGTATCTACCGCCTTCGGATTCTGCAAGCCACAATGTATGCGATACACCAGTATCCGTCTTGAGTTGGGCCACTTAGCTACAGGCGATGACTCAGGTTGTTCATGAAGACAGCAAGGCACCCTCTCTTGAAGGCTCCGGTGTAGGTTCACCGACTGCGAACCCGACGCCTCCTACTGAGGTCCCTGAAGAGGAACAGGGCAGAAGGCGTGTCATTCAGGAGTTCGCGAATGACATTCAGAGTGCCATAGAAGGTTCGTTACCTCATCAATCCAATGGTGGGAATTGAGTAGCGTGTAGCCCAATTGGTGAAACAGGCAGTGCAATTAATGAGCCTTGATGCAAGATCTATATTCGTTGTGAGAGTCAAAGAAGAGGTAGGTGACAGGACTCCCGTAGTGTCCGATCACTCAGACTCACTCTCTTAGTCGCATTGGACACTTCGCTTCCTGGTTACACGCATCAATGAAGATGGGACAGAGGAGAAGTATCTGTTGTCTCCTTCAATAGGGCATTTTCCCCTTGACTGGAGAGCATAACCCATAACAGTCGCATACTAGTACGTTGTTTTAGTCATTGGCACACATCGACGAACCTCGTCTGCACAGGATGTTGATTCAAATTGACCCAGGATGCGGCCCAAACCAATATATTAATCCCACATTTATGCACGTCGTCCTGAACAAAGAATGTATTCTAACATCATTACATTATCTGTCCTCAATCAATCGCGGCACCGATCTGCTTGTCCAAGATTCCGAGATTTAATTCACCAGTATGCGCGGAAGTGCTCGTGGGCGGCGCGCTGTCACCGGCTTAATCCACGCTGGTTCAGCTGCAGGAGTGAACGACAGCGTAAGCCCAGGGTAGAGAGGATGGTTCGGGTACGCAGAAATGGCGCGCCATGCCCTTGAGTCATCCTTTGAAACGTCCCACATCCAAATTTGGATAGTGCGCTTGTCGAGCTGCTCGGTGCGGGTGCCAATCCAGTACAGATACAGTGTCCCGATATCCACCGTTTCACGCGGATTCACGCGCTGAGGCGCGGTGATGCGAGAGTCGCCTGAGTGCGCGTACCACGTACACTGAGCTTCGTTGCCCCGAATCTTCCGCTTTCGTGGGACCATCCACTGCACCAAACACGGTCAATGAGCAAAAATGACTGGAAGATAGAGGCGCACGTTGTCTTCGTCTGATGCCGACGCCACGGAGTCAGCGTGCTCTCCTCCGTGCATACTATGTTCGGTTCTAGCCTTTACCGCTGGAGGTATCGGCTGGGCTGCGACCATGCTGGCACTACTGAGTATCTCCTTATTTGGTTCTAAGTGGACCTAGGCGTAGGTATGTCGGTGACCTGCGATCGAAGCAGAGGCGCCAGGCGGCACTTTCTCACCTGCCGAGGCGCTGTAGCGCTACTTCTCCCTTCCCCAGCGTTGTTACTTGATCGTAAACCCGGGTCGCCACCCAAGGCAGAGCTCGCGCCGGATTGCGGCCCTACGGTTAGCGCTTCCTCCCCAACCGCCGGCAAGGGCAGATAGTTGAGGGTCTTGCTAGCGAAGGAGCCAGATTTGGCTTTTTTCGCCACCGGTGCTCTGTGCTCTAGATCGGACAAATCATGACGAGGACGCTTGCGATCGGAAGAGGTCGCAGGGCGCACCGCCTGGGGCTAGTACGGGCAGCTTTCATTGTGATACTCAGACGGCAATAATGGAGTCACTTACGACCACGTCAGACATTGCCACTCCGAGCCAGTCCTGGCGCTTGAAGCGACGTCTCCTGGTGAAGTCGTACATCTTGCCAGTGGCTTGTATCCCAGCTGCAGGAAGCTGGCAATGGCTAGGGACCCCATCGCTCGCTGAGTGTACAAACTCAGCGACCCATCGCGTGCATGGTGGCGGCACAGCTGTATAGTTGGTTGGTGGCGGCATAGCGGAGACGATGTAGGAGGAACGAATGAGACGCGGTGATCGAACATATTTGTGTGCTTTACAATACTTAGATTGTCTCGCGCAGGCGCACACACGTGGCCCGGACCGTCCGTCGCCGCCACTGGTGCCCTGCCACGTGAAGTCAGGACGGGCGGCAGGACGAATGATCACCTACTTGAGTGGGCGAGCCGTGGAGGGGCACGAGCAAAGCGTGTGCGCGATCGTGTGCGCAAGTGAGGGTCCGAGTAGGTGCGCGGCGACTGAGCTTGGTGCGCGGGCGGCCACGACAGACTTGCCGCTCACCGTGACATACGTCTGCTCGCGTGGGCACTGAAAATGGAGGCGATGAGTACACATCACGAAAAGCGCAGGAGCAATGCATTATGGTTTGACGACCGAGTCCGCTCGCTCGCTTCCTGCGCCTTACCCTCGACGCTTACTCCGAGTCGCTCCGAGTCGCTCCGTGTTTGCTACATGGTGCGGCGCGGCACAAATGCGTCGACGCTCGATCACGGGAGAGTTGAGCGCTGGTGCTTCTGCAGAAAGGACGAGCTTTAACAAGCGCGTGAGCAGCACATCCGGCGTGTGCGCGAGTCGCGAGTAACTCACGTCACACTCGATTACGCGCGCCCTCCCGCAAAGATGGTGAGGATCTGCTGTGATGACTTCAGCATAGGGTGGCCAAGGCCAGCAGAGGCGCAGCAGAAGTGGCGGCGAAGGATGAGAGGGGCAGTGCGGGCGATGATCAGAGAGCGAAAGGTAATAAGTTGCGCTGATGGCAGGGATGGAGGGAGAAGGTAGGAGAGGAAGCGGGTGTGTATGCATGCACGCGGGATAGGGACGAGAGGTCAGGCAGCGCAGGGAACGCACTGGATGGAGGTGAGAGAGCTAGGGTGGAGACACGAAGTCAGCGCTGCTCGAGGTAAAGCAGTGGACCCACGAGCGCCCTCGCATGCGTGAGGGCCATCGTGGGCGGAGGCTGCAGGAGTGACTCCGTAAGTTACATGAATGACACCAGGGCACTCAATGAACCCACGCTCCGGGCACTGATATGACGCCTGCTTGTCGCCCTGTCGGTGCGATATTCATGACGTCGTGACCTAGAGGGCAAAAGCCCAGTGAGACTACGTACTGCTGACGACACATCATCATCGGTCTTGTTACAGCGTAAGGCCGCCAGTGAATACGGAGGAATCGGAGATGTCGAGAGGGCGCTGGCGCCCCTCGCGTTGACCTAACCGCTGAGCGCTACCACCTCCTAGGTGGCTGGATGGACCGCTCCTCCTCCTCAGCATAGGTATGTGTGTTCTCGGGCGAGCGGTTGGGGGAGTGAATAGGCAAGCAGGAATGACAAAACTACTGTTCATTGACATGCCTGTTCGCCAAAGCACTGTCAGTAAGGCGGTGAGTAGTAGGCGCATCCAGAAAGGGTGTGTGCCTTTACCCTTAGAGCCCCTTTGCTGTCGCCGTCGCCGCATCTAGGGTTTCCCTGCATCCTGCATCTTTCACGACTACTTCGTAGTTCGCTGTGCTTGTCTTTCTCTGGGCAGTCCTTGGGCGGTCCTGACGCTCGACGCTAGCCTAGGACGATTCAGATGTAGCGTCCACCGCGGTACTGTAGATGCCAGCGCAATATTGTTTCCACATGACATCGTTGAGCACTTCGTGGTTAGGCAGTACTGTATCGGATCCTAATTAGCAGCCGGGTCTAGTTCCGCCACTGTCTCCTTGGTAACGTTCACCGTGTTCGTCGTTCGGCTCACCTGTTAGGAGATCACGTCGTAGCTTTCCTCGCTGCACTGGCAAGAGCTGGTGGTAGGCGTCGATGCCCCAGAAGTGGACGCTGCTGCCGCTGAACCATGCGAGAGGGCGGATTCGGGGCGGGATACGGAGGAATTGTGGGTTTGGCGGGAGGGGCAGTTGGTGAGGTGGCGGACGCCTCGTCATCATCGTCTTCCCAGCTGAAGTCCTCGGCTGAGCGCATAGGATATGAAAGCAGGAAGGTACTCAGGCGAAGCGCTCTTCTACATCTTCCCTGACGGGCTCAATCTGGTGTACTTGGAAGAAGTAGCGCGTCCAGAAGGTCGAGACGTCTATATCCGAGGGAAAAAAGAAGACATTCAGCGCGAGCTCTCTATCGTCTGTTGGCGTACTTACCCAATCTCCAATGTTGCCAACTTCTCCCTCTCAGCCTTCTCATCCTTAAACCTCTTCGACAACACTGCCCGTCAACCCCGCCCTTTGCGGGTATCTCCCTGCCCACGCTGCGAACGTCTCCCGCTCTGTCGGGTTCACACTCGGGTCCGCACGCACATCGCACGGGTGATGCCGCGACTGCGAGCGCGTTGCAGCGCATCGGGCTGGACTATGCACACCGCCTGGCAAAGGTCCTCGCCGCCGCCCTGGATCGGCTTCAGGAGGCTTGTAAGAACCTAGCTCTGCTGGAAAGTTGTCGGTGGCTCCGGGACTTGGGCTGGACGGCGCCAATCCTGCAGATAGCGCCGAGCTGTACTTATCGAATTTAGACTGTGTCAATGGCCTCCCGAATCCGGCATACTTATCATAAGTACCCATCCTCTCCCTCCTGCCAGGCTATCCTGCCCGGTGCATGACATTTCGTGTGGCAAAAAGGCGATCCGCTTCGGCTTCGCTGCAGGAGGGTTGCGGTATGCGAAGACTCCAAATTGATCCCGACTTCCTCGATAAGTACGTGGTGGCGTTTGAATCTACCCTTGAACATCTCTTTCACGTGTGTTCGTCCCTCCTCCCTCGGAACCTGAGCGCCACTCGCCCTCTCCCTCATCCAACACGTTATACGCGCTATTTGTGGAGGTTGCCTTCATGTCGGTGCTACTGGAATATAAGGCACAATGGGACTTGCGCGGAGTCCATACCGACAATATCACTGGTGTCGCCATCAGCCCTCGCGGGGACTACGTCGCAACTTGCAGCACTGATTGTCAAATAGTAATCTGGTCACTGAACACAGGGCAGGCTGCATACCATATAACTGCACAGTCTGCTGTGCTGTCGGTCATCTGGACGGAGGATCCTGATGTTATTGTAACCGGGACTGCAGACGGCACCCTGGTGACTATGACTCTTACACCAGTATGTGGTACTCCTCGCTGTTGAAACCTGCTCATCTGTCCGTCCTCGCAGCGCAAGTTGCTAACCTCAGCTATCAGTGCTCACACGAAGCCCGTTGAATGTTTGGCGGTAAATGAACCATCGGCCGCAAAGAGACGCCTTGCTACTGCGGCTCATGAAGAGATCAAGACGTGGGGTTGGAGTAACAATGGTGGGCGCAATCAACTGCAGAATGCTCGCCTACGTGCAGTCTCACTAAGTAATGGGCGTTAGAATGGGCTTACGAGGGAGCGGTGGCGTTGCCTAGCTCAACGTCGTACAGTGGCTCGAAGCCTGTGCTTGTAACGTCGTTGCAATGGATACCTCGCATGGAATACGAGGATGACTGCCTGGTGATTGCGTATTTATATCATGGCATCCGGTGTGTTACCTGCCCGTAGCTGGTTGGCGACTAAATCAGCCTAACTGTGACAGTTGCAAGCGCGTCCAATCCGACAACAGGAACCCAGTCTGGTCAATTCATCTCCCTCTCTGGTATGTCCTTCCACCGTACTTCCCGCAGCCTTGTGATTCACGGATTCTTAGTGGATCATGCAGCGTCTATCATTCTCCTAGAACCAAAGCAGTTGCAGTCTGCAACATCAATCCTGGATTCGAGGTTTACCATTTTCCGTCAGGATCAGGTGTCGTACAAATCCCAATCAAACGACTACCGGATGAACTTGCCCCTCTTCCCGTGAAGTATGTTCATGAAGGAACAATGCTTCTGTGCGGTGATTATGAGGGGAAGGTCAGATTGGTCGATGCGCGTACCGGCTTACATTTCCAGACCCTGGAACATCAAGGTAAATTCACGACCTCTGTTCGGACCGCGTGTGTTGACACATCACGCTAGAATGCACAATGATCCAGTCACTAGACGTAAGCGAGCGAACTGAGTCATCGTGGTTCGCAACTCAACATGGCTGCGTAGGCCTATTTTGACAGCACGACATGTACATTTCTGGTCGCCTGCGGAGGCGGGGAAGACGGGAAACCGGGTGTTGCACGGATTTGGAAAGCGTATGAGGCTGGAAACCCGCGCGAGCGCAAGGGCGATCTCGAAAGCAAGTAGTTATGCTTGTGCATATGAAGACGTCAATGTGATACAGTAGTCTGACCAGGAGAATCTTGTGTGCGGCACAGGATGCAGTCCATTTGAAACAACTACAAGCCCAATACACTGCCTGAGCGACCGGACGTAGGAGCGGCGTCTATCCACCTAGCGGATTGACTCGACATGATGGTGATGAAGTGAGCATTGATCACTGCAGCAAGCAAAATCTGGGGCCGGCTCCTTCGCGTCTCTATCCCCTGGGTCTTCGTCCGCTTCCTGTACCTCCGGTCTCTGTCGTTCTCCTGGCGGGTCTCCAGTCTTCGTGAACGCACCGCTCTTCTTGATGAACTTCGTGAGTGCGTGCGTCGATTCCTTCTTTGATGCCTCATACGGTGGGTAGGTCGATTGTTTCACTGGTCGTGCGTAGGATGTAGCGACGCTTCTCGTAGCGTGGGCAATCTTGAGTAGGACGTGTTTTTGTGTCTGTCTGGTAAGGGGCGCCGCACGGTCAGACGACCGTTTCTGACGGTACGAAGGATTTGGAGTACTCGCCTGTGAAGCAATGCCCTATCCGGCGCTGCAGTACTCAACCGTGGATCTCCCTCGGGAGTTTCGTGAAGTATCCTTCGGTTTGGCTCTCGGTGCGCCCCGTTGGGACTGTCTTCGGTCATATCGCAATCCATGCGTTTGTCGTTCCCTCCTTCGTCCGTCTCAGCGCATTTGCCCTCGTCTCTTTCTGGTTGTCGGCGACGAGGTTCGTCTTGTCTTTTTTGTTGCTGGCTCGTTGCCCGGTATGCCTTCGTGTCCCGGCATCCACACAACTGTGACATTGTGGGATTTCTCAGGTCCGAGGGAGCGTAGCACGATGCCCCAGAAGATCTGCGAGTATTCATGCGCGGGTCCCGGCTTCGTTTCGAATATCGCTGATCGCTGATCGCTGCAGTGTCTTTGGCGTGGAAGTGGTTGTGGCGTATGCCGCTATGTCTGTTCTCTTGTGTAATGTATGTGTCGACGTCGCGTGCGGCCCAAGATAGACCCGCCGCCATCTCTGCATGGTAGACCTCCGCTACCCAATGATCATGTTCTATCTGAGTGCGATCGTGTGGCTCGCACCTACGCTCTGTTGGTCTTACCCATGAGCAGAGATCCATCAGGGTAGAGCATGACGTTTTCGGCGGACTGGCAAAGGTTACTTATATTCTTGTTGTGTTGCTTCGCGGCCTCCTCTTTCGTCATTCCTTTGACGGCTAAGCGCGATCGTCTGCCTTCCCATGATGATGGAGCCCTCCACTGTCCAGGGTTTCCTTCCAGGGTGGATCGATGATCCGCCAGTGAGACGATTCGCTCGTCTAGGGGATCCGATCGCAAGGCTAGTAGTAGGGAACGACTCGACATGTTTAGAGCACAGCCAAAAGCACCTGGACTCAATCGAAACCGAAGATGCTGCAGTACTCGCTTGCGCCGGAGACATGGCTACCGTTGGTGAGTGACCAGCGCTGCAGCGTGCAACACGTTCAAAACCCGTTATCAAGTGCATATGTCAGCCGCTTCAATGTGCTCGCAATCAATTAGTCACGGGTAAAGTCCACGGATACTGCAGCCTGCGGTCTCCGATATAGCTGTCCAGGCGTCGCCATACACACATTTCTTCGTCCGTTCATTTCTCGCGCACCGTTCATCTGCCGGTGTTTGGTCAAAGTGTCCACGCGTCCGTCACGGCTCTTCTGCCTCTTCGCGCCTCCATCTCTCATCCAGTACATCAGACTAGACAATCTCGTATCATACACGTCACCGTGATTCGATACAAGAGAGCAGAACCATAGAGTAGACACATGGGATATAACGGAACAAACCAATTAGCCAATACATGTACATGAGATTACATCAACCAGACGAGCCACTCGTATCTGTTGCAGGACTTCACTTCGCCGGGGCCGGAGTGGCTTTCTTGACGTCAACGACCTTCTTGACGTCAACGACCTTCTTGACGTCAATGACCTTCACAACTACAGGCAGGAGGATACTCAGAGCTCGCAATGGCAGCAGAAGAGTGATATGCGCACCGTAAACAAGCGTAGCATTCTTCGGGATAGTGGGGTTCGCCTTGTTCCCGAGGGGGCCGTACCCTAAATGCGGCGGAACTATAATGGTACGTTGGCCTGAAGGCCTCATCGCAATGGTACTCATTTGCAAAACCCTGGTCAGTTTGCTCTGCCCGAGCACGATTGCCGCCTGCACATGATCGATATGTTAGCAGCCTCGACCGAAAACGTAGCCTGTGAGTGATGGCTAGACTTACCGGATCTTTCAAGACATTATGCGCGAAGAGCGCTTTCTCCCCCATTACCTTGCCCCAGTAATGCATGTACACGGTATCTCCCCAATCCGCGGCCTCGCCCGTTCCGACCACATCATCGATCGTGACAATCTCAGACGCACCCGCCATCATGTCTGTGACAGCAAGCCCTTGGCCTGCGGAAGCTGGCACGACGTCGAGCTCCTGCGCCGTGCTTGAGGAGACCAAGGCAGGCAGACTAGGTTTCGTGTCGACTGCAGGCCTCTTGGAGACAGATCCGCTGCTCAGGGGAATGGATTTGGTGTCGATCGTCGGCGGCATGGCGACATGATTTGTGCTGGACGGTTCAGGCTTAATGACGGTCTTACCCTTCGCATCCGAAGGGCGCGAGATTGCGGGAACAGGCTTTGGAGAGGACGTAGCGATCCGCGCTTTCTTCTCAACGACCGTGGCGGGTTCTGGGCTCGTTGGTCGAGGGCGCTTGCGGCTTGTGGAAGGCCCAGAGCTATCAGTAGTGAATACTGTTAGACGAACACGCCGCGCGTAATGACAGGATCACTGACTGAGAAGCAGGTTCATGGGGTACAGTAGCTCCTGTTACCCCCGCTTGTGTGCCGGTGCTAGCGCCGCGGCGAGTCGAATCTGTGAGCACGGGTATAAGTTCACGACATATTCTTCGATACAAAAGTACTGGCCGTGAAAGTATCCTGCCAACGATACCGCACTGCTTCGGTGAGGACCCTCCGAAATTCATGAAGGATAGCGAACTCACTTTGGACCCACGATCTCAAGCGAAAACTCCTGATCAGAACAAAGCCATACATCGATCACAGCTTGATGGATCTGCCGTAAAGTGAGGGGATGGTCTGCCGCCGACTGAGAATCATACTTACTGTTCCTTGCACAAGAGAGCAAACCGTGATCGAGTTACCAGTCGGCTGGGCCACCGGATCAGCAGCCTTGGATGAGTACGTGAGCTTCACCATTGTCGATTCGCCAGCAAAGCCGCCGGGGCCCGCGAGCGCCGCTTGCGAAATGTGGAGGTCGGAGCCCTCACGGGCGGGTCTGTAACGCTCTCCAGGCCGAAGAGTAAGGCCCCTTACAATGTGTCAGTGAGAGAGCTCGCGTCGCGGACGAGGACTCACCAGAACAATCCCGGTATAACCATGTTCGTCCGCACCCCGACAGTCTGCATCGCAGTCACCTCGGTCTGTCCACATACGCGGGGCCCTTTATACCTCTCAATGTACCGCCCCAGAGAGTGCGTCCGAAGATAGTTCGAGCCGGACAAAAGGTACTCGACGCAGCAAGCCACGAGTTCGATACCAACGGACCAGGCATTGTGGGACGAAACCGCAACCGACCGTTCGCAAGTGCGGGGATCGACCTAAATTCGAACAATGGCGAAGCGTTGCGACGCTGTCGCGGCGCGCGTGGCTCTGCGAACTTGAAACATGAAAATAAAGGAATGGACTCAGGTTTGAACAATGGCAGACCGTGGCGACGCTGGGAACTTGAGACACGAGGCCTGTTGCGTTTGAGAGCGGCGATGCAGCAATGTGATGACGGACACATCCCTAAGGTTTGTCGTCCGATGTTAGTCTTCATTGTTGGCGACCGTCCAAAGTCTTGCATACAGGTTGCCAATCACAGAGCGCTCGTAAGGCAGAACATCATGTCGACAGGTGTGTATACGGGAATCCGACATGCCCACAGTCTGGCGAGACGCAGTGCGAGGGCCACGGTCTCACTACTTAGATCTCACTGGTAGGCGAAACGACGTCCGCCTGCGCTCTGGACACGGCCTGGAAGCCGCGCTGGTCACGGGGCCGACGCGCCGCATCAACAGACGTCAACAGAGACCGAGACCCTTGTACTTACTCTGAAGACAACAAATGATCGATTCCGAAACCTCGCGCGCGTTGTCGCGGTCCTTGTTGATCGATGATCTTTCACTGATAGTGTTGCCGTCGTATCCGTGCACAACCAGTCCGAAAGGGTAACTCCCGACGATTTCCGGACAAAGGAAAGGGATGCCGTCGACAGTGTTGGTAAGAACGTCGGCGTGTGCGCGATGATGATGCGCACACGGGGCGCGTGAGGTGTGAGCGAATGAGTGAACGCGGTGGCGTCGAGTCGCCGACAGCGCGGAACCAGTGCAACGAACCGAAGGGCAGCCACTCAGGCCGCGCCCGTCAGGCGAAGCGTGTAGTATACCCCTCCAGCCGCGAGAATGACTCACAAGTTGCGGACGTGTGTAATCGGCAACATCGGCTCAGACTGGCTCAGACCAGTCTCTGCGCACGCCTACCAACATTCGCCACGGACGAGGCCACTCTTGCTGTTGTGCTGGACTCGCGACGTAGTACCACGTACTCACTTCATCGCCCATGCCACCTTCAAGTCGAGAACGAGGCCCGGATGTCGCGCACGCTCGTCATCACGGATTTAGCCCGACGCCGGTCGACACTCCCGCCAACCCTTAAGTAGCCCGTGAATGGGTCTGAGGTCGGTAGGGTCGTTACACGGTGCTCCAGGCTCGGGAACTGATGCTCAATGGGTGGTACGCGCGGCTTGTGGTAGATAACGAGGGCGTGCGGTAAGAGCGACGCTTCGAATTTATGGAGGGCGCGAGACATCCGCGCATCCATGCGGGCTTCCCATCGTCGTCTCACGCGATGGGCACGACGACGCACGACGTCAATGACCCCTTACAGTTCGAGCAACCTATCCCCGCACACCGGTACAGGATCTACATCCACGAAGTCATCCCACGCTCCGGCTTCAATCCCAGAACCAGCATCTCGACATACAGCAGAACGTCATCCGCGCCCCACAGCGGCGGGAAGCGAGGTACGACCGGCTCGATGCAGAAGGAGCCGCAGACGTACGGTGTCCGATGTCGCAGCGAAATGGAGGCGTTACGACGCTCGCGGATCGGGTCAAGAGCAGCTACACACCGGGCTAAGGATCACAGGACGCGCCGTCGTCGACGGGTCCTCAAGCTTTATCTGCGGCCCACTGCGTAAACCGAGTGCGGCCTTTCGCACACGCGGCTTCACGCCGGGTGAGATCGCCTACCCCGGTCGACCGTGGCCGTTTTGAGCCGTACGTGGCACTCATGCGCGACGGCGACCTCTGTCTGATGCGAGCGGCTCCGGGTCGTGGGCGACCATCACGAGTAGCAAGTAGCATAGGAGATGAGATATTCGCGCGTACACGACGTGAGTGCGACTCACCTGAATGCGAGGCGGGGTGTGCGCACACGGGAGATGCTGCAGGGAAGGACGGACGTTCGAAGCGGCTGAGGCGGGAGGACAAGCCTTTAGAGAGAACGCGCGGAACGGGCACGAGCGCGTATGAGATGTCTCCGGGGCGGGTAGGCAGTGATTCCGACGCCACAAAGACGAGTCAAGAGAGCGAAGCGCGTGAGGAGCAATCTCCTACGTCGTGAGAGGGGAAGTACGTCGAGAGTGAGGCTCGCCGCTGTCGGCGCGGACGCGACGGGAGACTGTAAGCGCAGGGAGTGAGATTTGACAATCACTGACGATAGGGTCATGATCACCGTCAGCCCGTCTGCTGCTAATCGTCATGCGAACGGGTCAATGATATGATATAAGCGGATTTGTGTATGAGGGAGCGTCCGCGACTGAGGGCGAGGAGCGCGAGCCATGCTGAGAATACAAACGAGCGAGGCGCGTTGTGCACGAGAACGAGAAAAGGAGGGCAACGGGGAGGACGAGAGCGACACGGGTGCACAAGAGGACAGAATCACTCTGAGTCGATGGAGAGAATAAATTCAAACGGGCACCTGACACTAGAAAAACTCACCGAGAGCGTATACACAGGGCCGCCGAGTTCAGTGCTAGATGAGTGTTGCGGCGGATGCACCGAGAGCAGACCGCGGTGGCCTGAGGACCGGTGGAGCGTCGATCGTGAAAAGGCAACCGAGGGCCGTGCGCTGTGAAAACAGCGACGCCTCCGGGTTTGAATCAGTTGGTCCAGGCTGAACATATGCATTGTAGAATCGCGCCTGGACTGGCTGCATTTGAGCGAACTCCACGCGCCGTTCGTCTTGGATTGTATTGAACCGTTCAGCGAATTCCGAAATCATGGAAATCGTAGCAACATCTGTGAGACGGGACTCGAACGTAGGGTGAGACCAGGTGAAACTGAAGTTATCGAAATAGGGTGTCTGCTTGGTCGATGCATTGGATGCGTTGTCAAAGGTTCAATTCCTCGACCCAGCCATCTTGTTGGTAAGATGTATAGGCACGGAGGTAGCCTCCAAGTATCTGGTTGACGCACGCCGTGAGACCATCTGTATAGGGATGGTAAACTGTCGAGGTTCAAAATCAACATCGAGATCGAAGAGCCTACATAGTGAGCTCTCGCCACGAGACAAAGACGCAGCCGCGATCCGAGATGATCGAGTCCAGAAGCCCATAAAATCGCAATATGTGACCAAGGAACCGCCACGCGAATTCGGGTTCCGTGATCGTCTCGTAGCAAGAAATGAAGCGGGCTGCACGAGTCGGAGCCGGTCACAGACAGCCTAGATAGAATCGTATCCGGGAGCGATCGCCATTGCAATCCGGATGTCCAGAGGCTGCGGGTGCCGTGGTGCCTTGATACATAAGTACACAGAGGAGGCCGAGCCGGGGGTAGTCGCACTCGACCGTGACGGTGCGTGTATGACAGGGATGGTCTGCGGACGATGTATCGTGTCTTGTCCGAAGGATTTCAGCGCCGCAGCGTAGATGAGTCGGAATGTACAGCCGGCCTTCGCGGAAGACGACATTGCCCTGTAAGGTGAAGTCTTCGCTGCCAAAGGCCACGGCTCCGACACTCCACTCTTCCCATGTCGCGCTCTTGAAGCGGTCGAGAAGGTCCGAGGTGTCGAGTGCAAGGGTGGTGATAGAAGTCTTCGAGTACTTCATGAACTCACGGGTTCTCAACCGACGTCAAGCACACTGGACGTTCCCCTCGGTGTTCAATCTCCAACTCGACCATGCACCTGGCAAACACCACCCCGCTGATGAGCTCCCTCGCGGCGTCCGGACGGGGACGACGTATTACTGTTCGAGCCTGCCATCGCTGATTTGAGGTAACGGAGACGAGAAATCAGTGCCTATCAGCCATGCATGTCTCGGAAGGACTCAACAGTCAGGAGCTCCTTGTCGTATCACTCGTGATTGACTTCCGCGGGTGAGAGCTTGCGCGAGAAATATACAACGGGGGAGCAGGCCTTGGTCGTCAAACTAGAGGTTATAGACGGGAGGAGACGGCGAATCCGAGGGCAAGTCTGAAGGCGAGGAGACAAATGCAACCGTCTCATGGAGGGGAAAGCGGACCATCATGATCAAGTTGCGGAAGGCGGAGCCTGGCGTATTTCGCGGCAAGATCGCTGCGACGCTGAGGTACTCAATCTTGGTCATCTAGTGTGCATAGTTGTTAACGACCTGTCGGAGTCTCCGAAGTGCTTGAGGGTAATCCTCGACAAGTGCCGAGTGGTTGTTCAGGGGCTGCGCACTGGTCTTTTCGATGGCCCAGAACCAGGACGTGGATGAATAATCTTAGAACCAGGTACTGAGGTAGAAACGCACCGTGTCCGAAGTTTCGCCCACGCATCAAGTTTGTGCGCACGATGTGTGAAGATCTGAGGAGGCGTCTGGAGCTTGAAGCTTGAAGCTTGAACCTTTGAACCTTTGAGGAGTCGCTGGCAGACATAACCACATCACGATGTACACAGTGACGTTGAGCAAGCGATCCGGCTCCCGCTATCATTTCGGGACAGATTTCGTGGATATGGCTTGCAGCGCGTCGTACATGTGCGCACAGACATGTACCCATATCCTCCATGTGTATGGGTCACTCTGTCTAGGAGGTCGGTCGTAGCCAGCTGAAACCTGGTACTGAGTTACTGAATAACATCGATCACACAGCCGAGAGTGATGCAATAATGATTGACGGGTGGTTTGTACAGACACCACTCCACGACATGTACACCCGTTTAGTGCTATCCTCTCCCACCGTGCACACGCAACCCGTAAAGGCAGGTGTACTCCGACGAACCCCAATTATCGAGCACCTGGAAGACTACCTTGTCCACCTTCATGGGAATATCCCGACGTACAGGGAACGTTTGCCTTCGCTGCGCCTTGTGAATATCGTACTCCAAGTCGGCAATGCGAACAAGCCGGTAATCAGTCGGCGCGATATCCGGAAGAGGGGCTGGATCTTCACCGGGACTAGCGCCCGTAGCGTCGTCTTCGGTCGGCACGACAGCCCACACCTGGACGAAGCGGGGAGCGACATCGGCGTCGTGAGCCTCTGAATAAGGTAGATCAATGGTGACATCGGTGACCAGGACCGAATCAGCAAGTTGAATCCCGATATGTCCTGCAGGCCCTGCCATGGGCCAACAACTACCCGGCTGCATGCTGCCGTCCAGCGCTGAGGATGGTGGGGGAGGCACCGCCTCGCGCAATCTCAAGATGCGGCGAGTAAAGGAGTTTATCATGCTCTCGGTCACTTGATGTGTAGTTGATGTGAGTGTCTCGATCGGCCTGCCACCCGCAGCGTAACTGGCGAAGTCCGCACAGTCTAGATCGTCGCGAAATCCAGGGATTTGCAGGGTGTCGGCCTCCACCTTTGCAGCCGGCGGATCATTTCCCATATTCTTCGCCGGGCCCGACGCTATGCAGGCGGGCGCTGGTAAGAAAGCAGCGAGCGAAGGCGGAAGGTAGGCGTCGTAACGGCACAGCATTTGTAACACGAGGCCGCCAACGACCAGCGATATCATGTTTGTTATGATGGCCAGGGCCAGGTGCTTCGTGCAGGTAAGGGTGAACATGGCGCCGTCGAACAAAATTGCAACGACCAACTGCGTTGCAAGCAGCGAGAACACACCAATGCGGCGTGCACCATTCCACAAGAAGACCCGTAACGCTGGCGCCAGAGACCGCAGCACACGCGGTGTTGGAGGAGTGCTGGTGTGTTTCTCCGCAACGAGAGCATCCAGTAGTTCGGAATTTGGCAGCTTCATGCCGAGTTCTACAATAGCGCGCTCAACATCCTGCCTCAAAAATCTGTCGTTAGCCCTATGTCTGCACATGCAGCGACGCTCGTGCGCACCTCGTCCTCGGGCTCGGAAGTTTGATGTCGCGCACCAGAACTCTGTGGGTGTTTGACTCTTGTGTCGCTGACGAAAGGGAGCTGCATCTCAATGGACGGTGCCCGCGATACAACAGCACTAGAAAGGCTCGCCATGTCCGAGCGTGGAGACGGAGGGGCGACATCTCCATCAACAGGACATTGGCCCTGAAGTTGAATGATTGGGGAACGGAAGTCTTCGGCTCTCCTCGAAAATAATGGAGGGGAAGCGGGAAAGACGTCAGCTGCATCGTTTGATATTATATTGAATGCAGAGGCTCTCGACACCACGGAGCCTTCTACGTCTACAGCCAGCAGTTAGCTTTGAGAACAGAAACGCATTGCCGGAAGGATCATACCACGATGCATGCCTGGAATTTGTGTGTTGTCAAGACTTGCCCCGGCAGTACCGAGTGGCGGTGCCACGTCCGAACGCTCATAGTCACTCTACCAGTTCGAGTAAGGATGGAACTAAATTAGCAAACAACAGGTGACCACTTACAGCAGTCGACTCGTGGTTCTTGAAATCTACTGAACGGCCAGATCCGGAGTAAGAAGGGCTGCGCCTCAAGAATCGAAAAGGTCGAGCAGTGCGAGCAGTATCCATCTGAGACGTGAGCACCGCGAAGGACAATCTCTACGACGGACACGCCGTCTTATGAGTGGAGGGGTGTGGCAACTGACAAAGACAGATTGAGACAAAGGGGGAAAACACATGGCAAACAAAAAGTAGCGACGATGAGGTGCACATGATTGAGTGGCGGTTGCGCGAAGAATCTGGTTCAGCGCCCAGCGCTCAGCCACCGTGCGAGGCAACTACAACGCACGTCCTCGAAGGGTCGAAGGGGCGCCGGACCGGGAGAGCAGTGGCCACTGATCAGCCTAAAGCACCGCACGTATGAGTCAGGTGGTCAGAGGGCCGGATGACCGCGGTGACAGCAGGAGAGGCCTCTCCTGCAGTGAGCCGGAAGAGCCAACCCGGAGATGAGCAGTGGGGACGGGCAACCTGTGCGCGCCGCGGCGCGTGCAGAAGGAGGCCTGCTCTTGCGTCGCGTCGTCCTGTGAATCCGTAGCACAATTGATCGGTCATACTCCACGACGCCAGCCAGAAAACTGACTCGCTCGTGCGCCTTCGCGGCCTTCGGACTCCTTCGTTGACTGGCGACAGTAACGGCGCACTCCACAATGCGCATCGTCTCCTCCGTCACGCAAGCGTACACGTCAGGAAGATCTTCAGGCGCATGAGCGCCAGCACAGGATACGGTCTGGTTCAGCCCGCACAGACCGAGCTTCAGTATCGAGCACCAGGCGACAAGTCCGGCGCGACCGTCACCTCAATGCTACCGACGAGCATGTACGTCTTGACGAGCTCTGTCAACCGGGTTTCTCAGTCGGAGGTGATGCTGGAGGCCGGAGATTCGGAGGCGGAGGCCTGATGAGCGCGGACACATAGTCAGCGGCGAGTCGTTACTTACGACGTGAGACTCACCGCAGAACGCCCAGTCTTACTCTGACGCGGTAGAAGACACATTATCCAGGGAGTCCTGAGCGGTTCCAGCTCTTCCCCACCAAAGTAACTACGGTCCATCTCATCAGTGAGTGACCTGTGAGGTCGATGGCGGCTTACCAGACGATCAAATCCCCACTTCGACACGATGACGGATCCTTCGCGCGCATCGATATAGTTGCGACGGCGGGCGATAGCGGACATCTTGGCCTCGACGGATGGGTGCTCTGACACGGCTGCGGCGCTCTTCGCGGAGCACGCCTTCGCGAGTCGGACGACTGTAAACGTAGGTTTGTGACGCTTCCCATACATGTAGTCAGCTCGTCCGGGAAACACATGGAGATCGGCGACGCAGACGCTGTGATGCTGGTTCAGACACGAGACGCAGGAGCGGCGGTGAGGAAATGCCTACGCGAAAGCCCGCAGCAGGCCGAACATTACGGGCGAGTGATCGTCACTTCATGAGAGGTAACGAAACTCTTGCTGTCGGATACCTTAAGCGTGTTTCGTCTTGGAACTCATTGACGTCCCTGCCTCTGCCCCGCGAGGTACTGAGTGGTGCGCAAATGAGGACCCACTCGCAACCGCCGCCACTCCCCGTTCGCGGGTACCATCGGCTGGCTGGCCAATCTGGACACGCCGAGTACCGACCTCCTGGCGTGCGCAGAGCGGAACCACCGGCTCCATTGCCTTAGGCACGCTTGAATGTTCGTAGCGGATCGGAGCCTCTCGAACGCGAGGCGGCGGCTCCATACTTCGTACGCGGCGACATGCCAGTCGTGGGACGTCGGTGTAGTGTGCGGCGATGCGTTTGATGATGCGCCTGTGGTAGATACCGCACTCGCTGACCTCGTGGTCGACGTCAAAGGACTGTAGGTTGTTGCAGAAGTCGACGCTGACGGCACAGAGATAGCAGCCGAGCGGCGTCGAGGGAGTCGTGATGAGGGTAGCGACGTTAATGTCACATCCGCGGCGGAGCGGGCTGGCGATACCGGCTTGCCATTCGTTGAAGTGCGCGACGGCTGCGGTGCCGAGCAGACGGACAGCTGCGGTGTCGAGCAGACGGACGACGACGGTGTCGACTGACGGACGACGACGGTGTCGACTGACGGATGGCGGCGACGTCGGGCTGAGGCATCAGGTACTGCAGCGTAGGTTGAGCTAAGACGAGCACGGTGACTAGCAGACAGGGAACGCACCTCTCCTACCGCCCTTCCAGTCGTTCAGGCGAGAGTGTTCGCTCCCGGTGTCGAAGAAGAGAACATAAGACGAGCCCTCGATGAGCCATCTGCCGCGGAGCGACCTGTATGGGAGTGGGCCTGGTAGCTGAGGGGTCCGATGAGACGATACTGTATCTGTCGCCATGCGCGGGAACACATACCGCGCGGAGTCGCAGCAGAGAACGTGAAAGGGGGCGAGCACAGGCTGGCCACCCACGACCTCTTCAGTACCGAGTGCCTTCTCGGTCGTGCGGGGCCATGACAGAAGCCGGGTCGGAAAGTGCGACAGCGCTCAGGAGGAGGAAAAGGAGACTCGAGTGTCGGGCGACATGAGCGACGAGCGTGAATCAGGCGTGAATCCGAATTCGATCGTGACCGTGCATCGGATCGACGGTCGTGACCACTGACCGCTCGGGCCGACAGGCGCCGTCCTGTGGGCGTGCCATCCACTCGCTGGGCCTGTCAGACGTCCTGTCGATCCTTCTCAAAGCATTGTGCACAATGTTATCTCTTTCTCCAGTCATTCCGACACTGAAAACTATGGTTTCATTGCCAGCACATGGTAAGCCTCATTGTGTGCTCTCCAGTGCAGCGCCCGGGTCCCGAAACAAAAACTATAAGACAGGGGACTTCAGGCGGCCTTCGTTCTCGGAATCCGCTCCTCCGCTAAACCTAAGCTGCCACTGCAATGGAAGCTAGGCGTGAAGACACGCCAGTCCCCCGGGGAAGAAGGTGCGTGCATACCGATGTTGCTCACCGTCGACAACTGATTCTTCGTGCAGCCCCGTCGCCCGCTCGTCTGCGCGTAAGCGTCGTAGGGACCAAGTCTCATCATCACCAGTGGCTCCACGAACTGTGGTGGGCTTGGCCGAGACACTCCGCCGCGTCGTTGAGCGGGAATTGGCCAAGCGCCAACGCATTACCGGCCCGGATGTAGGTCTTCCTGTGCCCCGTTGCGACGACTTTATGTGAGAATCTCTTTTTGGGACACGCTGAGCGGTTGGTTTGACTGTCGGTCATAGTCACGCGCAGGGAAAGGGTAAAGAAATCGCCAATGTCATCAACACCGGCGTCGAGTCGGAGGCCCGCCGTGACCTTGACGTCGGCGGCGTCGAAGCTGGAGGCAGTGTCGAGGATGGAGGCAGCGTCGAGGATGGAGGCCGCACCGAGGACAGTGATGGCGACGATGTCATGGATATCGAGAGTTTGTACGGGATGGAGGCCAGTGACCGCTCAAGTCCTCCATTGATTGCCAATCCGTACGGCATGGAAGACATCCGTCAGGTAATTTTTGAGTCCCTCTCTGCCTGTTCTACTTTGCTGATGGATGATATGGCAGAACTTCATGCACCTGAGAGAGGTAAGTATCCGGGACCCTCAAATGGCGTTCGCACGACTGATGGTCTACTCATTCAGGAGATGAACTCTCTTCGACTTCAGGTTTGTTGTCTGCAAGACGACGTGCATCAACTCGTCGATACAGTGTCAGCCGCCAGGGCCGAGCTTGCGAAGTGCGCCCCAGGGTCTTGAGGGCCGTCGTTCGCTGCTCCACATGCTCAGGAAGGTGTCTAGGTTTGGTCGTTGCGAACAATGCCTGTATCTGTTTCACTGCTCATATGCCACCTCGCGAAGTAGCTTTTTTGACCCCTATATGCTCATCCGTATACATATCTCATGCCGCCTCATACTTCCATGCTTCACCCCCATGCTATTCTTCCTCCACGCCGTTGACTTGATAACGCAAACAATATGATATATCTTCATGAGCCTCTCAAGTGTGACTGACCCTGTCGACCTCTGTTGGTGCGCGATAGGTATGGCAGGGCCAGGGCGCGCGCAACCCACGTAAACTGCGCGCACCTACGCGATCGCCCACGCTTCCGCGCGCCCACTTACCGGCGGACCCGCGGACTCGGACGCGCCTGCAAAAGGCGGGAGATGGCTATGGTGGGCGGGGCCCACACCCCGATCGCGAGGGCGAGAGCACAGCCATGGGCGCAAGTGGGCAACGACGGCGAGCACGCGGGGCAGATGCCCGCGTGCAAACGCGACCGGCGAGCGAACCGCAGACGCGGATTATGCATATTGTCCCGTAATGTAGTCTATAGGTTCATATGCACCATCTGTTTGCATTGCGATGTGTCCGAGCGCAGCGTGTCGGTGTCGGAGAGATGGAACATAAAAGAAAAAGAGAAAGACGTGGGACGGGTCTCCCTTCCACAAGTGGGGGTGGCTTCAGTCTTGACCCCAAGACCACCTCAGTACCATGGTGCGTAGTACTGGTTGACGAGAGCGAAGACGTCGAGTCGACCACGTCCGTGTGCTCGACGACGGAGTCACTGCCGACATAGAGGTCCACGACAATCCAGAGTCCGGGCTCGCAGCCTGCGTCGTCGGCGTCGAACAACGTGCGAATTGAACATACTGAGAAGTTCGGAACGTACCAAAGTGGCCGCCTCCGTCAGGTCGTTACGCACGTCGGACATGCATGCTGCGATCTCCTGGGCCATCGTAGCCCGTGTCGGCAGATTGACGCAGATGTCCGATAACCTGTATATATCACGTCTGATAACATCTGTGTTCTCAGTAAACTTGCACTCACATTGGCACCCAATTACCCCTTCGAAGTCCTCGGCGTGTTGCCTCGTGTGGGCCGAGCCGGGCGTGTGCGGGCTATGGTCGGGGCTTGGTGGACGTGTGCCCGTCGTGAGCGGTGGAGACGATGCACGGCCGTCGGACGGTGCAGGTTGGCTGTTAGGTTGCGGGGCGCGAACGTCGTTCTGAAGCTCGTTCAATGCCCGCTGAACCTCGTCCATGCGGTATCGGAGCTCATGGTGATCAGAGCCCAGTTCCTCCGAGTGGCGTGATCCCAGCTCGACTGCTTGCTGTATGTGTTCAGAGGTCGAGCTATGATGCTGCGTAGCCTGGTCAGCCAGAAGCTCGAGTTGGGAGAGGATGCTGTGGGTAGCTTTGAAGATGTAAGCAATATCGCGCTTGGTCGCCGTGGCGATCTCATTGTAGACGTTAGAAGTCTCGAGAGCGAGACGTTGGCCGCCTACAATATGCCGCAGTGTGTCGTGAATCGACGCATCTCTGGGCAGAGAACGCTGGTCGTGCGCGAACGTTGGAGAGGAAGCCTTGCGGCGCGGTCAGAGGACGATATGCTCACAGAAGAAATGTTGGCGTCCAGTGACGAGGGTGTCGCAGAATCATCGAACAACCCTGGGTCGGTCTGGGTATACGCGTCAACCATTTCGGGGAGCTCGTCGTCGGACCCGAGTGAGGGCGCGAGTGGCGCGCCCGGTGGCGGTGCTGGCTGCGAGCCGTATCGAGGCAGTGTCGCAGTCTGACCGTGAGCGGTGGAGGCAGAGTCGATTGAAGACATGCCGGTTCCAAGAAGCAGAGTAGGGCAACGAAAGTCGTTGAAAGGGGTAGCGTGAGGAAGTGGCGGCCGCGAGGTGAGTGGGTACACCTGGTACTTGAGCAAACAGTGTCAAGCGAAGAGTGCTGTCGGGGACAGCCGAGTCGACGTCGAAAAAAGGGGGGAAAGAATGTGGTTTGAGGAGACTGAATGTCCACCAAATTGTAACAAGACGGGTTACCGGACTTGTACGACGGGAGGGTTCAGTCACTCAAGATACACTCCGAGAGACGGGTGATCGGTCCGTAAGGTTAGGTTCCGGTGAACACGTGGATTACCGACTACGTTAGTGTAACGAGGGGTAGTACACGAAGATAGCGCGAGAGAGAGAGAGAAGCGAGAGAGAAGAAGAGAGAGAGAGAAGAGAGTAAACGAAGGGAGAGACCTTTGCCTAGCAAAGCGTGTCGAACTAGTTACTCGCGCCCTCCTTATATCCTGTTGTGAGATCGACTTGACGCTCGCCATCCTAGTCATCGCGAGTCGATACTGACAACAGCTAGATAGTCGAGGCAAGCTCTATCATATTCCACATGATTCGAGACGAGCGTCGAAAGTACGTACATACACGCTATACTGACTAAGTAGCTAACTCGCTACACACTGCTTCTCCTGTGACTCGTGTTCCATCAATCCGTACTCGGTGTCGACCTTCGGCGGAGTCGGATCACTTGCTTGCGCCGTCTTCGTCTTGTCCTTGGTGAGTTGCGTCGGGGCGGGCTGCTGGACTTGAACGGGTGGGGGTGGCTTTACTTTCGGCGGCGCGCTGTCTTCATTGTCGGTGACGTGCCGGAAGTCGAACCTCATCGTCTTGAGTGCCTCTGGAGGCACGTCCTTCTCCTGTTCGACGTCCTTGACCGAGCCTTGCATTCGAGTCTGCGACCTGGTAGCAGAGAAAGCATAAACATCCTCAGACGAGACAGCGTAAACGTTACCGCCGAGCATGGGCTCGTCATCCACGTACAGCTCGATCGAGTGCGTTGATGCCGCAAGGTGTGGTGGTGTGTCGCGTGCCTTGCCCTTCCCAGCCTGGATGTCGAGTCGCTGTTGGATAAGCGTCGAGATACCTCCGGCGACGCCGCATCCTTGCTGCGTCGCGTTTGTAGACGCGCTTGCCGAGCCTATCTGCATTCGCGCCAGCGTGTCCGCGAACACGGCTTGCTGCTTCGCCTGACTCTCCAAGAGTGCGGTCTGCATCTTCTGGTTCTCCACGAGCGCCTTATCGACCTTGTCGAGAAGGAGAGCTGCGAGGTTAGCGTCCGCATCCTGTTTCCCCGCCTTACCCTTCGTCTTGCTTTTCGACTTGCCCTTTCCGTCGTCGTCATCGCTCGAGGTCGACTCCGCGTCGCTGGAGTCCGAGTCTGAGCTGTTGTCCTCGCGGTTGTAGTGATCGGCCGTGAAATACGCCTCGACCGCGTCTTCGACCTGTTGGACGGTGGCAGGATCTATCATTGTCGGTTCCCTACCCATCTCCTCCTTGAGCTTCGGGTAAATCGCATGCCGGATCGGCTTCGTTAGCCCCCTAAAAAAACAAGGAATCGCGCTCAGTTTTCATCATATTACTGTTCTTTACCTGATTGCCCGCGTGCTTGGTGAAGCGTTGTACGTATTTGTAGTACTCTCGGAGATTGGTGATCTTCTTCTTCCGGTACTTCTCGACGAACGCCCGGAGTTCGGCTGCTGACCCGAGTTCGCCTTGCTGACCTGTGCCGTAGGTTCTGGTCATCCGTTTCTTCGCCGCTTCCCAATCGCTGCCCTCGAACTCGCTCCTGCATATGAGTACCTTCCTTACCTTGTCTGTGCAGAACTGCACTACTCGTCGGCACTTCTCCTTGTCGGTCAGCCGCGACGCGTTCGCCGCATCTTCAAATGCATCTAGAAAATCTTGTAAGCATTTTCCGTCGAACTCGGGTGCGTACTTTGTTCTTGGCAGCACCATAGGCAGTCGCGCTGGTTGCATGAAAGTGAGGGACAAAGACGCATCCTGCGTCTGCTTCGTGTCGATTGTCATTTCAGCGGCTAGACCTTGATAGCGCGTTGATCGGCACAGATCTAGTCCGCCTCGATTGAAGTCGTTGGTGTTTGCGCACGGCGTGCTTGTCAACGCGTTCGTCGAAGCCGTCCTAGAACCTGGTAGTAAGCGCGTCCGAGACCAAACACACTTACCAGTATGCTAAGAACCCCCTGCGGTGGTCACCACTTGTCGGAGAGAAGGCGTGCGTGCGACGGCAAACCACACACAACGCGCGCTCGTCCTGATGCAGGGAGGTCGAGGGATGGACGGGGGCTCGGTGAAGGACGACGGATGGTGGTCTGTAGAAAGTAGTTAGGCCGCCAAATCTAACGGAACACTTACTGGGTATCGGAACGCGACTCGACGCGGACTACTCAACTTGCGACTCGACTTGCTTTGCACCCGCGACCGCAGTTGTCGCGTCTAAGTGCCGAGGTCGGGAGAGCGAGAGACGTGGGGATTCGATTCGATGGAGAGCAGGGCGATGCGGCCCAGTACATATACATGTGAGAGGTTCTAGAAGCTTGGAAGAGCAAGAGAGATTAAAAAGTAGAAGCTGAGGGGGAGAGACGTCGGCGAGCTTGTGATGGTTCGAAAGGAAAAAGACGCGCGAGTGCTTGACAGATCGGGAAGGAATGATACCTAATAAGGAAGGTACCGTACAGCAGCCACATGAACACCCTCCAGGGAGACGGACGTCCCTTTGAGTCCCCTTCCAGCCTTGACTGACGAACCCTTGTCTCGGTACGAGGTTGGAAGCTCGCACGCGGTGCTATTTACTAATCGCGACCTAGTCCCCCAGCAGGTGCACTCGGCGTCGCGGCGCTCGTCTCGTCCTACTAGCGGGTCCGCGTCGCAGCCTTCCGGTTCGTCGCAGGCGCGCCGGTAGAGTCGAGCGTACTGTAAGGAATTGGAACATAAAAGAAAAAGAGAAAGACGTGGGACGGGTTTCCCTTCCACATCGGCAGCCTGAAGAATGAACAAATTGTCTGGCAGGCGCTAATGGCTAACGGCTGCTATCGGATTCGAGCGCCGGGTCTCTAAATATTGCTAACACGTTTAACATGCGAACGAACTGACGGTTGCTAAAATCCCCACTTCAGATGCTGTTAGAGGCCGTCAGCAAACTTGCCGAAGTTCCGATGCGGCTGAACCACATACACTGACATCACAGACCAGCCATTTGGAAGCGACAGCGGATACGAGACCTGACTCTGTTGGGCACGCAGACCCGGGTCTTCATTTTCTGGAGGTCGAACGGGGGCATTTGCGGCCAGTCAGCGACCAAGGCTTGCATCTCCTCTCGCCCTTGGCTGCCATGATCAATATCAATTGGTCGGGAAAAGCATTTTGCTACAGCTAGTGCGCGTACCTATTGCGGTCTTGCCACTCCTCTCGAAGCCTCCCACCATGTTCCCAACCACTCGATGGTCCGGCCTCCTTTGGAGATTGCGGTTTCTTACCTTTGCTCATCTTACGCCTGCTGCTACTGCCTTCAGACGAGTTGGTGGGAACAGGACCGCACAACATGTCCACGAGTGCAGTAACCCGCTCATCGGCTAGCCGGGAAGGCGTGAAGGGTAGGGTGAACATTGGGCGAGGCCATATGAGTTCACCGGCCCAATCGTTGGGCAATTCAGCCCGGCACAAGGGACATGCTAGCTCGGAGCACCAGCTGCTGCATGCGTCGCAGAGATGTGTGAAATACCATTGGAGGAGACACAGTGCGCAGAACGAGTGACCACAGCTTGCAGGACTCAGGCTGTATGGGCACGCCCTACAACTTGTGTTGTTAACCGAGCAACCCGACTAATGGTTTACGGAAGGCGTACACAACATCATAACATCTGTGTATGCGTCAGTATATCGAAGCGGACTGAGATCACAAATACGTACAATGCACATTGCCACAGCGCCTCAAGCTCAGCTATGATCTCCTCGTTGCGACCAATCTTCACAGCGAGGGCCAAGTCCGTGACCGCCTCTTCCCTCTTTCGTAATTCCAACCGTTGTTCCTCCATGACCGCAGTCTGCTCCTTGCCTTCTGCTTCTCGCTTTTGGGATGCCTGCTCTCTTTCCTGAACAGCAGTCTCGCGTTCGTCGAGTTCACGTTGCATGCGCCTGACTGTCTCCTCAAACGCTTGCCGATCGCGCTCCAGATCGCCCGTTGCTTGCTGCAGAGCTCGCCCAGCATATTCGTCGCCAAGGCTCGCAGTGTTATCTGCTTCGTGGGTAGCAGCAGCAACTGTTCGCCGCTTCGATACCGACAAATCTGCGTCTGCCGCATCTGAACCTTCGGCGTAGTCTCATTAATAACATTTAGAGTAGTGATGGAGATGGAGCTGCTCACCTTGCCCCCGTGTTCGGGCTGACTGGCGTGAAGAACGCCCATCGCGTTCCTGCAGAGGACGTCGCGATGCATGCGATCTAGTTGTTTGCACCGTGGTATGACTTGACCGGCGTTGGTGCATAGATCGCGTCTGCATGGGACGCATAGATCGCGTCTGCATGCTGTAAAGAGATGAGATCCGGAGGACAAGAGAGAAAGAGGAAGATCAGAGGCTCAGACTGGAGGTGAGGGACGAGGCATGACAAATCGCACTGCATAAGGAAAGCTTCAGCTTCAACTCCGGACCTATTAGTCCTATCAACTAAAATCTAACAACGCTTGGGCGGATTACGGTCCGTAGACGGAAGAGAGACGGTCAGACTAGCGCCGGTAGTTCGTGTAGCATTGATCCTTCAACAAAGCGGGAAAGCGGAGAAAGCGAGCGGGGAGCAAACCAGCAGCGACGACGGCGCCGAATGGATGGGAATGAATGAACTTTGGAGGTCTCGACGGTACAAATCAGTCCGAGGAGAGTGGGAGCGCAGTAGCGAGCATCTATACACGTACATATGACCAGTCACGGTGGCCAGAGATTGGGTTGTGTGATACTTTTTCGGAAAGGTTTGTACAGAACAAGCCATAGGGTTGCATACATAGGGTATACATATAATCGTTCTTAGGGTAAGCCTGTGATTTGCAAGTTACGCTCCCACATAGTCTGCTCACCGCAACGAAGCCTGCGACTCGGAGTTAGCTCCCTCTCCAGGTATTCACACCAGCGTGACTGCAGAAGCTCCTCCGTAACTTGTGTAGCATCTTTGTCGATGATGTAAGGGAGCGCCGTGATGAAATGCTGTTCGCCGTAGCAGACTTCAAGTACCAACATCACCACTCCGTGACAATCTCGCAGCATCACGTCAGTCTGAACCCTTGCGAGCCCGAACCGCATCGTCAAGGCGTGAACAGTTGACTGCACACCATCAGCGTTTGAATATCGAACGTCCGCTGGCATGACGTACCGAAGCCGGAATTCTTTTGCACGAGAACCTCGCAGACTCACGCGTTGGGTAGAGGGGCCAGTGCGCTGTCCCGGTTCCTCACGGAGAAGGTGTACCAAAGGGGAGACTTCACTCCGAGCATAAGCCATGTCGGCGCGGAGGACTCGGGCACCATTCAGGCCTGTCTGGATGGGCAGATCGCTGTACGTACGTACTTCATTTGTGTTTGGGCAATGGCCCGACGCCGCATCAAAAGCGCACTCTAGTTAATGCTCGTGATTGAACAAAGCTACGACGTGTAACGCGGAACAATCCTCGCTGTGGTTGGATACATAGCAGGTCACCGGTCACCGCCCATCAGCACGACCGGCTGAACTTCGAACCTACTTTCGCCCATGACTCGACCCTGTGCACGACAACCTGCACACGCCGCTCGTCGCCATGGCTTGCTCGCTCGGCGAGCGCATCTGCTCTGCTATGGTCACGAAGTCAGCATTTACCAGTCCGGCTCGATCGGAAACTCAGCTCGCCGGTGGCTCCATGCAGCCCTCGGTTTTGAACCTCGCACGATAGCTCGTCGGTGCAATAACAGCGATCAGCTCGTCATCGCCTTTCTGGAGCGCATCCTGCGCGGCGTCCACGGGCGCGAGCGTGCCGCCGTTACTTGATATGGATGGGATCTACACGCGGACGTTCGGGCCCATGCTCGATGGCTCGGGCGCGTGGTATCTGCGCGTCGACCGGGTAAGATCTGTGAACGTTCCTCGTTGGCAGACGGGCCGGAAGGGTGCTTTTCGGGACGGGTAGGGGCCCGCCTCGTACGTCGTGGTGAGTTGACTCTGATGCGCCCTCCGCGCAGGCCGAGAGACGACGGAGCAAAGATGTGCTATCCGGCCCTGCGTCTCTCAGCTAGACGGTTCGCGCAGTGCGCCTCCTCCTCATGCCGCCCAGGGGAATGCTATCAGGACAGGGAGCATCGTACAGGATGCGCAGACAGCCTTCCATGTGGCACGCCCCTCGTCGCGTCTAGCCCTGGAGAATAGTCCTCGTCTCCTCGCCGTTCATGCAAGCGAGTACTGGTGGTACGTCTCGCCGCCAGGCCTCTTATCTCCTCGAGTAACATCCATCGGCGAATCGCCCTCAGCCCGCTCGTCGATGAGACCATCCCCCGCGCCACGGCGATGAACAAGGTAAGTTTAGTCGCGGTGTTTCCGGTGCAGACGACCCGTCATTTGTTGAACTGAAGGTTGCCGTGGGACGGCGCGGGGAAGATGCAAGGCAGGGGGCTGTGGTGGATGGCGAGCGCAGATTTAGAGGGCCGGAACGGTGCTGCGCGAACTTGACGGCGGGGTCGGTGCGTGCAGATCCGCAGGCGGCAGAGCGACATCGTCCAGGTCGCACCCCTCGTGCTCTCAATGGACCACATTCCGTGTCACAGCCGCCATGAGAAGCGGGGCAAACTACACCTGTTTCCAAAACAATAGGCCCCTCATTAAAAATGCGTACACGGGTGGAGACCTCACAGCTTGCTCATTTCGGCGGCCTCCGAAACGCGACGAGACTGTGTGGATGCGTTGGATGGGGACGAGCGATGCAATGACACTCGTAATCAACGTCTACATCTACAACCCGTCGTACCTCGAGCATGGCGATGAAGGAAAGACGTCCAAGGAAATAGATATGGTATGTGCTACACATCGCCCTCAGACTGTCGCGGCTGCCAACCCTGACAGGCGGAGTCTGAGGTCGTTGGGAGCAAGTGACGTATTCTTGCGAGGTAATACACGGTCCTTTGTCTTGTGTGCGTGTCAGCCCTTGTGTTTGCGAACGTCGCAGGCACATCACTCGCGACTCTCACCCGCAACGCCTAGACCCGCAGTTACGTACGCTATCTTCACTCCCTTGATCATTGCCTAGCGTCCGAACGCTGCTACACAGGATCTCAGGTGCGTGCTGTTTACTGCAGTGGATACGGGCTAGCATATGACTAGCTGCAGAATACCCCTAGTACTGGTGCAGCACTTGCCGGCGACTCCGTCATTGGTTGCCCTGAAACGCCTGTACGCATATGAATAACGGACGTCAATAACAAGTTGACGTGCTAACGCTTCGTGAGCTCAAATCCGCATAGACATGTCTCGTCATTCAGCGAAAGGAAATAGGTCATGGGTATACGTATGGAGAGGCCTAACGTATCTGGATTATTTCGTGAGTGCTGTCTGCACTGACCATCTCCGCCAACGTCCGGCGGGTCGATTGTCTGAATCATGATCACGAACTTTACGATCAGAGCCCAGATCGACACCCGAGATCGACGGACAATGGAAGGCAGTACATAAAAGGCTCGTCGCGGGATCGCACGCTCGTCCTTTCGCTGTGTCCTGATTCATTACCTCGATCCTACTCTCTAGGCCCATATGGACTTGTCAGGCGACAGGGTGATCCTCACTCAAGATGTCCTTGACCCTCTCAACTTACCTGGAAACAATGGCTTCTATCTTGAGGTCATTGCTTATGTTGTGAGTGGCACCGTCCAATGCACTTTGAGCAGACCGACCTCATGAACAGTGCAGTGTCGCACTAAAGTAGGCGACAAGGTCATCGACACCTTGACGCGAACGGACCCAACAAATGAGTTCAGCGTGCACCCGTTTCAAGGCTCCAGCTCGGATTTCAGTGGCGACACGAGCGATGAAGTGCCGGAAACCAGAAACGATGAAAGTGGCAGCGGCGCAGTCGGTGTCGACGAGAGCACTCAAGAAGGTGGAGGAAATCAGTGTCCCAACACTGACATCAACGACACCACGGCCGCGACGGACTCGGACGGTGACGAAGGGCGCAACAGCGATGACCCAATGTGGCAGCTGCTAGATCCGGCTGTTGTTTGTACGTATTTTACTTGCCTCCCTGTGGTTGATTGATTGACGAGCTACTCAGGCTACTTACTCGACCACCCCGAGGAGTTCGAAGGAGCCGACGAAGTTTATGTTGTGATAGTTCCATACATCGTAAGGCCCCAAGATCTGTATTCGAGCTATGCTCATTTCCCTTCAGGTTCTAGGCTACATAAGCATTCGCTTCTTGGTCCGAAAGGATGTCCAGGGTGCTACAAGGTCATTCCTGACAACCCCTCCGCTCGCCTTCCTCACACCCACGGGCGGGATAGGTAAGTCGTGATCATAACTTAAGGGTCTGTGAATGTGTACAATTGACTCCCGCAATCTCTTTTGCAGCTGCTCGCTCTGTTTCGCGCCCAATGCCGGCCGCCTAGGTTTCAGAACGTCATGGGGCGTGCATTTCTCTAACACTGTCTGTCTCCACTTCGCTCTTGGTGTCTATATGTGTCCTCATCCCAATAGTATCGCGCCTGAGTCCACCTGTCTACCCTCTACATGCTAATGCAATGGTTGTTCGATGGTCTGACCCCGTGAGATGGCGCTGTACATAAGGGCTTCACTGGTGGGTTGTTGAAGAGATCGGGTAAGCGCGCCGCTGCGGGGCCTGATACCGGCGAGAGCGCGTCAGTCGGGTCGCTCGCTGTCAATCATCGCCACTCTGCCTTGTCGTCCCCAGTGACGATCACTGTCTCCCTACGCCCGTGCAAGCCCGTACTAGCACCGATGATCTACAAGTACCAAGCCTGGACATGAACCTAGTTGCCTGAGTCCACTCTCCCACCCGGTGCCGCCGCGGCCGCGTAGGACAGACCCGCGGGTGTCCCAAGGTGTGCCCGCAACCGTACCCGCCCCGGGTACAGACCGGCCGCAGTGGATACGGGTTTTGCGCGGGTTGTACGGGTGTGCGTGTCGGGATGGCGAGCTGCGGGCGAGTCACGCGGGTGAATGAGTGAGTGAGCGATAGAAGTGCACACGGAATTCTCCTGTCAAGAATCAGTCGCGGTGCAGATAGTCCTGGACGAAGTCCTTCCTGTATTATAAATGGGAGTGCTGATCACGTTCCCCTTCGTGATTGCAGGAGTCGGAGTAGAGACCCTGCGGGCACCTCCGAAATGTGGCAGCGCAAGTATAGACCGTTGCAGACCGGGCGGCACGCCCGTCTTCGCCATCTTCCCCCCCCCTTGGCCACATCGGATTGGGCGACGACGGCGCAGTATGTAGGCCATCCCCGTGCTCTGTGCTGATCCGGAGCTTGTGAGGATCGAGCAGCGACGGCGTCGCAGACCACTCCCCATACCCATTCTCCGAGACAGTGCACAGTTTGTCCGTCGACACGGATGACGTCGTCGACTGCGAGTCCGAGAGCGCAACCATCTCAGAGTGATGCGGAGAGACTGCAACTGGGGAGCGCGGTAGGGGAGGTAGCTGGACGTTTCCAAACGTGACCGCCCGAGCGTCGAACTGTCATGTTTGCCCCCATGCTATGCGCCATCCTCATCCCCGCGCTTTGGCATACCGGTCGTTGACAGATTACGCCGACATGGACTCGCGTGAGGGCGCCGCGGACGACGCGTTGGACATGCGCGTGAGCGGGTGCCAACGGGGATACGTCAGCGGACCTCCATTCGATGTCGTTCCGTACTGTACATGGTCACTGCTCGTCGCCGGCCGACATGACGGCGCCTTCTTGTCGGGACCAGGGGTTATCGGGGACCATTTGCTCGTCGGTGGTGAGCTACGGGTCGCAGACTGCGATCGACGCTGCTATCGGTTGGCGGAGCTGCTCTGAGGTCTTGGTCGCTGCGGTATGAATCCGAGCGGTAATACGGTATCCTGTTAGATGTGTTCGGGTTTTGAGGAGCGGGATCCTTGGGGGAAGGTCGACGAGCGGACAGGCGGCATCCCAGCGCGGTCTTCTGAAGATGTCGTGAGTAGAGTACATCCGGTGTATAGGACGGTCGCTCCTGTAGGATAGCCAGAGGGATCACGAATGCATCCGGCCGCTCCCAGACAGTCTCTCCATGCTTTGTGTGATAGTAGTATTGCAGTCTGCTGGCCTCGTCGATCATTTCCCACCACCCTGCCTCAGGGTTGGCAGGTAACCTGCCTTAAGATCGACGGCAGCGTCGAATACATCGCAGCGACGACTTACAAAGAGTTTCCGATCGGAGGATCCGAACCAACCTCTTCAGTCCCAGGGCACGCGTAGAAGGACACCTGGGTCTGCATCCAACGTCGGCCTGGCATGCATTGACAACTCTGACTTAGGACGCACCTGCGGATTGTATACCGTTGCCCAAAAGTTTGCTCCCCATTCCTCTCCTGCCGCTGCGCTTCCCCCGACACTGCGGCCCGCCAGATAGCGACTTACTCCGGTGGTGGGTCGCCCGTACAGATGGACGTCGAGTGCAGATGGTATGCCATAGTCGACCGAGGCGCGTCCTCCGATGTTTTCGGCGGGTGCTGACGCTGCCTGAGCATGTTCGGTGATGTTCACGTTTTGACTTCTGGTAGGTCTGTCCCCGGCCGTGCTTGCAGACATCCAGAGCTGCCGCGACTGTGCGACTCGGGACACACGCGGGTTATAGTTTGGAAACCTTCCGTGTCCGAGCCAGTCAACGCGTTGACCAGCAAGGAGATGCGAGTGATATTTAGCGCAGAGGCAATGAGCGCAGAAGGAGCGGCAGGTGGAATTAACTTTATTCAAAGGATGTGAGACGTCTGAGTAGTCTTCAACTCCGACCCAGCAGACATTGGCAGGCGCTCCGAGTCCAGCGCTTGCGGCGGCCGCAGGAGGAGGGACCTGGAGGGACATAGAAATGAGACCCGGACCCGTACCCGGTGTTCCCGACCCGTGCAGGCACTACCGGCGGCGTCTGCCCAAACATATTGCCTCTGGTTCAAGAGGCGGCAGGAATTAAATTTCCGTACACAAGGCCGGGTTTTTCCGAAACTTCAATATCTGGACCCCCCCACCCTACCACCCCCTGTATATTATTATTTTTCGGCGGTCCTGTCTCCAGACCACCCCCCACCCTCGTTCAATCAGTGAAAAAAGTGCCTTTATATTGCTGAAAAATCTACAAGCCACGTAGAGTATGTGAACACTGCTCTATGACATCCGCACCTTCTTCGACGCCGTGTGAGTGGCTTAGTGAGAGTGCAGGCGGAGACGTGGACACACAGATATGCAGGTACACATACGACCGAGTTGGCAGACAATGAAGCAGAGTGGTGATCAGGCAGGCGGGTAGTCGGCAGGCGGGTGGCATTGTAGGTGCCAGACGGGCGAGCATGCAGGCGAACGAGCCGGGAGATTCATTTGCAGCTAGATGGGCGAGTGTGCGGGCAGAAAAGCGGGCGTGCGCGCGAGTAAGCGAGTGCACAAACGCACGGTCAACTATTCGTACGGGTGTGTGCCTCCAAGCTGTTCAGCACAAGGATACGTAAGCAAGGGTATGGGCGAGCGGGCGAACGTGCAGGAGAGCATGTGGATTGGCGGGCAGGCATTTGAGCGGGCGAGTGGACGCGCACGAGGGCAGACAGACGAAATTTCGGGTTGACGGTCACTAGCTACCAGTTGTGCCAGATGGCAGACACATACCGAGGCAAACGAGAATCCGGAAGAGGGCATGCTGAGTAGGTGCAGACGAAAAAGTATGGGTGAGAAGGACCAGAGGCTCGGGGGATAGATAGAGGACAAACCGAATAGCGAGCTCAAATGCGCCGTTCCGGTTACGCTGCTACACACCAAACTCGCTTGATGAACTATCCAGACTGTAAAGTGCACTAGGTCGCAGACGGACGGCGAGGGACATACCTTTGAATCGCTACCTGCCGCGCACACAACACTTACTGAAAATACGTGTGTCGCCTTCTTGAGCATGCCGCGCCCGATAAACGAGCCCGAAAACCTCACACATCCTTGTTTGCGTGCTCGTGTTTGGAGTTGTCGCACAACGGTACGTCGAGAACACTGTTACAGTGTTAGCACGCGCAAGGGCCCGGGGTGAACGTTCGAGTCTTTAGCTGAAAACGTCTTCCCGTGAAAGGAAACAGTAGATAGCGGTAAAAGTCGCTATCGTCCAGTCGAGGAGGAGCAGTGGAAAAGACGGCGACCTAGTAGTAGTACGCGACGAGAGCGCACTGTTGCTTCCGCCGCAGACGCACCCGCCACAAGCTCAGCCACACACTTGAGGTTACAGTTCCGCCTGCGATCCACTACGCACATTTAGACTGCGATTGAAAATACCGACCTCGAAAAGTAGACTAGCCAATGGGCCACGTGCAAAAAGGGTTGTCTGCGTGTGACAGGAAGCTAATTTACAACTAATCCGACACTATCGACGGTCTACTTCGACCGAGTTGGGGAGGGTATGACGGTTTTTTCGAACTTCTGGTATAAAATTTCGGAATCGCCCATCCAAGGGTCGACCACCCTCCCCACCCCGGGGCCTTGTGTACCCGATCTGCCGATCCGCCGCCTCTTGCTCTGGTTGCCCGCTAATAATGCCCGTGAGATGTCCAAATGTAGTGCCGCCGACGCCCATGCTGACGGCGACCGTATCTGCACAGATATCGAACGCTCATGCACAATCCTGCAGGATGCGCCCCACCGGACGACGCTGCACAGCCTGTGCTTGTCAAACCGGGTGCCAGTGAGTCCTTGACCGTCAGTTCGAATTCCCTGTATCCCTGTCTCCTCGTCGTCGTCGTCGCCGCCCCCGCGAGCCGACTCTTGTTCACTGTCTGCTGATTTCCGCCTCGGAGACTGTCGAACACTGGGAACGATGCCCAATGGGCAAACACTGAGCGAACAGCCTGGTGAGTGCAGTGTCATAAAGCTCGCTATTGGCCCTACGCGTACGCGATCTGCGCGTATGCTACGTCAGTTGATCGCTCCGGGCACTCCAACCGTGTACAGGAGAGACCTCGGCCACCGGATACTCGTAAAAATGAAACGCATGCCTGATAGCACCGGATTGACATCCCAAATTCAACAGAACAGTGAGTCGTGGTTTTGATTTGATCGGAGGAGAGCTTAGCTGGTCTCCGGCAGACAGACTATCAGAGACACGACCGTAGACTCTGGCCGTTGCACGACCGACCGTCGTGACTGTCATATCTGTGGCGGTATCGGCTCACTTACCGCGTGCCGGTCACGAGTCGCGTACCTGCTCTACTAAGTATAAAAACCCACACCGCGGCGGAGACAACAACAAACCACGGAAACATTCCAGCGGAACTTACACTCTACGCGTTTCACAGCTTCTACCAAGTCATGACTACCGGCGCCGTCGAAGAGCCATACACCGCTGAGGAGCCGTTGTCCGCTGAGGAGCCGTTGTCCGCTGAGGAGCCGTCGACCGCTGAAGCTGAAGAGTCGTCGATCGTCGAAGAGCCGTCGACCGCGGAAGAGCCGTCGATCGCTGAAGAGCCGAACAACACACCTTCGAGGCCCATCTCGCCATTGTGCTCGGCGACGCCTGCGGTCGGACTACGAGATCTCGAAGAAACGGTCGCCCTCCGTCGTGCGCCACTGCAGTCGGTGGCACCTGTGGTCGGACTACACGAAGACACCGTCACTCTGGATCGTGAGCAGATACGGCAGGCTCTGTTCTCTGGTGCCTCAGTCATTGTTTCCTACATGGTAGATGTTCTACGCATCGCTTTTCGGTGGCTCAAGAGGCCGTTGGGCGTCCTCACCTTTGTCGTGCTCCTGGTGATGATAAGTTGCCACGTCGCTGGGAAGCTCAGCGACATGCTTTCCCCCGTCTGTCTGCTTCCGGGCATCTCATCAAGCATGGTCTGTGCTCGTTATGCACCGAACATACTCGGCGTGGGGAAGACATCAAGGTTAGCGGGGGTCGGCAAGGTCGTCGAACTGCACAGCCACTTCGAGGCAATCATGGATGCCAATCGATACACGAATGGAATCAGCCTAAAACTCAAGCAGTCGGAGGTTGCGACGCGCGACTTGGTTACGCTCGTACGCGCCAGTGACCTGAGGAGCCGCGATATCCTCGCAGAAGCCCTGATGGAGTTGGTGAAGGACGCAAAGAAGGCAGGCGAAGGGCTGTACAGGCTCAGCGCGAAGATTGACGGCGCGGTAGATCGGTGAGCCGTAGATCCATCCGTCGTACAATGCCTTGCTAATTGTACACTTCAGCATCGTGGCCGTGAACGACCACGCCATGCTCACAATTGAAGCCGCGACAGTCAAGGAGGGCTTGCTGCCGTGGCTCGCGACGACTCTCATGCCCCATCTTGCCACCGGCGCGAGCACTGTCGTCCGCTCGTATGCCAATGTAATGGAGACGCTGGTACACGAGACCCAGCGCATGCTCTCCATGGCAACTACCAGCGCCGCAGACCTTGAGCAACTCCAGGGACACCTCCTGACAATACATGAAGTCTGCTTGCGAGAGGGAATCTTCGGTGGAAACCGTTATGCGCGCCAGACGAACGAGGCGCATCTTGCGCTCCTCAAGGAAGCCCTCGCCCATGTAATCGCAACGCGAGATGCGTTACAAATGCTGGTCGCAGATGTGGAGGAGCTGCGGGACCGCTCGGCCGCACCTGGCATTGTAGGTGAACGCGTGCCGGTGGAGGCGTTGGTTCGGAGCGTCAGTTATGGCATTGAACGGCTGAAGGAGGGGCGCCGGGCGACAAACAGTGCGTATTGACGAGCAAACTATTGGCTGCTGCGGGCGATCGTTTGGCAATCAAGAGTGATTGAGTACTGTGAGTAGTCTATGATACGTCCCGCATCTGCATATGTCTAAATCAGTACTCGCGTGCTATGTTTCGTACTGTTTATACCATGACGGTTCACTGACGGACACACGTCCGAGTCTGCGTCATGGTGTAATTAACGTCGTCTGCCATCGCACCTAGAAGCATGTCCGTGCTTGCTTACGATTGGCAGTCAAGTTCTGCGCTCAGGCCTCGGGGTCGGAAGGTCGACGGCATCCGTACATCTTGGCTCGTTGCGTCGGATCTTCGTGTAGAAGAATGAACGGGCGAGCAACTGCGGACAAACGTGCGCTCGCACAAGCAGGATATGTATTTCTTTGCGAAGGAGGTACAGCTGTCTAGTAAGTGTTTGGTCAGTTGTTGGAGATGGATATCGCTAACGGCTTGGCGTTCACTCGCCTGGTCTAGGCCTGTTCAGTCTGAGTTGTCGAGCGACACTCGGCTCGCGGTCGCAGACCCGGGGGGGGGGTTCCCTGAGGCTGGAATACCCGCCATCGGCGACAACGACCGGGCTATCGAACTCCCACTCGACGCGTCCTCACTGGATCGCCAGACAGACCTAGTGATGTCTGGTTGAGCGGGGTGGAAAGCTCGACAACCCGAGACTCTTCTGTGTCGAGTGAATCATACCTGGTGCGAGCCCTCCGTCAGCTAAGCCTGTTTGTACATTGCTCCTGCCAGCACCCCGTGAGCGCAGAACTTACCTGGCTAGCCGCACAGTCTTCAAACATCGGGTGGAACAGTACTGGCGCCGCCGTTGGTTCCGCGCCCAGGATCGTCGCGCAGCGGCCGCGGACTCAGCCTGTGGCGCCCTCTCCCTTGCATCGCCGCGTTGCACTATATCCGATCGCGCCAGGTAGTGCGAGCCACTATACGACACAGTTGCACGAGCAATTGGTGCGGTTCGTGAACTTTGAAGCTGGTCGAGCGCACCGGACTTGCCGTCACTGGAGCCTTGACAGCGACGTCGACATATCAGGATACCGGTGAATCTGAGCAGTGTTGCGACTCCTAAGCGAGTTACTATACTATACCAACAGTAGCAGTGGTGTGGACTCCGTACCGAAATTCGAGAATATGATGCAGGAGCGCTAGCCTGGGGACCACACGTGATGGACTCAGACACGTTCAGGCGACGACCGCATTCACGCTCGTCGCTCATGTCGCCCGACACTCGAGTCTCCTTTTCCTCCTCCTGAGCGCTGTCGCACTTTCCGACCCGGCTTCTGTCATGGCCCCGCACGACCGAGAAGGCACTCGGTACTGAAGAGGTCGTGGGTGGCCAGCCTGTGCTCGCCCCCTTTCACGTTCTCTGCTGCGACTCCGCGCGGTATGTGTTCCCGCGCATGGCGACAGATACAGTATCGTCTCATCGGACCCCTCAGCTACCAGGCCCACTCCCATACAGGTCGCTCCGCGGCAGATGGCTCATCGAGGGCTCGTCTTATGTTCTCTTCTTCGACACCGGGAGCGAACACTCTCGCCTGAACGACTGGAAGGGCGGTAGGAGAGGTGCGTTCCCTGTCTGCTAGTCACCGTGCTCGTCTTAGCTCAACCTACGCTGCAGTACCTGATGCCTCAGCCCGACGTCGCCGCCATCCGTCAGTCGACACCGTCGTCGTCCGTCAGTCGACACCGTCGTCGTCCGTCTGCTCGACACCGCAGCTGTCCGTCTGCTCGGCACCGCAGCCGTCGCGCACTTCAACGAATGGCAAGCCGGTATCGCCAGCCCGCTCCGCCGCGGATGTGACATTAACGTCGCTACCCTCATCACGACTCCCTCGACGCCGCTCGGCTGCTATCTCTGTGCCGTCAGCGTCGACTTCTGCAACAACCTACAGTCCTTTGACGTCGACCACGAGGTCAGCGAGTGCGGTATCTACCACAGGCGCATCATCAAACGCATCGCCGCACACTACACCGACGTCCCACGACTGGCATGTCGCCGCGTACGAAGTATGGAGCCGCCGCCTCGCGTTCGAGAGGCTCCGATCCGCTACGAACATTCAAGCGTGCCTAAGGCAATGGAGCCGGTGGTTCCGCTCTGCGCACGCCAGGAGGTCGGTACTCGGCGTGTCCAGATTGGCCAGCCAGCCGATGGTACCCGCGAACGGGGAGTGGCGGCGGTTGCGAGTGGGTCCTCATTTGCGCACCACTCAGTACCTCGCGGGGCAGAGGCAGGGACGTCAATGAGTTCCAAGACGAAACACGCTTAAGGTATCCGACAGCAAGAGTTTCGTTACCTCTCATGAAGTGACGATCACTCGCCCGTAATGTTCGGCCTGCTGCGGGCTTTCGCGTGGGCATTTCCTCACCGCCGCTCCTGCGTCTCGTGTCTGAACCAGCATCACAGCGTCTGCGTCGCCGATCTCCATGTGTTTCCCGGACGAGCTGACTACATGTATGGGAAGCGTCACAAACCTACGTTTACAGTCGTCCGACTCGCGAAGGCGTGCTCCGCGAAGAGCGCCGCAGCCGTGTCAGAGCACCCATCCGTCGAGGCCAAGATGTCCGCTATCGCCCGCCGTCGCAACTATATCGATGCGCGCGAAGGATCCGTCATCGTGTCGAAGTGGGGATTTGATCGTCTGGTAAGCCGCCATCGACCTCACAGGTCACTCACTGATGAGATGGACCGTAGTTACTTTGGTGGGGAAGAGCTGGAACCGCTCAGGACTCCCTGGATAATGTGTCTTCTACCGCGTCAGAGTAAGACTGGGCGTTCTGCGGTGAGTCTCACGTCGTAAGTAACGACTCGCCGCTGACTATGTGTCCGCGCTCATCAGGCCTCCGCCTCCGAATCTCCGGCCTCCAGCATCACCTCCGACTGAGAAACCCGGTTGACAGAGCTCGTCAAGACGTACATGCTCGTCGGTAGCATTGAGGTGACGGTCGCGCCGGACTTGTCGCCTGGTGCTCGATACTGAAGCTCGGTCTGTGCGGGCTGAACCAGACCGTATCCTGTGCTGGCGCTGATGCGCCTGAAGATCTTCCTGACGTGTACGCTTGCGTGACGGAGGAGACGATGCGCATTGTGGAGTGCGCCGTTACTGTCGCCAGTCAACGAAGGAGTCCGAAGGCCGCGGAGGTGCACGAGCGAGTCAGTTTTCTGGCTGGCGTCGTGGAGTATGACCGATCAATTGTGCTACGGATTAGCAGGACGCCGCAACGCCTCTTTCTGCAGGCGCCGCGCCGCGCACAAGTTGCCCGTCCCCACTGCTCATCTCCGGGTTGGCCCTTCCGGCTCAATTCAGGAAGCGACTCTCCTCTTGTCGCCCCTTCCGACACCACCGTACTCACATTCAGCCAGCCCCAGCACCGCTGCCAAGAGGACGTCGACGCAGAGAGCGAGGGACGTGCCCGCGAGCCGTCTGGAGCTGGTGTGGTCTGATTCCGATGACAGAGGCTGCTTTGATGCCAACGTTCGTCTGGCGGAGTGGTGTTTGGTGCTCGGCGGTCTTATCCCTGCCCACGGGTGCGCCGCACATACTTCTCGCTGCCATGCCCTGGGTGTGCACTCGCACGGCGAGGCTGACACGAGATTCACCAGTCCACGCTCTGAACGCCTGCTTCGCCGGGAAGGGGTCTCAGTATGAGAATCTGCGCAGCCGGTCTTTGTCAATTCGTTCAACTTGAAGTAGGATGTGCTTCCGGCTGCCATCCCCGCAAGTATCCTCGCGCGGTACTCCCCACGGTACATCTTTTAGGGTAACTGGCGTCTTTGGCAGCTGTCCACCACGGACAGAGCAGTCGAACCGGCTGCCAATGCTATGTACCGGCAGCTCGTATGGGAGTATGTGTACACCAATCCCGGACGCACCTTCGGGACGATTATCTACGACAGCGGGGAGCTCGCTGCAGGTCTCGCGCTCGCCGCTGACACCTAACGCCTCCGGTGCGCCTTCTGTTCCTCTCAGCTTATGGACACCTCGCCCACAAGCGACACGACGGGGCTTCGCCTCTCTGGCTCTCCCCGTTTGCTGGCGACGTCTTAGCGGACGCTGAAAGCTGAGGTCTGGGGTGCTTCCGAACTCACTCAAGAGGCTCGGAACATCCGCACAATATATGCCGCCCGCAACAGAGCTGTTGATTTCGCTGTTGATCTTTTCGGCCTCACCGTCGTCGCTCTGCGGACTACCTAGCTCGAGCGAAGGAGGCCCGGTCGCACTCGCACCGTCGGCACTCGTGTTGCGCACGACAATGCAGAGTGTAATAGGGCCAGACATTCTCCGGCTCGTTCGGCCGGGACTAAACTCAGCGAGTGCGTCCCGGACATTGTCCTTCCAGGCGTTCTATTGTACAGAGACAATGGAGCTCTTGGAGAATCAGAGCATGCCTGCGCGTGCCATATATAAAGCGCGGCCTGATATGTTCCTTCAAACATCGCGACCATGGCCTTTCTCCGCTTCCTCGCCACTCTCATGGAGCGTGCAGCTGTCGTATTCTGGAGGCTTTTACCCTTGCTGAAGTCCGTTCGTTCTACTATCGTGTGGCGATTGTCGTGCTGATCATCGTGGAACAGTCGAACGGCCATTCCCCTCGTTAGGCGCATGGAGCACGCTCTCCCGAGGCTTCCGCCGATTTTGAAGTTCGTCCATTATCCTGTCGTGCGCCCGTCGTCGCGTTGACCACCCCGGCCCAGCGGGACGACGGTCTGGTTTGCTCAGGTCGTACCAAATATTCAGGCCCGTTCCTTGCACCTAGGTGAACAACTCAACTTCAACGAGGAGTGGCCAGGCGCGTTGATGTTCGTCCATCTGCCAAGTAATCGGTGTATGTGCACAGTACCACTCCGTTCCCTCAAATCTGATTCATAACATTGTACTGCTTACCAGTTGCACTTATTTGCCGTGGCACGGGAATACCAGGGACGAGGACCGCGGTAATCTTGAGCTCCCTTCAGGTCCGGGCTTATGAGGTGAGCTGCCAGCGGGCTGGAGTACGACCAGTGATTGACCAGCAACCGTAACAGACCTATTTAGTGATCCAGTGGTCTCACGAAGAGACTCAGATGGTGTATCAAGTCAGAATGGAGACGCCGGCCGACTTTTGGGCTCTTCTGCTGTGCTTTGGGCTACGCAGCACTGACGAAGGGTGGTCGCAGAACGCCTCAGTCGATCAGGAGTTAGCCCCACTCATTGCCGCATTCACGGATTGCTTGGAATACGGGGCCTTTGGCGGGAAGCTTGCACTCGCCAACCTCCCTCGGTTGCTCCAGAGTAGGCGGGCTCTTTACATCGTGGCGTTCGTCATCGTCACCTTCTGCGCGATTTATTTACAAGTCATGTAGTAAGTGCGACATCATCGTTGCACGAGAACCTTCACTATGTATGTCTTTATTGATCCAATGTGTCCATAAGTGTGTACGAGTCAAGCAATTCATCATATGACATTGGTCTGTCATTTGTCCCTGTCTCGCCCCACCTTGCTGGTTTCGTCCCGATACGAGGTATCACTAAAAGCTGCAAACACGTCTTCCCGTCAATATTTCAATCGTGACAGCGTCTCGTGATCACGGGTGGATTTGGGCGCGAGCCTTAGATTCATCGATGCATCTCCGACGGCTCCAAATACAACTTCCCGAGCCTCGTCGACATACTGATGCTATATCAGAGCTCACGGGCTTTTGTTTGTCCTGAACTTGGACGCGGCGTAGCGTCGAGACAACTCTCGCTCCCAGTTGGCTGAGACACCCACTGACATCCCAGTTTCGTCATGGCATGCGAGCATCCGCTGTACGTCGTGCTCCTCCTCCCGACTAGGACAAGTGAGGTCGCAGCTGAGCAGTACCTATCGATCGCCACATTCTGTCAAGGTGAGCGCTGTCGCCGAGACTAATAATGCCAAGTCTTCGCTAAGTTGCAGTCGATTCATACCGTCTGCAGCAATACTGTCAGTACTTCGGAGCCAATTCGGAGCCGTGTCCTTCGCTCTTCCAGCTAATTCCAAAACGATAGGCCCCACATCAAAAAACGGCACTCAGGCGGAGTGCCGGCCTCCCCTTTCCCAACAAGGTTGTATCATAACCGGCACGTCGAGGGCGAGACTATGGCGGGTGGCTGAGCGCTGAGGTCGAACGGCAGAAGTCACGGTGCGGATCACCTCGCAGGTAAGATCCTCCTCCTCCACCCGTGTACGCATTTTTGATGAGGGGCCTACGTCGCCCGACGGTGCTCGAGCAAAGCCACGGCGTAGGGTCTACAGATGATATGAGTACGAGATATTGTATGTGGGGTTGGCTACAGTACGGGATACGGATACGATTCACTTGGTTCGCCATCGTTAGGTCACCGCCGCTTGTTTGTCTGAGGGCTACAGATGCATGGCGGTGATAGTATCCATTCTTGCCAACTACGCACTCTCCAGCGGCCTCGATATGCAGCTCTTGGCAATGGTCAGCTTAAGCTTCCACATACTGTAACGAAGCTAACAAGTGAAATATCGGGCAGGCGTGACCAATTAGGCCTCCTCCGCTGGCGCTTACTAACAAAGCGCCAACCCACGCGATACCGCACTGCGTATGCAGTGTACGAGTGTGAAGAGCAGCACAGGAGCAGCAGGTAAGTACCGCATACTGACTCACAGGCTTTATGGGCGAACCTCCTCACTCTCTTGTACCCTAGTTCGCCATGACTGTACGTGGATCATGGTGGCGCCACTTCGGTGCCCGTTGGGCGGCGTTGAGAGAGGATACTCAAGCAGGGCTGCACTCGGAGCGACATACACAGGAGCTCAGACAGTCCGCTCAGCGGGGAGACGAAAACCCGGCCGATGACTTAGAACAAGGCCAACAGTCGCGCAAACGAGCAGGGCCGCCACTCGTGTCGCCACTTGAAAAGCGAAGACGGCACTTTCCTCCTGAACCAGTCACCGACTTCAGCGCACTATTGCCGAGTTCAAAATCACGTAAACGACATGGATCACCACTGCAGGCGTCCAATACGAAAAGGCATCGCGCAACTCCAAAGTCGGACTCTCACCAAAAGCGACCTAGGAAAGCGGCAACAAGCAAGAGCCACACCGAACCCCGACAAGGTTAGTGAAACTTGTAATAGCACAGACCTGACCATATTGATTTGTTTCGCTAGATGACACAAGTATAGTACGCGCATTGCCAATAGTGACGTATCGAGAGGAGCCCGCTCTCACATCGCGAGTTGCAGCTTGGTGTCACGATAGTCACTATTTCACTTCACCACCGGAAGCGATCGGGTCTAGCAGCAGAGGCAGCGGGCAAGGCGAAGATTCCGACGCTGCCGCATCAGAATGGTACCATGATGCAGCTCTTGTCCCGATAGGGTCTATCTACGTTTCGACGGGGAGGCAGGAACTGCTTGAGGAGAGGATCCACGCATGGCTGCCGCCTGATCGTCAAGTGGTTTGGGCTGAACATGACAAGACAGGCGTCCAAGTCTCTCTAACTCATGGTGTTGGCAATGCGGTTCGAGTTCGATCATCTCCTGTGCCCGACCTGCCCAGAGAAGAGCCCACCTTACAGGACTCCCGCCCCTTACCGGATGATCTTGATGGTCATGAGATGACACAAGTAGTCACTCCTGGGGAGATGATGGTCTTTGGCGCAAGCGTTAACACCCGCGGAGATGGTGGTGGCTCGAGCGGAAACGATGGCTTGGAGGTTGTTCATGACTTGGGCGGGCTGCTCGGGGATCGTTCCGACGGTGTGAATGGTCCGGCCGATGACGATGGTTGGACGAATGACGAAGGTATGAGCATTGCTCGCGGCGCTGACGCGAAGGATGGCCACGGTGACACCAGCTCTCACCGTGATGATGGCTTGGGCGGCGACGGAGGCCTGGAAGACGCGAGCGTCACCAACGCGCCTGATAATGAGGCTAGCTTGCCTGGTGACGATGGTTCAGGCAGTGAGCAGGTTTTGAACGGGGAGGCTAGCCAGAACGACGCGAGCATCATCCCTGAGGATGGTGTCCATGACGACATTGGCCTGGACGGTGCCGCACGCCGGGACGCTGTCTACGAAGCTCCCATGAGCAGCAAGGCTAGCCTGGACGATGTCCATGGCAGCGACCGTTGGGCTGACTCTCCTGGGGACGGGAGCCTTTATGGGAGTGAGTTGAGTGGTGGCGCTGGCTCGGAAGATGCGAGCGTCACCGGTACGCACAGTTCGATTGGCGGCGCGGACTCCAACGGTGACGAGGGCAACACTAGCTTGGGCGGTGAGGCTGGTATGGATGATGCGCGCGTAGACGGGGCTAGGTTTACTGGCGACGACGGCACGAGCACCGAACAAGACTTCGGTGGAGAGGCTGGACTGCACGATGCGGGCATATTCGTCGGCGTGACGGACGACATTGGCAGCGCAGGCTTGGTCGACGGCGACCGCTGGGACATTGCATACGAACCTTCCTCAGGTAGCGAGATTGGCCCGCCCGACGCCCACAGCGCTCATGCGAACAGTAGTGACCGAGAGGCCAGCTGGCCTGGGGACGAAGGCTTCCTTGAGACTGGGCTGCGCGCCGACGCTGACTCGGAAGATGCGGATATGGTCGACTGCGCGGCCGCTACTGGTGACGAAGGTGGTACTCGCTTGGGCGGTGAGGCTGATATGGGTGATGCGCACGTAGACGGGGCTAGGTTTGCTGGCGACGACGGCACACACACCGAACAAGACTTCGGTGGAGAGGCTGGACTGCACGATGCGGGCATAGTATTCGTCGGCGCGACGGACGACATTGGCAGCGCAGGCTTGGTCGACGGCGACCGCTGGGACATTGCATACGAACCTTCCTCAGGTAGCGAGATTGGCCCGCCCGACGCCTACAGCGCTGGTGCGAATGATGGTGACCGTGAGGCTAGCTTTCCTGGGGGCTTCTACAGATCTGACCTAGGAGGTGGTGCTGGCCCGGAAGATATGCACGTCACCGACGCGAACGATGGATCAAATGGCCAACAAGTACCAGTGGGCGGTAATCTGGGCCGACGTGGTGGCAATATGCATCTAGGATCCGGCGGTATCGTAACGATGTCTATCAAAGCCCCCGGCGAAGACCCCAGCAGTAGCTCGTCTCAGTTGGGTGAGTCCGTAGTCTGCTTCCCAGGCTTGCGCTCTGCTCATTTTCTGCGTGGTCGTATAGAACCCGATGGCGGAGTGTCAGTCCCTATCGGCGGAGACGGTAATGCCCCACTGCTCATGAGCAGGGATGAAGAATCGGCCTTTATGGAAGGGTTCGGTGGCGCTGGCAGCAGTAATCTCACACAGCAGGATTCAGCTCACCCGGATCATCGGTATGAAATCGAGCAGTGGGATGGGATGGTGATAGAAGACGAGGATGTGAACAAGAACGATCGTGAAGCCCAATATGGGGGTGACCATTCCAATGACTATGCGCACGATGTCGGACAGGAGCGTGGGAGCGTGGATGGCAGGAAGATCATGAGAAATCCACAAGGCGAAGAGAAACGTCTGGCCGAGATAGGGAACGGGTTTGAAAAGGCACATGGTATTGACGACGAAGGTGAGGACAGATACGATGATGAGGATGAAGAAGAGGATGAAGATGAGGATGAAGACGAGGATGAAGACGAGGATGAAGACGAGGATGAAGACGAGGAGCAGGGCGGGCACTATCGCGTCGAGGATGCATCCCTAGAGGTTGATTACTTCAGCGGCTCGGATATGAGCAATCATTCTCCAGTGGCGGATCAAGACGGAGATGCCGATGAGGTGTGGATCGCAGAAACTGAAGCTGCCACTCACCTGCAATTCAGGAGGAAGCGCAGGAGGAGTAAGAAACGCGAGCGTACTAGATCGCATGCCCATGAACCTCGCTCGAGACAGCGTCCGACGTCGCGTTCAAGCGAGCCAGTCTTGCACCCTAGCTTTTCGCAAGGATCGCGTGCTTCGGATCGCGAGTGCGCTACGGAGGAGACGCTGTACATCGAGAGGCAGCCTGAGGATGGGGCTGTAAATCATCGCATTGTCCCGCGAAGCGAGGCGCGTTCGGTAGTAATCTCCGGGTTCATTGTCACGTCGCTTTCCTCATTGATGACATATAACAGGACCAGTTGGCAGCAAGTTTGGCCCGCGAAAATCCGGTGAGTCATAGTACAGTAGTGTGAGTATCCGCTCTCAAGTAGTTGCTCTCCTCCCAAGGATGCCCCTGCCACCAGGCGCGACGCACGAAATATTATGAGGAAAATAGACAAGGTGGCCGACGGGTTACAGATGATGGCTGCTTCACATCCGAGTCCTAGTGATGATGCCGACAATCCGCCGGGCAACATTGACCGGCGCGTCCGGTGCAATGTACAACGTCGAGCTATTGCAAAGACCCTTCTTCATGTGCGCCACACCGTATGTATACATGTATTTCGAACACTAAATTTAAACTGCATGTCCAGGAGGAGATCAGAAAACATGCACAGAACCTTATGCACCGAGTTGACAATTCAGATCCGATCCCGGTTGCTTCCGTGGAAGATGTCGAGCGGTATGCCCGGACGAAGAAGCATGAACATGGTCCGACGATTGAGGCGTTCACTGTTGATTTCAGTGGGCATCTGGGGTCGCCGTGGAATATGAGAGCAAAGGTTATCTTCGCAGAGCACTTCGCAGCTGCAGATTACAGCTCCAATGATCAACGCACCATCCGGAAGATGTTCAAGACTCATTTAGCCGCCCTCCGCGATCAGTACGAAAAAGGGAGTCGCTCCGAGGATTACGAACCATCGCCAGAAGAATTGGACACCATCAATGCAGCAAAACGCGGACAACGCCGGCGTGAGGTACGTTCTACGGTGCTTCGCAGTCAGAAAGTGCATAATTTGACTCGCTCAACAGCTCAGAGAACGGCGCCGCGCTGCATGCCAAGCGACACGGTCGTTGCGACCATTTGCCCAGTGCTTCAAGAACATCCCCTACACAGCGGTCAGTGGTGACGAATCGGACGAGAGCTCAGGCCGCAAGCGGTTCATCGTGACGAAGCTACCTTGGCGATCGCGAGAGTTTGAGGAATTCCTGGACGTGCTTGACCCGATCTATATGTCTACTCGGTGGACGGCGAATGGAAGGTGGAGTAAAGGACATCTTCCTCATCCGCGTGAGCGCGGGTCCCATCGCATAGAAAAGTTTTGTCCCGGGGTCCCAGGGCTCCCTAAAAACTTCTACGATGAAGACTGGCTCACGGATCTCCAGCAAACCGACCCCGAGGCTCATAACAAACTTGATGTGCAGCCATATATGGATTTGTCCATTCCAGAGGATGTTTTACAGTACGTCGTATGCCATCTATTCAGTGTCAATGATTTGTTTGACTGCGCGCCTAGGTTGTATGAACGTTTCAAGCACTGCAAGATTCGCAAAGACAAGCCATTACTGCCGAGCCAGTAACGATGTTAGGGGGACACGGCTGTATGCCGAGGAACAAGACCATTGTGACATAGTATGCCTGTACATAGTGCATGTGGTGAATGGATGAAGGGGGAACTGCAGCACATCTAAGGCTCAGAAGCGTAACGACTCGGACCCTCGCCGATCGTGTGGCAGTTCAAACGTTCAGGCCTCTCTTATATGCATGAGTGAAGCCACCGAGCGGTCAATGTACTGCTCACGTCCACCAAAACGTCGCAATCCGAGGTCATGCCCTCGAGGCCCTTTGTTGTTGTGTCCATCCCCGAGGGCGAGCCCTTCGTGCGCGTGAATGGAGGAGGAGGAGGAATATCAATGAAGCTCGTGGAGCCCGCCCGACCGGCGCTAAACCTCTCTTATGGCCGGCTTAGCGTCTCGCCACAAGGCCTTCATCCAAGTCGATGGCGACGACCACTAGTCGGCCCAATTCAACGAAGCCTTAATAAGTCTGTCTGCGTCGCATCCTTTGTCAAAGCGGACACGAAGCTGCTCTCCAATGCATCCTACAACCGTCTCGGCAACAACGACCGGCAAGAGCAGCGTCGACGACATGGTCGATGCGAACCACCTCTAAATTCCCCAAGCCGGGCGCTGCCAAGGGCACGAGGGCGAGCACCCACGTCGGCCCAGATCATCAAGTACTTTCCCGCCGTCGTGACTCCCGGCGCGCGTACCGCCTGGGGATCTTCTGCGGCGGCTACCCGACCATCAATATTTTCAACGAGTACGACGTATGTACATAGCTCAAGCTCTAGAGGATGAATACATCACTGATCATGCTGAGTACATCGCAAGACTCTGGTCACCGCGCAACTCATCCTCACTGAACTGTTTGCCTACAGGGATAGCGGTGTCTATTGGATGAGAGACGCTGTACATGCACACGGTGAGTACCGGGTTCGTTGTGTTTTTGCTTCCTGTTCTACTGTCAACAATCTGCATCTGCGGTGACGCGACGCACCTCGCTATAGCTTGCAGCGCGAAATGAATGGTGGAGATGCGACGCGTTAGCATTAACTCAGTGCAACGAGTGCCCCGGATCACAACAAACTGCACCAAGAAAGGAACACGCAGCTACCGACCGCCGCCACCAGCTGATATCCCGCCTCCGAGTCTGTGCGGTCTCCGGGCGGGCAAGATTCGCGGGGGGCAACAGCCCGACAAAGTGTTCAGCCGCGCTTGTTGGCCTTCCGCACCTCCACGATGACCTCACGCAGGCGGCGCAGCGCTTCGTTTACTTGGTCTTCGGGCAGTAGACTGAATGACGCGCGGACGTACGCCGTCTTGCGCGGGTTGGGGTAGAAGGCAGCACCAGGAAGCGCGAGGACTCCCCGCCCCAGTGCAACGTGACGATACGACTCGCCTTCCGGACGGTTCTCGCCCAAGCTACGCTTTGATAGGCCGTGACCTTATCTCTCCATTTTCCATGGGACCAATTCAATTGTTACATGCACTCGCGGAGTACGCCGTGGGTCTGGGTCTGCCTCACGGCTCGGTCCTTGAGGCAAGCGATAATAGGTCCGCCCCTATGTCTTGAACCCTGTATGTACGTTCGCTGCTCCAAGGGTTGAATGCGGCGCTTCGAGAGCGATGGACGAGCTAACTTATCAGGGATCACTCGCCAGACCAGAACGACAAAGGGTCGCATTATCAGATGCATATTGTGCGAAGAGTTCGCCGGGAGCACCCGTGGCCACTAGAAGCACACAGAGGAGCGAGACGCTGCCGTTGATTTCTATGCAGTACGTACAGTACTACTTCGCGTATGTAGAAGAATTGGAAGACCCAGCTCACCATCAGATCGTCATATCGCCGACCGTATCGGTTTAATTCACGGGATTGTATCAGTCATCCGACGGGGCACAAAAGCAATATTGCCTGAGATGATGGGCCCTGAGGCCTGAACGGGGCCTGCCTCTCCCTTTCCTTCACCATGGACGACGTTGATATATCCAGTGAAACTATTATTCTCCGCAACGACATCGGGACACCTGAAACCATGTCAGCGAACGTCATCGCGATTGAGGTGATAGCACAAATCGTGAGTGATCATTGGTATGTTGACCTTGTTGACTGACAAGTGCCTATAGCAGCGATGCCTCATGCGGAAGCGTACTCTCCGCTACCGCATATTTGCAACGGATCCCCTCACAGAATTTCAACCACTGGCTTTTGACAAAGTCGTTTCGCTTGATGTTGTGGGCGAGGGCCAAGTACGGAACGTTTCCATGGAGGAGGAGGGCACAGAATGCGCCAGGCCAGCGCATGGTCCAGATGCTAGAAAAGGAGCTGATTTCAACCGTCTTGCTGACACACTTGAGGCCGATCCTGTACGAGGTGTCGGTGTTGTGGAGGTTCGGCTTGATTCGGACAAGAAGTTCTGGGATACGATGATGCCCGCAATAGGTGGTAAGTTATGTCTCTTTCTCATTTGGTGCAATATCACAGCCTTACATGGATGATCCAGCTTATCTAAATGACTATCCCTCGAAGCTCCTTGCAGCGAAAGAGGTATATGTAGTCAGAGTTCCGGTGAGATATTTGATCAATGCTACCATCCAGCCTATTTAACTGCTGGTAGGCTTTGGCGGGTTGGATCATCTCGCTGTTCGTGCGCAAGGAGGTCAATGGCCAACTGGTCACTTGCATCACGAGCCCTGCGATCGCCGCAAGTGCTCAGCCTGCGTCAACACCTGCTTAGTCCTCTCCCTTGTATATGTCGCTGTATATTGCTTGATCAATGATGCATTAACGTGTTTGAGACTCAAGTGCACGGTAGGGATAACACCATGACAAGCTCCCACTGGACATCCTCGTCAAGCGTGTCATTGCCGAATTTGTCCCAGCTAACCTCGGGGCGCGGGTAGAACTCGCCTGAACAGTGCACAACGTCGGCACAGCTTGAGTGCAGCGCGTGCTTCGATGCCGTGTTCACGACTCGGAGGAACCGCTCGCCCGAGGTGTGCGAACAGATTGCGGTCGCTCGTGCCGTGCACGCCCGGCACGTCGTGGCCGTGGAGGAGGTGCCCGGGAATGTTAGAGGGCGTCTCGAGCACGCCGAAAGTGTTGGCAGCGGACCGCGTGTAGAGCATGCGGTGGCCCGTGTGGATGACGGAGCGCGTGACGGCGAGCGTGGTAGGGCCCGATGGGATGCGCCTTGCTGTACTTGCGGCTCCAGGACTGGACCTCGTCGCCGAAGAAGAGGCGGATGCCCTTGATGTAGCTCTCCGCATTGCGTAGAGGCGGCTGTCGGCGTTCGTCGAGGGTAAGATGTGACAGCAAGCCAGTGTGCAAGACGGAGGATCGACAGATCAAAGTCCTGAATGTACGTTTCTGTCGCTACGGCTTCCGCAATCTATTTCTGATGAGTCACTGGACGCGTGCAGGTCAACGAATCATGTCGAGGAATCGACGATTTGTATACGTAAGCAAGAGGAACGAGTGTCTCGGCGAGTACTACATCGCAATCGTCGGCACTGGTAACAGGCGGTTCCACTGTCTGTAGGGCGAGCGGACATGCTCATGCCATCATGCGTCCGCGAGCACGCGTCCAAGAGCGAACGCGATCGCACGGAACGTGAACACCGTCTGCACAGATGGGTACTAGCCTAAGTTGCTACGGTGGTGAGTCCTCGTCTGGGGCAGGGCAGCCTGAGTACGGTAGCACGGTACGCGTACGTAGTGCGGGGTCGTATGCCAGCCAGCCTGGACAAGCCGCCGAGTGCCCCGACGCGTTCTACTCGTCGCGTGTGGCGAACGTGAGCTACGGGGCCGGTATCTTGGGCAGTGTATCACCCGGCGCATCAAGCCGCCGTGTCCCCGATGCACGGGAAACGGGTGCGAGACGACCCAGGTGCGTGGGAGATCTTGTCTGCGTGCGGGTCGTCTGCGTGCGGGTCGTCTGCGTGCTCGTCTCGCTGGCATTGTGAGTACGCGGAACGGACGGCGTAATCTCCGCACCGTCTACACAGAGGATGGATGCGTGGACGCCCGGCGTCCCAGATCGGGGACCTTACAGTCCCGTCTACTATACAACACACATCGCCAGTATTTCTTATAACAAGAGCGCATCAATTCCAAGGACGATACATGAAATGGAACACTCAACGGTGTATGGGTCCTGCGATACCATGCCGCCACACCTTGCTCGCGACTAGCCCCTAAGCCGAGCCCGAACGTCGAGGTGGATCGAGCTCCCGACTCTGATGGACTCTGTGCGGTCGTTTGATGCTCGGTGCTCGACGCGCTTGGGTACGTAACACTCGGGCTGTGTGCTGTCCGCATCTGAACAGGAGTCGAGAGGGCCAGTTGAGAGATCAGGTGGTTCCAGCGTGGCCGGATGTGAGAGTGAATGCACCGAGATATTTTATTCAGTTTCGTACGTGACTGCCGGGCGAGGCCTACAAGTGCAAGTACGTACGCGGAGGTGTCTCGTTGCGAGGCCGATCCCGGGCGGGCACGAACAACAGACCTTCGGCGGAGAGGGAACGCGGGACGACGGCGGGGTGTATGGGACAGCGAGGCAGCCTCGGACAAACACGGAGATGAGAAACCATATGCACGGATCGTTCGTGGTGGTTGCATGGCCGCATACAGATGGCAAGACAAGAATAGACTTACGCCCGAACACCTCGGACGGACGTCTGGATGTGGGAAAGGATTGCCGGGGACGTTGGGCTCGGCGCATGCTGGCAAGATGGATAATTGCCGATGGTGAGAGAGGGCGAGTGGATATAGCGTCAAAGAGACTTCCAACGGTGCGTGGACATGGACTCATAAGAAAACGCGACGCTCGCATGGTCGAGTGCTGCGCTACGGCACGGCTTGCGAGACGCCGGTGTTTTGCATCCGATGTACAAGTCCGAGTGTGACAAAACGAAGCGGTGGACGAGCAGATCAACAGCCTTGAATTCCTCTCGGGTCAATCGAAAAGTCGAGATACATGCACCTCCTACGCATGCTTTGTTTGCCCGTCTGCAGCTTCCAATGCATACAGACCCTGCAGAACTAGCAGCTTTAAGCCATTTTGTCAGCGCTCGCCGAAAAATAGACCCACCCCGATGAATATGCCCTCCTCCTTCAACATGCGCCACACGCAGATCTGCATCGTCCCCACGGGCCCTGGGGACCGGTTAGCCAAGCCTGCACTGCGTCGTCAACTGTCCACGTACTGGAACTCATCATATCTCGGTATGACCTCTACATCGCGCCATGGGTGAGCATAGGGTACTTACTGGCACCTACCCGCAGTATATCTCACTCATCCTACCCAAAACGACGCGAGCAGTCTCTCCACATCCACATGTCTCGACACTTCCTTACCAGATTTAAGGCGCGACGAAGCTCAGGCACTGGAACGGCGCGCGCAGGCAGAACGTCACGCTCTGCGGCTCCGCGGAGAGTATTACCGCGACGCGCAGCAAGAAGGTGACGATGAGCAGCGACTCGGTCGTCACACTGATGACGTCTCAGAATCCAAGCATGAGCTAGGAGACGAACAGGGGTAGTTTGAAGAGCTGGTACGCGCGATCAGTGGAAGGGACGGGGGAACGTAGAGCTCGGCAGACTGACTTTGTGCGAATTTACGGCGCAGACAGGTGGGCAAGTGCGCAGGCGAGCATGAACCCGAGTTGGCGAACAAGCAGGTGGATGGGTGAACGTACAATGTGGACGGACAGCGAGTGGACGGGCCGGCCAATGATTAGCTGAGACGCGGATGTGCAAGCCCAAGGGGGTGAGCCAGCGAAGAGTCCAGCGAGCGAACCAACGGGTATGAGAGTGAATATTTGAATACTAGAACGTCCGGACGGAATGGTCGGGCGCGCAAATATTCGCAGTTGAAGGCTTCCCAGATGCGCCATACCCCCGCTGAAGCTTCGGCGATGAGGGCATGCCCAGGCCTGACTCTGGCAGCACGATCCCTTAAAACCTCACCTACCATTGTACATACGCTATAGCACTGTCTTTCCATGGCGATTTGCAATTGCGAAAGGCGAGGCACGAGCCGATCATCGCTGCGGCCACAAGCTCGCAGGGCCAAGTCTAGACGTCTACTGTGAGATCGAGTAAGTTAAACCCAGCGGGACTCGCATGCGCGCGGTCACAACCGTACTTACTGTAACCGCCCTGGCTCGCTGGTGGTCACAATCGCATTGTGACTGCGAGGAGGCGTGATTAAATAGACGCGCAACGCGATCTCTCGTCGCGCGCCCCTCCTCCTCACTCTATAGCGAAAACACTTTCGTCCACTGGATCTTTTTCACCCACCATCCTCTGCCTTTCGCGGTAATCTTGCCACCCACACCTCGCCGAAGCTCAGGCAAGCCACTCCATTCTCAGCTACGACCGACACGCGTCGCGTCGACCCTGCTAGCCTGTTCACAGGAACATGTCAACGGTAAGTTAGATCGTCTTTCTAGCTCGACTAGCACCGAATAACAGGGTATACAGAAACAAACCAACGCGGATGCGTCGGTATACCTCTGTCATTGTAGCCTCTGCGGTGATCAAACGGACGTAGATCGCCGTACCAACACAGTAGTCAAGGGCAAGTTCTGTGGCCGCAACAAGTACTACGACCACCTGAGGGACGAACGGGCACGAAGCGCGTGTTTACACAACGAAACTCGCGGGACCGGCTCGTCGAGTACAACCCGCGACCAGTGCATACAGAACAATCATGTTCATCAGCGATCGAGTCATCCTCCCCTTCCAAAACACAGTCCTACTCAGACTTCTTCTCCTGTGTCCCCGTCCCATACAGCATCACGAGATTCGAAACGATCGCAGCGACAGGCTTATGGAGCAGGAGAGCCACATGATCTGGCACATCTGCAGTCTTTTGCGGATGCGTTGAACAGGCGAGCATCCTTATTGGCGGAGTCACACGATGTCCTTGTATTTCAGGAACCCCCAAATGCGTTCTCTGTCCCGGCTCAGTTGCTCCAAGCCGCGGCTGCTCAGGACACCGAGGTCAACACAGGCAGTCTCGAGCTCTCTCGGGATGACGTACATAACACAGCGCTACTTGAATACGAACAGTGGCTATTGGAGTCGTACGTCAAACTTGAACCGTACACCCAGTCCGACATCGCAGATGTTGCTCTCCGCGCGGACGAACTGCGGTACGACATGGGCCAAGCATTTGCTGAGGTCGAAAGCTGGAAGAAGGTCGAATGGGATCGGCAGCGCTGTGCAGGATTGGAGGACCTAAAGAGACCAACATACGGTCAACCAGGGGAACGGACGAGGGTCGATACAGGTGTGGCACTACGTCCTCAGTGGCGCTCCAGCTGCTAATGAGCGCTTGCACAGAACTCTACATGCGGCCGAACATATCTCAGTTTCATCCTATACTGCTATTGTGTTACGTGCTTGTCGCAGTGATGCATTTACTTTGTGGGGTATCAATTCGCCGGTGTCATTGGCTATTGGATTGCTTGAAGATGCTGCTGTCGATGACCTACGAACACCTTCGCTCTGATACCGTTGCCTCGGATCCGTCATTCGAGAACATCATTTCAAGTGTTCCTGGAGATGCCAGAACGGTCGTTGAGCACCTCGCCATCTCGCCAAAAACGCGACCACATGTCTGCTGTCCTAGTTGTTTCGCATGCTACCCTATACAAACCGGCCGCGACTACCCCGACAACTGCACTGCGATTTTGTCCGGAGAATCCGTGTGCGGTGCTGAACTTCGTTGCAAACGCACCATCGGTGACCGCGAAAGAACGTTCCCCGCTCGACTCTATGTCTATCACGATTTCAAGGACTGGCTTGGGCGTCTTTTATGCAGGCCCGGGATCGAAGAGGTCATGGATCGCACTCTCACCGATGCTATGGACTCCAAAGGCGCCGATGCAATCAAGGACTTCTACGATACCGCAACACTGCGAGAGCTCAAAGGCGCTGACGGGAACCAGTTCATCACGCGCGAAACGCCCGAGGGCCGCTACGTTTTCAGCATCTGCATGGATGGATTTCTGCCCACCGGCAAAGGCGGCTCGGCGTCAGTGTCGGTGGGTGCGATATATCTCGCCTGCATGAACCTCCCCCTTTCAATTCGGTACCGTGAAGAGAATCTCTTCCTCTGCGGCATCATACCAGGGCCGCACCATCCGTCACAGGAAAAGATCAATCCTCTTCTAGGCCCTGTCATCGACGACTTCCTCGATCTATGGTTTCATGGTGTCCGCTATACCCGAACTCCTGGCTTCTCATCCGGAAGGGTGGTCAGATGTATAATCGGCCCTCTCGTGTCTGACATGCTTGCCGCTCGCCAGATGGCAGGATTTTCTGGACACGGTTCCGATCTCTTCTGTTCGTTCTGTCTCCTGAGTATCTCGGAAATCGACAACCTCGAATGGTGGAGTTGGCCACCGAGGACATGGGACAAGCAGCGCGCTGCCGCCGAGCGGTGGAAAGCAGCTAGTGACTTTGATGAACGCGCAAAGATACTTCGTGAAGAGGGAATTCGATGGTCTGAGCTCTTCCGACTACCTTACTGGGACCCTCTGAAGTTCACTGCCATCGATCCGATGCATGCGATCTTCCTCGGTTTGCTATATCGACACTGCGACAAAGTCTGGGGTATGAGTTCTCTACACAAGGATGGACTCGAGGGCCGGGCACACGATCCGGCTGCGCATGCTCCATCAGATCGGGAGATGCAAGAAGCCTACATTCTCCTCAAGACTGGATCAGACACTGAGCTTGAGAAATTGCCGAAGGAGGTTCTCAGGACAATGTGCAAGGAGTTGAACCTTCCCTTCTCCGGACGGAAAGGTAAACTGCTCCATCGGTTACGTGCACATGTACGTTTTTTTTCGCGTGAAGTCAGGTTTCACGGTCACTGATCCTTCGTCCAGAAACGACAGAAAGGATATCCTGCAGGTATGGCACATGCGGCAAGTGGAGACGCACCACCCGCCGGCTCTGGCGGCCAATCCAGCGATGCATCTAGAGCCCCGTGGACGCCTTTCCAAGAATTTCAACTCCAAGAAGCTTCCCAAGCTCTTGAGACGAAGCAGGAATCGGTTTTGCGCAACAGCACCCACCCAGTTCTCGCAAAATTATGCACCGAGAAGCTCGGCGGGCCGCAGGCATCATATACTACACTGAAAAACTCCAAGCTACTTGCATTACTTGTCCGCTACGTATGTATTTGCTCTGTTAGGCATTGTACCCATTTGACGCGTGCTTCGCCGCAGATGCTGGAACAAGACGATTCGGGAGGTAAATCCCTCGCGAGTCCAGAGCGACCAGGCCGGGTCACGCAGTCTGGGCCACCCAGCAAATGGGAAGTCGATTTCGCCCTCGCTGCATTTGACTATGGCTCAAAATCGGATCTGCGAGGATTCCGAGTGGATGTACTGCGCGAGGCATGTGCCTCGAAGACAGGATCTGATTTAGCGGCTCTCAAAGGAAAGACGAAGGCAGAGCTTTTGGACTTGCTCAGTCGCTACGTGGGTGTTGCATTCGTGACATCATGAGTGCGTCAGACTGAATGAATCCTAGCGCGTGGTCCACGGAACTGCGCAGACACAGAAGGATAACGTCGCAGATAGCACAGCTGTGGATCAGTTCGGGGTCGCCATCCACGAAGCAGATCTTGTGACTGCAGAGGATGTATTTGAACATGGCACGAAGACTGCCCTACGAAAGTTGTCCATTTCTCTCCTTGCAGCACTCTGCGTCTCGAGGCTGCATATCTCGCGAGAAGAGGTTAAATCAATCGCGAAAACAAAGAGCAGGGCCCTGATAGAACTAGAAGCAGCGGTGAGTGGAGGAGCGACAGGAGCTGTTCAGAGTTCAGAGATATAACCATGATTTTGGTCTTTAGCGGCTCAAGGCAGGCATCACAGGACCCGACGGGAAACTCGTCATGACCCGTCGCACGCGGACTAGAGTCCTTGGCAAGGAGACTCTACGCCTCATTTGGAAGGATATGCGCCAGACTTCGTTGCCGTCAGAGGTATCTCCCGTACCGAAGAAGATAGGTGCTTCAGGACAAGGATCAATCTCTGCTGATGAATGGCGGACATTCTGCACTATCCACCTTGTCACCACTCTGGTGTACCTGTGGGGAAACATGCCCCCTGAATCGCGCGAGTCACAGCTGCTTCACAACTATATGGACCTTATAAACGTCGTCAAGCTCGCCACCGCGAGGACGATTACCCGGCAAAGTCTCATGACGATGCAGTGTACGATGCACCAATACTTGAAGGGAATTTTGGAACTGTTCCCAGGTTCGAATATAGCGCCATACCAGCATATGTGCCTTGGACATCTGCCTACCGTGTTGGAGACGCTAGGTCCCGCTCGCGCGATTTGGTGCTTTGCGTTCGAACGTGCGAATTTTGTGTTGCAACGGATCAAGACCAATAGTCGCATAGGTGCGTACAACTAGGGCTTACTCTACCATACCTGCGCCGATCACACAGATACAGATGATCTGCCGGGTACCCTTTTGAGGCGTCTCTGTTGCCGCCAAAATCTTCGCGCGTTGTTCTCGTATCTACCTTCAAGGTTGAGGCATCTCGTGCCCTCGTACGCCAGGGCCTTCGAATCGTACAAGCGAGGATCCCTTTTCAGCGACTTGAACCCACCAGAAGACTTGGACTTGGACGGCTTAGTCGGCGGCGAAGAAGATAGTATGAATGACAGCAAACCATACATTCTTGCGGTGGATATCTACGCTGCGCTGCGTCTCCGCTCAGCTGGGGGGGGCGCCGTGCGACAGCGCTCAAAACCACCGAGATTCAAGGTACCTCTTATAAGGCACGTACGACAAGCGAAAAAGACAGTCATGTAGTGTTCAAGATGGTGGGCGACACTGATTGGCGAGCCGGGAGGATCCGCGAAATTTTCACCCAAGAGAATGGTCCGAAAGGTCAAGACTCGGCGGTAACATGGATTATCGTAGACGAGTTTGCCCCACTCAGTCCGGACGATGCATTGATCGACCCATATCGCCGGTTTCCCCACGCTGGTGGTCGACTCTTCTATACGCATGTTATATCCAAGCCTCTCGCTTTGTCGACAGAAGAGATCGTCTGTCACTCTGCGACCACGCCTAGGATTCTACCTGGGACGGACAAGAACTGTATCCATATCCTACCCTTGGATAAGTAGATTCCGCAACGTCATGACATATGTGCTCCATTCCCTCCAGGCCCGCACCCTTCTCTACGCTGCTCACCTCACCTACGTCTAGTATCATGGGAAAGACGACCCTCGGTGTGGTCGTCAAGCTCTGTACCTAGGAAGCGCTACCTGTACTTATGAAGCGCTACTTACTACGAGGTATTCGACGAGATCCCCGACAGCCTGAGGAGCGGGTCGATTCCCTAACGGGAGTTCGAGCCCTAAAAGCCGCACCCCCACTCGAAGCGCGCATCCGCGGCGCCGCTGACATCGCCCAGAGGGCGGTCGGCGTTCACGACGCTCGCGGGGAGGGGGGAGATTCGGCGCGTCGGTCCGAGCTAGATACGGGACGGTGAACAGGGCGCGCCGATCACTCGGAGAGGCGCAACACTTCAACAATTGACAGCCAGTTGATAGAATCGGTGAATATTGTGAGACGAAAAGGAGTACATATAACGTCGTGGGTATCACGACTTGGCGAAGCAACTACACCTTACAAACGCAACGACAGATCTAGACCTCAGGTGCACGATTAGCTACGAGAACCGCAAACACGATACGCAAAACCAGATAAGCCATGAACATAACCCAACAGGTTTGGCGAATGTCGGTCCACGTCAGCTCGTCGGCGAAAGCACCATATTCGAGGCAAGCCCTGAAATTGGCACTGATGTCTGACATCTCTTCGACAATCTCGTCCTCGGTCCCAGCATCACTCTTGATGTCTGCATCAGACGGCGCTTCTGCTTTGTTGCGTTGGAGACACTGGACGAATGCTCGAAGATCCTGAGCACTGCAGAGCGTCACTTGATAACAGGAACGGTCGTCGCCGAGCTTATGTTCCCATTGTACTGTCAAAGTTTCCTAAGGACGTTGTAGATCAGATACAAGTCGGGTTATGTGCACAGACCACTCACCGGTTGAGGAAAAATGACCGTGCTCTGCGGGAGGGGCAGTTGTAGTATATCAATGAACGGAGTGTTCGAATTTGGCGATAGTAAGATGGCATCTGAATAACCGCAATCAGTTCTGCTGTATCATAGACAGCAAAATGAGTACCCACATTTCCCGCAGGACAGTCGCACAATGAGCACGGATATCGGCGCCTCAAGGTCGACTGCAGGGCCACTCCGTCGTCCGATCTTCCTGAACTCATCCACCTCGCCAGCAAAATAGACGTTGACCCCGCTATGGTGTATAAGAGTAAGCCGTTAGTTGGTTCGCAGACCTATGGTACTCGCGGTGATGGTACTGACGCTGGGACTGGAGGTCCGGGTGGAAGCATGGCCAGGCCATATTTGAGAGCGACAAAGACCACGAGGAGGGTGATCATACTTTAGATCAACTGGGAGTGGATGAGACTGTGGGTGGATGAGACGAGGTGCCTTCGCTCTGGGCGTGAGCAGCGTTCTTATATATGCCACCGGTAGCGTCGGCCGTGCTACAAGTATATTGCTTTGTGCGTTGTACATGAGGGTCAGCTGACTCCAACAATGCTATAGGCAACGTGGCTCGCCATTCTCCTCAGACTCGGAACGCATTGGGCATGATCCTATCCTTCACCGACTCTATAGCGGAGGCGTCAGAACACATTCGAATGTGACGGCGAACTGGACGGGAATGCAAAGGGGCTCACAAGGCAATAATCCGGTGTCGTTTTCGCACACGACATGCACGGTGTCGAGTTCGTTTCGCCAATAACGCCAAGACCGACATTCTTGATTTCTCGACCAGGCGTGTCATCATCCACAAACTGTGCAACAACAATACAACGCAGTGAGTGCAAGGTGAGTTATCAGGCGCCTCGGGGTGCATTAACGCGGCTCCCTCCGAAGATTGTGCGGTAGTCGCAGAGTATACGACGTAAGATGCATGCCGATGAGAGACTGGAGGAGACATGCAGAACCCGCGACAGGATGTCGGGTCAGGAGCGACGGGGAGCGAATGGCACACGCAGAGAACGTTAACGCGCGAGCGGTCACGGAGTCATGTCGACTCACGACCGTCGATCACGCTCATCGCTCAAGCGCTCACAGGCGCTCACATGTCGCCCGACACTCGAGTCTCCTTTTCCTCCTCCTGAGCGCTGTCGCACTTTCCGACCCGGCTTCTGTCATGGCCCCGCACGACCGAGAAGGCACTCGGTACTGAAGAGGTCGTGGGTGGCCAGCCTGTGCTCGCCCCCTTTCACGTTCTCTGCTGCGACTCCGCGCGGTATGTGTTCCCGCGCATGGCGACAGATACAGTATCGTCTCATCGGACCCCTCAGCTACCAGGCCCACTCCCATACAGGTCGCTCCGCGGCAGATGGCTCATCGAGGGCTCGTCTTATGTTCTCTTCTTCGACACCGGGAGCGAACACTCTCGCCTGAACGACTGGAAGGGCGGTAGGAGAGGTGCGTTCCCTGTCTGCTAGTCACCGTGCTCGTCTTAGCTCAACCTACGCTGCAGTACCTGATGCCTCAGCCCGACGTCGCCGCCATCCGTCAGTCGACACCGTCGTCGTCCGTCAGTCGACACCGTCGTCGTCCGTCTGCTCGACACCGCAGCTGTCCGTCTGCTCGGCACCGCAGCCGTCGCGCACTTCAACGAATGGCAAGCCGGTATCGCCAGCCCGCTCCGCCGCGGATGTGACATTAACGTCGCTACCCTCATCACGACTCTCTCGACGCCGCTCGGCTGCTATCTCTGTGCCGTCAGCGTCGACTTCTGCAACAACCTACAGTCCTTTGACGTCGACCACGAGGTCAGCGAGTGCGGTATCTACCACAGGCGCATCATCAAACGCATCGCCGCACACTACACCGACGTCCCACGACTGGCATGTCGCCGCGTACGAAGTATGGAGCCGCCGCCTCGCGTTCGAGAGGCTCCGATCCGCTACGAACATTCAAGCGTGCCTAAGGCAATGGAGCCGGTGGTTCCGCTCTGCGCACGCCAGGAGGTCGGTACTCGGCGTGTCCAGATTGGCCAGCCAGCCGATGGTACCCGCGAACGGGGAGTGGCGGCGGTTGCGAGTGGGTCCTCATTTGCGCACCACTCAGTACCTCGCGGGGCAGAGGCAGGGACGTCAATGAGTTCCAAGACGAAACACGCTTAAGGTATCCGACAGCAAGAGTTTCGTTACCTCTCATGAAGTGACGATCACTCGCCCGTAATGTTCGGCCTGCTGCGGGCTTTCGCGTGGCATTTCCTCACCGCCGCTCCTGCGTCTCGTGTCTGAACCAGCATCACAGCGTCTGCGTCGCCGATCTCCATGTGTTTCCCGGACGAGCTGACTACATGTATGGGAAGCGTCACAAACCTACGTTTACAGTCGTCCGACTCGCGAAGGCGTGCTCCGCGAAGAGCGCCGCAGCCGTGTCAGAGCACCCATCCGTCGAGGCCAAGATGTCCGCTATCGCCCGCCGTCGCAACTATATCGATGCGCGCGAAGGATCCGTCATCGTGTCGAAGTGGGGATTTGATCGTCTGGTAAGCCGCCATCGACCTCACAGGTCACTCACTGATGAGATGGACCGTAGTTACTTTGGTGGGGAAGAGCTGGAACCGCTCAGGACTCCTGGATAATGTGTCTTCTACCGCGTCAGAGTAAGACTGGGCGTTCTGCGGTGAGTCTCACGTCGTAAGTAACGACTCGCCGCTGACTATGTGTCCGCGCTCATCAGGCCTCCGCCTCCGAATCTCCGGCCTCCAGCATCACCTCCGACTGAGAAACCCGGTTGACAGAGCTCGTCAAGACGTACATGCTCGTCGGTAGCATTGAGGTGACGGTCGCGCCGGACTTGTCGCCTGGTGCTCGATACTGAAGCTCGGTCTGTGCGGGCTGAACCAGACCGTATCCTGTGCTGGCGCTGATGCGCCTGAAGATCTTCCTGACGTGTACGCTTGCGTGACGGAGGAGACGATGCGCATTGTGGAGTGCGCCGTTACTGTCGCCAGTCAACGAAGGAGTCCGAAGGCCGCGGAGGTGCACGAGCGAGTCAGTTTTCTGGCTGGCGTCGTGGAGTATGACCGATCAATTGTGCTACGGATTAGCAGGACGCCGCAACGCCTCTTTCTGCAGGCGCCGCGCCGCGCACAAGTTGCCCGTCCCCACTGCTCATCTCCGGGTTGGCCCTTCCGGCTCAATTCAGGAAGCGACTCTCCTCTTGTCGCCCCTTCCGACACCACCGTACTCACATTCAGCCAGCCCCAGCACCGCTGCCAAGAGGACGTCGACGCAGAGAGCGAGGGACGTGCCCGCGAGCCGTCTGGAGCTGGTGTGGTCTGATTCCGATGACAGAGGCTGCTTTGATGCCAACGTTCGTCTGGCGGAGTGGTGTTTGGTGCTCGGCGGTCTTATCCCTGCCCACGGGTGCGCCGCACATACTTCTCGCTGCCATGCCCTGGGTGTGCACTCGCACGGCGAGGCTGACACGAGATTCACCAGTCCACGCTCTGAACGCCTGCTTCGCCGGGAAGGGGTCTCAGTATGAGAATCTGCGCAGCCGGTCTTTGTCAATTCGTTCAACTTGAAGTAGGATGTGCTTCCGGCTGCCATCCCCGCAAGTATCCTCGCGCGGTACTCCCCACGGTACATCTTTTAGGGTAACTGGCGTCTTTGGCAGCTGTCCACCACGGACAGAGCAGTCGAACCGGCTGCCAATGCTATGTACCGGCAGCTCGTATGGGAGTATGTGTACACCAATCCCGGACGCACCTTCGGGACGATTATCTACGACAGCGGGGAGCTCGCTGCAGGTCTCGCGCTCGCCGCTGACACCTAACGCCTCCGGTGCGCCTTCTGTTCCTCTCAGCTTATGGACACCTCGCCCACAAGCGACACGACGGGGCTTCGCCTCTCTGGCTCTCCCCGTTTGCTGGCGACGTCTTAGCGGACGCTGAAAGCTGAGGTCTGGGGTGCTTCCGAACTCACTCAAGAGGCTCGGAACATCCGCACAATATATGCCGCCCGCAACAGAGCTGTTGATTTCGCTGTTGATCTTTTCGGCCTCACCGTCGTCGCTCTGCGGACTACCTAGCTCGAGCGAAGGAGGCCCGGTCGCACTCGCACCGTCGGCACTCGTGTTGCGCACGACAATGCAGAGTGTAATAGGGCCAGACATTCTCCGGCTCGTTCGGCCGGGACTAAACTCAGCGAGTGCGTCCCGGACATTGTCCTTCCAGGGTTCTATTGTACAGAGACAATGGAGCTCTTGGAGAATCAGAGCATGCCTGCGCGTGCCATATATAAAGCGCGGCCTGATATGTTCCTTCAAACATCGCGACCATGGCCTTTCTCCGCTTCCTCGCCACTCTCATGGAGCGTGCAGCTGTCGTATTCTGGAGGCTTTTACCCTTGCTGAAGTCCGTTCGTTCTACTATCGTGTGGCGATTGTCGTGCTGATCATCGTGGAACAGTCGAACGGCCATTCCCCTCTTAGGCGCATGGAGCACGCTCTCCCGAGGCTTCCGCCGATTTTGAAGTTCGTCCATTATCCTGTCGTGCGCCCGTCGTCGCGTTGACCACCGCGTCCCAGCGGGACAACCGTTTTCTTCGCTAAGCACGTTCTCTCCTGCCAAGCCATCGCGCAGGCGGAGAATGGCGAACTGCAAATTGATAACAGTGACGGTGGCGCCTTGCTCATCGCCCTGCTGCCGTGTGATCGATGTATGTACAGTCTCCAATGACAGTTCTCTGGTTGATCTCAGAAATTGCCACGGTCGGAAGTCGCTGCGATATGCCGCCGGTCGGTTGACAACGTGGAGCCACTGTTATGGTCCTTGCCAATTCGACCAGTGTCGTTGTTTCTGAGGTGCGTTCAAATGATTACTTACTGCCGTGCACAGTTGAACACCGATGCAGCACAATTGACGGTTTGTTGGCTCCACGAAGAACACTTTACTGGTATTCAGTCAAACTCCAGACGACAGAAGACTTCTGGATGTTAACCAGGTGCTTTGGCATGAAAGCTGCATGATGCCTGCCACATTGGCACTCGCCCTGTCCCTGCCGTACACGAGCTCACTACGCTCGTGGACAAATTCGAGCATGCTTGGCATATGGGGCTTTTGGGGAGAACCTGGTCCATGTTCGACAGTTCTGTCTCTGCGTGTTGGTGTACCTTCGGTTGGCACTGACTTGCTATCTTCTCTTGTGTGGCATGATTGTTTCCTATGGACTTGTTCTATGGGCTTGTTCTTAGCATCATGGAGGGTACTCTTGGCTGATTGTGTGTTTCACAAACTTCTACATCACTTCTGCTCTGTATGTACTTTATTGCTGTTTGCAAAAGTCTTGTCGCGGCGCCAAAATCACAAAAAGTTCGCACGACGCGACCTTGCGGCCTCTTGCTCAGAATCGCTGTTTCTCGCTCAATTCTCAACGTATTGGCTCGGCAACTACAGCGTTCGATTCGCCTCGGTGAGACGCAGCACCTGGTATGAAGAACATGGCAAAATTCGAAGGTCTCAAAATCTCGATTTTCGGGTGCGCGCGCGAAGGAGAACGGCGGCGGCGAGCGGAGGAGAGGCCAGGGAGCGTCGGGAATGGCTGGGACATGTTTGGTTGGGTAGTATGCAGTGCCCAAAAATGCGATGGTGAGTTTCGACCGCTCTGTTCTGTTGCCCGCGAGGTCTTTGACGCGAAACGCGACCTCTTGCTCAGAGTCGCGGTTTCTCGCTCAATTCTCAACGTATCTGCGCGGTGAATACAGCGTTCGAATCGTCTCGCCGAGACGCAGCACCTGGTATAAAGAACACGGCAAGATTCGCGAAACTCAAAATCTTGATTCCCGGGTGAGGCACAGAGGCCTAGCTATGTATGCCCTTGGCCTGAATTCCTCTTTACTTTCTATCCTTCGTCCTCAAACTGAGTAACGCCCGGTCATCTGCATACTACCACTGTACCAGCCTGATTTTCACGCACACACCGGCGTCGAGTGGATGCATACATGGTCCCTTGGTCTATTCCCGACAAGCTTCAAGTTCCTGCTTCTCTCACTTCTCGTCTTACCCTTACCTCGGTGGAGGCCTTGTAATGGATGTGCATGCTTTCTGTACACTCTGCTGATATCCCCTGTATTGCCTTCCTATAGATCTTACATCTATGTCGCCGGGCGTGGTTAAGGCCGTCGTAAAATGCTATCCCCGTACCGGACGGATTCGCGCGGTCCATCAGCCTCTCGAGACGACACCAGGCCTAACCAGGCTATGTAGTCGCTGAACCGAGAACGGCACGCGGGCGACGAGTAGGGCTAACAGCGTGTCAAGGACGCCACCTGCGCGACGGTCGCAGATTCCGGCTCAGCAGGAGTGGTCTGCAGAACAAGCAGCGCCCAATTGCGCTTCTTGCTCGTGGGACCTTCTGGTACGAGCAAGATGTTCATGAACATGACGGTAAGTGTCGTTTCGCGTATCGAGTAAGCATACTGACTGGTATTCTCACAGCTAATGACCCTGCTTTTAACTGCCCAAAGCCAAGATACGTATCGACGGCTCCGAATACTCTGGGAAGCACTCCATCACACGTCTCATTGGTGCTCCTCCGAGCTACGTCGGCCGCGACCAGGGCGTCCAGCTCACGGACTACATCCGCCGGAAGCCGAACTCGATCGTGCTCAACGATGAGATTGAGACGGCCTCGCGCGAATTCGTTGCGCTCTTCCTGCAGGTATTCGACGACGGTCCGCTCACAGACGGTCAAGCTCGCGTGGTTGAGCAACCTCAGCGCGATGTGTCCCCGTCAGGCCCGAGACGCGCAAGCTCGTCATGGGCGCGACCCGCGTACATTCCCGCGTGAGTTCATCACTTTGGAACCGCGCTCAGCAGCGTCTGGTACGTGCTATTCTCGGAGGTCTGAGAGGTGGCGTCGGGGGTGGTGGGCGAGTCGAGTGAGTCGTCGATGGGGCGCGGAGGGAAGTTCGAGGCGGGAGGAGTCTCGGAATCGTGGCAGACGCCAGAAGTACTTAGGTGGTCGCCGCTTCGTGATGATACAGTGCCCTCGCGCACAGTCGCCTGTAGTCGACCATACGAGCGCCTACCGATGTCCGGTGCTAGCTAGCCTTCAAGTTCTCGGACCTTGAGACGTCCGTAACGCGTTGCAGCTAACTCAGCATAGAGCGTGAATTTGAGGATCCCCTACCAATTTACTCTACAAGCTGAGGCGTGGTTTTTTTTGCATGGTGGTCAAAGAATGGTCCGACCGTTCGACATAGACGAGTATTGGACGAGTATCAACTTGACACCTGATTGCTACTGCATGTCCCCACCTGCGTAACTTCTGGTTTCTAATGACGTGGGCCTGCGTTGAGTCCTGTAGCTCGATCCCACTGCCTCATCAAAATACACCATGCACCCGCCGCTGCAGAGCGCAGAGCAAGAGAAATGCTGTAACTCGGGCTGCGTGCATGCACGCCAACTGTCCTTCGCCTCGCGCACGCCCTCAAGTACTGCCACGAACGTTGCCCGGCACGCCCGACCCTCTACTCCGCATTACTTCTTGACCTTCCGCTACCCAGACATCGGCCGAGTACGTTGTGTCCTTTCGTTCCCCGCGCAATAGCCAGCTACCGCCCTTCGCGCTTAGCTTACGGGTCAATGCCGACCACTGTGATCTCGTGTGGCCCTATAGGCCCCCCTGGGACCTCTCCTGGCAAGATGTAGGGCCGCGGGCGCGATGATCCGGCGAAACCACTGCGGATCTCTGCGTCCTCGCACTCTTTGAGGGACTCGGAGAAGAGATGCACGTACGTACAGTGTCTCCCCTGCCCCTGTCACATGACATTAATATCAACCCTTCGTTAGGTGTGGATGTCGCACGGCGACCAGCTCTCCGAGCCGCCGGTAGACTCTCATTTTATCGATGCAGACGATGCAGTCCGGGATCGACGTCACTTTGCAACTTTGTGATCGCTGCTCAAGCTATTGACAATGTCTCCTCTACACGGAGTACAATGTAAGTCATTGGCATTGAAGTCCTACGGAGTGAAACAAAGCAACGGGTACGCACATTCACATAAAAGCGGGTGAATGGTGTTATCGCATGTAATTGTTCAACTTTTCAAACTCTTCAGACACCACCAGCAGTTCGCGGATGACGTTCAACACCAACTCTTCTAGTGTTTCGCAGCCTCCTTCCATAGAGCTGAGAGAAGTATCTCCAGATGAAAGGTGTGTCTTCTTCGCATGAACCGTTGAGTTTGATAGTCTCACTGGTAATAGGCAATTCCTGTTCATGTTGTACATAGGGCAAATCACTTTCGGGGCAATAGGTCTGTACCTTGGGAACGAAGGCGATGAGCCTGTCGACTTTAGCAAGAAAGCCAGCATCATATTTGTCCGCCTCCCAAGCGGGTATTGTGAGTGGCGCTGCATCCACGTGTTCTCACTATGTGACGTGTTTTTCTAGTCGTCTTGATGGTGAAGGCCAAAGACTCGAGCCCTGGAGTCGATGATAGACTCCATACAGTAATGTTGACGGCGGAGGTCTCATTCCGGTTTGACGAGGTATGTCAGGCTAAGTCTTATCTTGGCTAGGCTCACTCGCGCACACACACAACAGGATCCCCCGACGACGCAATGGCTGCAAGAAGGCAGCTCATTTACCATCCACTTCGATGACTGCGACGGATTAAGGGCCTTGATGCGCTGCATCCTCATCGCGCGGTCTGCTTGCACCGCAGTCAACACTGAGGTTGCTCGAGATGAGGCCGATACTCTTCAAGCACGACTGAAACACATGGACGAAGCAGCGATCATTGCTGCTATAGAGACCTCGACGGCAAAGGTCTAGTTCACGCCCATTATTCGGTGTCATTCATGCCTTATCCTGATATGTGTTCACCGCACCTTCTACCTGTGTAACACTCCCGACGACGCCTCTCCCGTCGGACCTTAATATTTCATTATTTAATCTGATCCCATGATCGGCCCTTACTATATGACATGCGCGCCACGAAGGCTTCACGTGTGACGTGTCACACATCGAACACGCCAGGGCGTCTAGATGTCGTGACTAAATGGACTACCGTCCTCCTCCTCCTCCTCCTCCTCAAGGACCGCGGTCCTTCCGATTGCCCGAGTCGACTAAGCTTTTCCTAACCAACCCTCATCGTCTTCCATGGACGCCTTATTTCTATTGTGGCGTCGATGACTGGGGTCCGTGAGTGGCCGGGACCGCATTTGCAGCGTCCGAGCGTTCCCAGTTATCTCATTGGCTTTTCCCCAGCATTGTCCTCTTCCGTCGAACAGAAATGGGCGATTCCGCGGATAAAGCAAGGTCATGGCGCGGACGGTAAATAAAGCTCCCTCATTCCTACACCGCCTCCGTTGCGACGACCAACATGTCGAACTTTCACAAGTTGCTCAACATGATCTTGACGAGTATCCGACGCCTCCCATTTTTTAGAAAGAACATTCCCGGGTGAGTGAGCGCGTGTAGCTTACCTTGCATGTTTGCTGATCACTTAATGGCAGAGTGGCAGAAGTATTGTTCAGAGGGCATGTCGACGACGCGAAGTTACACTTCAGCAGAGCCCTCATGCAACACGACCACTACGAACTCTGGGATCCAGGTCAGTTGACTGTCGCTCGTTTAACCGGAGGGCCATGTAGGTCGTAGCCATATTCCTTCACCGCGGTGGCTCACCCCTTCCCAGATATCATCCTAGTGGAGCCAGATGAAGATTACCCACCTATTCTGCGCGTTCCCTTTCGCTTGATCCCAAACGAGATGGTCATTACCGTCAATCAGGTGCGGTGGCTCTCATCAGCAGGGATGAGATGTGCCAGCTAATCACCTGCAGTAGAGCGAACTCACGATTTTCGGCGAGGTTCCAGACAACGAGGACGAGTTTCTCCACATCAAGGCGGGAGATGACAAGACGTTGTGGGTAATCGCTCAATGTTTGGCCCGTCATACGGCCGACGTTGAACGTCGAGAGCGCAACATCCGTGCCCAGATAATGTCATTCCGGCTGTTCTTGTTCGAGGACTCAGAGGAGCGGCGATCGGTGAGGCGTCCCTCCGTCCTCTCAAATATCGCATATCGTCTTCTGCGTGTCGGAGTGGCTGCGGCTGCAGGGGTAGCCATGGGTGTTTTCGCGCTTGGTGTATTCACGCTTAGTTCATGGAGTCGCCAGTTGGAAAACATAGTCCGCAGTGCACATATGTAACAACATGCCCGCCATATACTTACACAACTGTGCTGTAGTAAACGTGCGCCGCCCCGTACAGTACTCGCCGTAGCTCTTCCAATCTGTCCAGTATCCTCGTCATCCTCTTCCTCGCTTCCTGTGAATGCCATTTATGATCTCCATGCAGCTGTAGAAGCCCGGGTCCTTCGGATTGACTGGTGACAACCGTCGAATTGCGCTCGGCCAACACCTGTAACGTACGTACGTACGGGTCGCCTCCGTGGCTGGGCGTTTCGCGCCACCGCAAGTGCCACCGTCAACGATGTGGCCGCGCGACGCGTGACCGGAGGAGACGGTTCAAACCACCTGCGCTGCAGCACCGTCTTCGCCGCTCACATAAGTTCCCGGACGTGACTCTGTGTGCCATGTAACCCTTCGCACTACTATCGAACCTTGCGCCTTCGGCAATTGTCGTATACCACCCTGCCTACGCGTCACGATAGCGAGCGCAGGGGAACCTGAAGAGGCCTGAACGGTTAGTGTTGTGATCTTTGTCGTGCTCTTCATTGGACCGACTGTCGTGTTACGCCGTGTTTACGAATTTGTCGGCGCACAGAAGATAGCTTCTTGACGAAATATGTACGTAGCATCTGACATTTCGTAGTCAGTTCAGGTTCTGAGTCGTCTCTCACAGTGACCATATTCGTTCAGAGAGTCAATCTAGGCCAAAAGCCCGGCATCGGTCTCTCTCTGACTGCGGGCAACAACACCGTCGACATGACAGGTGTGCTCGTCGAGCACGATAGCGACATCGAGCTCCTCGTCATGGGCGAACCTTATCCGGTACTTCAACAGCGTAACGTCGCTAGCCATTATAAAGGGTGCTATCTGGCCTTCTTCAGATCCGACGGTCTTCCCCCTCCCGATTCCGTTCAAGTCGAATGTGCCAATCAACCCCATCCAGCCGATTTTGACGTCCGGATCATGACTTTCGTTTCCGCGTAGAAAATGGCTTCAAAGCTGTCGCCGATCTTGAGTTATGGCGTGCGGGCCCATGGGCTAGTTTGTTTATTCCCTTAAATGTCACTGAGGGCGCCATGGGTTAGGATCCACCCGAAACGCGTTCGATCTAACGCCCACCTCACCCGACAGAGTCTCAGCGTTTCCATCGGCCAAATTCACGGTGCGTTCAGGTGCGAGTGAGTCTTTGGCGCAGCTCCCTGTGTCCCTGTCTCGTCGCCGTCGCCGTTGCGGCCACGGGCCGACTCTTGTTCACTGTCCGCCTCGGAGATCCTCGAACAGTGGGACGTTGCTCAATAGGCGAACACTGAGCGAACAGCCCGGTAAGTGCTATAAAGCTCCCGATTGACCCTACGCGTACGCGACCTTCGCATGTGCTACGTCAGCTGATCACTCCGAGGCACCAGATACTCATAGAACAATGAAACGCATGCCTGATCGCACCGGATTGACATCCCAAATTCAACAGAACAGTGAGTCATGGCTTTGATTTGATCGGAGGAGAGCTTGATAGCTGGTCTCCGGCAGACAGACTGTCAGAGACACGACCGTAGACTCTGGCACGACCGACCGTCGTGACTGTCATATCTGTGGCGGTACCGGCTCACTTACCGCGTGCCGGTCACGAGTTGCGTACCTGCTCTACCAAGTACAAAAACCCACAACGCGGCGGAGACAACATCAAACCACGGAAACTTTCCAGCGGAACTTACACTCTACGCGTTTCACAGCTTCTACCGTCATGACTACCGGCACCGTCGAAGAGCCATACACCGCCGAGAATCCGTTGTCCGCTGAGGAGCCGTCGACCGCTGAAGCTGAAGAGCCGTCGACCGCGGCAGAGCCGTCGATCGCTGAAGAGCCGAACAACACACCTTCGAGGCCCATCTCGCCATTGTGCTCGGCGACGCCTGCGGTCGGACTACGAGATCTCGAAGAAACGGTCGCCCTCCGTCGTGCGCCACTGCAGTCGGTGGCACCTGTGGTCGGACTACACGAAGACACCGTCACTCTGGATCGTGAGCAGATACGGCAGGCTCTGTTCTCTGGTGCCTCAGTCATTGTTTCCTACATGGTAGATGTTCTACGCATCGCTTTTCGGTGGCTCAAGAGGCCGTTGGGCGTCCTCACCTTTGTCGTGCTCCTGGTGATGATAAGTTGCCACGTCGCTGGGAAGCTCAGCGACATGCTTTCCCCCGTCTGTCTGCTTCCGGGCATCTCATCAAGCATGGTCTGTGCTCGTTATGCACCGAACATACTCGGCGTGGGGAAGACATCAAGGTTAGCGGGGGTCGGCAAGGTCGTCGAACTGCACAGCCACTTCGAGGCAATCATGGATGCCAATCGATACACGAATGGAATCAGCCTAAAACTCAAGCAGTCGGAGGTTGCGACGCGCGACTTGGTTACGCTCGTACGCGCCAGTGACCTGAGGAGCCGCGATATCCTCGCAGAAGCCCTGATGGAGTTGGTGAAGGACGCAAAGAAGGCAGGCGAAGGGCTGTACAGGCTCAGCGCGAAGATTGACGGCGCGGTAGATCGGTGAGCCGTAGATCCATCCGTCGTACAATGCCTTGCTAATTGTACACTTCAGCATCGTGGCCGTGAACGACCACGCCATGCTCACAATTGAAGCCGCGACAGTCAAGGAGGGCTTGCTGCCGTGGCTCGCGACGACTCTCATGCCCCATCTTGCCACCGGCGCGAGCACTGTCGTCCGCTCGTATGCCAATGTAATGGAGACGCTGGTACACGAGACCCAGCGCATGCTCTCCATGGCAACTACCAGCGCCGCAGACCTTGAGCAACTCCAGGGACACCTCCTGACAATACATGAAGTCTGCTTGCGAGAGGGAATCTTCGGTGGAAACCGTTATGCGCGCCAGACGAACGAGGCGCATCTTGCGCTCCTCAAGGAAGCCCTCGCCCATGTAATCGCAACGCGAGATGCGTTACAAATGCTGGTCGCAGATGTGGAGGAGCTGCGGGACCGCTCGGCCGCACCTGGCATTGTAGGTGAACGCGTGCCGGTGGAGGCGTTGGTTCGGAGCGTCAGTTATGGCATTGAACGGCTGAAGGAGGGGCGCCGGGCGACAAACAGTGCGTATTGACGAGCAAACTATTGGCTGCTGCGGGCGATCGTTTGGCAATCAAGAGTGATTGAGTACTGTGAGTAGTCTATGATACGTCCCGCATCTGCATATGTCTAAATCAGTACTCGCGTGCTATGTTTCGTACTGTTTATACCATGACGGTTCACTGACGGACACACGTCCGAGTCTGCGTCATGGTGTAATTAACGTCGTCTGCCATCGCACCTAGAAGCATGTCCGTGCTTGCTTACGATTGGCAGTCAAGTTCTGCGCTCAGGCCTCGGGGTCGGAAGGTCGACGGCATCCGTACATCTTGGCTCGTTGCGTCGGATCTTCGTGTAGAAGAATGAACGGGCGAGCAACTGCGGACAAACGTGCGCTCGCACAAGCAGGATATGTATTTCTTTGCGAAGGAGGTACAGCTGTCTAGTAAGTGTTTGGTCAGTTGTTGGAGATGGATATCGCTAACGGCTTGGCGTTCACTCGCCTGGTCTAGGCCTGTTCAGTCTGAGTTATCGAGCGACACTCGGCTCGCGGTCGCAGACCCGGGGGGGGGGGGGTTCCCTGAGACTGGAATACCCGCCATCGGCGACAACGACCGGGCTATCGAACTCCCACTCGACGCGTCCTCACTGGATCGCCAGACAGACCTAGTGATGTCTGGTTGAGCGGGGTGGAAAGCTCGACAACCCGAGACTCTTCTGTGTCGAGTGAATCATACCTGGTGCGAGCCCTCCGTCAGCTAAGCCTGTTTGTACATTGCTCCTGCCAGCACCCCGTGAGCGCAGAACTTACCTGGCTAGCCGCACAGTCTTCAAACATCGGGTGGAACAGTACTGGCGCCGCCGTTGGTTCCGCGCCCAGGATCGTCGCGCAGCGGCCGCGGACTCAGCCTGTGGCGCCCTCTCCCTTGCATCGCCGCGTTGCACTATATCCGATCGCGCCAGGTAGTGCGAGCCACTATACGACACAGTTGCACGAGCAATTGGTGCGGTTCGTGAACTTTGAAGCTGGTCGAGCGCACCGGACTTGCCGTCACTGGAGCCTTGACAGCGACGTCGACATATCAGGATACCGGTGAATCTGAGCAGTGTTGCGACTCCTAAGCGAGTTACTATACTATACCAACAGTAGCAGTGGTGTGGACTCCGTACCGAAATTCGAGAATATGATGCAGGAGCGCTAGCCTGGGGACCACACGTGATGGACTCAGACACGTTCAGGCGACGACCGCATTCACGCTCGTCGCTCATGTCGCCCGACACTCGAGTCTCCTTTTCCTCCTCCTGAGCGCTGTCGCACTTTCCGACCCGGCTTCTGTCATGGCCCCGCACGACCGAGAAGGCACTCGGTACTGAAGAGGTCGTGGGTGGCCAGCCTGTGCTCGCCCCCTTTCACGTTCTCTGCTGCGACTCCGCGCGGTATGTGTTCCCGCGCATGGCGACAGATACAGTATCGTCTCATCGGACCCCTCAGCTACCAGGCCCACTCCCATACAGGTCGCTCCGCGGCAGATGGCTCATCGAGGGCTCGTCTTATGTTCTCTTCTTCGACACCGGGAGCGAACACTCTCGCCTGAACGACTGGAAGGGCGGTAGGAGAGGTGCGTTCCCTGTCTGCTAGTCACCGTGCTCGTCTTAGCTCAACCTACGCTGCAGTACCTGATGCCTCAGCCCGACGTCGCCGCCATCCGTCAGTCGACACCGTCGTCGTCCGTCAGTCGACACCGTCGTCGTCCGTCTGCTCGACACCGCAGCTGTCCGTCTGCTCGGCACCGCAGCCGTCGCGCACTTCAACGAATGGCAAGCCGGTATCGCCAGCCCGCTCCGCCGCGGATGTGACATTAACGTCGCTACCCTCATCACGACTCCCTCGACGCCGCTCGGCTGCTATCTCTGTGCCGTCAGCGTCGACTTCTGCAACAACCTACAGTCCTTTGACGTCGACCACGAGGTCAGCGAGTGCGGTATCTACCACAGGCGCATCATCAAACGCATCGCCGCACACTACACCGACGTCCCACGACTGGCATGTCGCCGCGTACGAAGTATGGAGCCGCCGCCTCGCGTTCGAGAGGCTCCGATCCGCTACGAACATTCAAGCGTGCCTAAGGCAATGGAGCCGGTGGTTCCGCTCTGCGCACGCCAGGAGGTCGGTACTCGGCGTGTCCAGATTGGCCAGCCAGCCGATGGTACCCGCGAACGGGGAGTGGCGGCGGTTGCGAGTGCCAGCCCTCTCGCGCCCTCCTGCCCTCTCACCCTCTCTTGCCCTCTCGGCGTGCCCTCCTACTCGCTCTCACCTACCCACCCGTTCTGTTCTTGCTGCCTGCTCTCGCCCTCACTAGCTTGTTTGCTCGCCCACTGCCTCGGTCGCCCTCGCCGCCTGCTTGTCCGCTCCCATCCCCCACCTTGCCCCCTCGCCCGTCTCACCTGCTTGCCCGTCTCACCCGCTTGCCCGTCTCACCCGCTTGCCCGTCTCACCCGCTCGCCCTCCCTCGTCACGGCCCACAAGCAGCTCGACCCCCCACTCAGGCGCGGTCTCCGCATCGTCCTCCTGCTCCCTTGCGCCATCACCAGCCCTGGGGAGCGCGTGGGCACGCTACCGCTCGCGGAGCGCTACCTTTCCTCCAACTCGCGCCGGGCGTGCGCACGCTGATTGGCAAGGGCGCGCTCGTGGTCGTCGCGGGCCCCGGCGAGGGCATGTGCGGGCGGGGGAGGAGGCGAGGGCGGTGAGGAGCGCGAGCAATTATAGCTACTATGCGGATGTGCTCCGTCGCAATGACGCCAAATAAGTCTGCAAACTTGCAGCACGTTGCGCAGACAAATGGCCCGCTTGCCGTGGCCATATCTTGATGTCTCGTATACGGACGAGTTGGTGAGCCATACATCTTGGTGGCCACACGTCGGGGCTAAGGGAGGATTGTCACTCGGGGGTCGTACACTGCTGGGTGGCCTCATAGCAATACGTCCGACACTATGCTTGTACTTCCCCTCGAAGACGGCATCGATAAAACGAGGATATAGCTACCGTGAATTCAGTCGAAATTAAGGATAATATCACGATATCTTTACGGTGTCTATTGCCTAAAGCAGGAGTAACATTACCATAAATGGTAGGGTCTCAGAATATCTTTACGATGACTTTGAGCTTTCCGACATGCCTGTTACGTTTAACGATTAAGACAAATATCAGCGTAAGGGGGCCCAATGTTACCGTGATGTTATTCTGCGTCACAATATGTTTAGGATAACTGGACCAATGGTACCGTGATGTTACTGTGTGACAGACTCGTCACACTATCTTCAGGATAACCCTACGATTAAGCCACTCAAGTTATGTACATCTTGATCAGGATAACTTCACACTATCATGCCGTGACTTATGCTTAAGTTGGCTTCCCTATCTTCACCGTAACATCAGCATATCTCAGTGCAAGATATCCTGAGCTGCACCCTGTGATACCCCGTTCGAACGCGTGAAGACCTGCTACGTACATGCGAACTATGTAGCTACTCCGATCACGTGCAGTAGGCGCTACACCCCATATTCCGTCATGGCCCCGTGCCCGTGTATCAGCCCTCCGTGTTGTCCTTCGTCCATGTGCAGCCCTCGCATCCACCATAACCGCCTCCCAGGAGTGTCGACTGCCGAACGGCATCAGTCCTCAGTCCCGTCGAACCCCGCATCTCTGTGCGTTTCTACAATTCACCTCGCTGTGTCTCTAAATATTTTGAGACATTTTCCCGGTTGTCCGATGTTGCCATTTTCAGGTTGATTTTAGTGGAGTGAACCTCCTGGGAACTGCCGAGTAATGTGGGCGAAGCCGCATGCGTACCTTCGCTCGTTGCGCCTTTAGTGGGTGGCGCGGGCAGTGATTACAGATGAGTACTGTGCCTTTCTCTGACGTTCACTGGACCATGACTCGGACGTGAGCCGGTACACTACGACAGGTATACGTGCCATGATGAAAGCTCCTTAACCCAGACATACGCCACTGGTAGGTTGTCCTCTCGTACCCGTTGGTCTCAACATAATGGCTAGCTCAATTTGACGAATCCAGAATCATGCCTCGCCATACAACTTGACCCGCGCATCATCGCTCTTCTCGCGCCCGGTATTGCCGTGCCCATCCGCTGCCAAGTTGACTCACTACTCTTGCGAGACTTCGTGTCAAGTGCGTACTTTGTAGCACCGGCTGACCGGCGGCGGGTCGACATGGAGGTTCGACATTCATCAAGATACTGTGACTTCACACATCCCGCCTCTGCTGACGGAGCCCCATGCGCGATCGAGCGTGGTGCTTGACTTTCAAGTTCCTAACCTCGCTCTTCCCCCATTGCCACAACAGACCGCGAGCGATCAATCACGCCCCTTTCTCCCAACTACATGTGTTTCATCCAGAGTGGCCCACCAATTCACGCACGTAGTGCGGCGAGCGTGCTCTGTTCACGAATCTTATTAGCCGAAGGTGAGTTTCTACACACAGAGGTCGCAGCATGTCCAGCTCATTGTCATGATCCGTCCAAAATTCACTCCAGTCGTGGAGAAGCCCACTGCGTCTCTTTACTCCGGAATTGCGGCGTACATACGCACCTCCATGGCCGGCGCGTGCAGCTGGCCGGTCTTCAAAGCGTTCGTACTAGGTGTCGGTCTTCGGGATGAGAAGCGTATATGCCGGCTATGGTGGGTCAGACTTGTCGATAGCGCACGACGCCGCAATGATTGATGACATCGATCCATACGGCCGTAGCGTGTGGTCCATTCGCACAGGCTGTCGCACTCGCTCAAATTGACATTCCGATCTCAATACTAATCTTCATGTGATCAAGCCTCATCACTTTCGGTGCGCACAATCCCTGGCTGCCTACGGTGCCGGCGTCATCGTCAGAGACTGACTCTAACCCCTTCAGGCCGCAGTGGATGGTTACGAGGTCAACCTGCCTAAACCGACGCGAGACTGTCCAGCGCCGCACAAACCGCAGATCAGCAGCCCGGCTCAAGGTGATCCGTCAGTCGAGGGCAGAATCCCGAGGCCCGAAAAGCGTAGTACATTTTGAATCTCGATTCGTCATCCTGGCTGCTGATTCACTTTCGTCAGTACCTCATAATGACCCGACGTGTCGTTTGCAATAGATCCCGGGGTCGTCAAGACGTATGTTCAACTTGAAGGTAACTACCAGTGGACAATGCCTTGTACTTGTCGTGTGGAGCAACTCGCAGGACGCCACTGAAGGCTATTCGGAGGTCGGTAAAGGTGCGATCCTCGTTTCTCGCAGCGGTATCCGTTTCTATTCGTATCTGCGCCATCATGTCATCTGTGCGCACGTCGTGTGGTTTTGCTCGTATTCTGTAGATGCAGGATTGTATATTACTCCGGACAACGGACAGCCTCTGACGGCGATGCTGTTGATTACTGTCTGATGTACCGCACGTCGTTGATACTCAACTTACTCATTTTATGACTTTACGCCATGTATTCAGTTACTCTTAGCAACCATGAGGTTGCGGGTTGACTATAATGAAGATAGGTGTCCTATCGACACGCGCAGTGCTCGAATACAACTGGGAGCGTCCAGTACTATCGACGGAACCCCGTTCTAGAACAGTTCGTATCTGTCTCGAGCATACAATATCTATACAGACGTCCGTCTCCTTCAATATCAATTCTCAAGAAACGATCATGGGTGCTACATATGCCATAAGTGGGCGGGAATGCCTCCCCCGACACCAGGCATCTCGACCCGCGTTGCGGCCGCGGGGTCATTCTGTACCTTGAGATCGTGCTTCCAATCAGCGGAGCAGCTTAATGCTGATCGTGGTTTCATACTCACGAACTCCATGCGACGGTACGAGCGAGGATGCAGGGTTGCAAGGATGTCAATCCGTGTCGCCTCGGGCACCCTCGTCGTCTTGACTTTCAAGCTGCGCCTCTCCTCCGGCATTGGTCTGTTCCATCGGCATGGTAGCATGTTGCCACTGCATGTCCTGCCTCCACATGTCGAGTCCTCGGAAGCCATACGCAATGCTACAAAGACTCAATCTCGCTCCGCATTCTGCTTGATTCGGTCCATAGTACTACGTACCTCGATATACCTCGTCCACGCGAGTGTGGCATCTTCCGTGCAACAAGCTTGTCCCACCGATCGTACTGTTTTCCAAGTGTTGAATCCTTTGCAATAAGCGCTCTGTCATGTATCCGATTGCCGTTCTCATGGTCAATGCCTAAACAGACGCCTTTTGACGCAAGAGTACTGGAGAACTGCTCCTCCTGCAGTATGCTGTCCAATCGCCCCATGACATCATCCTGTTCCATTGTCGTCAGCAATCCGTGCAAGTCATCGGCCGCGTGGTCTGTCCGAAGTATGAACATGACAGACATAGCCTGGAAGTGTTTCGAGCCGATGAGAGACACAATATGCGGGACCCATGGCCATACTGTGAAGGGGTGGTACAGGTAGATCTCCAACTTCCACAGGTGGTCGTAGTGCGAAAGGTTGTAATGTCGCTCTGTAGGCAAGAAACAATCAGCTAAGCGCCTCGACTCTCGAGAGGGAACTGAGATGACTTTCCGACTACGCTATCAATTGTACCATCACGAACAGAAATATTGAAATCAAAATCAAGCGCAAGCGTCTCTGCAGATGTGGAACTCGCATCTAGCAGATTCTGGCTTCTGCTGGCTCCCGAGGATGTATCCAACCTGTAGTCCACCACAAGCCAGAGATCGCGCACCCGGGAAGTCCGGCTGATCTGCAGGAAGAGGTCCTCGACTGCTGGTGCAACCCTTTGCGCTGCGACTTGGAGAGACTCCAGATTTGCACAGTCACGGTTCAGTGGGAGGAAGGCCTGGGAGACTTGCTGTTCCTGAAAGCAGGCAACCCCATCGCACCATAAGCACCTAAGTTGCGGGAGTGCTGAAACGAGGCGGGACAGCTGGGCAACGCTCGACAAGGTGGCATTGCGGATGAATAGAGTCTGAATGGAACTGAACGCAGCTAGGTAGCGGATGTCCTCCGTTCGGACCGAGCCGATGGTCCACTCCGCATCTTCAATGCTGAGCATTGACAACCTCGGAAGCTTGCCCGCGAGCATGGCGGCAAACGTCCCAAGGTGTCGGATCGGTCGACGCTCCCCGGGAGAGTCACCCGATATGATGACCTCTTGAACGACCTCACGGAGGCGTGGCCTTTCGCGGAGTGTCTTGGAGAGCGAGAGAACATCCTTCCGGTCTCGCAGATGGATGCGTCGACGAAGATGAGACCATGTCAGGTAATACCAGTCTCGGCATACGAGGGCGCAGGAAGTGAGAGAGGCCAGACGTGGATCACCCTTTGTAATCGGACGATAATCGAATGCCATTCCCATCGCGATGTGGTCGATGATCCGCTCACAGACCTTCGCAGGAAGCAGCCGAATCCGAGGACCATGAGAGAAACCTTCGGACATCTGCTGTGCGTGTGTGCCAGGATGCAATGACCTGTACACGTTATGCCTCCAGCTCGCGTGTTCTTGAATGTTGTGCACAGTGCTCCATTGAAGGGACATTCAGCTTTCCTTCGCACTTGATGGAGTTCATAGTAAGGCTACATACCTCAATAAACCTTGTCTGTATGAGTATGACATCTTCCGGCTAACAAGCACGTCCAACCGGTCGTACCATTCTCGGAGTGCTGACTCCATTATGATATACTCGTCGGCAGATTGCCGATTGTGGGCAACATTGTCAACGCCAATACAGACGTGGCATGACTTGGATGCAACAGTACTGGAGAAGTGTTTCCCCTGCAGTATGCTGTCCAATCGCGTCAGAACATCATCCTGCTCCATTTCCGCCAGCATTCTGTCCCAATCATCGGCCATGTAGTCTGTCGCATGCCTAAACATAACAGACATAGCCTGGAAATGTTTCGAGGTGATGCGAGACACAATATGTGGGATCCAGGGCCATGCATATGCTGCGAAGGGGTGCAGCCGGATCTCCAACTCCTGCAGGTGGTCGTAGCGTGAAAGGTTATAGTGTTGCCCTGTAGACATGAAACACTCAGCCAAGTGCCCAGAAAGAGAAAAAAGAAGACTTTCCGACTATGGTATCAATTGTATCATCACGAACAGGAGAACCGAGACCAATATTGAGCATGACCCTTTCTGCAGATGTGCAACTCGCATCCAGCAAAGTCTGGCTTCTGCTGGCCGCCGAGGATGGATCCAACTCGCTGTCCACCGCAAGTTCTAGCAGCCGCACTCGAGACGCCCGGCTGATCTGCACGAAGAGGTCCTCAACTTCTGGCGCAACCCATTTCACATTGAGCCACTCCAGATTTGCACAATTCAGTGGAAGGGAGGCCGGTGGGACTTGCTGTTTCTGCAAGCAACTGACATGGAAGCACCAAAAGTCCGTAAGCCGCGGGAGTGCCAAAATGAGGTGGGACAGCAGAGAAACACTGGACAAAATGACGTTGCGGATGGTCAGAAAGCCAATGCAGCTGAACGCAGCTAGGTAGCGGATGTCCTCCATTCGGACCGAGCCGGTGGTCCATTCCGCATCCTCGATGGTGAACCTCCACAACCTTGGAAGCTTGCCCACGAGCATGACGGCAAACACCCCCAGATGCCGGATTGGTTGACGCTTCCCGGGAGAAGCACCCGATATGATGACCTCTTGAATGAACTCACGGAGGCGTGGCATTTTGCAGAGTGTCTTGTAGAGCGAGAGGACGTCCTTCCGGTCTCGCAGATGGATGCGTCGGCGAAGATGATGCCACGTCAGGTAATACCAGTCTCGGCATACGAGTGCGCAGGCACTGAGAGTGACCACGTGCAGCTGTCCCTCGGTAATCCAGCATCCAAAGTCCACCCTCATCGCGACGTGGTCAATGATCCGTCCACAGACCTCCACAGGAAGCCGCGGGGTCGAAGGGCCCTGAGAGGAGCCTTCGGAGGTTGCGGTCGTCCTGTAGGTTTATGTGTGAACCGTATTACCCGCTTTCGCACAGTGACACTTACATCGACTCGACTGTGTCCATTCCGCTGAGATGGGATGTGCACTACGGCGACGTGACCACGCAGTGGCACCGATCAAAGTCTCAAGGATTCGTGCACGTTTGCGATGACAACGTAGATCCACGACGACGAATACACGTTACTGATGACATCGTCTCAGATCGCAATTCTCCAAGAGCAAGCACAATGCGGTAACACACTACCTGATTTCCGGTATGTATACTGCTACCAGCTAAGCCAAGATGCGTCGTCCGGGTCCGGTCGTCAATTCGTCAGTCACTCACGACCGTTCAGGCTTACGAGGCTACAAGGAAAGCACGACGTCAGTAAGGATATCCATTTTCGAAAGCGAAGTCGTACCTCGCGGGGACTTTCAATGGCTCTTGGTGCGTGCTGCAAAAGTTCAAAGCTAGACGAAGGGGAGAGCGCAGGGGCAGCGAAGGCAAAGATAGGCGATGTATATATGCATTGATCCAAGCGCTAGCCCACTGGCGTGTATGAAGTATCAAACACAGACACATGATGTCGAAAACGGTTCTTTGCTTTCAATGGACACCGCGAAGTCGAGGCCTTTCGCGGCCGATGACATATTAGCCCGCTATGACCGGGTTACTGTGCAAAGCGGTACTCACAATACTCCCGTGCAGTCCGCGGCGAGTACACGGAAACCACATAGACTAAGAGGAGACTGCCTGGATGCAGTGCGCCTGATTCTGGTGAGCGCGGGCAAGGCACGCGTGTCCGAACCTTGAGCTTGTTGTATGAACGCTGGTCGATAATCAAGTGGACCACATAGACGTGCGATCAAGCAGGATTCTGCATAGAGAAAGGGAACACGCGGACCAATGCCGCATCCAATTCAGTACCAGCGAGAGGTATGGCGCATCTATCTCTAGATAAGATGTGTTGCACCCAAGTTGCATCAGTTATCATGGCACCTATAGCATCTGCATGTACTTAGAGGAACGTGGAGACCCTCAGGCCTCATACCTTGCCGCTTCCGTTCCTCGTCATGCCTTATATGATCTCCTCGGGCGCCGACATGGTCGTAGAACACGCGGCCACTCCACTTGACACTGACGCTGTCGTGTCTTCGGCGTAATCGCTACGCACGCTCCGCACAGGATCAGCCAGCGCGAAAGAGAGGCAGGCTCCTGTCCGGTCCCAGTCTCCGCGCGTGCCCAGCTGTGCATATACTGTATACAGGTTGAGCGTGATGCAAACGTTGATCATAGCTACAGCACGGCATGCAGCGTGAAGGTCAGTGTTGGATGGGCGTACATTTCAGGGTGGACGAGATGTAGTGATTGCGAAACATCAGCCGCGTAGCGTAGCATCTGCATCCAGCGAATACCACCTCAGCGAAGTCATATAACTCGAGCGGCACCGGACGACATACCAGTATTGTGCTCATCCGGTACACCGACTAACGTCTATACCAGGTAGACGAGGCGAACGTAGTGCTGTATATGTAATACGCACGTTCAAATGTCAGACGGGTCCCCAGGCATGCGCGGACATGACATACCCATATCAACCGGATGATACGTTGAAACAAGTTCGGCCGCACTCAGCTTTCGGTAATCTTCCCGACGAACGCGTGAAGATGTACGAAAACAGCATCCATGCCTCCATGTCGGATTACTCCTCAGGATGTACGAGGCACGGTATGAACCCGTGCAGCCAGGCATCGCACCAGCACTCAGATCCATCCGCAGCCGACTGATTCGAGGGGTAGGCAAACCACATCCCAGGGCACGACTAAGTGGTGACTAGAGGTGGACTGGTCTTCGGGTGGACGCCGCACGCTCGCAAGGCAACGGTCCACAGTGAGACCGGGGAGCGAATGGACGAATGGGCACGGCGGGCTGGTCGCACAGAGGAGGTCGCCTGGTAAAGACTCGGGGAGTGCCTGTCGGCCTGTCTTGGTCATGTTTCCCGTAGGTTTGAGGTCGTGATTGACCAGGAGGCAAACAACTCGCATGTGGCGCAGACATAGCGAGCCGATGGAAGACAATCTATTTAAGTTGAGGAGAAGATACGGGTACGAGCGCGACCGACTGAGGGGGAGGAGGAGGAGGAGGGTGGGGGTTGGGTGGGGGCGCTGCGTCGGCCCGCGAATGCCCGACAATTGCCCGGTGCGCGTGCGACGTCGCCTCTCGTCGCCTCCTCGCTCTTCGAGCGACGCTGGAGAGCCTGTTCTCAACTCCGCGACCCCGTGCGGCCACACCGATCCATTCTGGGGTGAGGCGTATGTGACTCTGTCTACTAGTAGGACAGCACTGACGCGGCCTCGACACCCGCTGTCAACGTTAAGTAGCTGCGGCGTGCGCTCTTCCGCGCCGGTCCTCCTCTACCCAGCCTCTTCCTCTGCCGCTGCCTAGCCACGCATGCATATGCCCCTAGCGTCGTCATGTCGTCCGTGAGCACAGCATGGGCACGCCCCACCGCCCGCTCTTGACTGCCACCTACAGCCTCTTCTCTCTCGTCTTGACGCCCATTTCAGCTCCCCGGGGAACCGTTGCGCGCCCGCTGTCTTGTGCTTTCCCTTTCCTGCTCTCTGCTGCTCGCCTCCCAACGTCCCTCTCCACTCTGTGACCCTTCCCTGAGCTCTTCCCGTGCCCACCGCCTACACAGGTCGATGCGGATGACCGAGCCAAGTCTGTCAACGCCCACAACTCCTGGTCTCCACCCTTCCCGCGCTCGCAGGGGTGCGTTCTCACTTCGGTGAGCATATCGCGTGCCTTCAACGAGTCCAGTCGTCTGCGGAAGCGCCGCCCCGACTTGCTGTCCCTGCCGTACGCCCATATTCGCCGGCCTGGGAGGCTCAGGAACGGTACCAAATGGTGTCTTCGACTCGTATCTGAACCCTCCAAGCGGGACGACGCGCGCGGCGATGTTCTCTGCGACGTACTGAAAGGCGTTCGGCATCGACCCCCGCACGCCGCATCCACGGTCTCCAACCCTGTGGCCATCCTGGATGACAGCAATGGACATTCCGCGCGAGCCCGTGCAAGTCCGAAGCTGCATGCTGTACTACACGCCGCGTAGCACCGCCCCCGATCTGTGTCAAGTCCCGATGCACTCCCTCCTCACACTCGTCACTGAACGCCGCCACGCGCAGCTGGACACTCGCACAGAGACGTGCTTTTACAACGACCCGGTGTGTGCTCGCAGTGCAATCCGATCAACAGTAACTCCCTCACACGACCTCGTCCTCCACCACCCCTCACAGTGAACGCGCGGTGGTTCGCGGGCTCGTATCATGATTGCGGTAAGCTCTATCTAAACTGAACTACATGGCTCGTCTCACTAATCGCCAGCCGATGCACAGCTGCTCGTCCGAGCACGTCTCCCCACTGCGGATGTATTACCTCGCAACGGTGAGGCAGTCGACAGATAAGAAGGGAGGTGAAGAGAATGAGGCAGGCCGGGAGAGGCGAGTATGAAGCAAGCCAGTAGGAACGAGGATGGGTCAGGCTGGGGAGAGACGTAATGGGAGCGAACAAAAGGTACGGCGATGAAGACGAGGGGCACCGAAGTCAGGCACGCGAAGTCACGGTGCTACGCCTGCGCGTAGACCAGACACACGCAACGCAAGGCAACGCGGTGGCGGGCGATGATGTTCCAAGCTTCAAGCTTCAAGCCGGACCCGGAGCAAGGTCGCCATGCCACGCGTGACGCCAACCAGGCAACCACGGGACGCGCCGCACCGCTACCAAACATGCAGCGGTGCTCGTCCGGGCACTACGCTGCAGGCTACCACGCGCGCGTAGTCTCCGTAGCTGACCAAAAAGAGATACTCTCGTTTTTTAACGCGCGCGGCCGTTTCAGATCGCTTACACCACGACGTCACCGCCGACCCGCCTACCGACGTAACCCATCGCAAGGATATATTCTGACAGGTATATATGCTAGGACACTCTGTCTCGTTCGGATGTACGCCATTGGTGAGCCCTTGCATGGCATCAATCTCATCTCAACGGGTCTAATGAGTCCAGGGACGCAGGTCTCATTCACTCATCTCGTCGTTGCTCGTACCAAGTGCCGTCGTCACACATGTCAGCTTACCCGTCGAGCGGTGCGCCCGTTTATCTGTGACACATCAGTTGTGTTCCTCTTCTCGCGGCATGCATTCAACTTAAGTGTATACCGCCGTTTGCTGACATGCGACAGGGTACCAGCCAGATTCGTCATTCAAAGCAGACCGTCGGTCAGGAGAGTACCTCATTCAGGATCCGCTGTGTCGTCTGTGACAGATCCTGGGGCCGTCAAGTTGGAAAACGACGGTCAAGGGAACGCCATGGGTGATTTCCTTGCTCTTTTAGGGTGGAGTAGTCTGCGTGGCGGTACGTCGGAAGGCGTTCAGAAGGCCGGTGGAGGTGCAGTCCTCATTTCTCATAGTGGCTTCGCGTCCGCAGCACTTCGTCGTCTCCGCACACGACGCGTGGTTCCCGTCGTTTTCCGTACATACAAAACTATCCATTCCTTCGGATCGTCTCTGATGACTCACCATCTACACTTCCAGATTGTTGGATGTACGGCACGTTGTTCGCGCATCCAACATACATATCAATTATCGTCTACCTAATACTCCTGCGTTCAAGAAATAATCATCATCTGGTGCACGTAAACAAGAGTGAATGTGAATGCCTTCCCCGGCGCTAGCGACATCTCGACCTGCGTCGCGGTCGCCATATCATTCCATCTCTTGATGTCACAGAACAACTTAGCAAAGCGGCATCCAGGATGACAACTCCATGCTCACGGGACTCTATGCAATGGTATGAGCGAGTACGTAGGGTCGCAAGGCTGTCAATCCATGTCGCCTAGAGGACCAGGTTCATCATCTTGATCGTCGGGCTGCGCTTCCCCTTCGACATTCGTCTGCTCGGCTGGCGCGCCGGTACATATCCTATCCATGTCCTGCATCCAGCCGCGGAAATCTTCCATGTCATACATGGTGCTGTGAAGAGCATTTAGCCCGTTTTCCTCCGTAATTTACCCCAAGTCAATGTACGACGTACACCAGGACACCCCGTTCATGCGAGAGGGGCATCTTCCGCCTCACGAGCTCATCCCATCGATCGGACTGTTCCTGGAGTCTTGTATCCGTCCCGATTTGGAGCTCTGCGCAAGACCTCCAGGTGCTGTTCTGATGGTAAAAGCCTAGACAGACACCGCACGGCGCAACGCTACTGAAGAAGCGCTTCTCCTGCAGAATGCTGTCCAATCGTCCCAAGACGTTATCCTTCTCCATCGTCGTCAGCATTCGATCCAGGTCAATGACTATGTGATCTGTTCGGAGCAGTAACACGACCAACATGGTTTGAAAGTGTCCCGAAGTGATGCGAGACAATATATGCGGGATCCAGGCATACGATGCATAGGGATGGTGCAAGTAGATCTCCAGCTTCCATAGGTGTTTGTGACGCGAAAGGTTATAATGTCGTTCTGTATGCATGAAAAGGGATTAGCCAAGTGGCGAGAGAGGACAAAGAATACTTTCCCACTGTAGCATCAATTGTATGGTTATGTACGAGAGAGCTCGGATTGATCCACAGCTCAAGTTCTCCTGCAGATGCGGAACTTGCATCCAGCAACGTCTGACTTCTGCTAGCTGCCGAGGATGGATCCAACTCGCCGGCGTTCGCCCCAACATTGAGTTGATGTACTCGAGAAGCACGACTGATCCGTACGAACAGGTCTTCGACTGCTGGTGCAACCCATCGCACGTCGATGACCTCCAAATCCGCAGAGTTCAGTGGGAGGCGGGCTGAGAGGACTTCCGGTGCCTGCGAGCTACTGACGTTGACACACCGTAGATGCCGAAGCCCCGGGAGTGCCGAAATAAGCTGGGACAGCTGGGAAGCACTCGACAAGATGACACCGACGATGTGTAGAGTGTGGATCGCGCTGAAGGCAGCCAGGTAGCTGATGTCTTCCGTCCGTACCGAGCCGATGGTCCATTCCACGTCTCTGATGGTAATTTGCGACAGGTATGGAACCTTGCCCACGAGCATGGCAGCAAACGTCCCCAGGTGTCGAATCGGATGACGCTCGCCGGACGAAGCACTAGTTATGATGACCTCTCCAACCACCTCCGAAGGCGCGGTCTTTTGTGCAGCATCTTGCACAGTGAGAGAACATCTGTCCGGTCTCGCAGATAGACACATTGGTGCAGGTGATACCACGTCAGGTAGTACCAGTCGCGGCATACAAGCGCGCAGGATGTGAGAGTGGATAGATAGGGCTCTACCTTCAAGAACGTGTAATGGAAACTCAATCCCATCGCGACGTGGGTGATGATCCTTTCACAGACGTCCGCAGGAACTTGAAGCCGTGGAATCAGAGTATCCTGCGAGGAGTCCTCGGACGTAACAGCGGTACTGTGCTCCCCATGCGTGAAACGTGTTATCTGCAGTCGTATAATGGCACTTACGTTGATTCGTCTCTGCCCATTCCGTGAATCCGTCGAAAAATTGCAGGGCTCCGTGGGTATGTGCTATAACGCAGACCTTCGATGACGATCACACTGGTGCTAACAACATCGTCTTGAATCGGGTTTCAAGAGCAAGCATATTGCGAAAAGACGCTACCTGAATTCCGGTACTATGTGAATTGGCCACTAGGCCAGTGGGGACCAAGCTTATTTGTCCCGAGTCGTCAGTTCAACGCGGTCTCACACGATCGTTAGGGTCGGCAACACTGCAAAGAAGAACACGATCTTAGCAGGACCATCCGTAGCAGAAACAAATCCTTACCTCGCAAGACCTCCTGACGACTTTGAGCTGTGCACTGCAGAAACCTCACGAAGGGGAGAGGGTGAGCACAGCCAAAGGCGACAGGAGCTATATATGTCTTGTTCTCGGCATTAGAGCGACAGATGCCACCAACGCCTTCAGTTACATCGGCACATGCATGAACAACTTCCCGCGTGCTCTCAGCTGTGCATATAGCTGGTTTGAGCGTGGCAGAACATCTATGATTGACAGGGGTGGCAGTATGAAATGCAAGATGAAGGTCTGCATGACAGCGAAGCCCACCTCAGCAAAGGCATGCCATCCACTGAATGACGCCGAGCGACGTACAATGATGTGATCATCTGGTACACCGACTGAACGGGATTTGACATCCAGATTTTAGATAGACGAAGCGGACAAATGAATGACCGCTTACATGCATGTTGGAAAGTCGAACGGGTTCGTCAGACCTGTAGCGGCTGAAATTCGGTCAACCGTGGCCGCCAGTAGTTACACCACGGGCCCAGCGAGCGTATGAAGGTGTTACGTAGAAACATCAGTCATGATGCATGAACTACGGCCGTAGGCGGGCGTAAGCCGAGATGCATGAACTAGATTTTAGTGTCGCGCAATGTGGTGGCTCTCTTGCGATGAAGGTATAACTCATTCAAATGAATCGTGAGCCGGGAGTGCTACGCAGCCAATCTTTACGAAGCATCAGGAATAGCAACGCACAAAGAAAGGAAAAGAACGTGCCTACGAATGTTAGCTTCCATGCTCTCTGATGCTGGACTACTCTTCAAAATGTCCGAGGCGCAGGATGTCGATGAGCCCGCGAGACTCTTCGGCATCGCACCAGCAAGGCTGAAACAGTACGCTCACTCATAGACACTGAGGATGAAATCAAACATAGGCCACAGCAAGAGCACTATAAGCCCGAGGTCCAATAACTGAGATCGAACGACGCACCATTGCTGCTGAGTTATGACGAGTTGATTAACGTTCGGACCTGCTATTTCGTGTTGACGTCGGAAGATGGATCCGCGAAGAACCTGCGAACCAGACTTCAACAGGTGTTGGCCGAAGAATGGTGAATCTACAATATCATGATGCAGAATTGAGTATTAAGGAGGATTGAAAGAGGACTTCCGACGATGATCTCACATTCTAGACCGAATTGACGGACCGTGACGAGCGGCAGGCTGCAGGGCAGCCAGATGCAAGCTGTAGTGGTCGCTGGTGTCTTCGTATGGCATTCAGCAGAAGCGCGTTTGAAGAGAGAGGAGACGGAGACCAGACCAGGGAGCATATGTCAAAACAAAGCACCAGGACAACGAGGACGGGCGGGTGTCGGGCGCACTGTCGCGGTAGGTCGCAAGTCGTTAAGAGTCTTAGGCTACACTGTAGTCCGGGGATGACGCGGACGGACAAACTCGCACCCTCTGGATCTGACGTTGTGAGGGTGGATGTGGTTGAAAATCTTGGAGTACATGATACGACCTCCTCCTCCTGCTCGCAACAAGCATTCGCTATGCATACTTGTATTTTATCAGTCTCGAAACAAGCCATAATAGTCGAGACTCACCAGGTCGACCGTGGCAGTCCTTCCTCCGCCGTCAGTGGCCTCAAAGATGCAACTTGCGGCTATACGCAGTTATGGCGAGCGCTGAGACGTGATCACAGGTCGAGGAGAGCAAGATGGAGATCCAGCCAAGATCGACGCGTCCATTGAGTCATGTGCCGCGTCGCGTCCGATTCGAATTCATTGAGTCTAAGTCTGTCCTCCTCTCATAGCCGTTGTTCTCGACATAACGAGTCTCACAAATCGAGGGATTCACAATCATGCCTCGCCATCACAATCGACTTACGCGTCTTTGCTCTTCTTGCGCCCAGTATCGTCGTGCCCATCCGCTGCCTCGTCAATTGATTCTAAGTTACCCTCGTGAGACTTCGTGTCACGGAGCATGCATTGGACTCAGCGGCCAAGGGCGTAGTAGCATTAGCTGACTGGTGGCGACTCGATAGGGGCGTTCATCATTCCAGGCAGACTGTTCATCAAGAGACACTGTGACGGAGCGAATCCTGCCTCAGTGAGTCAGTCTGCCGAGCCCTGTTATACCACAACACAGGCTGCGAGTGATCAATTCCGCTCCTTTCTCTACGTGCTTATGAATGGCGGTCCGCCGGTTCACACACTTAGTGCGACGAATGCGCTCTGTTTGCGAATCACACTAGCCGAAGGTGAGTTGATACTCACAGAGGTCGCTGCGTGTCCAGCTCACTCGCGTGGTCAATCCAATCCTCACCTCAGTTGCTGCGAACCCCACTGTGTCTCTGTACGGCAAGGTCGCGACGTACAACCGCGCCTCTAAAGCCAGCGCATCTAGCTGAGCCGGTCTCCACGGCGTTCGTACTTAGTGTCGGTCCCCGGGATGCACAGCGTGTAGACTGGGTAGTACGGTGAGCTCACTTTGTCGATACCACACAATGCTGCAATATTTGATGTCCCCGTCGGTGGACACATGCAACCGTATCATGCAATCATTCGCTGCCCTGTGATCCTACTCGCACAGGCTGCAGTGCCGTGTTTCAGTCTTCGTGCACATGGGACTCGGAATAGGGCTAATCATTGTTTAGTGCGCATAATTCTTGGCTGTCGTATACTGTGCTGGTGTCGTCGTCAGAGATCGACCCCATTAATGCCCTTGAGGCCGCGTTGCCGTGATGACTGGTTACCAGGTCAGCCATTTCGAATCGAACGCGAGGCTGTGCAGAACCGCAGAACCCGCAGACTAGACTGCCCAACTCAAGGCGATCCGTTAATCGAGAAGGCCCGAAAAGCGTGGTACGTTTTACATCTTGACTCGTCCTCCTGGCTGTTTAGATCGCTCTCCGTCACGCAGGACCCAACGTGGCGTTTGCGACCGATCCCGGGTGCTCAAGACGGGAGGCTATGTCTGACTCGTAGGTCCCAGTAGACGATGCCTTGTCCAGGAAGTACGGAGCAGCTCACATGGCGGCAACGAAGGCTATCCGGAGGCCAATTGAGGTGTGATCCTCGCGCAGTGACATTCGTGTCCCCGCCATCGTGTCGCCTGCGCACACACCGCGTGGTTCTCCCCGCATTTTGTAAATGCAAGATCATACCACTCCCTTCGGACAGCCTCTGTCGCCGTCAGTGGGTGCTCTTTATTGACTGATGCACGGTACGTAGCCAGTACCTACCCGTTTATGACTCTACGCCATGTATTCAGCTGCTCGTAGCAGCCGTGAAGTTGCGTGTCGATCATGGCGAGGCCAATTGACACGCGCAGTGCCCAAATACAATTGGATGCATCTAGTCTCGACGAAACCCCGTTATATAATGAGCGAATATCTGTCTCGAGCATATAATATTCATGCCGCCGTCCATCCAATTCTTCAGGAGAAATGCTACAGCCTACTTATGATCATGAGCAAATGTCAATATGTTCCCTGACACCAACATCTCGACCCGTGTTGCGGTCGCGGGCTCATTGTGTATCTTGAGAACGTGCTCACAGTTAGCAGAGCGGCATCAGAGGTGATAGTTTGTACTCACGGACTCCACGCGACGCAAGTGAGCATGCATGGTGACAAGCGTGTCAATCCGTGCCGCCTCGAGGACCCTCAGGCTCGCCGTCTTGACCCTCGGGCTGTGCCTCTCCGTCGGCATTTGGCATGCTACCATGTATCCTTCTCATGTCCTGCCTCCAGTTGAAGAATTCTGGGATGGTATATACGGTGCTATAAGGAACACTCAGCTTGTCTTTGCAATTCGACTAAGTCCATAGTACTACATACCTCAATATACCTCGTCCATGCGAGTGTGGCATCCTCCGCCTAACGAGCTCGTCCCACCGATTGTACAGTTCTCGTAGTGCTGCACTCATCTTGATAAGTTCATCGCCAGATTTCCAAGTGGTGTTATCATGGTCGAATCCTAGACAGACGCCGCGCGACGCAATAGTACCGGAGAAGCGCTTCTCCTGCAGTATACGGTCCAATTGCGCCAAGACATCATCCTTCTCCATTGTCGTAATCAGCGCATCCAGATCATCGGCCATGTGGTCGGTCCGAAGCACCAACATAACAGATACAGCCTGGAAGTGATTCGAGGTGATGTGTGACAGGATATGCGGGATCCAGAGCCACTCTGAAAAGGGGTGGTATAGCCAGATCCCCAACCTCCACAGGTGGTCGTGGTGTGAAAGATTGTAATGTCGCTCTGTAGGCATGAAACAATCAGCCAAATGGAAAGATAGATATCCGAGAAGACTTACCGACTGTGGTATCAATTGTACCGTCACGAACAGGAGGACTGGGCAAAATATTGAGCACAACTTCCTCTGTATGTATGGAGCTTGCATCCAGCAGAGTCTGACTTCGGCTGACTACCGAGGATGGACCCAATTCGCCGTGCACCCCAATCTTGAGATCGCGCACTCGAGAAGCCCGGCAGATCTGCACGATGAGGTCTTCGACTGCTGGTGCAACCCATTGCACAGCGATCTCCTCTAGATTTGCGCAACTCAATGGGAGAGAAGGTGGGGAGACTTGCTGTTTCTGCAAGCAGTCGACATCATCGCACCATAGATTCCTAAGCCGCGGGAGCGCTGAAACAAGGTGGGACAGCTGGGCGACGCTCGACAAGGTCACACTGACAATGTAAAGAGTGTCAATGCAGCTGAACGCAGTCAGGTAACCGATGTCCTCCATGCGGACCGAGCCGATGGTCCACTCAGCGTCTTCAATGCTGATCCTCGACAACTTCGGAGCCTTGCCCGCGAGCATAGCGGCAAACGTCCCCAGGTGCCGGATTGGTTGACGCTTCCCGGGAGAAGCACCTGATATGACGACCTGTTGAACGACCTCACGGAGGCGAGGTTTTGCGTGGAGCGTCTTGGAAAGCAAGAGGACGTCCTTCCGGTCTCGTAGATGGATGCGTTGACGAAGATGGTACCACGTCAGGTAATACCAGTCTCGGCATACCAGTGCACAGGATGTGAGAGTGGTCAGATATGGCTCGCCTTTCATAGAGAAATAATAGTAGAGATCCACTCCCGTGGCTATGTGGTCAATGATTCGTTCACAGACCTCCACAGGAAGCCGCAGGATTGAAGCATCGTGGGAGGAGTCCTCGGACGTTCCGGCTGTACTGTATTCCACATTTAAACCACGTGAGTCCGAGTCCTGACAGTAACACTTACATCGACTCGTCTCTGTCCATTCCGTGTAATTCAATATGTGCTACAGCGACGTGACCGTGTTGTTGCAGCGATAGAAGTGTCAATACTTCGTGCACGTGTGCGACGACAGCCACGTAGGTCCTCGACGATGAAGACACGCTCCTAGGCTGTAGTGACATCTTAGATCGCGGCTCATGGAGGGTAAGCAAAATGCGGAAAAAAAAACAAGCTACCTGTTCCTTGGTATACACTGACTACCAGACAAGCTGATGTGTCGCCCGGGTCGTCGGTTTCGCCAGTCGCTTGCGACCGTTTGGGCTCGCGACGCTTGAGGAAAACACAATGTCAATAAGAGCCTTATCCGTTGGCAAGAGCGGATTCATACCTTGCAAGAGACTTTCAATGGCTCTTCGTGTGCGCTGCACAGACTCGAAACCGGACGAAGAGGAGAGTATAGGGAGTCCAGCGAAGGGAACAATAGGTGATGTATATATGCATCGACACAACGTAGCGCTAGCTCGCCGGCACGTATAGAAGCGTCGATTTCAGATACAAGATGTCGTAGGCGGGTCTTTGCATTCAGTGGATGCCGTGAAGTCAAGGCTTTCCGAGTCGCAGCCAATGCCAGATAGTCCTGTATGACCTGAGGGAGGCTGTGTGAAGCAGTAATCGCATTACTAGTATTCAGTCATCGACGAACGGTGCACGAGAAACACATACAGAGGAGCGGGCTCCTCGGATGCAGCCTCAGGCTGCGAACCTTGAGCTTGTGAAATGAACTTCTATTGATAATCAAGGCGAACGAACCAGTTCTCCATTCAATTCGGTACCAGGGACGGGTATCGTGTACCGCGTGTCTAACATGCTAGTGCATAGCATTAGTCCTATACATCAAGAGACGGACTACAACTCGGCGTTATCCGATCGCGAGTTAACACGACACTCCTCCCCTGCATGACAGGCTGTATGCGGCCCCTCATACCTGCCCAATACATATCATAGCCATGAGCCACTTCATCGCCTCGAGTGCCGACATAGTCGTGGAACACGCGACCACCCCGCTTGTCATTGCCATGTCCTCTGTGTACTTATCATCATGATCGCAGCACACGCTCTACATAATAAGAAGGACCAGCGGGCGCGAATGAAAGTGACAGACTCCAACGCCAACGCCATCTGTCTGCGTTGTATGTGCCTGAGTGACCTCCCGCGCTCAATCAGCTGCGAAAAATGCCAGCTTATGCGTGATGCGAACGATGACTAATAATAACGATACGGAATGCAGCATGACCGTCTGCGATGCCCGAATGTACGTTGCAAGGATGAAGCGCGTGCGGATGAACGCCCCATAACATTGACATGCCAACGAATTTGACCGCAGCGAAGCCAAGTGCACCTAGTAACGAAACCACATGACATACCGGTAATTTTATGCAGTACATCGACTTATCGCGGTCTGACAACCCTTATATCAGGTAGACGACGTGGACAAAGAACTACATACACATGTATGTTCAAATTTCAGACGAGTCCACTAGGCATGTGTGAATGTGACATACCGATCGTGGCTGGATCGTACGTCGAAAGCACGGCCGCACTGACCGCCTTCGGCCATGAAACGGACCTAACACGTGAAGATGTTGGGTGAGAGGGCGAAAGTACGGCCGTAGGCGAGCGAACGCTAGATCGCGGTGTCTGCGCGACGTCGTGAGTTTCGTACAAAGACGCACAGCTGAATTGCGTGGACGCTGAGAGAGAGGGTGTGGTGAGACAGAATTGGTACCCAACCAGTTCTAGGAAGCATCAGCAATGGTGCCGCGCAGAGAGCCTGAGGGCGAAAACGCACTGGAGAAAGATAGCCTTTATGCTCTCGTCTGTCGGATTACTCTTCAGGATGTACTAAGCACAAGATGAATCAGCGAAAATGTTGATCAGGCAGCACATCAGTGCATCAGTACCTGTCCTACCGTCCTAGTACAGGTGCATCTGCAGCAGACTATGTCAAATACAATGAGAAGCAGGACAAATATAATCCAGAAGACTACGTGGTAACAGACCTAAAGCGAAGGAAGAGGCAAACAGGTCTCCGGGTGGATATCGCACACTGTTACAGTGCGGCATCTTCCGCCTCACCACCTCGTCCCACCGATCCCACCGCTCTTGGAGTGCTGATTCGGCCCCAATCAACTCTTTCCCGGAGTACCAAGTGCTGCCATCGAGCCGAAAGCCCAAACAGACACCATACCGTGACGGCGCACTGGTGCCGGAGAAATCCTCCTCCTGCAGGGCTTCATCTAACCGTGCCAAGACGTTGTCGTCCTCCATCGTCGTGAGCAGCCCGTCCAGGTCATCGGATAAGTGGCTCCTCCGAAGCAGTAACACGATGAACACAACCCGGAAGTGCGTCGAGGTGATGCGGGACAGTATCTGGGGGATCCAGGACCATAGCACGAAGGGATGGAATAGCCAGATCTCCAACCTGGACAAGTGCTCGTGACGCGAAAGGTCGTAGTGCTGTTCTGTGGTGTTCGACGATTAGTCAAGCGGAGAGAGAGAGCTGAGAACTAGAAAGACTGACCTAATGTGGTGTCAACGGTCACAGAGCCGACATCAACCGAGAGCGAAACCACTTCTACGGATGCCGCGCTTGCTATCAGTACTGTCTGGTTTTCGCCCATTGTCGAGGATCTATCGAAATTTTCGTACACGCCGAGAGTGATATGTTGCAATTGAGAAGTCTGGATGATCCGCACGAAGAGGTCTTCAACTGCCGCTGCGAACCCATCGCACTTCCAGCATCTCCAGATTTGTGCAGTTCAGTGGAAGCGAGACGACGTAGGCTTGCTGTTCCTGTGCGCAGTGGACATTCATGCAACAGAATTCCTTCAGCCCCGGGAGGGCTGACACAAGGTGGGATAGCTGGGCGATGCTCGACAGAATGACATGCGCGAGGTATAGAGTACTGACAGAGCGAAACGCAGCGAGATAACTGAGGTGCTTCATTTGGACCGAGTTGGTGGTCCATTTCGTGCGTGTGATGCTGATCCTCGTCAAATTCGGGGCCTTGCCCGCGAGCATACCGGCAAACGTTCCCAGATGCTGCATGGACCGATAACGTCCGGATGGGGTGCCTAGGATGGAAACTTGTTGGACAACCTCGCGGAGACGCGGTCTTGCGCGAAGCGTCTTGGCGAGCGAGACAACGTCCTTCTGGTCCTGCAGGTGGACGCGTTGGCGGAGATATTACCACGTCAAATAATACCAGTCTCTGCATACAAGCGCGCAGGACGTGAGTGCAATGAGGTGGGGTTCCCCCGTCACGGACGTGTAAAAGAGTTGTAATCCCGTCGCTACGTAGTGGATGATTCGTTCACAGACCTCCACAGAAAGCCGTGGACTCGAACGATCTTAAGAGGGGCTCCTAGAGGTAGTAGTAGTGCTGTGCGTTTCATAATGTATGGTGAGCTGTGGCAACCACAACTTGACAATGAGGCTTACCTTGAATCTCTGATCATTCGGTGGAATTGCGTGCGATTGTGCAGACCTTCGGTGGCAGAGACGCCACTCCTAGTGCCATCCGTTCAGACTTGCGGTACTTAAAGGACAAGCGAAGAGTGAAATCAAGCACACCTGTGGTCACTGGCTATGTTACTGGCTACCAAATTAGTTTGGGACAAGATGTTTTGTCTGAGTCGTCGCCGGGGGGCTTGCTGGTGGCTGAAGACCATTAGTGGTTTCAACGCTGGAACGGAGGCACAACGAGAGCATCCACAAGCCAAAAGGACTAACCTTGGCCGCCGTGAGAACTGTCAATGATTCTCGGGGCTGCAATGTAAAGACTTGAGGCCGGACGACCTGGAAGAGGAGAGAGCGGTAACAACGAAGGCAATGACAGCCTATCACTGGAGGTAGCAAGGAGACTACGATATGTCCGGTATCCATCGCTACTACTTGCGTGGCGCTCATCTGCACTTACATAGAAGCATCGAATGGATACGCACGACGCCAGAAGCAGTGCTTCCGAGATCCGTCAATAACTGATGCGAGGACAGACCTCAACGGCCTGAAGGAAGACTCCGGGAAGACTCTTCAGATCGAAACTCGCCGACGCAGCGCACCCAATCGCTTGCAAAAGAAACTATTGCTAATAACTTAAACTCACCTCCTAGGATGCCAGTTTGCTTGGTTGTAATCCACGCACAGTGAGCCCGCGCGACGCTAAGTGCTGATCGATAATCAGGGTGTGCAGTGAATGTGGGATCTGGGCAGAATGCTGTGCATGCGTACAATAGATGGACCGTCAGGTTCAATACAATGCTCGTCTCCATGATGAGTCGCATGCGGACCCTCATACAGTCATCACGTATGAAGTTTGAAGGTAGTGAGACATACATCTACTTGCGATTAGCATAGCCTGATCAATCGAGGTCCCTACTAAACGGTATCAGCGCAATGGCACGCACGACAGAGGAATCATATTGACTGTTCTCCGCGCCCCACGGAACTAGCGAGAAGACGTGGCGGAGGGCAAGTTAATTTGGGTCAATGGATTCTGGCCATGTAGACCGTCGGGCTGCGCCTCTCCGATGTTGGTTCGTCCTGCTGTCATGCTACTGGTACGCATCCAATACATGTTCTCCCTCCAAATTTCTACTTCTTGAACAGTATGCGTCGTGCTGCAAAGCATACTCCGAATTAGCCTTCCTCTCCGATTACCTGTAAGCAGCATGACATACGTCAAGATACCCCGTCTATTAGAGTGTGGCATCTTCCGCCTGATGAGCTCATCCCACCGATCGCATAGCTGTTGGAACGTCGGACCCGTCCCAACGAGCTCCTCACCGGAGCGCCAAGTGACACCGTCATGATCGAAGGCTAGACAGATACCACCCGGCGAAATAGTACTGGAGAAGCGGTTCTCCTGCAGTACATCGTCCAACTGTGTCAAGACGTTGTCCGCCTCCATGGTCATGAGCATTCTATCTAGATCTTGGATTATGTGGTCCGTTCGCAGAGGCAACACGACGGCCATGCCTCGGAAATGTACCGAAAAGACATGTGCCAGTATATGCGGAACCCAGGGCCATGTCACGAAGGGGTGGTACAGCCGGATTCCCAAGTACCACAGACATTCGTGTCTTGAAAGGTTATAGTGCCGTTCTATAGACATTGACTAGTCAGCTAAACGAGTCTGAAGAGAAGGAAGAAGACTTTCCGATGGTAGCCTGAATAGTACCGTTGTGCAAGGGAGAGTTGGGATGAATGTGGATTCGAAGCTCTTCGACCGATGCAGCACTTGCGTCCAGCACGGCCTGACTTCTACTAGTGATCGAGGATTGATTCGACTTGCCGTCTACTCCGAGAGTGAGATAACGCACTCCAGAAGCTTGGCTGATCCGCACGAAGAGGTCCTCCACTGCCGGCGCGACCCATTGCACCTCGAGGTCCTCCAACTTCGCACAGTTCAGGGGAAGAGAGATTGCAGAAAACTGCGGGTTCTGTAAGCACTCAACGTTGAAGCACCACAGATGACTGAGCTCCGAGAGTGCCGAAATGAGATGCGAGAGCTGGGCGATGCTCGACAGGGTGACGGTGTGTATGTATAGGGTGTGAACAGAGCGAAACACGGCTAGGTAGCCGAAGTCCTCTATCCGGACTGACCCAGTGGTCCAATCCGCGTCTGCGATGGTAATCCTCGACAGCTCTGGTGTCTTGCCCGCAAGCATAGCGGCAAAGGTCCCCAGGTGCCGAATTGGTTGACGTTTCCCCGGAGAGGCACCCGATATCCAGACCTGTTGGACGACCTTACGAAGGCGTGGCCTCTCGTGAAGGGTCTTTGACAATAAGAGGACGTCTTGTCGGTCCCGTAGGTGAACGCGTTGATGGAGATAGTACCACGTCAAGTAGTACCAGTCTCGGCAGACAAGGGCACAGGAGGCGAGGGTAGATAGATGTGGCTCTCCCGTCAAGACCGCATGGCTGAGAGGCAATCCCATTGCTATGTAGTCGATGATCTTTTCACAGACCTCAACAGGAAGCCACAGAACCGCAGGAAATGGAGAGGAGCCGTCGGAGGTAGTAGCTGCCGTACTAGCTTCGCTATGAACCAGGTGAACCGCATTTTGACGAAGGCACTTACATCGAGTTAGCTACGCTCATGCGTTCGACAGCGACTATGTACGACAGCGATTGGACAACGCTGCCGTCTTGACGGAAGTCGCAAGCTCTTGTTCACGAAACTGATCGTCGATCACGGAGATAGCACTGTGAATGTCATCCCCTCAGCCCACTGCTCTTGAAGGACGAACACAAGCAAGAATAAGTTACCTGCTTCGACTACGTTCACTGACTACCGCAACAGTAGAACAGGAGGCGTTGCCCAGGTTGCCGGTGTGCGACGCTCGGGCTGGGGCTACACAGGGGAAAGACGTAGTATCAACGAAAGCATTCACAAACGAAGCTAACTATGGACTCACCCTTCGCAACTTTCGATTTCTCTTGCACTGCGGAATATGGAGCTGGACGAAGGGGAGAGGGCGGGTGGCAGGGTAAAGTTATGATATTACTGAGAACGCATAGCGCTCTCCGGTACGTGTAGTATATTGAGCGTAGGCGCAGGATGTCACAAGTGTCATTGTCAGATAGTGTTCTGTCCGTGCAACACATCTCAAGGCACCAGTCAAGATTGCCCAGGTTGCTCACAACGGACGCTAGATACCCTTGGACGCCGGAGGGTTCTGCGAAATGTACCAGTCACCGAGTGCAGAGAGCCATCTAGGAGCTGCAGGTGTCGCATAGATGCAGACGGGTCGACTGCAGGCTCAATACAATATTGCTCGCCTCCGGTATAGTATTGCATGCGAACCTTCATATACACATCCACACCAATCCGCGACACGCCCTGATCAGCGCCTGGACAGTCCTTGAAACACGAGACCGACCCACTTGACGTCGACGCTGTTGTGCTTCAGTATGATAGCTATGCGTGCTCTGCGCAGAACCTACGCCGTCAGTCGGTGCTGTATACACTAGGACATTGCTTGCAAATGTTAGCTGCGCGCATATCTAGTTCGAGCTAATCGTGACGAACGTTGACTAAGGATGACAGCACAGGTGTGGCGCAAAGGTCGGCGATAGATGGGCAGGCAGCGCTGCGATAGCGGACGCAACGTCTACCGTACACGTAACGTGACGCATGCTGCTAAGAACGACGTGGCATCTGCCCGTCAGCAAAGACCAGTCCAATAAAGTCGGATGACACCGACCTGACGAACCAAAGTGCAGTCAATAAGGCCCCTTGTTATTTGAGATTTGACGCCTCGCACACCAGGTTAATACAAGTGGCCAACACCGTTAGAGCGTGAACAAATACACGCACACTGACATGGCTCATCCACGCCGTGCAGCGCCATGCTCATCAGTCAACCTGAAGGTAGCCGCGTTAGCCACCCGTAAACTTTGGTAAAGTACTCACAAAAACGAGCCTCATCGCTAGACAGATCCGAGAGTTCGCGACGGGGACTTGTTGATTCAGATGAGGCCGAGGTTCTTCAGACCGCCGTTGTACGGTCAACATCCTAGGGCGGTCGTGAGTGAGACGTAGAACGACGAGATTGGCCCAAGACATATGATGTGGAGCGAGATGCTCTGCGGCGTGCATGATACAGTTGCAGAGAGCCAGCCAGTGACAGCCGCAGGACGTCGGAGACGCCCGGAGTCGTGATCTACTCGATGCATCTGTGGCGCTGAGATCCCAGATCTCGAACATCGACTCTGTGGCCACTGTGGCCGCCGCGGCATCCCCGCTTGGCTAACTTCGTATTCTGGGATCTACCTGGTGTCTTTCGAGGCGACCCTGTATGTGCACTCTTCAATGGATGCGACTGTACGGACTCACTCTGACAAGCCGCACTGGAAGCTGTGAGATTGCTGTGGGAGATCGAAGCGCAGCGGGAGTCTGGAGATAGGTGGGGTATGTAACACCGCGCCATCGAGTCCCGTACTTTCTCAAGCTTGTCTCGCGACACCACCTTCGAACATGGGCAACCTCGCGTCCAAGGTCAAGCTATACTTAGCTGCCACAGCGCAGCTCAAAGAGACATTCGACCTTCTCAACAAGCGCATCGAGACACCGCCAGGCATCCCTGTCCCTAATCCTACTCGTCCGTTCTGGACCGTCCCTGCGTCCGCAATATCGACCCATGATGAGCCCTTCCCATACAACGCGGATATTGTCATCGTTGGATCAGGGATAACGGGAACGTCTGTGGCGTATAATATCCTTTCGAATGGCAGCAAGGCACGGATTGTTATGCTCGAGGCACGAGACGTGTGCTCGGGTGCAACTGCAAGGTATGTGCCCAAGCTCCTTTCTTTCTTCCCATTCTCATCTTTACCTCTACGACAGGAATGGTGGTCATATAAATCCGCCTCTTTACCACGATTACTCTGAGCTGGAGGAGAGCTTCGGCGAGGATGCTGCCAAGCGGATGATAAGGTTTCGTCTCGCACACCAGAAGGAGATGCAGCGAATCGCGGAGAAAGAGTGTATTGTCAAGGAATCTCAGGTTCGCGAAACAGAGCACCTGGATGTCTACACTTGCCCGGAGACCTATACGGAGGCCAAGGAGAACCTACGCAAATGGAAGTCTGCCATGCCGGATGAGTCGAAGACGTTCGGGTTCATGGATGCTAAGGAAGCCGTTGAGGTAGGTCCCCTTTAATCGGGTAGTGATGGCACGGCGAGGACTCTGCTTCCCTAGCCCGGCCGCACGGCGTTCTGATTTAGTCAGGGAGATGTGGCACGTCCACTCCCTCGATGTCTGAGACGGCATTGCAGCACTGTCTGTCTTCGCCAAGAACAAGTCTGTCGATCGCTGATACCTCACGCCGATTGTGCATAGAAATACCATCTCTCACCAGACACACTGGGGTGCATTTACGGCTCTGGCGGAGCAATGCACCCTTACAGGTTCGTTACTTCGCTTCTCGCGAAGTTGCTGGACAAGCATTCCGACAAGTGCGTATCCTAATGATTCTTACTTTCTTCATGCGAACCATCCATTTCTCAACACGTCCTCAGCTTCCATGTCGCAACGCATACACCGTGCCTTGCTATCATCGCTCCAAGTGCTGACAGTCCTCACTATGTCATCGAAACATCAAGAGGACCTATTACAGCCCTGCACATCGTACACGCCACGAACGGCTGGTGCTCACATCTACTCGAGCCCCTTCGTACAAAGGTCATCCCGGCGCGAGGTGTCATGTCTGCCCAGCGTCCAGGTACGCTCCTGCGCAACTCGACACTCGACGGCTACCGGTCCTTCGTCTTCTACCGCGGCACAAGCGGATACGACTACCTCACCCAGCTCCCGACGGGCGAGCACGAGCTGATGTACGGCGGCGGCTGGGCGCAGTCGTGCGAGAATAGCCTGCCCGACATCGGCATCACCGACGACTCCGTCTTCAACTTCGCCGGCGCAGCGCACCTCGCGGGCTCCCTGCCGCTCTATTTCGGCGGGGACAACTGGGGTGGAGAGGCTGTCCCTGCGGAGGAGCCGGAGGGGGAGGTGCGCTGGGGTATCGGGCGCACAAAGGCGCAGTGGTCTGGTATTCTGGGCATCTCGACTGATCTCCTGCCTTGGGTTGGGCGGCTGCCCGCCAAGGTGTCGGGGCGGCCAGAACCCCGCGCCTCATCCGCGGATCGCTTTGTTCCCGTGTCGGAGAAAGAAGGGTCTTGCTTGCACCTGGCCTCGCCGGGAGAGTGGCTCGCGGCAGGGTACACGGGCGAGGGCATGGTGCACGCCTGGATGAGCGGCAGGGCGCTCGCGTACATGATACTCGATCAGGAGGACGCTCTCGAGGACTGGTTCCCGGATATTCTGCGGGTGACGGAGAAGCGGTGGAAGAAAGCGAGCGTGGACACGCTTGTAGCCCGGTTCATGTAGGTGCCGTGCTCATGATTGGATCTCGTCTATTGTGTACGGTCGTCGTCATGCAGTTATCGATCTCTCTCGTCTCGGACGGTCTTCGGCTTCCTGTATCTTTCGGATCTTAGCCTACGTGACTATTGTACAGTGGTCTGCGGTTTGTGTACATCTTACGATCCTCCGTTCGGAGGCTCCATCCGGGAATCCTCATTACATTGTCTTCAGTGCCTTGTCAACAACTTCCGTCATGGCAATCACACCCTCTTCCTCCAGCGTCCGCCCAATCAGCTGAAGGCCGACGGGGAGCCCATGGAAGAGCTGCGGATCGTCTGAAACAGGGACGAGCATTGTCAGAACACCGCGCGCAAAGACCCCGGCGCCCCAAGTTGATCACGTACAAAGCTTGTAAACCGCCTCGTCTTCGTGGTTGAAGAACTCGTGTGGAGGCTCGGCCATGTCGAGCTCAGCATCCGCGTACGTCACCGGGAAACAGGACGTAGTGTAGTCCAGTGTGTTTGTCAGGGTTGTGTAGAATGCATCCCTGAGGTACGGAGTCAGCGCCCCGGGCCATTGGCGCGCCATTTATACCGTGCCCCGCAGCTCAGGGTATGAGTGATGCAGAAGGGGAACGACGTACGAGTTGCAGCCGTGCGGGCAGGCCGTGTACGGGGCCACGGGGCTGATGATCGCGTCGACTGGACGGCCCGTGCCCGTGCGCGCGACGGTCGCCTCCCAGTGGTCAAGGTGGGACTTGCGTAGATCCCGCTTTCGCGCGTGTAGCTGCCAGAGCTGCTCACCAGAAACACCACAGGGCCGGCGAGCGATTCGATATCCAGTCAGTCATCAATCATGGTGATTAGTAGCGCGTCGCGGGAGGCGCGGGCTAAGTAAGACGCACCTCGTACGCACTGAGGTGCCGGCGCTCGCCACAATCGTGCGCGCGAAGGGCTCGTCGAGGGCGTACTCGTGCGCGTCCGTGTCTGGACTCATCGTCTGGATGAGCGGCTCCCCGGACAGCGCGCATGCGGCGAGATAGTCCTGCGCGTCGTCCGCGGCGAAGATGCGCTCCTATCCGATCGGAATGAGTGTCAGGACCAGAGAATGGAGCAAGGCTAGATCGCTGCGCGTCCGGCTGAATATGCGACGCGCCACGGAGTGGGGGGCATCTGGACTCTGGCAGGGGGCACGCACCGTTACCTCGTAGAACTCCAAGTGTCGGTGGTTCTCCCAGTCAATCACTACACACAGCCTTAGCCTCTGGAGCGTCACCATGAAACGTCCGTCTCTCACCGGTATGCCCCGCCGCCTCCAACGCCGTCTTCACTATCTCCATCGCGCGCCTCACTGGCGGGTGCGGCTTCACCATGCCATTATCCCACATGACCGCGAAGCACATCCTCCCGCCCGCGCCGTGCTCCGCGAGCGCGTACTCGTCCCACGCCCACGGCTTGCGCACCGCGAGCGGGTCGCGGCGCCACGGACGCGTAGCGAGGACCGCCTGCGTGAACACGCGTACGCCCGCGAGGCTGGGGGACAGCGGGCCGAGTACGGAGGATATGGACTCCTGTCCGGGGGCGACGTTGACGGCTTTCGCGTAGGGTAGACGTTCGTAGGACGGGCGCAGGCCGTAGAGACCGCAGAAAGAGGCCGGGATGCGGACGGAGCTGGTGGGGTGAGCGGCGCGTGAGGGATGGCGAGGGCATATGTAACTCACCCGCCGATGTCGGTCCCGACACCCAAGGGACTGCCGTGGATAGCTACGAGGGCACCCTCGCCGCCGGAGGAGCCGCCCGGTGTCATGTACCGGTTGTACGGGTTCGTCGTCCGGCCGAAGACGTGGTTGGACGTCTCGCCCCACTGAGGCTTGCGAATGAGCATGGGGGTTTTTGCGCGCCAGGGACAGAGGTCGATATACGATCACCCCAAAATGCGCAAATATCCGACCGAGAAAGGAGAGGGCATTCGCATCCAAGGATTCATTGCTCCCCGAGCCCTATATAAGGAGACGAGCTACTCAAATGGAGCCAACTCCTTGCGAGGTTCGCCCCTCTTTGCGATCTACTTGGTCACGACTAGGCCCTTGCGGAAACGTTCTCAGGGTATCAATGCCAATCATATCAGTGTTGAAGTTTTGTGGTTGGATTGTCGCTCGTTTGGGGGCACTCGTATACCGACAAATGTCTCTGGCGAATGCGAGGAAAACACGCACCACGAGGGTCTGGGGCACGTTGGTGCGGACGAAGGGGACCGCGCCTTGTTCGTAAAGGATCTCAACGAGCACGCAGTCCGAGTCGGCGTAGCGGCCGATCCATCCAGCGTAGCCTGCACGGGTATTCAGAGCCGCACTCCCAAACGAGAAACAAGATAGGCCCACCCATGATGGTCTCGAGCCCCTTGATAGGGAACTGGTCCTTGAGCGAGATGGGGAGGCCATGGAGGGCACCGATGGGCCTCCCGGTCGCCTTGAGATAGTCGTCGACCTCCTTCGCACGGGCAAGGGCGCGATCAACAAAGATCTCTGTCAAGCAATTTGTCTGCGAATCAGCAAAGCACCGTCAGCGCGGGTCAGTCAACGATACGCGGGGAAATGATGACCAGCTGCTGCGCAACGATAGCGCGCTTGTAGAACGCGGTGGTGACCTCGACGGAGGACCAGACGGCGGTGCGGAGGTTGAGGAGGAGGAGGTCGGTGTCTGTCGTCTCTGTGATCTCGAGCTCGCGCGGGGAGAGCAGGCCACAGGCGCGCGGGACGTCGCGAACATCGCGGAGGTCGGTGGGCGGGAGGTCGATGAGCCAGTCCTTGGGGATGGACTCGGCCTGGACACGCCTGCGAGCCTTGCAGAGGTCCTGCCAGCTATGCGTCTCGGAGGACATGGTGTTCAGCAGCAAGCCGGGCACGGGGCGGGATTGAAATGGGGCGGGCTGTCATTGCTGGTAGACGCGAGGGCGAGTATGTACATACAGATAATGACGATCTACATACATACTCGGTGCGATAGCGCGTGTGCGTGGGATCGGATCTGGGTGTGCCTTTCTCAAGGGGCGACTGCTTGGCTGCCGTCGGCGACGGCGCCCGCAGCTCGACGAGGATGGCAACGACGAGAGTGGTCGCCACGGCGTGGGCGAGCACGCGCGGACAACAGGCACACGGAGGGGAGGGGACGGTGATGGAAACACCGCAAGAGCATGCCCGTTCCGACAACAAATAAGTATTGTTGGAAGAGGGCAGCTGGGAAGAGACTAGCGCAGATGGCGTGATGTATCGGGCAGGGAGAGCCGGGAACACCGCCTGCCAGCGGCGGTATCACAGGCGACCCACGCCGACCACCGCGCCGCCGTCTGCAATGCGTGAAAATGGCGGCGAGAGGGCTGGCGGCGTCGGTGTGCACAGGGAGCGAGCATCGTGCGCGACGGGGAGGAGGACATGTCGGGGTGGCGGAGGTGTTTGCGAGTGTTTGGGAGGGATAGCAAACGGGCGCTTGTCTGTGGAGGAGCGGTGGCGGGTTTATCTGTTGGCGCGTTGCTTGGCCGCTGCCGACCTGCTCCTCGTCGCTCTCACCGCATCTCTCCTCTCGTTTGTCTTCGTTCCAAAAAGGTGCCCCCTTCATCTCTTCCTTCTTCCTTCATCGCGAGCTTTCTTCTGAACGCACTGCAGGCCGTCGGTGTGCAGCAATCTCTGACGACGGCGACGATCGCGACGACAACCTCCTCCCCTGCTGCCGCGTCCGCGCGCAGGCCCGTCTCCGCTGCATCCTAGCCGTGTTCCATGGCCGTGCTCGTCTCGCAGGACTGGCAGCCTCCCAAAGACCATACCATGGACGCGCTGCCCTCCCAATCCTCCGCCATCAACCCCGCCGTTCCTCGTCAGCGCTCATCACCCGCCAACGACCAGGCAGTGTCCCCCACCATGTCCAACCAGCAGCAGCCCTACCCCTACCCCGTCCAGCAGCAGCAGCAGCAGCAGCAGGCCGGCTGGTCGCCCGCCCACTCGCCGCAGCAGTACTACCCTGCCTTCTACCAAAACCAGCCGTCCTACCCCGTCCACGGCCACCCGCCCCAGCAGCAGATGCACGCCCCCTACTACGACCCCGCCAACAACCAGTACGCCCAGTGGGCCTATCAGCAGATGATGTTCACCGCCCAGCAGCAGGCCCATCAAATGTCCCACGTCCCCCAGCACATCGGCTCCCAGCGCGGTAGGTCCGCGCCGCCGTCTGGCGACTACTTTGCGATCAACCAGCTCCCCGGGTTCAATCCCTTCCCCAGCGGCACACCGCCCCCGCATCCGTCGCAGCTGCCCAACGGCGGCTACCCGCCGAGCGACCAGCAGCCTCCGCAGTACCAGGGCTTCCACCCGTACCGACGCCCGCCGCGCCAGGCGTCGGCGTCCAGCCAGGATCCAGCCCCGAACGGCGAGTGGCGGCCCCCGCCGCAGACAGGTCCTTTCCAGGCGCCGTACGTCCGCGCCGACGCTGCCGGATCGTCGACATCGATCAACTCGTCGTCCAGCAGCCAGCGACAGCGCACGAACAGCAACCAGGGTCCGCCTGCATCCCCGCCCTCGTCCCTCCATGTAAAGCCGAGCAGCCACCCTCGCGGCGGGAGCGCTGTGTCTTCCCCACCGCCCAGCACGTCCTCGCAACGAACACACGGCCGCACGTCTTCCACGTCTTCCGCATCTTCTACGACACGCGCACCCAGCACGACGACTGCCTCCACCTCGGTACCCGCGGCTGGCGGCGCGACGCAACGAAAGCCGTCGCCGCTCTCGCAGGGTAATTTTACCGCAGCGGAGAAGCGAATGTCCCGCGACGACAGCGACCTGGCCGCGATGCTGGAGCCGAACCCGAACGCACCAGGCGTGCGCAGCGGTGGGCTCAAAGGGCGATTGCGACGTGCACTCTCGCTCGGAGCGAACAACACGCTGCTCGAGGAGGACGAGGGCGGCGAGGAGGACACAGCGAAGGGGGCGCGCCCGGCTCCCACGGGGAGCGGGAGCTCACAGGCGACGATCACGGGGGACGACGAGTCCACGGCGACGGTGCAGAAGAAAAAGTCGCGGTCACTGTTCAACTCACGGCTCAATCGCTCGACGGACAATATCTCTCTGTCTTCAACCATGTCCTCTGCGTCGATGGTCATCCGAAAGCTCGGCTCGATCGGGAAGCTCACACGCCGCAACTCGCTTGCGGGGATAACGTCACTCTTCAAAGACAAGAAGGAGAAAGAGGACGAGGAAGCTGCTGTCGCCGCCGGGAAAAAGACCAAGAAGAAGAAGGGTGAAAAGGGCGCCCCCGCAGAAGCTAGCGTGTCGATGGCTACCGCGGAGCTTGACCGCACGGAGTACGGTGGCCCAGAGCTCGCAGGGCTCAGTCCCGCCGCGCGACTCGCGCGGCAGCATACGCTGAAGAGCAACGCCGAGGCCGCTGCAAAGGCCAAGGCCGAGGCCGAGGCGCGTGCCGCCGCCGCCGCAGCAGCAGCGGCGCAGAACGGCGAGCAAGTGGACGTGCCGACGACGTGGGAGAAGAACACCACGAACCGGCAGGGCGATCCCGCAGGTGGACGACGGGTGAACGAGGAGGGGATGGGCATCGTGGACGACAACTCAGATAGCGGCAGCGACGAGGGGCCGCAAGACCGCCATCCGCAGAACTACAGCATGGACGGGTGGGACGACGACGAGGACTGGAACGAGGCGCAGGAGGAGGAGGACGTGACGATCCGGGCGGAGTTCGAGCATGCGACGCTGGAGGACCAGGAGGAGATGGAGCCGTGGGCGGTGAACGTGCGGAGGAGCGTCGAGAAGGCACGGAAGCCGGCGAAGGGCATCTTGAAAAGTGAGTCGCCCGTCTGTCAGGAGGTCTAGACTGACCGTGTCCGTCCCAGCGCAAGGCTACGAGCAGGACGCGTACCTCCACCCGGAGCCGCCGTTCGCGCGCATGCGCTCAAACTCGTACGACTCGGCGCCCTCGCGCAGCGGCGAGCTCGGCCCGCTCGCGCGCATACCGTCGCCCGACCCCGACCACATCGACGGGCTGCACAAACACAACTCGCATAGCCCGCCAAATGGTCAGGGCGCGTCGAACAACGGCGTGTTCATCCCGCCGCTGGCCTTCGAGAGCAATGGGCTCTCACTCGACTCGCCGAAGGACGTCACCGACACGAGCAGTGTGAACTCGGGCGCCACGGAGAAGGTCTCTTCACACATCCGAACTCGTCTGCACCGGCGCTGTCGGCGATGTTCTCGCCAAATCCGCCGACGCTCTCGCAGCGTTCTGCGACGGCGCCGGCAAAGCGACTCGCCTTCGCGTCCAATCTGTCGGTCTATGACACGTTCCCAGCGGCGGTGTACGACAGGCGAAGCGAACCTGCGACATGGAGCCGGCTCACGCCGGCGTTGGCGCAACGCATAAAGGAGGAGCTAAACTCGTACAAGATGGAGGAGATGGAAGTGCATGCTTCGAGCCGTGTCCAGTGCGTACCTTCCGTTGTCCCTAGCTACATCGTCGCTGACCGTCTTGCCACAGCACACAATTCTTCGTTTGATACTTACTCACGTGGAGGCGGCTTTCGGTTCCTTCTCACTTCTCACTTGTGCGACATTGCAAAACAATTACTACGGTTCCCCGCGTCCTGCCTGTTGCACTCACCCCCTTTCACAAAGCCCGCCTCTCCCATTCAACCGCTGCCCCAGTCGTCGTCCCTTGCACCACTATTCGCACATGACAGCTGTTCACGCACTTTTTGGATCAGATATTCGCGGTTCTCGATCTCATCTCAAGTTATAGTATACCCCATCAATGCCCCAATGTGTAATACTATGACGCATCGTGTCGGTCCGATCCCTACGTACATGTACGCTGTGCCGTACTTATTTGACATCTCATTCCTTTTTGCACTCATACGGACCTTGCATGGCTGCAGTGTGCGCATCATAGCTAACTCTTATCACGCATTCCTGTTCGTAATCATCTTGGTCCGTCCGCTCGCTCTTCCCGTATTCTTACTGCGCAACTATCTACTTTCATCTCTCACATCGATGTGTCGTAAGCTGCCGGCAGTCCTGAGACGAACCGATGAACAGCTCGTACGTTATTGCCAGTGAGGATGTCAATTCTGTTGCATCCCTACATCGCACCGAGTACAGTACAGACAACTCGGTGAGTACACTGGAAAGAGCAGGAATAACAAGACGAGTATTGTGCCAATAATCTACATACGTGCGTGCTTAGTGTGAGAGGGCTATGATGATGCGGGCTGATATGGTAAAGTCAAGAATGTCCCAACGACAACGTCCGACGAGGTGAAAGATTTGGAATGCTATTCTCAGCATCACTCCCAGGACGGTGAGGTGCTGTATGAGTGATTGCGAGAGGCAGACCCGTTCTGCTGCGGTGGCGGTGGCGGCTGCTGTGCCGGGCTCGATGGCGACCATTGCGGCGACGTCGGACTGTACGCGGGGGACGCAGGAGCTGTAACGGCGCTTCAGTGACGGCTCCAATGTCATATACGCAGATTATACTCACAGTATGCAGGGGCTACGAGGGTTGAGATGAGGCAGATCAGTAACACATCAAGACACATCTACTGGAATACGTACAAGCTGGCGAGTAGGTTGGCGACGTCGGTGCTAAAGGGACGTTAACAACAGCGTAGCAAGGGTTGCACGGTTACTCACAGTACTTGGGAGATGCGGGTGACGCTGGCGAGGTCGGTGAATACTTCGGCGACGAAGGAGACATCTGGGCAGGAGCTATTGATCGTGTCAATCACAAATTCGAATAGTATAAATCCTTTGAACCTACACGTCGGAGAGTCTGCAAGCATTGAAGACGTCAGAGCAAGGCGAAGACTCAGGTCAGAGACACTTACATCTCGGTGAAGCCGGGCTGAACGATGGACTCGTTGGTGAGTACCGTGGCGACGTTGGGCTGAACGACGGGGACTGCGGGCTGTATCGAGGCGACGTCGGGGAGAATGATGGCGAAGTGGGTGAGTAGCGAGGACTCGTGGGTGAGTATCCCGGCGATGTGAGGTTCAGAGCTGGGGACGTCGGCGAGTATGTAGGCGAGGTTGGTCCACGGGCTCGGTCGTAGAATGGTGACGTTGCGTAGGGCGAGGTGCCGAACGGGGAGGTCGCACCACCGTATGGCGATGGTGGTACATACGGAGACGTCGGCGAATACACATTCGGCGAGCTAGGACTGTATCCGGGGGCCGCTGGCGACATGCCTCCAGCACCCATGGGGCTCTGCCCGAACCCGAGATACGAGAAGTTCGCTGGGTCTTCACCACCATTGACAGCAAGTGGTGAGAACGCAGCGGCTTCTCCTTTGAACGAAGCATCGGCGTTCCATGTCGGCGAGTTGGAATCGTAAGGGGTCATAGCCACTTGACCCGGCGTCATGCCAGCGTCGACTTGAGCCGCCATGAGGGTCTGCACAGGCAGCCGGTGGTCTACAATCACATCCTTGAGCATATCAATGTCCAGGGCGACGTCAAACGCGCCAGTTCCCATAGGTGCCATTTGCCCGAATATGACGTTCTCCGCGATACCATGGCAGTCATCTCTCTCGCCAACTGCAGCCGCCTCCATCAGGATCTCGACGGTCTCCTCGAACGAACTCCGCATGAGCGCGCCCGTGTCAGCTCGATTGATTCCATGCCGGGTGATAGCCATCAGTGTACCGCGATGTGTCATGAGATCGCACAGCAACGATAGATGTCGATAATTGACATAGGACCCGTCGAACTCGATGACACCACGGAGTTCCTTCATGATGGCGACGCGGGCAGCTTCGATACCGAGTACATTGAAGATCTCGACACAACTGTTTGAGTACGTTCGCCGGAAGTCCACGCCGTCGACGGTCATGACGGTCTTGAGATTGACACCGTCCGTCTCGAGAACCCACTCTTTCTCCTGGTGGGCCTTGATGCTGCCCTCGTCGGTGATGACAACTTTGTCGTGCTCGAGCAAGAACACGCGGTTGATCCCGGGTACACCACGCAGGCTGATTGAGTTCAGCATAGTGTTCTCGAGTTGTCGAAGGAAGATATCCTCTTCCACGGTCTCCATACCATCCTCGTCCTTGTCGGCACCACCTAACACACGGCAGCGAATGATGAGCTTCTCGGAGTTGTCTTCACTCCAAATGACGAACAGGTCAGTCTTGAAACTCTCCGCGATCCGACCAGCGACGTAGGACATCGTCAGCTTACGATCGATCATCTTCGCACGATCCAGCTCCAGACGCAAGAGCCACGGAGACTGGAGGTGTAGCTTCTGTTCAACCTCCTCGTCGGGGATTGCAAAGAACGACTCGACGAAAACGCTGTCCTCCTCGATGATGGTGGAAGTCGGATCGGGATCATACCAGATCTCCACCGCCGCCGTGACAGTGCGCAGAGACGTGTATGCCAACTCCTGTTGAACTCCGTTCGCAAGAATCTTGTCCTTGGCGATGTGCGGTGCGAGGAACACGGAGAGTGAGGGCGTCTTGATGTTCGTCGCGACGTTGATGATTTCCTTCAACCGCGGCACACCGAGCGTGACGTTCTTACTGGATACACCGGCATAGTGGAACGTGTTCAGCGTCATCTGCGTCGCCGGTTCACCGATAGATTGCGCTGCGAGCGTACCGCACATCTCGCCTGGGTGCGCCACGGATTGATTGAACTTCGCCTCGACTTCGCCAAGAACCCACTCGAATGCTTCCTGGTTCAAGTGAAAGCGCTCCAGGACTCTCCGCGCAGCGAACGTAGCACGAAGGTGAGTGCGGAACAGGAGAGTTGCGTTGTTCTGGGCCTCCTGCGAGATACGACCATCGCCACGAACAACAACTAGGCGCTCTGCCAGCTCGCGCACGGAGTCGATGATGTAAGCGGGGTCGAGGTCACTTGGTTTGCGTCGGTCGATATGGAAGATTTGTATCGCGTTCTGTACAATCCGCTGAAGGTTGACGGGAAGGTGGTGAGGGACACTGGGATCCTGAGAACGGAATACGAATTCGCGTAGCAGGCGGCGATCTTGGACGAGCTGGTCGTACTCCTCGTCAAGCTTCCCTTGCAGCTCCAGAGAACTGTCGTCCAAGCCAGCCTGGAGTACTCCGGGTAGGAAACCTCCAGACGGATCCGTAACGTCAACGCGGTAGTTGTGGGCGAATTCGCGGTCGTTCAGAGCAAACGTCTCGATGTTTTGGCGCTCGATGAATGCACCATCCATGCCGTCTTCGCCATACACGAACTGAACGAGATCGCCGAGGGAATTTCGGACCGTTCCATCGTAACATACCGCGACATCCTCGAGTGCCTTGACGAGACGCCGCTGGATATAACCCGTCTCCGCTGTTTTGACAGCGGTATCGATCAGACCCTCTCGTCCAGCCATGGCGTGGAAGAAGAATTCCTGTGGCGTCAGACCACGAAGGTACGAGTTCTCAACGAATCCGCGAGCTTCCGGGCTAAAGTCGTCCTTGGTGAAGTGCGGAAGCGTCCGGTGGCGGAAACCAAATGGTATCGACGCCCTTCGACGATCTGTTGGCCGACGCAAACCGACATCTGGGAGATGTTGATGAAGGACCCCTTGGATCCGGCGGTTACCATCTGCTTCACGTTGTTATCCTCCTTCAAGGCCTTTTGCGCGTACTGCCCGTTCTGGTCACGAGCCAGGTTGAGCTCTCGCTCCACTCGACTCTCGAAGGACTCTCGGATGGTCATGCCAGGCGCGGCTTTGAGACGATCGTGCGTGGCGTCCTCGATGGCTTGGACGACGCTCTGCTTCCGGATCGAGATCTGCTCCTTGATATGCTCCATCGTGTTTCGATCCGCGATGGTGTCGCCGATACCGATGCTAAAACCGTTGTGGAACAACCAATAATTCACGACCTGCTGCAGACCCGTGAACAGGGTCCTCGTAGCCTCTGGACCCTTCTCGCGGAAGCAGATATGGATGAGACCGCCTTGAGACGCTCCCACGGTCTTCTTGTCAACGATGCCGAAGATGATCTCTCCGTTCTCGACATTCATGCCGTCATCGAAGACGGGGTTTGCGGACTTGGGATCCGGCGAACGGAAGACGTTGAGACCTCGGGGTATGCACATACTGAGGATCTGTTTGCCGGTCCACAAAGGTTTAGGCTTGATGATGGCAGGCGTCGGTATAGAGCCGTCCCAGTCTGGCACCCATAGAAGGATATTCTGCACTTGGGTCCAATCGAGAAACGAATCGCGCAGGGTAAACTTGCGGATACCGCAAAGCGTATCTTGCACGATTGCCATGACGGGTTTGTTAGCCTGTGGCGAGATGATCTGAGGAGGTGTTTGCGTGAGTGACTATCATTAGAAGTGAGGACAAGTCATACTTGTCGGGGCACCCAGGCGATTTGACTCAACTCAGCACGAGTCTCCTCGCTTTGTGGCACGCTGCAAACATCGTCAGGTCACTGGAAAGTATACGAAAAGAAGCTTTACTTACTGCATGTTCATTTCGTCACCATCGAAATCGGCGTTGTATGGAGGCGTGACGGACAGATTTAACCGGAAAGCTACACGAGTCAGTCGCATTGATCCACCGCAGTCGGAATGGACGTACTAGAGTATGGCATGAGTTTGACTCGATGGCTCATCATACTCATCTTGTGCAGACTAGGCTGCCGATTGAAGAGAACGAAACTATCATATTGGTGAGATTCATGCAGCATACGGGCGGCTGAATGTACGTACTCTCCATCCCTCAGGTGTCGTTCGACGATCCAGCCGTACTGCAGGAAGGCGTCTGCGCGCTTGTTGTACCGGAGGTCTATCCGCTCTCCCGTGTCCCGAACAACGTATCGTGCACCCGGGTATGCGGTCGGGCCGTTCCTGACAAGCTCCTGCAAGTATGCGATATTGTACGGCGTCACTGCGATACCGTAAGTATGGATCTGATGCGTGATTACCACGCTTTACGTACCACGCTCGGGGTAGGTCAGATTCATGGCGATGCTCTTCGGTACGCCAACCTCGTCAAGCTCGAGGTTCGGATCGCCAGTAATGACCGTACGCGCGGAGAAGTCCACACGTTTGCCCATCAGATTGCCCCGCAGCCGGCCCTCTTTACCCTTCAGACGAGCGCGGATAGCTTTCACGGCCTGCCAGATTTCTGCAGAGCCTGCGGAATTCCAGCAATATCATTGTCCATGTACGTTGCAACGTGGAACTGCAACGTCGGGCATCAGCAGACGTTGTGCACCATTTAGACTCTACGCACCTGAAGGAGCTGCTCGAATTCGGTGATGACGTGAGCCGGAGCACCCTCCTGCTCGCAACGGCGGACATTTTGCGACGCCTTTATGATATCGCCCAGCTTGTATGTCAGATCATCTTCGCTCCGCATCGTGCCACCGTCTACCGCAATGCTCGGTCGCACAGGGGGCGGCGGTACGGGCATAACGGTCAAGATCATCCATTCCGGCCGCGCGTAGTCCTCCGAGAGGCCCAACATGTGCAGGTCAGCGTCAGAAATCTTCTTCAATGCCGTGTAAACTTCGTGCGGAGGGAAGAGCCGCTTGTCTGGCTGCAACGACTTCACCTCCTGCAGGGAGATTAGAATTGGCTCCCAATGGTAGCCCTGGAACAAACCTCATCGTCGTCCTTCGACCTCTTGTATTGCACGAAGAGCTTGAGGCCTTCTTTTCGAATCAACGGCTGTGCAGCACCACAACCCCCATGACCCTTCTTCGGCTCGTCATTTTCCGGGCCATCAGGATCGTCCTTAGGATCATCCGTCTCGCACATCATCTTCCCCTTGCAGGCGTTCCAGACAGTTTGCATTCGCGCTTTCGGGTCACGGTGGGTGCGTTTGATCTTCTCGGCGAACCCCACGTCCGACTTACAGATGGCACCATCATCGAAGAATATGAAACATGAACGTCAGCAAAGGTTCGTAGTTACCTGCACAATCGCGTCGTGCAGCATCCTGCGACGAGTACCACATAACAACGGAACAACAGGGGGCTACAGAACTCGAGTTATCAAGTGCTGGCCAAAGACAAGCCACTCAGCCTGCGTCACAGGGAGGGCTGTCTGACCATCCATCGCAGCGTGGTTCACAAGAATCCATCGCATACATTTTCGCACTATCTCGCTCAGCCCCCCATTTCACCACGCCACTGCGTGTCCAACCAGCGCCGGATGGTGTAGCGGTCAACGCGGCGATCAAGCGACCGAAAACGCGCGTCTCCCTCACCCGGGCGGAAGAACGCCTCGATTGTCGAGGACATCCGCAGAGCGGGCTTGGGGTTCTCCATGTGTGGAGAGAGCCCCCAGAAAATTGGGTGGTGGGGTGCGAACGAGTAGAGGAAAAGAACAAAACTCACGCTGCTAACTTTCAACCTCCCGCAATTTACGCAAATACACTCCAAAATCTTCTTCACTTTCACGATGAAGCCTAAGAAACAGTCAAGGGTATGTCCATTGTATTGCGGATGCGACGTACCTGGGTGAAAGACAGGTCTGGCAAGCTCAATGTGGCCGAAATGCCCAGGGCATTCCGACATCCCCTCTCCACACGTCTGACACTTGAAATTCCTGTCTATAGTACCCATCCGGGGATCCATCAAGCCACCCGCCCTAGGCTTGTGTGTCGCCTCATCCATGACTTCAGGATGCTCGATTTTCGCGACCGAATACGCTTTCTGGACAAGACGTGAGATTAAAGCAGCAAGATATTCCAACAACACGCACGATCTCTTCAGGTGAGAGAATGCCAAACTGAACCTCCTTCACTTTGCGGATCGGCGCCGCAGAGTACGCAAACTGGTGGCCTAGCATGATGACAGAGTCGTCGAGGACAATAGAAACGCTGGAGCACAGAAGTCGGCAAAGGGCGAAGGGATTAGCAGTAGCTAGTACGATAGGGAACCGAGGAGTCTATTCAGACAGGTATATATCGACGTTGACGCGTTCCGCGTATCCTCGTTGAGGACGGGTCGCTCAGGAGGTTGTCGCGGATTTTTGACCGAGCTGAGTAAACGCCGTCAGACGCGGTCGGATCGTCCAGAGCTCGCGAGAGCTGTCGTTAGCGGGCCTAGAGACGCTCTGAGAGCTGTGACCAAGACCAAGAAGTGCCGGAGAGGGGCGACGACGGGCGGGACGACGACGGCGAGGTGGTTGGAGGACAACTCACGATGAGCCGCACAAGGGTCGGGGCCGTGCCTTTAGTCACGCCCTCCTGCGGACCACACGCTCGGTCACGCTCAGTCACACTGCGTCACACCCGCGCAGCCTGAGCACTTGAGCGAGCGCCGGGCTGGGTGAGGTCAGCGCTCACAACTGGCGCAGCGCAACGAACACTCCTCATCGCCCACCATGACCTCCTACCTGAGCTCGCTCATCTGGGGCACCTCCCAGGTCGATGATGCAGTCGGTGAGTATTGCTCTTCTGTGGTGTCAACTTACAGGAGATAACAAGCGGTCATAGACAAGGCGACCTCGGAGCTGCTGCCGTCTGGCACCGAGGACATCGCCCTCAGCCTCGAGATCAGCGACCAGATACGATCCAAGTCTGTCTCGCCGAAAGATGCTATGCGTGCTCTCAAGCGTCGTCTGAACCACAAGAATCCTAATGTGCAACTCCTTGCACTGGGCGTACGTGTGCACCTGCTGCGTATGAAGCGTGACTGACCCTTACTCCCACTTCAGTTGACGATACGTGTGTCAAGAACGGCGGCGACCAGTTTCTCCAGGAAGTTGTGACACGCGAGTTCATGGACAATTTCGTCAGCATCCTGAAGATGCCTGCTCTCAACCACGATGTCAAGGACAAGATATTGAGGCTCGTCCAGAACTGGGCTCTGGCGTTTGAGGGCAAACCTAGCCTCGGCTATGTCGGTGAGGTCTACAGGACGTTGCAACATGAAGGTCGGGTTTCGATATCCTCCGCACAACGCGTCATGTTGACAATCATTGAAGGGTTTACGTTCCCTCCACGCGACCCCGCCGCGACTAGTTCTGCCATGGTTGACACGCAGACAGCTCCTGAATGGATCGATTCAGATGTTTGTCTGCGCTGTAGAACGCCGTTTACGTTCACGAATCGCAAGCATCACTGCAGGAACTGCGGTCAGGTCTTTGATCAACAATGCTCGTCGAAGACCCTTCCTCTGCCGCACTTCGGGATAACACAAGAAGTCCGAGTCTGCGACACTTGCTACAACAAGCTGCATAAGAAGGCTACCAAGTACGTCCTGTGTCTCTGCATTGAGCTCGAGTTGACCGTTCACTCCAGGAACCACCGTCCTTCTCAGAGTGTGTCTGGCTCTCGCCATCGTGCGGCCCGGGATCTCTATGATGCAGAACTACACCGAGCCATTCAGCTCTCCCTTGAAGAAGTTGGCGCCGCTGGTGGTCGTCGGCCAGGGTATGTTCCGTCCCCTTCATCGTGGCAGTCCTCAGAGCCACCGTTGGTGGACCGCCGTACGCATCCTTCCACTGCGGCATCACGCTCTCAAGAGGAGGAGGAGGACCCAGATCTCAAAGCTGCAATTGAGGCCAGTCTACGCGAAGCGAACGCTCCAAGGCCCAGCGCACCGGTCGTCATCGATACGCCTTCACAGGAGCAGCCTGGTGTTTACAATAACGGGTATGGTTTCCCATCCTCGTATCCTCCCTCGGCAGCGACGCCGAAGCCGAGGGCACCGAGTCTTCCGAACTATGACCTCGAACCGTTGGAGGCAGACGCTATCATGACCTTCAACCAAACAGTGGAGCAAGTTCAGACGCAAGGGATTACCGATGTCTCGAGATATCCCGCGGTGACGGAGTTGTATGACAAGGCGAATGGATTGAGGCCGAAGCTAGCGATGAGCCTGAGTGATACAGGGCGCAAAGAGCGTGCGTGTTTTGATGCTCTACAAAGAGGCCCATAGCTGAACACTGTTGTCCCCAGAGTTGCTCCAAGAGATGCACGAGAAACTGTCCCAAGCAGTCAAGCTCTACGACAACCTGCTGACTCAACAAGTCTCTCGACCAACTTGGCAACAGGCTTCGACGAGCTATCAGCAAGCTAATGGATATACTCCTCAGTATCGAACAGCGGAGCCCGTTTACAGTCAGTGGAATCCACCTCAGCCGCAACAGCAGATGTCTCCGGGCCTGCGCAAGCACTCCATTACCTTACCTTAGTCGCGACCAACCGGTCACTAACGGGGCGTATGTAACGTCGCCTACGGCAGAAACACCGCCTCAACCGATGTATCAACCATCGTACCAATCGCCACAGATGATCACATCTCAGCAACCGTACTCTCACTCGTCGTATGCGCAGGCTGCACCTGCGAGTCCTGTGCCGGTCACCATCCCCCAGTACGGTGCTCCTCCGCCGGCGCCTCCTACCGCTGTGCCCTACCCACCTCCGACGCCGGCTCAGCATTTTCCGCCCCTTCCGCACCCCCACCTCAGACTGCGTCCGTCCCGGTTCCTCAAGTCGCATCCCCATCTTCCTCCTCCCCTGCTCTCCAATCGTCGTTGACGCGGTCCCACACTGTCGCTTCGCACTACCGTCCTTCGGACCAACAGGCGCAAGCGTACATCCACCGACACAGCACGATGTCGCACCCCCAGGAGCAGTTGCAACAACTGCAGCAGCTCGCGGCGCCGCCTCAGCTGCCTAACTTCCCTGCAGTGCCGACGGGTTCTCCCCAGACGTATGCGGCGTATGGTCAGCCAATACATGCGGAGCCGGAAAGAAAGGAAGCGTTGTTGATCGACTTGTAACGGACCATTCTGTACCGCTGTGGATGTATGGTTATATGTATATGGCTGCTAGACGATGGAGTTCCAACATGTGTTATCTTAGGAATTCGTATGAATTTGAAGCATGGGCGAGTTTGGGCCCTGAGCAACGTAGCATCCCATTCTAGTGCGTTGCAACGAGAATTATCGCTTGAGGTCAGTTTGTTCAGCCGCGTCAAAAGATATGAACGTAGGCAGGTTGGCCGGGGCTGACAATATGTTACATTGACACGAAGCAAACGACGGTGAGGTGGATCAGAATCCATCGGTATCGATTCATGACGTACGCCTACCAGCTCACAGCAGTGGAAATACAGGTGCGAAGATCACTAAGGCGGGATCACTTACAACATTATATATACACCAGAAATATCATATGAACGACGAATAAACAAAATTGGATGACCGTCCAGTTCCATACAATTCAAGCTACCGCGCACCGATTCCCATCTTGAGCATAGCACCTACTACGTCGACATCATCCCATCTGGACGCTGCGCTACCCCCCTCGGAGCTTCCCGCACTCTTCTTTGTCTGGATGTATATGAGCGCATTGCGGAAATGGCGGGTGATCATGTCGGGTGTCTGTACACCCTCCAGCAGCCCTGGTGGCGCACGTTGTGAGGGGTGGACGTCGGGAGAAGAGATGTTGTCGATCGAAGAGGTGATAAGGTCAACCAAGCTGTTGACGAATTTCGGTGTCACCTGCGAGTACCCACGACATCAATTGGCAACACCGCATCAGAGACAACGAGGACTTACAGCAGGTGCACCACGATCGAGATAATACAGGTATTGATCGAGAGTATCACAATACAGCTGCACCGTGACGATCTCTTCGATTGCCGAGCTTGCGATACGGAGCGCTTTCTGGAGGCACTCCAAAACACGCTTGCTATCCTGATGAGGATGCTTCGGTTTCCAAGTCAGCACCCACAGCTTGAAAACACTGCGCAGGGTTCTCACCGCTTTCTTGACGTTCTCCGCGCCATCCTCCGTCGGCGCCGAAGGTTCTGGATCCTTCGAAGGAGCCTCCTCGTCGGGAGGTACCTCTTGCCACCAGAGGTGACTGGCGAGGTTGACTGCGGTCGCCTGGTGCGGCTTCTTCAACAGCCTAGCGCCATGCAGAGCCGCCTTGGTGATGAGGGTGTCATAGTTGTCCTCGCTGAATACCCTTGCACCTTGCAGAGTCCCAATGATAAGGGTGATCGCCTGCAACTGAGCACGGCTTTCTGAGATACTGTCCTCGTAGACAGAGAACGCGGACACATATAGATCGTACGCAAGGTCTTCGAACCCACACTCGTCGGCGATCTGTGCAGCGAGAAGGAAGAGTCTAAGCGCAATCGAAGGTGCCTCGACCTGAGTAGCCAGGATGGCAATGAGTTGTCGCGCAAACTTGAGGATGTTGGAGGCTTTGTTACGCCAATCGTCCTCCTATGAGATACCACGTCAGAGCGGCAGAGATCGCGTTCGCGCGGAAGACGCACCACATGTTCCCTCTTTTTATACCGTCTGCATAGCTTGACGGCGGCAGTGATAAGGGCTGGGTAGGTATAGCGCATCCGATCTCCACCGGTCTCGAAATGTCTTCGAGCAGTTTGCAGGAGCTGGGGCGCCCAGTCACCAATTGAAGGAGCATCAGGATTGTGGGACACATACCTCGAACTGCACGTCCAACGACTCCGCCCGGAACAGATGCACCATTCGCGCCACCCAGCCCTGTTCCTCTGCCATCTCTTCCCGGTCCGGATGATACACACCTCTTCTTTGCTCCTTCGGTATCGCTTGCGAGCCCAGTAGCATACCTGTGCCATCGGTTTGATCCCGAATGAGAACATGACATAGCTCCAGGATTCCGTTGACATCCTCCGGAGTCTCGATGATGGTCTCGTTCTTGAGAACGGACGAGATAAGGGCATGGGCGAGCGACCGGCGAGTTTGTAAGGTCTGTACGGCCAGAAGCGGGGTATATTGTTGCAGAGCCAGGAGAGTAAGCACGGACTGGTAGGAGTTGATGGGCGCGGCAAGCAGAGATGCGAGATTGGCTACGGTCTGCGGTGAGTGTAAGTCAGGACTACGGATGCTGTTAGCATCGTGACAACGTCAGTGGTGAGCGAGGAGTCACCTGTCTGCGTATTCCTTGATTTTGTCATGGGCGAAACCAAGCACTTGATCCACGTATTCCAGCCGATCGGGGTAGCAGCTCAGGGACAGATTCGTCAGGGACACTAGAAGAGCAGTCATATCCTGTATTGAAAGGTCTGGCCGTGCCTGTGGATGCGGCTGAACGTGAGATCATGTCGCAAGGTGTACGAATGCGGCGCACCTTGATGAGCTCGACAACCTGCTGCCAGAACACTTCAAACAGCTTCACGTCCTCCGGTACACCCCTGAACTTTCGCAGATGCGTCTCCTTCTCCTTCTCCTTACCCTTGTCGAGCTTCTCGCCCTCCACCGCCGTTTCCTCTGTGCCGTGTGCTGTACTTGAAGCTGCATCGAAATCCTTCTCCTTGTCGACAACAGGGCTGGTCGGCGTTGATCCCCAAGCAGCACTCTCCGCAGCGACAGTTTCGGAAGTAGGACTTGACATGCCGTTCGTGTGACCATTCATCCGCAACTTGGCTTTCTGAACCTTGACCTTCTCCGCAAGTCGGCGCGCAGCAGCCTCCTCTTGCCGTTTCGTCTCCTCGGGGTCCTCGTTCTCTGCTTCACGGGCGGCGTAGGCGGCAAGGCGGTCAATCAATGCAATGACAATTTGTTTGATGTTGACCTTGGGATGCAGCTGGGCTGTGGCAGACAAGAATGGACCCAGAGTGTGTAGGTGGAATTCGTCGGTAAACACCTGCACAACGGTGAACCATGCAATCGAATGTTCAACAATGCACGGCGTACCTGGATTACGACCTCCATCAGGTACTCCTGCGCAATGACATCCTTACAGCTGACGACTTGCTGGAGGACGTTTGGCAGGATCATTTGCTGGTATAGATCGAGGTCCACGCCGTCAAGCTGACTGAGACGGACGAGGTTGGTCCCGACAAGTATACGGAGCTCCTTGCGCTCCATCTCACGCTTCTCGCGGTCTCGCGAATGTCCTTGATGTTGTAGGCGTACCCATAGCTTGTTCATCTCGACGAAGTTCGTGAGCACGAAGGAGATAGAGTCCTGGAGGTTGCCTCCGGGGCTGTGCGACACCACTTAAGCTTTCCTACACAACATCAGGAAAAAAACACGCACCCTGGATCCGTCCCAACTGGTAGATGATCTCTCGTCTGCCCGCTGAGATAGTGTCGCAAGAATAATCCCCTGATAGGGTGCAGAACGCCTCGCGACATCTCCATCATGTCCTTCATGATCTCCTTCACCGGCGCGTCGGGGACGGACATGTATACTGAGCCGACAGTGATCATCAAGTAGAGTCGAGGAACGATGTTGCCAGCGTATTGCACGAGCTCGTAAAGATCGGCTAGGTGGTGACGACCCTGGGTGTGGGCGTCATATAGATAATTGGATAAGTGACGGAGAGCATCGAAAACGGCCATATCTACAGAGGTGTCAGTAGATAAACACTGTGAAGAGAAGCTTGAACGAACACAATTCATAGTACTGCTTCGGGGACAGGGAAGAGGTGCGTAACTCAGCCAGCATAAGGCTCGCGCTTTTGAGCGCGTCCATGAGCTGGTCAAGCTCCTACGCCAGGTCAGTCAGCTCCGTTTCAGACGATGCAAGATGTAAGACGCGACGCACTAAATGCCTCTTCATCTGCTGGGTCTGTATCTTGACCGTGCTCAGTGATTCACTGAGCAGCTTACCCTCCTCCGGCACCATCGTCTGCGGCGTAGTAGCCATCCCGCCTAGTGAACGAGGCGACTTTTGAGAAGTCGCTGCGTCGGTCGCGTAGCAGAGAAGTGGACGGCCAGCAAGATGGGCCTGGTGAGTTGGACGGTACCGCAGCGGGGGCGACCCGGCTACGTATCCTCAGCTGGCATCCATATTCGGTATTCTTACGCTACGCCTGAGCGCTCGCGTTGCGGCATTTCTCACGGCGACTGAGACTTCTTTTTTGACGATGCCCACTTGGATGCCTGGCAGCATGTACACAACAGCAAAAATCCAGCTTATGCATGTCGCCGCCGAGCTCATACCGTTATATTGGATTGCATTGAGATACCAACGAGACCGCCGCATTGCAGTACATGGTAGTACTCGGCGTGAGCCTGAGCTGGCTTAGACTCTTCCGAGTCTTCGCAGCGTGTCACCAACCCCGCTGCCAGTTCCTCTTAAGTAGCCTCAGGCCGCTCACTCCAGCATGCGTTCCCGGCAGGAGTCCATGAAATCGTCATAAAGAGTACATCTAACTTGAGTGAAAACCAGCCTCGCATCAAGAAGACAATTGGGAGCATTAATAGACCTTTCAACTAACATACGGTGCCGCCAAGGCTACTCCCTGTGAGCCACGCTTGTCCATTAGCGCATGCACATTTGAAAATCAACACGTACCACTAGATGGATATTCAGTCCAATCGGTCCCTGCATGCTCTATACTCAGTTCCGTCACATCTCTCGTTACCGTACCCAGCGAGTCTGTCCGGCGTTGCCTGTTGTCTGCCTTGCTAGGTGTAGCCTCACGATCGGCGAAGTCAAGAGTTGGGGCAAATTCCGGCGCCGTTGGTTCCGTGGAAACCCCGCTCCAAATACGAATGATAATCAAGTCAAAAGATACGCCAGCCAGCTCCAAGCTCTATCATTGCCATCGAATTGACAAATGAGCAGAAGTGAGGCCTCAAAACGAAATAGACCTTACCATGTCCGATGTCCCGTAGTTCCCATTCGTCTTAGCTAGTTCGGTAACCAGTGTAATGGCGACTGAGAGCGTGTATAAAAGAGCCGACTCGACGAAGATCCTATTCACTTGTGACAAATTGACCCTGCCACTGCCTCTCCAGGTCTTCGTGAAGAGCCCTGACGAGAGCTTCTGCATGGACCAGATGCGGTATACCATCAGTCCTGAGGACGTCGCCAATCAACATACGTTCGATGTTGCTGCAACTCTAAGATCACTCACCAGTAGTGATGATGTTGACGGCTAATGACGTGGCGAAGACAGTATGATAGTAAGGTTGTATCTTTTTTGCGGAGGGTATTGTTGTGGCTTGCTTGAGCTCGAACATGTAGTACACTGCCAACGCAGCACAGACTGCTGCTGCGACCCAGAGAAGCACCGGTAGAAGCAAGACGACCAATAATCGTTGGTAGATGATCCAGCATCGATATATCTGCCAATTATGTCCTCGTGGGCAAAAGCACTCGAGCGTACTGATCAGCAGTGGGACGATCCTTACCAAAGCTGCGTCGGAAATCAAGGCTTGAAGATACCACCAAACACTCTAACAAGCCAAACTTATCAGACTACAAACATATAATGAGGGATAGTGTTTTCGGAGCTCACCCGCATAACATTGATCCAGTTCGAGATATCCTCGAATTCGGCGTTTGCTCCACCAGGTCCCGTGAAGAATACAAAAGCCACAAGGTTGTGGTAGAAATTGAAGCATACGTCTATGGTGCCGAAGATAAACAAGGCAATGGCTACCACCATCCATGGCCAACGATTTGAAGCTCGCAACGTCCGATGGCGCCAAAACCAGGCGTACATGCACGCTGCGAACGTGACGACGTGTATGCCGTACGCTATGCTCTGCATAAACAACGCTGCCAACTGTGCTTCGGCGATGGGAAACGGCATGCTTTTCGGTGCGGGAAGCACGAAGAGGAAGCGATGATGTGGGAGGCAAGGAAGTTGAACGCTGGCATAGTCCTTGGGCGCATATATGATGTCCGGATGTACACAGCCCCAAATCTGAGAGACTAGTTTCTGTTAGGGACGAGTACTTCCAACAGATGGATTTGCCCGAGCAGCTACTGGAGGAGTGCTTCTCGTCTGCAGCTATGAGTATCAATCATCACCCACACAACCTGCGACGCGGGCCACACACTGACTGATATGTCCCTGGTATGATTGCAACAAAAGTGGTTGTTAATCACCGCACTACGCCGCAGCATCCAACACGTCCACCACTGGCAAGAAGCAGTGCGCTAGAGACACGGCAGTCTCCGATGGTGTAGGTAGCTTACAGTAGTACTGCACAAGTTCTGCAGGCTGCAGATGGTGAACTTGCGGTGAACGCTCCGATGTATAAGAACTTTCTGACATCATCACCTTGAAGCTTGACAGATCGATTGAGCGCGTATCGCTGTGACGATAGGCTGGCGGTAGCCTGCGAGTGAGCGAGATGCGCAATGCGCCTAAACCATGCGAGCAGATTTCACTTTTCTACTGCACGGATCTTGGCAGTGAAGACGCAGACTGCGTGAAAGCAAGGGCTAGCCACCAGGGAGGAGGTGCGTATGAGAGACATCTGCATTTATAACTCCGACGCTCTTTCTGAGTGCTTTTCCGGGGCGTAACAGGGCCGCGCGGGGATATGTACTCACCACAACAGACTAGAAGCACCCTCGGGAGTTTCCCGCTGACAGTGCGCGCAGCCTGTCCGTCCACTGACACCAATCATAGATGCGGCATTCCCAGCGCCCTGGTGAGAGCTCCGAGCCGCAACCCCGTCGGAATGCCAACGGCTGTTACAAAATCCGAATGCAAAGTTGGTTGAGCTTGGCAAACGCACCTGTGATCTTAGTAACCATCCATCCCATGTGTCAGACCTAGCCTGCCGTAGGCAGACCACAATCACGACCTCTTTGACGGGGGGAGGACAGTTGTGTCAGACGTGAGGCGGACGTTGTGCATATCTTGTGTAGGTCGTCAGCCTACTTTGTCAGCAGCGATCCAGAGATCATTACGTGTCCGCCACCGACAACACACATGGCATATGTGGCACGATACGGTCCCTGTGGGCGGTTAGTCGAACTTCTGACCAGTTGTTGGGGACAAGTTCTACGACTCGCGGAATAAGAGTGTTTTGCACTCACGCGCACCGCCCCGAGTAGCACGGTTCAGTCATGAGTCCACATAGATGGTCACGTTGAGTCGATTCCCCGTTCCTTATGATCTGATGCTTCCTACGGCGGTGCGAACCTTCTGGGCAGTCAATCGGGTACTCGACTGGCCAGCTCGGGGCTGAGCATGCTGCAAGAATGCCTCAGACAAGGAACTCCTTCATGTGATTGCGCCCTGTCTATACGATGTTGTCACGGAATCTTGAGCTAGGCAGTGGCGGGCCCCTGCCTCACTACGCGGCGTGCCTGTCTTTGACCGTATCGATCATGTCTATGCGCGAGCGCAAACCGTCAATGGTTCGTCTAACAATGTGATTCAACACATCTAAGTTGATGAAGAGTCATCCAATGATCGTTCCGTGCATGTAAGACCTCATGCTCACCGATTTTGAGAGCTACATTTCCCTGCAAAACCTATGTAGATAAGTGCTGTCGTAAGAGCATTAAGTGAACACACAATATCCGGACCCAAACCCGCTCAAACTTCACTGACCTGAGCTTGGCGCAGCTCACTCCTCACGACGGCAGTAGTGACGCATGCGCAGCCAACAACTACGAGCGCAACGCCGTGCACATTAGGGCGGAATACCCCTTTCTGTAGATCGGCAACGTGGCATAATACCGCCAGGTCCCCATCACAAGCGTCGCCACGCCGGTTGTAAGGAGCGTCCCAGCTAGCTGTTGCCCATGCCCGACCTGGCGCTCGTGTTCTGCTTGGATGTCTGGGGACGCCGGTGCGATTTGCGTCTTGAGGTCCGCCCGTAATCTCTCGAAGCGCTCTACGCCGATGCCGAGTGCAATGAGGCCAAGAGAAGTGCGCGTCCATGCGAGATATGTTCGCTCGTTTGCTAGATGATCCCGCGCGGTGGAACCTGTGTTTTCGACGCGCCCGTAGCCACGGAAAATGAGGCGGATGAGCTTGTTCATAAGGGGGTAAAGCAGATGCGCAGAGTTGCTGTAAAGAAGAGAAGCTTCCGTGTGCCGGCAATGACGACGAGCCCTGGATGGTGGGTGTCAACAAGCAATGTCAACTCGTGACGGTCTCACGAAAACCGGTCGCTTGTGGCGACGGGCGTTCGGTAGAAAATCCCAATATGGCAATGTCTTACATACCCAAGCCGTCATGCGGCTCCTCGTCGATTCCGCCGTCGTGCGCGACAGCCTCCTCCAATGCCCTCACTCCCCTCTGCATGCGTTCTTCCTATCTTTCTACCTCCTCGCTATGCAGCATTTCTCCGGGACCACAACTCATAGTCCAGCGTTGGACCTATAGTTCGGGCACCGGGACCATTCTGATGGGATCGCAATCATGTGCGGCAGCGTGAAGGTCGGCGCCGTCTAGCGTCGCCTTCCTCGGAGTGCTCGGTCGCCTTATAATCAAAGCTGCTTGGACACCCCGACGGTGCCCCGCTCTTCTGACTTAGAGTTAGGTGTGCGCCATTCCTGCACAATGGTCTCCTACGACACCTCGACCATCGTCTTCCGGTATCCCATACTTCCCAGCCCGGGCTCAAGCTAGTCGCGAAACGCTACGTGCCCAATGGTGCGGTCCCTGCGGGTTTGACTCTGCTCTTTACTCACTGCACCGGATCACGTACGTACTCCAGCCCCTTCGTTATCCTCCCATTCTCAGCGTGTCTTCGTTGACAGACAAGGAGTCCTGGGAGGTCGTCATCGCTGAGCTACTTCAGCTCAAAGACTCTGCGTTCAACGCGCCCGTCGTGCGCGAGGCGTGGTCCGTCGACTGGCAGAGCCATGGCGAAGCTGCGACTGTGAACGAGAACATTCTGAAGATCGACACTGAGGGCCTTTGTACGTCCCCATCTTATACTTCGAGGTTGTCCATCTGATCCTTCTTCAGCTGTAACAGAGTATGCCGCCGGTCTCCGTGCCCTTGTTTGTTCAGAGCACCTCTCTGGACACCAACTCGTAGCCATCGGACACTCTGCGGGAGTGACTGCCATGTACGTTGGGGTCATATCAACGTGCACACCGCACTGATAAAGCATTGCCAGACTGCTTTCTACGCTCTCATTGCCATCCGACAAGACGCCCTATCGCGCTGTTGTTTTCATGGAGCCCTCCCTTGTCACGCGCGACGCGTTCAACAAGCACGGCGTCAACAGGAAGGCAGCACTGGAGATGATGTACAAGGCTATGGAAGCGCGCAAGGATACGTGGAACAGCCGCGAGGAGGCCCTTGCGTACTTCAAGGAGCGCCTCCCTTGGAAGATGTGGGATCCACGGATCCTCGAGTTACTTGCGGTTCGTTTCTTAGGCTTATCCACCATGTCTCTGTTGACAATGCACGGCAGCGCCATGGCCTCAAGGAAGTCCGTGGGCGGGAGAACGGCGAGGATGTGACCAAAGTCAGTTTGGCGTGTACGACATTGCAAGAGAAGAAGGCCTTCGCGGACACCGAACCGCACTTCACCGCGACCGAGCGAATTGGCACGCTCGATCCCCAAATCGAGGTACATTGCATTCTCGGCGAACGATCAGACGTGGTGTGCGTGCGATGTTCTCTTGAGTCCTCACGTATATTACTCACTTGTTTATAAATGTCTTTCAGCCCGAAGTACTGCCACGACTCCATTTTAGAGCTACGCAAAGTCACGTCCATACAGTATGTTCAGCGAGCCGGGCATTTTGTGCGTATTCGGACGTTTATCTGGCATTACTTTACATCTGACTTGTGAGCGTCCCAGGCCCTACAAGAGAACCCGGATGGTCTAGCAGCGTGCATTGCAAATGTCTTGAGAAGTCTTGCTAGCGCGCGCTCAAAACTATAAGGGTGTGTAATAAGGTGTATTACCGCCTACACCATTCGCCTTGACCGCAAAATAGCTATCAGATCGCTTTGAGTCTCCCGTACATGTCAGTTCTCTGCTTCTGGACACATGTCATTGTGGCTCGGTCGTGGCGTACAATGTCGTATTTCTTACCTCGACTCTTCCTGGGCTCGCGCTGCGCAGCGCTTGCGCGGTCGGACCCTCAGAGTCACCGAGCAGGTGCAGTGGCGCCTGCCAGCTGCTTCTGGACTGTCTTCAGCAGTAGGTTGCTTACATGTACTCGTAGCCTTGGAAGCGAAAACGGACGCCCGTCCAAGCCGGAGACAATGTCCGCGCTCGGCCTGGCTCGGCGAGAACAGTGCTGTCCAGAGAGGAATGCGAGGACCGAGAAAGCACTGCTCGCGTTATCGCCGCCAGGAACAAGAACGCGTGTATACAGGCTGTTGAACTGTTCGTCATGGGCACGACCGCGGCGACTGCAGCAGCGTGTGCAGTGTGGCGACGAGGACGCATTTGGCCCGCGTGGCTCAAGTATCTCGCGCCGGGGACTCGGAGTTTTCAGAGCAAGCTTCCCGGAAAGGCCTAGCGGGATAGGGCCTGGTAGGGCGGCGCGCGCAGCGGGGAGGACCGGATCACAACAAAGCAGCATTCCTGCAGCGAGCGCCGTGTGTTCCATCAACATCTCTGCATTGCCAATCCGCCAACTGATCGATGCGCTGGGTCTGATTCAGATCCATGATGCATGATGCGTTGCCCGACCGCACCACCCGTCCAGCTTCTTCCGTCCATGGATATACTTCTCCCCAAATACTGGCGCTAGCACCCGTCCCCGCCTTCACCTCTGCCTTCATCCTCTTCGTATTTTTCTTCTCTCTCTACCCCGCCCTTCTTTGGTCGGTCTCCGTATTTTCTGAGCTCTTCACGATCCCTCCTAGAAGATGTCGGCTGCGGAACAGGAGGAGATTTTGGCTCTCGTCAAGCCCACCCTCGGCGCGATCCTGCTCGGTCTCGTATTCAGCTCGACGTGAGTCTCCATGCGAATAGACGTGTGTGTTTGACTTCGACGCGACGGTCGTCAGATTTTTCGGAGTGACCCTTCTCCAGACTACCAATACTATGATCGCTACTGGAATGACACCAAGTGGCTGAAGCTCTTTGTGCGTATGGCTCTCCGCTGTCCATTGATCGGTACGCTCACGAGCTGGGCAGGTAGCGTTAATATTGTACGTCTCCTCAACGCGGACGAAGGTTTGGTTCTGACCATAGGTTTCGCAGCGTACTCGACGTGGTCCAAGTTATAACAGTCGTACATTCCAATTGGTGGTATCTTATTCAGAACTACGCCATGCCGCAGTCCCTCGCAATCGTGCCATGGTATGTCGTTATTTCATAAACGTTCAGTTCAGTAACTCACTATTATCGCAGGAGCTTGGGTGTACGTCTAACGATCATGCCGTCGCACGTCACTGATGCGTTCCATCTCAGCTCGAGGTCGGCATAACGACGTCGATTGGCTTGCTTGTGCAAGGGTATATTCACTCCATGGCCCATAAGTACGCCTGCTAACCATTCCACCAGGTTCTTCGCCTTACGAGTGTACATCCGTGCGTATCACGCTCAATAGCATTTTCCAATCCTCATTGTACCGTTAGTCAGCCGAGGGAATTATTTCGTAACTGGTACCATCGTGAGTTCCATGTCTCGTTGACCCGCCTGCAGTCGTTGAAGCAGTTGCTATTAGCTCGCGCTCACCATGACCCAATGGAGTGCGTATCAATTACTAGACGGTTTCTGATTATGATTAACCATTCCTGCCTCTCTTTCAGTCCTCGGTGTTTGTGAGTGTCGTTACGGTCATACAAATTGTATACCAGATTGACGAGAACATTTGGATGAACTAGACTACGCCGGTAAAGGGTGAGTCTCGAATTGAGTCATCTCGCTCCATTCACCTACAATCATTGTCCTGCAGACAAGAGACCAAGCTCGTTGCCACGATTGCGATGATCACAGTGCGTTCGGTCGAAGAGACTACTTGTCGTAGCCCTCACATTCTTCGCAGTGGGCATCTACAGCATCCCTAGCGTGTAGCATCGCAGGAGACGCCATCATCACGGGCGCCATGTGCTATTACCTACACTTGTCGCGATCTGGTATCAAGAGGTAAATGAGCTCACTTGCTTCTCCGTACCACTGCCTGAGACGTCAACTCCCAGGACGGACAAGCTATTGATATCATGATCGTGTACTGCGTGAACACAGGCCTTCTGACGACGTTCGTACTCACGTTCGCTCTCAGCCGCTATCGAATGCTGACGCGTTTCCCTAGCATCTGTGCAATCTGTACCATTATCTTGGTGAGCTGAGCTTGCACACTTTTAACGATGTACTCAGCATCACGCAGTCCGAAGTCGTCTCCAACACGTACTGGGACACTATGTTTTACTTCCTCATCAGCAAGTGTAAGTCCATCACTTTGCTTCTGCCTTCAGCAACAGATGCTCATTCAGCACCATCAGGCTACGTGAACTCCACGCTAGCAACGTGCGTTCTATAGACCTAACTCATCGTCTGTGATGCTGATCCCTATTTTCCGGATCAGGCTGAATGCGCGCGAGAAGCTGCGCGGCACAACCCAATACGCCATCTCGGACAGAACGGTCCCGCTCAATGCGGTAGGTCGGGGCAGCTCGACGCCGTCAAGGGACCCGAAAGCCTTGGTACGGTCGTCATTGTCTGCGCTGACAACCGTTATACTGATGTCGGTCTTTCCTTTCACGACGTAGTATTATAGCCAGGGAACCGACATCTCGTTCGCGACGAATCCCGGAGCCTTCAAGACTGATATGTCCGAGGTGCGGATCGTTAATTATGGGCGTAGTGTGCCGCCTATCGTCAAGCGACTGATATATCTCCCTTCTTCAGGTTACCACCGGATCGGTGGACGTATAATCTCGATCCTCCTCGATTTTTGCATTGCCAACCACCTGCAACTTGTGTACTGTACATATTATTATTCGATTCCTTTCGGACAGTGCCCTATACCCGCACTCCTTGCTTACCCTTCCCTGATCTGTGCCATACTTAGTCAATTGACTTTCGCCGCCTGTACACTGGATCGTAACGAAGCTAGCCTTGATTCACATGTTAGTCGACCGTCGTCGTGGTCTATAATCTTCTCGTAGGACGTCGTGCGCCTTTCGCTGTCCAATAGGTTGCCCTTTGACGACAAGTACATCAGTGTTGGTCGAGCACACCGTATCTTGGTGTGTACCTTCGTTGATCGCGAGAATGTCTGAAGGATGCCTGTGTTATCTCCTTGTGAGCAGCGTCATCCCCAGGTGGATTCTGCGCTGTGACGAGGCCTGTGTTGGTGACTGTCTAAACCCGTGCTCTGCGACTACGTCAATGACAAGCGAGATCATGATGCCGCTACGTACCATTGACTTGGCCTTCAGGCTATGCCTCTGCAGAACGTGTCTGTCCTGCGGTCGTGCTAGGTACTTCCTTCATATCCTTCATCCAGTCACGCAGCCCTTGGAAGCTATGCCGCCTGCTGTGAAGTGCATTCAGCTTTCTTCCGCTGATCCACTCAAGCATTTGACCACATGCGTTAATGTACCATGAGCCTCCGCATATGGCATCTTCCGCCCGACGAGGTCATCCATCTGCTTTTGATATGTTGGACCCATACTGGAAGTATCTTCTTCCGAGATCCACGAAGGACTTTGCCACCTGGCGCAATTGTGGAAAAGTGTTTCTCCTATAGCAAAGTGTCTAGTTGTTCCAGGACTCCAATCTCCTCCATTGTTGCCATGATCCCATCCATGTCATCGGCCACATGCCCTGTCCGAAGCCATAGGACAGCAGCTATTCCTCGGAAGCATTCCGAAGTGACGCGGGATAGCACTTCAAAAATCCAGGACCATGCTGTGAATGGGTAGGACAGCCATATCTCTAATTTCCGCAGGCACGATGGCGCGAAAGATCGCATGAATCTGTGGATATCTCATCGTTAGTCTGGCGGCTCTCGATGCCATCGCGAAAACTTGCCTGGTACGGGTAATGTAACATCAACAACACCGTCCTTTGCGGACGACGGAGCGTCGATATGGAGCCGAATCACTTCTAGTGACGCTGCACTCGCATCCAGCAAAGTCTGGCATCCATCAAATTGTCGAAGACTGATGTGGCTCGACGTCCACTCCGAGACTGAGGAAGCGAACTCGAGAAGCACGACTGATCTGCAAGAAGAGGTCTTTAACTGGTGGTGCAACCCATCGCACCTCGAGGTCATCCAGATTTGAACAGCGTAGTGGGAGGGTGGCCGGAGAGACCAGCTGTGTCTGCACGCATTGACATTCGTGCACCATAGACTTCGTAGTCCTTGGAGTGCGGAAATGAGGCTGGTAAGCTGGGAGACGCTCGACAAAGTAGTGGAACTGATGGATAGTTGACGAACGGAGCGAAAGGCGGTCAAGTAGCTGATGCTCTTTGGTTGAACCGAGCCACTAGTCCATTCAGCGCTTTTGATGGCGATCAGGAACATATTGGGGAGCTTCCCTGCGAGCATGACTGCAAATGTCCCTAGGTGCCCAATTGTCGAACGTTCCCAGGGCGAGGACCCCGAGACAGTGACCCGTCGGATGGCCTCACGGAGGCGTGGCCTTTCAAGGAGAGTCCTGGAGAGTGATACGACGTCCTTCCGGTGTTGTAAATGAATGTGCTGGCGTAGATAGTACCACGTCGAGTAGTACCAGTCCCTGCACAGCGAGCAAGACACGAGTGCAGACAGATGGGATTCTCCCTTGAGGGCACATAGTTCAGATCTAACCCCGGCATCGCTACGTGGTCGACGATCCGTTCCCAGGCCTCCACTGGAAGCCGTGGTATAGAACTTTCGACATCTTTGTCCGGACTTCCAGAGGAGGTAGTTGTGCTGTACAGCTCAGACAGTCAGTCATGCTCACCGTAATCTGGTAATTGAACTCACGTCGGGCCGGTCTGTTTCATCTTACCTGAATGCAGCGAGAACGTCGTCCCGACACAAATCGCAACACCATTGCCAGTAATCAACCACGCGTACGGTCGATCTTGGCCCGGGCCTACTGAGCAACTGATAGTGAAAGTGTCTCGCATTCAGCGCAGTTGAGAGAGAACAGGCCAAAGGTAGAATCAAAACACAGCAGTTCCTGAAACCCTTGTCCGCGTCGCGCCGCGCACGTGAAAAATAAAACAAATCGAAAAAATCATGAAAAATCGGGAAAATCGAGAAAAGGGCTGCACACCTCGTAGACACTGTAGAACATCTGCTGTAGACTCACTAAGGCGTGCCACGCATCTGAACGGGCCATCGAGGGTGGCGTTGTCGTGTGATGAACGTTGTGCGATGGTCGACGTGCCGCCAACAACGGGCGCTAACGCTGGGGAGCCCGGAGAACATCCATGGCAGAACACAGCTGTGGGTGCTCGACAAGGTATGCGGGATCACTTGGAGAGATGGCGATTACATAGATATGAGCTGCAGAGAGGAAGAAGGCTGTACATTTGACGGGTGATTAGGTTGGAGACTTACCTCCGACTGTGCGCGCAAGAATGTCACCACGGAAAACGAGGATCGCACCCTTCAGCTTCCTTCTGACCTCACTCAACAAGGTCGGTTTGTGAACAGTGTTTCTGTTATGGCCACAGGGGACTTCAGCGACGGGCACTGCCATTGTACACGAATCAATCATGTCGGAATTAGCGCGACAGGGCAATGCACTGGCAGGGACTCACCTGAAGCATTTAGTGATGCCGCTTTCAGAGTTCGAATTCGTTACACGGTTCGTTTTCATTATGGCGGACAGCTGAAGAGGAGGGACACCAAACTACATAGATACTCTCTGATGGAGGTCAGCGGCGCTTCAGCCTGCACAAGTCCGGTAGTACAGGTCGTATTCATGACGCTGCCGCCGCATGCTTCCAGACGGACGTCCGAGTCACGGTCGCGCCATCCAACGTTGGCAGATCCGCTGATGAGTTCATTCCCTCCTGCCGGAATGCGTCGCATCTGCTCGTCTCGATGCATGCGGCCCTCGTGTCACGGTCGCGACAGAGCATTGCCATCACTCAGGCCTCAGGCCTCAGGGATGGCCAGTCATGACCGTGACAGAATGATGGCGCCCGCTCCGACGTGTATATATATCTCAAGGCCATGCAAGTCTCATGCCCATAGCTACTAGTACTCTATATCGACATGTTGGTTATCTCGTCCGAGTCGCTGCAGTGTTGCTATCTGCCGCCTGGGTCCGGCACAGGATCTCGGGGTCCCCACATCGTGGCGTGTAAGATTCCATCGTGTTAGATTCACTCAAAATATCATGCTGATCCGTCCTTTCCATTAGGAATTCAGCAACAATCGCTCTTTGTCTGAGCGCGTTTCCATCGCGCAGGCCGGCATCAACGTCATTGCTGCCAACTGGACACTAGCACGGCTTCGTTCTCTGGGCTTGGCTACTGGCAGAATGGGAACGTTTTCTCTGCAATGGCGAACCAGGACTACTTCGCGAAGACGACGACATATGAGAGCACTGTGGTGAACGCATTGAACACAGTGTACTCTCTCTACGCAAACGCTGATCAGTATGGTTACAACGACGATGCCATGTAAGTTCTTGTGCGAGCATCGTTTGTAAGAGGTGTTCATATGCATGATTATTAGGTGGTGGGCGACGGCGGCATACTACGCCTACCGCGCGTATGGAGTCAGTGGCAAGTTATTCTCCGGGATCAATTCACTGACGTATATGTCGCACTAGAATAAGGACATGCTCAACCACGCCGTTGCGACCTGGCAGCATGTCTCCGCTTAGTGAGTTCGCTTAAGCAACCAGGAGGAATTGGCCAGTCACTGACTTCATTTCTCCCGTACTAGCCAGATCACCGCTGCACAAGCTCTGCAAACTCGACCCCGGTCAAGGATTTCAGTCTCGCTGGGACGTGCGATGGGAGTGAGTACAAATCTGTCGATCGTGCACTGTATGTTCTGACATGCGCTTGCTTGTCTAATTAGCAACGATGGCAGGCGGCGTCTTCTGGCGGCCCGCGACCGACGATCAGGGCATTAACTCGATCACTACGGGGTATGTGAGCACTACGCTATCGACGGAAGTAGACCTTTGACGATGTGTTGGGGCTCCACTAGACTTTTCCTCACGTAGGTCGAGCTCCGCTTTATCTACGACCACGCTGTTGACTGCGACTACCACAGGCTTTCCGCTTTTCTCGCATCCGCAACAGATGATACATCCACGTATCTGGGCCCAGCGGTCGCCGCGGCGCAGTGGATTGAGAATCAGAATATCAACTCAGCGAGTCTCGTGCTGGATAGCGTCGACGGGCATGACTGCACTCGTTCGGCCGCGTCGTGGTTGTTCACGTACAACACGGGCAAGTTTGTCGAGGGCCTCGCAGTGCTGGCCGATGTCAGCGGAGACGCACACTGGACGACGCTGTACGTCATTGACTCGGTCTTGAGGAACGTCGTAAAACTCAGGCTCATGACTTTGCCTTGTTGCGACCTGCAGAATGATCAATGTCGTGGCGGCAGGCACCAAGAATGCCCCGTGGCAAGGCACCGATGGTATCATCACAGAGGGCGCCGGAGACACCTCAGACAACGATGGTGCAGGCTTCAAGGGTACGTTGCCGATTATTCTGAGCGTTGCCCGGGCTAAAAGAGACGGCCTCTGCTTAGCGATATACATCCGCGGGCTGAACGAGGCGTTCGTGCGCAATCAAGACGACTGGGACTTCCAGGTCCTCATCCACAGCTATATCGATGTCCAGGTGCGATGATGGTCTTCTTTCTACGCTGTCTACTCGACGCTGAGCATACCTTTTCCCGCAGTATAACGCGCTGCTTGATCTCGCCGACAACAGCAACTCATATGCGATCAACTGGCACGGTCCTGCTGCTTCGTACACAGCCTGGGGACAGCTCGCTGCACTGGATGTTCTCGTCTCCGCGATCTCGGCGAACACCTAGTCGACCGTTATGACTTCGTATTATTTATTGGTGAGGTGCATTATTATATAGGAGCACTATGGCATGTACCCGGAATTCGTCCCATAACACTCGTTTACAGGATCTAATCTATTCATCATAATGGCATTCGTTAACTGACAACTTACAAACTGACTGCCACTTCCAACCTCACGCACGTAACGGTCATAGGAGACACTATCAATCTGAACATCTGCATAGGGCGTAGAATTCACAGTGTTACAGAGGATAGCAAAACAGTCAATATTGCGCCAATCACAAGGTCTCCCTCAACACTTGGGTGATGTCTGTTTGAATCCTGCCGAGGTATGTTGCTAGCTCTTCGTCCGGAAGGGTGGAATGTTCGAAGGCTTGCGTCAATTGAGTTCGAAGCTAGCCCAGTAGGTAGAAGACGTGGCAAGGTTCGAGAAATTGCACAGGTCAGCAATGTCAAGCAGAGTCAGATTCGTCGGAGTACCCTCAAGAGAGCTTTGCGCCGTATGGCGACTTTGTTTGTTTGACTGTCTTGTTGTTGTCGTTCCTGGAGGCTCTGAAGACCTAAGGCAACTCGTCTGCCTTCGTCAAGAACGTCCTCGGGGAGGTCGGCCAGTCTGGCGAGTTCCAGCCCTAGAGAAGAGATAGTCGTTGACCAACATTAGTAAGATGTCCCAGACCACGTACCGTAGTGCTTGATGTCGTCCGATGCACCATCGACAATCCTGCAAAGCCAGTCAGCAGTCCATAGAACCATGCATACCCGACGCACTTGTATTGGAATGTCAGGCCAAAGTTCGTTGTGGACCTACGGGCTCTCTGCGATGTATGAGGATTTAGCTTGGCAAATGGTCACGGGCAAATATGTTACCTGCACAGCAAGGTGTAGACTGGAACGCAAGTCAGCTTGTCGCCGATCATGTAACAATAGCACGCACTTGACGACCGATGGCTTATGCGACAACGTCACTGTAAGCTCAGTGAAGTGTCTGATAGTGGCATAGCTTCAGCCAAAATCACAAGGCACGACTGTGTTCACAGTGAACAGGTGGACTTACGTTGCGAAGAAGACATATGACTGCGGGTATTGAGGGCAACGCGACACAAGCGAACCATGCATGTACTCACCTTCGCCCTAATGAGTTCTTCAGCAATGGCGTGTGCAACACCCATCCCTTCTCGGGGGGATGTACCGCGCCCGACTTCATCCATCATTACGAGGGAGTCTGCTGTCGCTAGTCCTGAAGAGGGGATTAGATCGGCGAATATGGAAAGTAGATGGTCGCACCTAGAATCATGGCGCAAGATGCCATTTCATTGGCAAAAGTACTTAAGCTCTTCTCCATATCATCATCGTTAGAGAGGCGAGAGAGTAATGCGTCGTGCAGTCTACGAGGACATCAGTATACCATGAGACTCATGGGCTGTACTCCACTGACTTGAAGCTCCCATATTCCGCAGGAACGAAGCATCCGCTCATAGCCATGACTGTCAATAATCCGATTTGGCGCAAATACGTGCTCTTTCCTGCACATTGACGATCAGACAAGCACTATCTAGTAATGGAACCAATATACCTGACATGCTATGATATGCGTATGAATTAGCCAAGATACATCTTTTCAGAGTACCATTGACGAACTTGGGCCCTTGCACTATCTGAAATGAGGCTGCCTCAGAGCAATACACGTCGTTCGGGACTAGGGTCCCAGCCGATTGGACTGTCTCCAGAATGGGATGGCGGCCTGCTTTGATCGCCAAGGTTCCCGTGAATTCAGGACGCACTGCATCACCGTCAACATCGACCCCAGGATGTGTAGGATAGGCGTACCATAGTTCCGCACTACATGAACAGAATCCGTGGCGTGAGTCGAAGAGTGTCCAGAAACAGAGAAAAGATACGGTACGAATGGAAACATGTGCGAAAGACCAGAGCATGTCTAGTATGGCGACAGCCTCTGAGGCTTTATAGAGCGCGCCGATGTCAATCACGACCTCGGTTGCCAGATCTTGGATGATCCTGAATCGAATGGTGAGTGATCATATGCGGTTGAACACTTGAATATTGATGAACATACTTGTTGCTCAGGATGAGTGATTCGTCCAAAGCGTCCTTCATTCGCGCATTACGCTTTTTCTGTGAACACCGGGCGTCGGAAACGGAGGATAAATCGAAAGGAAGGCTGTTCGCTTACCATCTCAATGCTCGAAAAAAGCCACCGCCCTTTCTGGATGGTGACATTGATGAACCCTTTTGGCAGCTCGCCTTCAAGTTCGTTCTTCTTGAGCGCGAATACAAATCCGGTGTCCTGATAGACCAGACTGAGCGGAAGATTGTGACGTTCTGACAAGTCTCGATTCAGGGTGAAGATGTCTCCCAAATTCTCTTTGTAGGTTTCGCGCGCGACGTCTAGGAGACGGTTGCAATTTGCCTGCACGAAGTAATTCGAGTTCAAGCTACTAGTTCGCGTGAAAGGGTTGTTATGGCTACCTTTACCGCGTAGACGCGAGCGTTCAGTGCGCCTAAGCCAGCCTATGTCGACGTCAGTGATAAATCCCATTATCAACTGGAATCATGCTACCTTTGCTGGGGTAGCCGCTTCGTTTAAGCTATCCGTGACTAGCCTCTCGATCTTCGCCAGCCGTTCATCTGATACCATCTGTTCGAAGGCGCGCAATACCGGTCGGTGTCTGGCAGACAGAAAGCAAAAGATACATGCGCCGCACCTCCGCAATGACGCTCAGTAACTGAGAACGGCAGCCTCCTAGGGCTCGAGACAGAAGAGGCATGGTTTTTACGATGTTTCGGAGATTCAGCATCTGTGATACACGAGCCGCTGCTGGTTTTGCAGTGTCGCTTTCCCGTGCTTCGGACGCAGCGAGCTACTGGCGTGTCATAATCATTGCGTCGCTCAGATAGTAAGTGAGACGCACCGAGCAGATCAACTTGTCAAAGTCCATCTTGTTCAAGGCTTTCAGCGCATTCTTGACTTCATTGAAGCGATCTTCGTTTTGCACCAGCTCTACAGGTGATAGATCAAGAAAGTTCATAGGTGGAACATGATCGAAAACCTTCTACAGCGTCCAGACGCGCTTCAATCGATCCTTGCACTGCAGGAATCCATGTCAGAGTCTGTCTAAATGCTCTGAGTGGACGCACCAGTGTTCGGAGCAAGAATATTGACTCGTAGCAGCCGAGCCCCCATTGCCGTGTACGTATGGTTCATCAGTCTGATGTTTTCAAGTCATCAGTCGAAGACTTAGAATGCCATGCTATGAGAGTACCCGAAGAGTGAGTGAGTGGACTTCTTGCTAGACATATTGCCGACAAGCTCCAAGTTACGAGATGTCTCTGGATCAATCATCATCGTGCCATCCGCTTGCCCAAAGCGAATGAGCAACGAGGCCGAAGCGAAACGTATATTAAGCCTTGATTCAGCATGCTTGAACAGCGCACTGGCTGCGGAGAGTGCATAGTACCTACTCGCTGAATTAGAGGACCGAATTTGATCGAGATCGGGCGCATATACTCACTTGGTGGAAGCTGCGACGATCGTGCCAGCCCTCTCGTCACCCTCCACAATGAGTTGTGTGATGAAGTCGAGACCTAGAGCCATCAGCCATTCAGAACAGTACGTAGAGCCATGAACCTACCGGCAGTTCGTTCCAGTACTTCCTCTGACAGGTTCAATCGGTACGTCGAACTCCTCCATCATGCACTGTACGAGGACAGACGTCGTTGACGGTTTCTTCCCACCCGAGGCCAACGAGACGTCCGACATCGACAAGAACGTATCAGGAACAAGTATGAGCGACGGTGAATGCAAATGGAGTTGATGTAAAGTCTTGATATAGGTCGGGCTATCTGCGAGCTAGGAGAGCGCATAAGCTGTCGCCCATCTTCGTGGTCTTCACCCACGGACCTGTATCAACGACACCCTACCCGTATCCTTCTCGAGGGCAGCAATACCGACTTCCCGGGCGACACCTCGACCTTCGAGCACAGACACCACGTAGCTCGCCTCATGACGGGAGGATACAGCAGTTTGAGGGCGTCCAGTACCTGTACGTGACTGAGCGGTCCATGGTCGGGACATACCCGTTGCTGGGCGGGAAGATGAGTTCCAGGCCGTGGTGAGCTGCAGTTGTTCAGACATATTCTATCGCGAGTTGAGAGCAGGTAGAAGAGTTCCGGTAGAGAGTATTTGTGGGAAAGAGCTAAGAATGTTGGCGTCGGCGTCGGGACTCGCGACGCGACGCGACTCTGTAAGTCACGTGGTACGTGACGTCGACGCCGACAGACTCAACGTCAACTCAACGTACTCAACGACCGCTGTTCTGTGAATAAGCCGTGTTCAATGGATTCAGGAATCAGGATAGCATCACAACAGAAGAAAATCGACCAATAGATGTGCTGCATGTACGCATTTCAACAGCGGAGAAACGCAACGCCAGCGACAAGCCCTAGCCAACATAACAGCCTAGGCTGTCGTTCCATACGTACTCGTGCTCCAGGACCTTGGTCAACGTCTCATACGCAGCAACGTCTGCAAACGGCACGTTCGTTCGAGGGTCGCGGTAATTCGCCACCTTCCCAGTGATTGGACAGCGTAGCACAGGTCGAGCTGTGTGTCTGTGAGCAATATGTCGTGTCGGCGAAGGAAGAGACGCGCGCACATAAAGGTCTCCCTTTCGACGTATATACCCTCAGCTCTTCCCATTTGACATGGTCCCCGAACATCGCCTTCATGGTCGAGTGCCACGGAGGGCGCTGTTTCTCTTGCTGCGACAGCTCATGTATGACGTAGTTCTTCGTGACCTTTTCTGTCCGCTCTATGGGCTCCGCGGGGCTAGGGGCCACTTGTGGCTGCGCATATTGCTGATGGTAGTAGTAGTACGGGTGTGTATACTGAGCCGACTGCGAGTACGATGTCGAAGGCGTTTGCTGGGGCTCTGGATGAGAAGCATATTGCGAGGCCGGATGTGTGTATGGTGCAGAGGATGGAGCCTGCGGATGAGACGGAGCCGGCGGTGAATATTGTGTGTGGTAGTCCGCAGAGTACGTAGGATATTGAGGTTGTGACTGGGGAGTAGCCGAAGGATCAGATTTCTGGAGGTCGGCATGATATGAAGCTGATACATGTAAGTACGATCTTGGTGCAGCATTCGACGCCGGCGAGCGCGTACTCTGTGGAGGAGGCGGCGGCGGCGGGTAGTACGGATATGCAGCATGGGCATATGTGTATGACGGCGGTGCGGGGGGCGGAGGCTCGACTCGCACGGTGACCTCTTCCGCTTTGCTGATCCACCGCAGGAGAGGTCCCTGCACGGCGGTGCGCACGAGACGCGCTTTCTTGCGCTTCTCTTCTTCCGTGCTGAGATACTCGCGATGTTCTTTGATGTTGCCTTCCTCCATCTTCAGCGCACGCTCGATGAGCTCACGTTGAGTCGGCAGTCGTTCGGGGGTCTTTGCTTTCTTTGGTACTGTAGACTACAGACGTATCAGCTTATGCATTTCTGCCCCCTCAGATACGCTGAGGCATACCTTCTTCACTTCTGCGTCTTTCATGCGGCTGGCAGTCTCTGATGTATTCTGCATCGTGTGCGATCTCCGACTATGTCTCTTAGTCCCCTCTACAACTTCTCCCGTTTCCGCGTCGATGACCGAACCCATGGACACCCTCCTCTTCACTTTGCTACCGTCACGTTCCCTCGTCTGCTGGTCTTCCAGCTGCGGATTGAAAGTGGCCTTGTGGCGCGCATGCGCGGCGGCAGTTACCCTGTCCAATTTGGAACGAGCGGTCTACGGGAGTATGAGTGGTCAAACGCGCGATATGACGGACGAGCTACCTTGCGAGACCGTCTTTCATCCTCCCAAGCCTTCCTCTCCTCCAAACCATTGGTGTCCTCTTGAGCCTCCTCTTCGTCGGTGCTCTCGAAGTCAGAACCAAAGGCATCCTGTTCGTCTACGCTTGAGAGGCGAGCGTTCCATGAGCGGCGAATATCGTACGGCGCGAGTATGCTCACCTTTCTCAACGACAAAGTCAACGTCTTCTTCCACGTCTACGCCAACATCTTCCGCGCGAAATTCAGCCAAAACCGCCTCCATCCTGCGATGTTGTTAAGATTGTGATGCTGAGCATGAAGCACGATGCTATCTGACCTGTTACCAGCAGTGCTCCGCTTTGGCCTGCGCATGACGAGCGAGTCATCGTGTTCTGCCATGATCAGCGCGTTGTAATACTGCTGCAGGGGTGCGAGGAGGACCGCGCGAGTGGCGGGAGCTTGAAGAGAAGAGGCGCGTGAGACACGCGCGTTGACGAACACCGGACTCTGAGGCGCTCGACGCGCCGTCTTCCCCGCGCATGCATGACCACCCAGCATGACCGCCATGGCCCGCCTCTCCAGTCCACAGCCACCTCAGGCTTTGCGTCGCTGCCTCTATGTTCACACTGCAGCTTATTCGCCCTCGATCGGCCAGTCTCATCTCTCGTTTCCACACATGTTGCGTCCTGCAAGCTCAGCGGAAGCTCCTCAAAGAGTTCAAACTCGCAGACATCGGTGAAGGGATCACGGAGTGCGAGGTCATTCGATGGTACGTCCCCGATCGCCTTCAGTGTCTTCGCGCTGACAGGCTGGCTGCGGTTTGCACAGGAGCGTTAAGCCTTCGAGCTCTATACAGGCCTTCGACCCACTATGCGAGGTGCAGAGTGACAAGGCTAGCGTCGAGATCACCAGCCCATTCGAGGGCGTAGTCAAGGAACTCCTCGTCAGAGAGGGCGAGGTGGCCAAGGTTGGCGCGGGACTCTGTATGATCGAAGTCGAGGCGGAGGACGGGAGCGACCATACTGATGCCCCCGAAGAGTCTCCTGCACCGGCACCGCCTGCCCCGGAACCGACACCGACACTCGAGCCGCACATCGAAGAGCATCCACGGGCTTTGAAGAGCAAACTCCACCCTCTTGATCCTCGTGCTAGCGCGGAAACTGGCACGTCTCCTGAACAGGCTGCCAATGTTCTCGCTACACCTTCTGTACGTCACTATGCACGACAGAAAGGTGTCGACCTGGCGATCCTGGCTCCAGGGAGTGGAAAGGGTGGCCGGATAGAGAAACAAGATATCGATAGTCACCTGTCCCAATCAACAACAAGCGGGTCGCCTCTGCCTGGACCACAAGAGACCCGCGTGTCGGAAGGCGAGACGATTGTTGAGCTGGGAAGGACCAGGCTCAATATGTGGAAGGCCATGACGAAGGTAAGCGCCAATAACGTCTGCGTCATGTGGATAATACTAAGAGTAGCAGAGTTTGGAAATCCCTCAGTTCAGGTGAGTTTGGTCCGTTGCGTTGTGGACATCGAGGCGATAATACTCATCGCGATAGTTTCTCGACGACGCTGGACCTGACGGAACTGTACCACATCCTGCCCATCTTAAATTCGCATATCCCGCCTCATTACCGCCCGTCCGAGCCCGTCTCTAAGCACCCTTCGTCCATCATTTCACCCGCATCTTTCCTTCCACCTCCTGACGCACCGACGGTACCCGACTCTGCGCATTACACGCGGCTCACGTACTTGCCCTTCCTACTGAAGACGCTCTCCAAGACAATGCACGAGTGGCCCCTCTTCCGCTCGTCGCTGACACCATCCAACTCTCCATCCGCCAAGCCGACCCTGACCGTTCGCTCGCATGTGGACATCAGCATCGCATTATCCACTCCGACAGGCTTGTACACCCCGACCCTCCAGGCTGTCGACCGAGCGACCGTGTACGACATCGCTTCTCGACTGAAGCACCTTGCCCATCTCGGCCGCCAAGTCCCCTGCGCCTTGACACCCGCGGAGATGCCGAAGCGCGGAGGGACCATAACTGTGTCCAACGTAGGCGGTGTAGGGGATGTTGACTCGGCATCGCCAGTACTCGTTCCGGGCGGAGGTGTCGCTATCATGGCGGTCGGTCGCGCGAAGTGGGTTTGGGATGTAGACCGCTTCGAGGGTGGCGCACGGCGGTTGAAGATAGGTATCAGTTGGAGTGCTGATCATAGGGTTGTTGAGGGTGCGGAGCTGGTGGCATTTGCAGAGGCATGGAGAAGCTGGGTGGAGACTCCAGCCAGATTGATAGGTGATGCTGTATGATTAAGATGGGTCATACCATCACAGTGGACAAATTCCATTTCAAGATATCCTAACATTGTACCTAAAAAGAAGGAGGATTGAGTGTATTGTTAAGAGTCTGTATCATTGCCTACCATGGTACTTACAGTCATCTACCAGTCCTTGGGACATGTGGCTCCATCAGCAAAAGTGCATTCTGCTGATCTGGACAGAAAAAGCAAGATCAACTCACTGCTGTGTGATATTGCATGACAACTGCAGTTATTCACACTTCATAGTGACAAACACTTATCTTTTGATATTGTGCTGACAGCTGTTTGTCATACATCCCTAAGACCAACTTGAAAAGATAATTGCAGATGACTTAGCCACTGAATGCAGAACACCAGATATTCACTTACCAGTAGTACCCATGGTCCAATTTTCTAGGTTGATGGTTTCTGCATGTGAAATCAAGCCGTGGCAATCAAGTGAAAGTGAATGTACAGCAGAACTGACAGAGGAACAAAGATAATTAGGATCATGTACAAGGCTTGCACTAGGCCAGCATGAGAACTTCCGAGCAAATGAGTGCTGGACCACCTGTCAAGCCACACAGCCTCAAAAGATGTCCTGTTGGGCTTTTCCCATCCAGATTGAGCTAGTCAGAAAGCCAGGATGTAAAAATGGGTACCCTGGGGCCAAATCTTTGTGCCAGGCCTGGCTGGAGGCTGCCCAAGCAATATTCTGTGCATGTCTTTTGGACAAACAAATTATGATTGAGCAAAACCAAGCCTTCACTGCCCTGCAATTTGACCAAACAAATCTTCTTCTTACTTGCTGGGGAGTGGGCTATGCATGCAATACAATCTCAGTTGTATTGTCTGCATCTGTTGTCTTCTGGCTCATCAAATCATGGCTTCAGTCTCACTTTTCATATGCCTTGATATATACTACTCTGTGAGACCAACTTCCATGCTTTACCAAATAGTTGACAAACTGTGACAATAACAATGACCTTGCACAAGCCAAAGTAAAATCATCAAGGAGTATTATAGTAGTAACAGAGGTGCTTACATTAAAGTTGCTCAGCTCAATCCCCATGAAGTAATACAATACACAGAGCATTAGATCCTGAATATTGAGTATCCTGGAGAATCCATAATGTGCATATTTCTTCATCAAAAAGTGTTATTGATCATAGATTGTTAGGGCTCGTGGGCTCGGAACCCTAGATTCAGGGGCCGGGCTGCCTCGTGAACCTAATGGTTGGTGGTCGCGACGCGACCAGGGGGGAAAGGAGGATCTCGGGGTCGTGAGCAGGGTGAGGAGTACCTGCTAGGGTCGTTAGCAGGGCGACGAGCCTTGCTATTCGGGAGCGCGGAGAGGTCCTTGGTTGCCAGCGACGAGCTGGGCCAAGCGGGGAGTCCTAGACGGGCTGTTGGGCCAGGTCGAGGAGGGGTCCAAGGCGAAGGCGATGAGCCTAAGCCGAGGGGAGTTCCTAGGCGGGGCAACGAGCCTAGCCGAGGACAGGGGAACTAACTCGGACGGCGCGAAGAGTTCGCACTCGGACGAGGTGGTAGTTCAGGTAGAAGAGTAGATTACTTCCCAAAATGGAAGTCAGATCGCTAGGTACATTGAGATAAGATGAGATGTACACTATCAGTTCATAATCTAATCTAGAGGACAGATAATGGGTTATCTATCCGTAACATAGATAGCTATGCTACTATTGCTATACAGCCATTACCCAACAATATGTGTGGTCTCAGGCTTGTTCTTGCACAACTGTGGCTGAGCTGCTCCATTTCAACATGTCTGGGGCATTATCTACTGGTCTCAAAACACTGAACAATACTATGACTTTAAAACTGGCAGACTTTTGTATCATAGAATCTGTGTAGGGAGTACTGATTGACTGAATAATAACCCTGTCAAGCGGTTTGTGCAGTCACACAGTCTACATATTCATTGCTGATGTCACTACAGATGCAACCCTTCTGGGCCACCAGAGACCCCAGCCACTCCATCCCCTAAGTTTGTTGTTTCAAGTACTGTTGTGTATATGTCGTGCTGACACATTAATATGCAGCAAGGGCAGGTCTCGCAAGAAGCGGTAAATACCTAGAAATATTGTGCAGTGTCATATGTACTAACTGTGGGTTAAGTGATGAGCATCCAAGCCCAGGCGATGATGACAGTCTGACATATGTGAATTATTTCTCTAGTCATTCATTTGCTGATTCAATCATACTATGAGTAGTGCCTCCCCAACAAAGAAGCCTCGAGGGACAATGTGGGTATATATATGTATTCACTGATGCATACAATTGACACTGTAATTTTAGTGCCAAGGGCAAGGGCAAGGCAAAGCAGGATGCCATTATTTCTGATGCTGAGGAAAATGTGTTTCTTGCCAGGAAATCAAGCAGCAGGTATGTACAGTAGCTATTATGAACCTGCACCTTAGTACTGAGATACTCTACACAGTAGTGAGGTGTACATCGGGAAGCAGAGGTAAAAAAAGACATACAAATTTTATGAGATGCTTGTTGACTTGCTTTATACAGACTTGAACCAGTTGTAGAAGTATCTGAGGTGAAGAGCTCATTGAAGAAGAAGAAGGGCAAGGATGTTGTGTAGGTTCCATTCCTATATTGCATCCAGATACTTACTAATAAGTACACAGTAACAAAGATGATGTTTCACCCATCGCGGGTGCTGTGTAAGGTCTCTTATCATTACCTATAATCAACATATTAATGGTCCACAAGTTATGCAAGTCCAGAGTACAAGTGTCAGCCACCCGAGGGCAACAAGTTAGTGTCTATGTTTGCATTACTGAGATTTTGTACTAATGTCAGTTTTACTGGTAACATAGGCACTGTCTGCAACTGGACAGAAGTAAGATCAACGGTTGGCTCAAGGACACATACAAGAACATGTGGCCCCTGAAGTGAGTCTATGACCAATCTAGTCATATGTTCAACTGATCCAATGTGATCAGGAAAGATGTTCCCAACCATCCAAGCATCAGGGCAGATGATCTTGTTGCATCATTTACGGAGCAGGGCATTCAGTTCCAGACTGCGTGAGTAACTAATGCAAGTTCATATATTTGGCTTTACTGATAATTCACAGTGCCCTTAAGAAGACCCTCACCTTCTCATTCAGGATGATGTGGCTTGTGAACCCTGCCCGTGCATGTCCAGACAACTTTGGAGCCATGGGGACGGGGTACTACCAGCCAGTTGTCACCTTTGAAGATCATGCTGTCATCAATGTCACGTTTGGGGTGGTTGAGCACAGTCATTTGATCACTGCAGGTGAATTCAAGACTGGTGTTGGCATGCGGACTAGCAAGTCCATTGCTATCATACCCCTTGATGTGGAGTTTGACCTTGCTTGGGCTTTCTGGTGTGAGGTGCTGGGACAGCCTGAGCTGTCCTCACCGGCTGTTAGCAACAACTACGTCAACTTTGGCACTACTCTGGAGCAGGTGGACAAATGTGGTATGTATGTGACAACCCAGAATATAATTTCTGCTCATATCCTGTATAGATGCATTTACTTCCAGTTGTGGCAAGGTCAACCTCGACAAGTACATCAACAGCCCTGCCAAGCATACAGCCTCCACATCGACAACCCCCTCACGCACTCCTCGTAAACCCAGTCTGCACTCACCCGTACCCATCCCCAAATAATCAATGATACCCTGGGTGAGCGTGTAGCCCTGAGCCCCGTCAAGAGAGTAAGTACAATACATCTTTCCATATCAATTATAATTAACAACCTTTATTTCTGTAGTACCTGTGTGGGATGCCACAGAGTTCTTTGATGCAAATGCTACAGCAGCATTTGACATTGAGGCTGTTGAACAGCTGTGCCCCCGCACATTCAATGAGCCTAGCAAGCACTCCATTGTGGCCGTATTCCATACAGTGTCTACGTATACCACAGCTTCCACACCTCATCCAAGTCTCTCCTCAAATGTTGTGGGTGCAGCTGTTCTGGTGGCCAACAATCTTGACTGAGGGGTGGATTTTGGATGGACTCCATGTTACTGCATGTCTTTGCTGATGTTATGACCATATGATGTATGCCCATGATGTATGCCCATGATGTATGTTATGAATTTATGACAGTTATGTTCCATGCATGATCACTGTGTGAATATAGCAGAAGAATAAGCCCAGCTAAAGCTCCCAATGGCTTTACCTTTCAGTTATCACATGTGAACAAAGTCACATGCTGAGAATTTCAGCACATCACATGTTTGTGTTCTACATTGTTTGAGCACCTACTTTTCTTCTTTCTGCTGTCATGTATCTCCCAAACTCCAAGTCCATGCTGCTGTTCACAGTTGTACTGTTGCATGTGTATGCGCAGGCACTGTTTATTGCTGCTAGTGTACTGCCTATAGACACAAGCACATCACTTCTATTGCCACAGAATGGTTGCTTGGCAATGAACAACAAGTGCACACAATCAGTGTACACTGCATACACTCCACATGTGCTAGCAGACACATTTCCCAAATCCTCTGCACCCATTATGGGTATGGCTCAGGAAAGCACCATCACAAAGACACTTCCAAAATGCCCTACATCAGAACATATTCCCAATAAACAACCCACATTGCCTTCCCAATGTCATGAACATTTTCAACCCACTGTGTTTCAGTATATGCTTATTCCCCACATCAATCTGTATGTCACGCTCCGTGCCACCAAGACCACCTCCGAACTCCAGTTCCGTTTTCTCCGTCTCCGTTTCTCCGAACTCCGGTCTTATTGTATTCGCTTAGCCTATCTTCTCCCGCATTACAATTAGCGTACCGCATGGTCTCTATCTTGCACGGACAATTAACTTATTGTATTCACTCCGGTTACTAACATCTCCGGTCTTCCGTTATTGTTCTCCGTATCCCTTCCTCCGTCTTATTGTCTTCCGTTCACAATTAGACTCGCTGTATATATAGATCGAACTGTAGCACTGTTGTACTTCAGTTCAAATATCTCGTTTATCCTCGTTCAACCAATCCGATTTCCTTTCCTCCGAACTCCTGTCTGAACTCCGGACTTCCGTCCGACCTCTGTCTAGCTTCTCTCTTCTCTCTCTCGCTCTCGTCTTCTCCTCCTCCTTCCTCCGACTCTATCTCCGGACTCCGTCATAGTCCACCTCCGTCCAAGTCCAAATAGAGGACCTCGTCGAGTTCTCCCAGGGGCGTTGTTAATAGCTTCGCCAAGTCCTCACTCCACTGCGCTCCGAAACTCCGGACTTCGTAACTCCGACCTCGGACTTCGTCTCAAGCGCACGATCCTAACACTGTATACCATTATCAAGAAAATCAAGTTGCACTTGGGCCAATAAAGCATGTACCAACATGACTTCCACACAGCACTACTAGGTCTCTTACAGGGCAGAAAAATGGATCCTGTGAAGTGGAAATTTTCATTCTTTTCAGGTGCTAGACAACAAAGTTCAAGTTCAGTGAGGAAATCATCTGTGGCCCTCTTGGGAGGTGGACAGTCACACTATAATGCTGGGGAACTATGGCTATGGTCTCAACTGAACTCCCACATAAGTTCACACATTCAGCCATTACAAAATAGCTACCTACCTAATGATCAGTTTGCATTCACTGCATATTGTAAGCCTGATGAAACAGATGGCTACTTCAAGGAAACACAAAATTTGGTGGCTGCAAACATTCCACTACAGGAACTGCTTACTCTCCCTAAAAAGTATCTGTTTGTTGGGCTCGGAATCTATTCCGCATTTCTGCGAATTATTCTGAGCTCCATTGCCCTGTCCAAGTCGTGGAATGTGTTCGGTGTGTTCTCCTTAATTCTACATGGACACCATCACTATACCGTGCATACTGTACGTTTTCCGACATCATTCCCTTCAGTCTACCATTTTCCATAATGTTTGCATCTTCAGGGATTTGAACCCCTGCACTCATCTGATTTTTCACTCCTTCATTGATTTCGACTTTGTGGCTGTTTCTACTGTACAGTTATGGTCGCCTTACATAATGCACACCATAGACAGTCCGCCTCGTTGAGCTCTAAGTCCCTAAGACTTTACAGAGCTTGACTTAGGTGTGTATCTTCGCTTCTTTGAATAAAAAGACTTTACAGAGCTCAACTTAGGCCTTTGGAATCGCTCTGAGGCACACTGCAGCCAACAGTTGGCGCTGCCAGCACGAGTGCAGGTTGAATTGGTATGCATGTATGGAATGTGCGGCTGACCCGCATTTGTGCTGGTGCACAGGTGAGGGTAAAACACTACCACAACACGAGGATTTATGTACAGTTACCTGCACTCGCGCTGCAGCGCGAGTGTGGGTAACCGTTTCGGACAGCCGTCCTTTACCCGCAATGGCACATGTAGCACAAGTGTGGGTAAGGAAATGTAAGAAGATGGGTGTTCCCCATGCGCAGAGGTCCGGTTTTTTGTGAAAGCCTCGCCCTGACCCCGCCCTGACCCCGAACATTGGTCGAAAATGCCCTATAATATATTTCAGACATATTGGGAGCACACACATGACTATGTCTAGTGATATTGTTAAATGTACATACTCACCAAGCCACATATGCACTGGATACCTCAATATCACACTGTCTGAATCCTAAAACACCAAACATTGTGCTCTAATTTCAGGCAAATCACTCCAAGATATCATAGAGTCACTGCAGGTAACACCCAATGTGGTAATGTCACTACTGTAGCTTGAAAGCTGACTGGCAGCCTTGTGGGACCTGTAATTGATACACTATTGACCTTTTATGACTTCAAAGTAATTTATGATAGCTGCACCAAGGCCTTCCAATTTATTGGGAATTTACACAATTCTTCTGTGCCCAAAACAGTAGGTTTTGTCCTCAGAATGAATATTCTGCGCATTTTTGACCGCTTTTTTGCAGCCACATGATCAATGATGTGCGGTCACAGCACTGCAGCGATAAAACACCACTGCAACTGCTGCAACCGCACGTCATTGATCATGTGACTGGCTAGACCCAAGTGGCCATTGTCCCTTTTCTGGTACAACAGAGACATGTATACAAAGACAGTGATGTGTAGCTGATGTGAACCATGGAAATGTACATTTCAGGCAAGTTGTGGGAGGGATTATTGCACAAGAAGTATCACAAAGCTCACATTGCCCTAAATGATGAGAAACCTTCCAAATCCAGTAATTCTACATAAAGTGGATGTCCAGTGCTTCATAAATTGCAGATAAATCAGAAGATATTCATAGAGCACTATGACATGTTGATGAGGCCTGTGAAGTTCACAACATGTTACCATATATGGAAGGTAAGCTATAACACCATGTACAAGCATGAAATCAGCCAACCTTGCCCATTCTGAGCTCTGTTATGGCACCATATAGATATGGCAATTATATAGTCAACTTGTAGCCCTTGTTTCATAGAGTCTACAGTAGTTTTGTTGGGCCCCAATAGTGGCTAGACAGGCCAGGAAATGCGAAATACAAAAAAGAAAACACAAGAGACTTTGCAGAATTTGAACTGCTCATTTTCACCCTAGATATGGAGCACATGACCCATATAGTATAGCCATGTGTGTCAGACATCATGAAAATGCTTTTTGTGGGTGCTTACTGTTGCAAAAAGTGATTGATTCTATTGGAGCCCAGTGTCGCTGGTGAGGTCACATGCCATGTTCACCACTTTCCATATTGGGCTCCAAGCTAGATGTTACAGGAGCCCCAAGTCCATGGGGAATTGTCAGCCACAGCATTTGTTTGGGGGTGTTGGTGCAAGTTGCGTCGTCTGGGAGTCTGAAATTTGAAACTCAGCTAATGTGAGCATAGTAAGTGTTACTTATCCTTGGTTATCTGGCGCTCAAACAGTCACATGCACTGTGGGAAAACCTGCCACATTGGGCTCCATGCTAAGTGTTACATTCACTCCAGTCATAAGAATGATTCCTTCGTACCTCAGGGATTGTAACAGTACAGAGAAGGTGGAACTGGGATGTACATGTACCTAGATTTCCTCTGTCACTGTCTCACCATCCCAGTCCTCCACATCCCAGTCCGCATCTGAGTCCACATCTGAAACCTCATCTTCTTGAACATTCATCCTCTCCACAGTACAGTCCAGATGGCCATCCAGGGGCGTGAAGATGTGTGGCCAGTGGTTGCCTTCAACCCGGACCACGGACAATGTGTTGATGTGGGTCCTAGGGAAATCAAAGGCCACAGGCCAGATGGACGGGTGGGGGTACATGTCAGCAAGGATTCCACCCAGAGCACCTGAAGGATGGATCCCTTTAGCCCAGTAGAGGGGCCACATGGTGCCATAGATACACTTGTATTTAACGAGGATGACATGCCAAAGGGGTAGGGGGATGCAAATGGGTTCGTCAATGGACCCGATGGGAACAAACTCAGCTTGCTGGACATTGTAGATGTTGAAGTGTGTGGGGTACTCCTTAGGATCCCTCTTCCAGCGATTGAGGCATGGAATGACCTCCTCCACGACCAGCTGGCAGAACGGCAGCTCTATCTCTGAGTCCCCATGTACATGGCACATGAGGGGCAGCTTGATGTGCGCAATGTGATCCTGCCCAGTTACTTTGAGCCCTTTAAACATACGTGCAGACACTGACAAACAACCTGGTAATAAAAGAATACCTCCACTACTGCTATCTCATCCATCTCGAAGGCACTCTGGAAATTTGGGGCTCTTGTGCCACACCTCAATGCTGCCAACAAAAATGAGCTGGTTTGGGCCATCCTCCAGCAGTTGATGTATGGGTGCGCCACAGCAATGTCATGGTCTTTCGGCTGCAACTTGCTGGGCAAGGTACAGCAGGATTTGACAGTGGTCAGGCACTATGTATGCTTCTGTCAGTATCCAACAACATCATGGAATTTCTCACTCACATGGCTCCACAGGGTCCCCAGACCTGTCCTCAATATCTCAACCACCATGAGGTGGTTGAGGCAACCCTTCTGCACATGGGAGCACTGCTTGACCTTCTTGCAAATGTTGCTAAAGGAAGGAATGAAGGTCAAGATGTGGAATTGGAGGCGAGGATCCAAAGAAGCCATGGTAGATGGGTGGACGGGTGGACGGTGAAGAGGATAAGAGAACCAAAAGTGTTCTCAGAGAGTACAAAAGCATTGAATGAGGCGTGAGAAGTCTTTAATCAACCACTAGCACCAAATGCCAGACCCATTGGCACCCCCCATTTTGTAGGTGTAGAATCCCAGTTCCAACAAGTACATCAATAGAATAGGTCCAAAGATTATGTAACTCAGTAGACTACCATACCGTTTGATACAAGTACAATCCGCCCAATTATTAACATGGAAAGTACTCGCCTGGTCCAGCACATTGGCAGATGCCCATGAGTCTGGAACTGTCCCTCAAGGTCTACCCAGAAAGGCCAGTGTAAGTTGACATGACTGACAAATCTGCGACAGGGGAATGACTGCACCCTGAGGCAAACCAGCACTGATAAGTGGTGCTTTCTTCACAGTGTACATCAAGTGGGAGGGATCAGCAGCACACATGAAGCGGGTATACCACTCCATGTATGTGAGCAGTTCTCGTGGCCACCAATCCAGTGTGGCCCCACTACCTTGTGTCGGAGGTAGCCTTCATGGCAGAGTAAAAATAACTTTGACTCTGCCTACCCTCATGCCTTTACGAGGTAATTCTTAGAGCAGACAGTTCAGAAGAAATCTGAACCCACCAATTAAGCCAGTAGACTCTGCCTCCTCATTATCTTGCACAATAACAGTGTCAAACCTATAGGGATGGCCTTGACCACGTCCAGCTCCTCTCTTTTGTCATCCAGCTTGTATGGTTTGAACTTGTACTTGTGATACATGTCAACTTGTTGGAATGGCAGCCAAGTTTTTGCCAGGTCTTGTTGGTTGAGTTGGAGCTCTGGACTCGGAGGCTGTTACGATCCCTGAGGTACGAAGGAATTGTTCTTATGACTGGAGGGGATGTAACACTTAGCATGGAGCCCAATGTGGAAGGTTTTTCCCACAGTGCATGTGACTGTTTGAGCACCAGATAACCTAAGATCAGTAACACTTACTAGGTGATTGTTAGCTGAGTTTGAATTTTCAGACTCCCAGACGACACGGCTTGCACCAACACACCCAAACAAATGCATTCCCTATGGACTTGGGGCTCCTGTAATGTCTAGCTTGGAGCCCAATATGGAAACTGGTGAACATGGCATATGTGTGCTCCCAATATGTCTGATATATACTCACAATTACAACAGAGTGGGTCTACTATTTTCCCCAGCAAATGCATTACATAGCACCCTGTGCCAATGAGTGTAGGAATGCATACTGTGCTCTAATAATTATCATTATTCATTCATTAGCATGCTCTACACAGATTACATAATAGAAAAGTCTGCCAGTTTGAGGTGGTATCATTGTTCAGTGTTTGAGACAGTACATTATATCCCAGACATGGTATAACAGGACAGCTTAGCTACAGTTAGGCAAGAACAACTGTGCAACTGCACATATCATTGGGTAATGGCTGTATAGCAATATTGGCATAGCTACCTAGAATCAATACAATTTTTTTGGAAAGGTTCTGGATTGTCTAGGACACTTAGGACTCAGGCTTTGTGTTACCACATTGAGGATGATGAGCTGAGCCATATGAATGTAAACATCTCTGTTACTACTATGATACTCCCTGATGAGTAAAATTTGGCTTGTGCAAGGTTAGTATTATTGTTGAAGCTTGACAACTGCTTGGTCTAGTCAAGCACAGAAGTTAGTCTCACAGACTAGTATGTATCAATACATAATACATATAATCATTGATAAGTGAGATTGAAGTGATAATTTGATGAACCAGAAAACAAAAGACACAGACAACACAACTGGGATCATATTGCCATACATGGCCCACTCCCCAGCAAGTTGTATGATTCTATTGCCAGCTTGCCTCTCCACGAGCTCACAGCCTACAAGTGTTGAGGACAAGCATGTCATCGAAGCTGAGGACAAGCACACCGCTGAAGCTGAGAACGAACACTATCAAGCACACATCAAACACTGGCCGTTTGCCAAGCAGATTTTTGGGTATTTGCTCAGGCAAGAGGACTTCCCAGTCCTCCCTGACGTGGTTGTTAGAGTAGGTATCTTATCTTTTGGCTTCCATTCAGAATACTTACTCTCCAGCATAGGTACCCGGAATCACAGAGCCAGAGTGGCAGGATTTGAAGGCGCAGACACTGGACAAACCAGACATTCTACGCTACTTTTGGTGAGTAAATCAGTTGCTCTGTGATCTCAACCCAAATTGACATATAATGTAGGTTTAGATACAACACTGACATGGGGACCGTCACCGTGGGGTCAGCTTTATTCATACATCAAGCAATCGCCGGCAGCATAAGGGACGGTGTGTGTGGAGACGTCTTGGAGCCCATTGTCACCAAACACCCACTCCAAGGTTCCCTTGCACTGGAAGATGGTGCGATGCTCATCGTGCACAACCACCACATTGCAGTACTGGATTTCGTCCAAGCCCGCCTCTTTGAAGTGGGAAGGAATGGCATCAAGGTGAACTGCAATACATACAGCATAGTGTTTGAGGGGGCGGGGGCTCAGACACATGTGGACATGTTGCGGAAGGTACATATTCATGATTGTTTTGTAGATACTATGGGCTGACCTTGTACAGACCGTTGATGGGATGGTTGTCGAGGAGAACATGCAGTTGAACCTTGGGGCTGAACAGTCTGATGTTCCACTCATGGCACCCACAGCCCCACCACCATCTGACAGCCTGCAGGATGCCAACATCGACATGCAGGACATGCCCGTAGATGGCGCTAGAACACCTGTGCACGGAGCCGTCCTGGGACGTAAGCTCAAAGGCCTTCAGGTTTGATCAGAGGCCCCAACATCCCTCGAACCAGTTGCCGCCGGTGTGGATGACAGCTACGACACCAATGCACTGACATCATTGCCCAACCTCACCAACACTGCGTCATCACGTAAATCCGATGAAGACATGAATGATGGTTGGTCTTCTTCAGACCCCGTTGACACATTGGATGTCACCGTCAACACCCTGGACGTTGCCGTCAACACCCCGGATGTTGCCGTCAATGTCCAGGAGAACAACGGCAACATCTCGGATGGCAAAATCAATGGCAAACACCACCATGTCACCAACGTAATGTTTGTTGTTGCTGACATAGAGGAAGGCCCAAGGGTGGCACCCGAGGGTATCAACATCAACAGTGATGCATGGGTGGAGCTGCTGTGTCCGGCAGGTCACATCTCTGGAGGCTGGGCCAAGAACGGTGTCATCCACTGCGGACCCATTGAAGTCTATTTGTGGTCCTTCCAAGGTGTGGACGACTACCACTACCTCTTGCAGCACTACATGGATCCCATTGAGAAGTGGGTAGAAGACCACCATTGCGTGGTAAGTCTCACTGCATGCCTACATTTTAACTTACTCACTATTGATTACAGAAGCTGCGTAAAATGTATGCGCCTGGCCTGCAGACCAAACACCTGCAGATGTTCCGCAAGCATTGGGAATGTTTGCATGTACATCAGGAAAAACCCATTTCCCTTAAACAGACCTCAGCCAACTTAAGTGTACTTCAGGTGTCATTTCCCATCTCTGTGTCATTGTTGTGCATAAAACACATAAACATGTATTGTTAGGTTTTGTGAAGTATGATTTACACAGTGCAGAGGTATATTACCTTAATCTGAAGACCACTGAAGTACGATGACACCCCATTGAGAGCCCTCATTTTGCTTGCATGCAATCACATTCAAAAAGAGGTAAAATGTATATTAATCACTAAGACTCTAGTACACTACTCAAAGTATACTATCTGCACTGGCCTGCAGGAAGTGGAGACCAATGTACATGAAGAGATAGATCCAGATCTTGGTCGTGTACGAGCCTTCCTCCAACATGTGCACGAGCTACTGCTGGGATCGTTAGCCAAGCCGTCGCACCAACTCAATGGTCCTGAACATTCGTCCACGGCTGGCGCACATAGCGAGCTCTCTTTGCTCATTGTACCATCCACTGGGGTAGACACTGAGTCGGAATGTGCGTAGCGACTCATGCATCCAAGGGGGTCGGCTGCCTGTACATTAGGCGGCAGGCTCAACGTACTCATAGTGCGTGTGGCACGACATAACAGATGGATGGGGCAGCCAGGAACTAGGAGGGTCCCGGGACAGGCTACCATTGATGTCGGAAAAGTGTTTGGCTATCTCATCGTCCATTGTACAGCTTCTGGACACGAGGACTGGAGCCGGTGACGTGCATACCAAGGTCACCGCCGTAAAGTGCATCTTGATTGTGTTGATCCCATGTGTAAGATCAACAGCCACGCCGGGTACTTCGTTGAGTACGCCAGACGTGTTGTCATTCTCTTCGGCAACAGGTACGTGGAGTGAGCAAAAACACCGGCATACTGCAACAGTACATATCCAGTGTGTCAACGTGTTGATGTGCGGAATGACAATCATGACATCGAGGTCAGCTAGCCAGGTGCAGATTCATGCACGTTGCCCGTTAAGACAGCGCATCTGCCTTGATGCGCAACCGGTCGTTCGAGGTGGGCGCCCGGGTCGAAGTGAAGTTGTGGGCGAGGTAGTAGTGATCGAGCATGCTGGGCAGTGGGACACGCCTGAACCATCAGTCTTCAGGGTGATGTCACCTGAGTCAAAACGATAGAGTCATCAAAGATGTGTTGAGACAACACCTGCAAACCAGTATCGCGTTAACAGCATTAACACCTCTAGATCCTTGAAGTCGACGTGCTCCGACGCATCAAATTGGCGACCACATGAACAGTTGAACAGTGAACAACCGAGCTTACACTGCCAGTGAACAAGCAAACGTACCTGGGCGAGAAGCAGTAAGATAGGCCGTGAGAGGCCGTGCTGGTGGATTAGCGAGTGCCAGAGGCGAGCAATTGGGACGCAGTGAGTGATTGGGATAGTGATGTGGCGAGAGAGAGATATGGTGAGAGGCCGTGAGAGGTGGGTGGGCAGGCGAGAGTATGGTGGTGGGCGAGCTATGGTACAGAGTGTGCGTCATCGTGGTCGTTGGCTGTGTGTACATTCATTGCTGGTGTGTCCGTCAATCAGCGAGCTCGCCATACGCACTGCACAACGGGTGGCCACGACAGGTCCATGCAGCTATGCGTGGATGTGTACAATATGCTACCCTGTGTAGTGATGTCACTAGATGGGTCGAGTACGGTCGTAAATGCACCAGCACATTGTCGTGCTCGCCAGCAGTACATATGTTGAGCGGATGGCTCGGTGTACCCGCTGGATGACGTCCAATCATGGAGAAACGATGCATGCCAGACGTGCAACTATGTCCGTTGTGCTGCCGCGTGGAGCACCGGGTACGAGAATGAGCTCGTCCCGGAAGGCAGAAGTGTCATCTTCGTGCTCAGCAGGGGGCTGGCAGGACTTCCCGTTCGTTGATTGCCTGCTGGTGTGGGCACTGGCAACGGCAGCAAGGGGTTGTGTCCAGTAGAGGCGTACCTTCAAACTTTGAGCCTTTGTGTCCGTTCTGTGGCTCTTTCTGTCCACTTAGACCACACCACACCGTGTCCCATCATTTCCCTTTGAGCTTTTCTCTTGTCCTTCTCGCCCCGCATTTCTTGCAGTTTGCGTGATCTTGTTGCTCGGAGCTGGACTTGTACTTGTGTCGTACAAGTCCTCGGTCGTGTGCAGGTCACCAGAGGTGCGTGAGTTTGACCAAGGGTTACGAGAGTCGAGTGGTAGAGCATAAGCATGAACGAGAGGCAGCCAGGTGGATGTCTAAATGTTTGGCGGATTCACTAGACACGGTAGAGTAGGTGGCATTGGGATATGGCTGAGAGGGTGAGAGGCCCATCATTCGCAAGGGTTAAGCGCTCAATTCGGAAAATGCCAATTGAATCGACACTAGCAGTACCCGCCGCCAGGCTCTTGCTGCTCTATTAACTCCAACGCCCTTCACTCGTGTTGGCTGTCCTCAGTGTGCTCTCCTTCTCACCTCTGTCTCAGCCATGCCTGTATTCCGCAGATCTTTAGGGCACACACAGGACACACACAGGAGCCCATCCTCAAGAGAATGGGCCCGCCATATGTACCCTCAGGTGGCGCGGCCGGCAGCGTACAAGCTCCAGCGACGCAGGAGGCTCATGAAGAAGGGACTTCGCGGCCAGCAAAGGTGCGTGCCCTGCTTGTGACATTGACTCCGCAGACTGCCCCCGCGATCCAAGACACCAATGATCTTTGTACAGAGACGATGACAACTGAGAGGGTAGCAAGATGACCCTGCGCGCGCGAGCACATGCAGCACACACCTGGCAACATAAGCCCTGTAGGCATGCACTGGACGATGATCGCTCGTCTGACTGCTCTCAGTCTCCCCCTCTTCTGCCCAATCACTTGTTTACACCTCTTATGCTCGCCCGCCCACTCTTGAGCCTGTCCACCGGCTCTTGTGCCTGTCCACAGGCTCTTGTGCCTGTCCACTGGCTCTTGTGCCTGTCCACCGGCTCTTGTGCCTGTCCACCGGCTCTTGTGCCTGTCCACCCACTTGTCACCCTTCCGCCCGCTCGCTCGTTGATCTTCTGCCCGCTCGTTGCTCTTCTGCCGTGTCTGCTGGCTAGTTCGCCAGTACGTTTGTCCACCCTTCACCCTTGTTCTCACCCCCTCATTCGTGCTCTGTTCGCTCAACTGGATGGTGCAACTGCATGTCCACATCCATACGTGTGTGTCCCCTCTCATGTGCACAAGTCTCCTCTGGTATGCACTCGCCGCCTCTCGTGTATGCTCGTACGCTCACCATTCCACTTGCCAGAAGCTGGGCTTTGGGTCAGAAGGTGCTCGGATCCTGACTCGCACCACAAACACTACATGGCAGTGTATGTCATGGCAGTGCATTCCGAGTCGTTGCGGGAACTTTAAGATGTGGTGGCATCTTGCTAGACTGGATGGGTGGCGAACGGCTGTGATTGCTGGTGCTGCAGTGCTGGTGCTTATGCTTGCATTTAATTGATCTGAATGTGTTGGTGCACCGGTGCATTGGTGTGTTGGTGCATTGGAGCGCAGGTAAGTGATGGTGTTGGTGAGTTGGTGAACCGGTGTGTAGGTGAGCAGGTGGGTTCCCGGTGGGCTAGTTGGTAGTGAGTTCGTCGGTGAGCCGGTTTGTTGGTGAGCGAGTTTGTTGGTGAGCGGTGAGCAATCGCAGCAGTTTGTGCATAAGTACATTGGATATCATGCTCTATATTTGTTAGTTCAATATATTTTGTTCAGTCCGCTTCACTATTGATGTGACTGTCGTGTGTGAGTAAGAGGTCTAAAGGTTCATAACTGTACTTGCTGAGGAGAGGACCATAGCTGGCAGTACGATCCCTTTGGTAGGAGATATGTCAATTTATGAACAACTTCATGCTGCCCACATCAGAAGTCATGCTTGGCAAGACTGCTATTATATTGTCTATGCATAGAGTACTGACATATCTTCCACATTTTGCACTTCAGAGTAGCCTGCTAAATTATTAGGTTGCTGTAATATGAGTATCATAGCTTGCAATCATGAGCAACAGACATTATGGATCTGTTTCTTACTTGGTAAATTGCCAAGTTGCTTATCAATATGATCTGTATACTAATTAGCAGTGTTACTGGTTTGTATTGATAGTAACATAGAGCAAATAGCTTGGGAATGTTGCAAAGAAGTAAGGAGAGCCTCTAGATCAACTAGAACTCAAGGAAGGGGAATCTGGGGGGTTGACTACAGTAACCACTACTCAGTTGGGACTTGCTGTCAGTGCTGTTGTACAAGTATTAGCCCTTGATCAGAGAAATCATAGGCAATGTGTTTCAGAGACAACAAGCCATTCATATCTGCACAGCCACATGTGATTCTCTAAATGTTGTCCTTTGTTCTTCATTCCTCCAATGTATGATTAACCCTTTGAATGATGGGCTATCAGATGAGTTTATCATCTCTATAAACTCTATAAAAGTTGATTAGGTTTCAGTCAGTGTATCCCAGTCAAATGCCACACATTCATGCATGTGTTTCTCTGTTTCCTGAATTTCAAACAACTGGGCAAGTCATACTAGTGATATATTGTGGGGGCCTCCATACAAGATGAATTGCCTTCATATACAAGGCAATACAGATGAGTCTGATTACACATAATATTCCCTGATTTTATCTGCATTTTGTGAGCCCAGACTGAGCAGGTTAAGCAAAATTACCATTTTAGGAAGGTCAGCTACCCTATTTAGCAGGTTTGGGATGTCAGAGAATCTGTGGGCAGCATATAGGCTTCAAAAGAGAGACTTTTGAGGTGAAAAGGGATGCACTCATGTGCACAGAGGCATTTGTGTGTGTTTTTGTTGTGTGAATTGTGCCATAAACACTGAAGGTAATGGGTAAGTCACAGCAGCTATAGACTCTATGACATCATACCTATCACAGAGATTATTTTGGGAATTTTCCGCATTTTAGTGAGGCCACAGTACAGCAGGTACAGTGCCACTAAGGAGCCTGTGGCTGAGATTCAAACTCAGCCCAAAACCTCGGCAGCCTGCCTGATTAGGGCAGAAAAGGGCTTGTTGCACCAATCAGAGCAGCTCGGCATCCCTCTCGTGCCGTTCGGAGGTGCAACCGTGCCAAATTTCCACATGGTTGCACCTCTGAACGGCATCTGGGCGCTCAATGGGCGCTTAGTAAGCGATGTAAGTGCGGACTGTTACTGTGCTTAAGAGAGCTTGTTTAGACTCAGAAAAAAGCGGAAAATTGAGACAATATTCAAAATGATCCAGGCAATGTGAATAAAGCTGTATATGGCATGGGTTTGACATCAGATCAGATAGCATTCTGAATAACCTGGTAAGATGGTTGCTGTGGCCCCAGTGAGCTTATATAAGCCTGCTACTTCACTCTTGGAACTGCTCATGTACTGTATACTTTTAAATGGTTCGTCAGTCACGTGTCACAGGCGGCCCCGACGAAACGAAAATCTGGTGTGAATAACGTGTCACAGGGCCTTTGAGACGGGCGCTAGACCTGCGGCGCCGGCGCTACGCGCCCAATTAGGTAGGCAGTATACCCAATCGGGTAATTTGACGAACACAAATTTTCGTCAGGCCGGTCACAGTCACACTTGGGTGACGAACCATTTAAAAGTATACAGTACTGGACAACCCTATAAGATGGTAGTGTAAGTACACATTCAGGTATGTATCCCTAGATTGTGTCTGTGAGCAAGACAAAGCCAGCAGTGGATGCATAATTACCATATGGAGTATGTGACCTTCCCAAAGAGGAATCATGCACAAACAGGGGCATGTAGGGCTCAGAAAAATGCAGAAAATCTAGGAAATATACAGACACATCAAAGACAAGTGTATGATTGCCTTGAGCTGCAATGGTTACCATTACATTGTATGCAAGGGCCATAATATGGCAAAAGATGCTCAGATTACCCATTATAGTCCTTGTTACCTGTATTATTGAAGCTACTGAGTAGTCCACAGTGTCTGAACTACACATATACATTGCAGTGTACATATAGACCATATTTGAGTCATAAACAAGCAGATTGAATCTGCAGAGGCACATGTGCATTTTTTTGCTTTGCATTTCCTGGGTTAGCCAGCCACTGTATGCACTCAGTAAAATTCCTGTATACTCTCTGAATGAAGGGCTATCAGATGAGCATACTATGTATACTATGATTTGTTACTGGCTGAGGCTATATAGGCCCTACAGTGTGTGAGCGCTTGCAGCAATGGGCCACCAAGCTGCCAGTCACATGATATGTTTACCAGTTTCCTTATTGGGGCAACTGCTAAGGTGTTTCATGGGCCTCATCCATAACAGAGCACTTAGCCACTGCATTTGTTTGTATCTGTTGGTCCAAGTCGCGTCATCTGGGAGTCTGAAATGTCAGACTCAGATAAGCAACCCATACTAACAGTTACTTATCTCTGCTTATCGGGGTGGCTGCAAGTCACGTGCACTGTGGGAACAAACTGCCATTCCGGAGGAATCGCAAGGCGTTTCATGGTGGTCCATCAGAAGAACGATACCTTCGTACCTCAGGGATCATAATCCATGATGCCTGCTGTATGTAAGAAATTGATCCTGTATAGAGCCCTCAGAGTCTATAACTAGCATGCCTTGCCTATATATTCATAATCCAGAAAAGAGAATCTCTGTGGGCAATTGCAAAGTGATTCCAAATATGAATAGGTTGTTGTCTCTGAAACACATTTGATATGACCTGTATAGACCATGCACATAGTCCATACAGCATGAGTGTGTCTGGAATGTACACAGCACTGCTATGAATGGGGAAATATTGTCATAACATGCCTGTGCTGATTTCCCATAACTGAATGACCATGTATTGAGGTTCCCTCTACTTCAATATGCTTAGGGATATTCCACAGATCTCCTAGAACATTATCCGATTTTCTGGGACTTTTTTGAGCCCCAAACAAGTCAGTTTCGCTGCAGAAACAGTATACACTTACATCACTTACTAAGCGCCCAATTAAGCGCCCGTTGCCGAAGCAGAGTCGTCGACAGGCCGGAATACCGGCCTGTTGACGACTCCGGTCACTCAAAAGGGATTTTGGAACATTCCCATTGGCTGGGATGCTGACAAATATTCCTTTTTAAAGTAATTCTTCAATCTCAGCTCTTCATGCCGAGTTTTTTGATGGCTCTCAGCCACACTAACTGAGCTCTTACTAGAGCCCCATTAAATGCGCAAAAATACCCAAATAAATACCCAAATATCCCTTCTCCATGGGATGCTTCTTGGATACTGATGGGGGTGTCCAGATTAGGTATCTTTGAGAGTACTGACCATGAGAAGTGATACTGAGGCATATGAGCAGATCTTGGTAAGCATGTTTACTAGAGAGCTCCACAGGTATGAGGGGAGTCTTTGAAGCAGACATGGAAACCTGCCATATATGATTAGTCTCCTTGCCCGTTTTAGGAAGTTGACCATTGATGGCCTCTGCAGTACTGGACAAATAACAGGAAAATCAGAGAGAAATCCAGGAGTACTATAGATTCATATTGTGCTCACTATTGAGGCTCACATGTGGCAAAAAACCTACGATAGTGCAGAGTTTCCCATGCATGGCCTGATATAAGCCACTCTTTCAGTGAGTCTTTGTATATCTTGTAACCACCAGTATCACCTGGCATTGTCAGGGACTGGCAACTCCAAACAGGATCCTAAGCTGTTATGTTTAGTTCAACAGTTCAACAGGCCCTGAACATGCAGGGTGCCAAACTTTGGAGTTGAGCTTGAATGCCAGCCACAAGCTCATCAGTGACACTGCATTTGCTGTGCTGTGGCCTCTGATTGGGTATATTCTCAGTCACATATATGCTGTGTTATAGAGTCTGTACATGATATGCCTTCCCATACTTTCATATAAATATAGCACCATCCAACAAAGAACAATAAAAACCACATGCCTCACACTCATTCTTTGACATTGTTTGTGTTTCCTGTGATGCTTACCAATTACCTATCAATTGTGTGAATACTATGTAGTAGCTGACCTGGAAAGTTTGAATTAGTTGTTGAGTCTTGGCTCAGAAAATGCAGACAAAACAAGAAAATGTTATGTATGATTCCCACCTTGTACTACTTGCTGTAACTAGTAATTGGCTTCTCAGCCCCTTATGTGGACCATGATCACTCAGCAGTGAATACCTGCAGCACAAAGGTACCATTCAATGCTGGAAACACTCATAACATTGACTTTGCTTTGCATGTCCCTTGTATAATGGCATAGCCATCACAAATATGGGTTCCAGAATTTGTTCACACTGTACTGTGCACTTGCTACTCTTACTAGAGAACTGTATAGACTACCAGTGTCATGAGGTGAGCAACTAGACATGCAGACTTACCATACATCCCAGCCCTTCATAGTTGCTGCAGTGCTGGACAAATGGCGGAGAATGAGATGACACCAACTCTATTCCCTCATGTGATAATTGCTTGGAGCATATCTAACCTCTACCATCATATTATAGGCTGATGTGTTACCAGGTCCTATTGTTCAGTTATGCAATGAGCCTTGGGTGATATAATTGGCAGCTCTTGGTTGTTCATATGGGCAGGGAATGATTGTACCATGTATTGATGATGTCTATTTGTACAATGTCTACTGTCACTCAGACTTCCACTAGGCAACCAGCAACAGACCATACTTATAGTGGACTTCTAGGCAAATATCTGACTGTCCTTTTCTAGATCTTGAGTCAATAATAAGTGACTTTGGATTACTCTCATTGGGAGCAACATTTCCCTTCACATGTTATCATAAAATGTCAGCTACTCATGCTGGATTCTTTGATGGTATATGGAAAGTCACACAATAACACCATAGACCCAGGAGTGAACACATGTGCCAGTTCAACAGTGTTGTATATATCATGGGAGGGTCCAAGAAGCAGGTATTATTACACATGGTGCATTGTGGTAATATCTGGTGGAGTACCTGGCATTCCAAATAAACAGTAGAGAATCTGTATATATTGAGAGGGTGGTTGAACAAGAGCAATATGGTGGTGAATTGTGCATGCATACAAAAGAAGTAAGTGTCAGCCAGCAGATGAAACCAAAAGTTATCTCACAAAGGTTGAAACCCTTTGTGTTCATGGGACTTATGACTGGATACCATGACCATTGAGTAGGCATTACTGGAATACTGAGCAAATGCAATAATGATTCCATGTGCAAGTCTCAGTGTAAGTATGTGCTCTTCACAGACAGTTTCCTATGAATATAGCAATGACACACAACACATGGTGGCTTACTTTCTCAATTGTAATATTGCTCATGATGGAGCACTGAAATCAACAATGTAGATAACCAGGATGCATAGAGTATTTGGGCTGTCAGGCAGCAACTAGACAGTGAAAATGGGCAATAATGAATTCTTCACACCTCAATGTGTCTAAACCAATGGGATCGTACTGCCAGCCATGGCCCTCTCCCCAGCAAGTCTGAAGTCAGTTTTATGGACTAGGAATGGTCAAACACAAGCACACAATTGAGGAGCTCCTCAATGACACCTGCGGCACCTGTCAGAAGGGATTCAAGACGACGCAGGGGCTTGGAGCACACCAGACCATGAGCAAAAAGTGCTCATGGTACAAGAAAGGCAAATTGAGAGAGATGTTCACAATGAATGACAAAGGGCTGGATGACAACGTAATGGTTGAGAGCTCAGGGCAAGCAAATTAATCCACTATGAGCGTCGGGTTGATCAATTAAATCATACAGTATATTCAGGACAGTCCGAACATTGAGTCGACCAGACAACAAAGACTGGCCTCAGCAGGATCCACATGAAGAAGATGCAGATGCAAACCACAACGTAGGAGAGGACAATGAATTAGACTCACTCTTCGACTTTATTGATTTCTGTGTGCCGTCGAAGCACCCAATTGATCCAGGAGGGCAAGGAAACGATGGTGGAAGTGGAAGTGGAAGTGGAGACAGAGACAGTGGCAATGCCGGGCCCTCAACGACATCAATTCCGAACTCGAGACGTACAGCGCTCTCACTAGACGACAATGATGATGAGCAAGTGGTGGACGAAGATGAAGAGGCAGGTGTGATCACTGACGTTGATTCGCACATGCATAATAAATGGCTAGAGGGCAGGGAGGAGGCACCATCAGGTGAGGAGTATTCTCACCAGAGTGCGCAAGATTATAACCTGGAGCAGCAGAAGAAGAGGGCGCAGAGGACCAATCAAAGAATGCATGGGAGCCGTTTGAGTCAGAGATGGACTGGCAGTTTGCCTCATGGGCAATCCAAGAAGGACTCACCTTGGGGTCCATCGACAAGGCATTAGAAATTCCCGGGGTGAGTGATTGCTCATATTATACGCTAGAGCAGTAGACATTAATCACAGCTGCTACACCTCAGTTCCGGGAGAGACTCGGCCTGTCGTATCACAACACTCGATCTCTCCTCCAACATGTGGACTCACTTCCTGAGAGGGCGGAGTGGATGGAGAGGTGTCTGTCGTTCAAGGACTGTCCGAACGAGAGGCATCTCCTCCAGTTTTGCGATATCATCCAAGCCATATGTACCTTACTAGGCAATCCAGAGCACACTGACCAAATCGTATATCGACCACGACACATTTTCTCGGATACATCCAGGAAGCATCGAGTCTACAACGAAATGTGGACAGGGTGTTGGTGGCACGCAGTCCAGGTGAGTTGGTCAGCCTTCATATATATATATATATATATATCTTACTGATTCAAGCAACAGAGTCTATTACCTGTAGGCATGACAGTTGCGCCCGTCATTATAGCGACGGACAAAACACAGCTAACTCAATTCTCCAGAAACAAGGCGGCGTACCCAGTCTACATGACATTGGGCAATATACCGTGTGCTCTGAGGTGCAAGCCATCTGAGCATGCGTGCATCCTTATAGGATACCTGTCTGTTGACAAGGTTAGCTCGGACGGCATCACACAGCGCAAGCAGCACGCTCTCATTCAACAGTTATTCTATGTGTCGGTACGCACAATCTTGGAGCCACTGGTCAAGGCAGGCAAGGAAGGCATCGACATTACCTCTGGCAATGGTGAGGTTCAACAAGTGCACCCAATCCCCGCTGCCTACGTCGCAGATTATCCAGAGCAATGTATGGTGACCTGTGCAAAGTCGGGGACTTGCCCCAAGTGCCAGGTACCAGAGGAGCTTCTCAAGGCTGCGAAGCCAGGTACACCTCGAAATTCCCTGTGGACGTTGGATGTCCTTCGTCGCGCCAGCAAGAAAACCCAAGGCAACACTAGCTCGAACGCGTACACTTGAGCGTGTCAAGACCTCAACGTTTCCGGCTATGTGGTGCACCCGTTTTGGCGTGATCTTCCTTATACTGACATACATTCCTGCATCACTCCTGACGTACTCCATCAACTTTACCAGGGAGTCTTCAAACACACTGTTGAATGGTCCACGGAACTTGTCAATGAGCACGAGCTCAATAGGCGCATCTGTTGCCTTCCACCTGCGTTTGGTACTCGCCACTTCAAGAATGGGATTTCATCCCTCTCTCAAGTTTCAGGGACCGAGCGCAAGCACATAGCGCGGATATTGCTTGCCTGTCTAGTAGGCAAGATACCGCAGAAGGCGATCATCGCTTTCAGGTCCATTTTGGACTTCATTTATCTCGCTCAGTACACTATCCACGACGATACGACACTCCAATACATGGAGGGCGCCCTCAAGACAATTCATGGCAACGAACACGTCCTTGTTGACCTCGGTGTGCGCGAGCACCTTAACATACTGAAGTTTCATTTGTTACTTCATTATGTTGATGCTATTCAACTCGTAGGAATGACAGACAACTACAACACGGAGGTGTTTGAACACCTCCACATCAACTACGCAAAGAAAGGGTGGAGGGCTTCGAACCATCGCAATGCACGTCCTCAGATGGTTCGCTGGCTGGCACAACAAGAGAAGATGGTCTTGCTCAGCTCGTCCATCCGTCGCATGCTTAGGAGTAACAGTCATTACGAGCCAGGGGACAACAGTGATGCAGGGGACTCAGAACCTGATGGATTACCAGCCTCTTGAATTAACAGTTGAATCAAATTACCGAAACACCCCACTGCACCTCTCCAGACCCTCCTATCCATCGTCGACAAACACCGCACACCAGGCTTCGTCGACGCACTGGCACAACATATCTACAACCTGAAGAACGGATAACCTCTCACTGCAGCACAGCTGAGGAACACTGTGGACCACATGCTGTTCCAACGTCTCGACGTTTTTCATGGCTTCAAGTTCACTCCGGAACCCTTAACGGACAAGATGCAGGAGACAGACGCAGTGAAAGCAAAGCCTGCCACGACTGGACAAGTCGCGCGTTTTGATACCGTCGTTGTGCTGCAGGGAGAAGATGCAGAAGCTACTGGCTTGCAAGTGTACTGAGATGCTTGGGCAAGTACAGGGATCACATCAAGCTTGACATCACCCATTGTGGTAGTTAAAAGAATAATCTTGTGGAAATCAGAAACTTCGGACTCAAAAACGATAGGATCTAGGAAATCCTCAGATGAAACTTCAGGTAGGGGAGTAGGAGGAGAATATGTTGAGCTCGGAATTTATTCCGCATTTCTGCGAATTATTCTGAGCTCCCTTGCCCTGTCCAAGTCGTGGAATGTGTCCTGGTGTGAACAGTTCTCCTTTATTCTACATGGACACCATCACTATACCTTGCATACTGTACTTTTTCCGACGACATTCCCTTCAATCTACCATTTTCCATAATGTTTGCATCTTCAGGGATTTGAACCCCTGCACTCATTCGATTTTTCACCCATTCGTTGATTTCGACTTTGTGGCTGTTTCTGCTGTACAGTTATGGTCGCCTTATGTAACGCACACCGTAGACAGTCCGCCTCGTCGAGCTCTAAGTCCCTAAGACTTTACAGAGCTCGACTTAGGTGTGTATCTTCGCTTCTTTGAATAATAAGACTTTACAGAGCTTGACTTAGAGCTTGACTTAGGCCTTTGGAATCGCTCTGAGATGCACTGCAGCCAACACTATCCATGAATAGGAACAGTCAGGGAGTAAAACATGCTGCACACCAACAATGTGCCACAATGTCAGCAATTGTGCATACCCACTTGCCCCATATGACTCCCATGGAAAGCACAGTGATATATCAAACTGGGATTATCAATTGAGGTGAAATACCCTTCAAAATACCCTTACCCTCACAACCGCTGGTACCCTCCAGTGACCCTTACCCTTCTCAAGGGTATCATACCCTTGAGGGTAAGGGTAAGGGTATCGCTCTTGACACCCAGGGGTATACCCCTGCAATGCACTACCGGCGGCGATGTCCCATCATCCTTGTCTGCGCCTGGCACTGCCCACGTCGACGGTAATGCCTACCACACCGCAATTGTCAGTGGCACTGATGCCCTGGTGTCGTCTTTGTCGATGCCTGGCACTGTCCAGGGCTATGGCGGTAGTTACCACTCCTCATTTGTCGGTGGCGCCAGTGCACCGTCATCTATGTCCGCACTTAACTCTGTCCGCGCCAATGATAGTGCCTACCGCACCTCGTTTGTCGGTGGCACCAATGTGTCATCATCTCAGTCTGTGCCTGGCTCAGTCCGCGCTGATGGTAGTGCCTACTACAACTTGTTCGTTGGTGGCGCTGGTGTTTCCTCATCTGTACCCATGCCCGGCACTGACAGTGGTGCCTACAACACCCCCATCAGTGATGCTCACCGTGGTATGTATCATGTTGATCGCAGTGCTGGTAGTTCGTTGTCTCTTACTCATGTGTTTGGGGTGCCGCCGTTGTGAGTGAGACTTGAGTGTATGTGTTTGTCTACTGTTGTATCATCTGTGTACCAATGCAATGATGCTGTGTGATCATGTCTGATGTGACAAATTATGAAAATAATCCTAGTAAGAGTAGCCTTGCCCATGAAGGCTCATGAGTAACTGCTCAACCAGCTCCTCCCGCTTAGCCTTGCCTTCATTAGTACTCTCTACATTCTCCACACCTTCCTCTGCCTCCTGAACATCATCATCATCTAGACCTGGATGTTCACTTTCATGAACACCCAGAGTCTCCATTTCCTTGTTCCATGCATTGTGCTGATGGATGTCATGACCATGGGCCAATTTGCTCTTGATGACCATATTGTGCATGATGAGGCAGGAACGGATCCACATGATTGCATAGGCCAGTTTGACATCACTTGTGATGTAGATACGTAGCTCCTTCAGTGACTGCCAGCAGATCTTCAGAAGGCCAATTGCATGCTCCACAGCTACCCCTATTTTGGACAAGCGATAGTTGAATGTGCACTGCCTGGCAGTGAGGCTACCACCACGGGGTGCCTTGAAAGGTGTGATGAGCCAAGGTAGCAAAGGATATGCAGAATCTGCCCAGATCCATTCATAGGAGTGGAGAAGTTGATTGTGATTAGCCCATGTATATGTCTCTTTGAAGGCAGTGGCATCATGCACACTGCCTGGCTGACCAACGGCATAGGTGTGTATCCAAATGATAAGCTGAAGCAGTAAAATCAGCATGAGCACAGACATTGTCATTTGAAGAACCTGCCGTAAGCTGGATTGCATATATTTTGTCTTTCCCATAGAAGTCATTCCCATACCACCCAGGTCTCACAAAGACCTTGATTGGTGTGCCATCAGCAGCAAGGATCCCATTGCTCCACTCTGGAGTTCTAGATTTCTCTGCTGCCAATCGGCTTGCACCCAGTCGTTGTGTCTCATCAGATGCGAATTACGATCCCTGAGGTACGAAGGTATCGTTCTTGTGATGTCTAGACCACCATGAAACACCTTAGTGATTCCTCCGGAATGGCAGTTTGTTCCCACAGTGCACGTGACTTGCAGCCACCCCGATAAGCAGAGATAAGTAACTGTTAGTATGGGTTGCTTATCTGAGTCTGACATTTCAGACTCCCAGATGACGCGACTTGGACCAACAGATACAAACAAATGCAGTGGCTAAGTGCTCTGTTATGGATGAGGCCCATGAAACACCTTAGCAGTTGCCCCAATAAGGAAACTGGTAAACATATCATGTGACTGGCAGCTTGGTGGCCCATTGCTGCAAGCGCTCACACACTGTAGGGCCTATATAGCCTCAGCCAGTAACAAATCATAGTATACATAGTATGCTCATCTGATAGCCCTTCATTCAGAGAGTATACAGGAATTTTACTGAGTGCATACAGTGGCTGGCTAACCCAGGAAATGCAAAGCAAAAAAATGCACATGTGCCTCTGCAGATTCAATCTGCTTGTTTATGACTCAAATATGGTCTATATGTACACTGCAATGTATATGTGTAGTTCAGACACTGTGGACTACTCAGTAGCTTCAATAATACAGGTAACAAGGACTATAATGGGTAATCTGAGCATCTTTTGCCATATTATGGCCCTTGCATACAATGTAATGGTAACCATTGCAGCTCAAGGCAATCATACACTTGTCTTTGATGTGTCTGTATATTTCCTAGATTTTCTGCATTTTTCTGAGCCCTACATGCCCCTGTTTGTGCATGATTCCTCTTTGGGAAGGTCACATACTCCATATGGTAATTATGCATCCACTGCTGGCTTTGTCTTGCTCACAGACACAATCTAGGGATACATACCTGAATGTGTACTTACACTACCATCTTATAGGGTTGTCCAGTACTGTATACTTTTAAATGGTTCGTCACCCAAGTGTGACTGTGACCGGCCTGACGAAAATTTGTGTTCGTCAAATTACCCGATTGGGTATACTGCCTACCTAATTGGGCGCGTAGCGCCGGCGCCGCAGGTCTAGCGCCCGTCTCAAAGGCCCTGTGACACGTTATTCACACCAGATTTTCGTTTCGTCGGGGCCGCCTGTGACACGTGACTGACGAACCATTTAAAAGTATACAGTACATGAGCAGTTCCAAGAGTGAAGTAGCAGGCTTATATAAGCTCACTGGGGCCACAGCAACCATCTTACCAGGTTATTCAGAATGCTATCTGATCTGATGTCAAACCCATGCCATATACAGCTTTATTCACATTGCCTGGATCATTTTGAATATTGTCTCAATTTTCCGCTTTTTTCTGAGTCTAAACAAGCTCTCTTAAGCACAGTAACAGTCCGCACTTACATCGCTTACTAAGCGCCCATTGAGCGCCCAGATGCCGTTCGGAGGTGCAACCATGTGGAAATTTGGCACGGTTGCACCTCCGAACGGCACGAGAGGGATGCCGAGCTGCTCTGATTGGTGCAACAAGCCCTTTTCTGCCCTAATCAGGCAGGCTGCCGAGGTTTTGGGCTGAGTTTGAATCTCAGCCACAGGCTCCTTAGTGGCACTGTACCTGCCACCTGATCATCCCACAATCACCCGCTAATTAGCCACGTCACAGACCCCGGTGTGATCGGGAAGCCATCTCTTCTCGCTGCAAAGGGATAGCTCACATGCACCTGCCCCGCGCCTTCCCGCATGTGTCCCGTTTCGTTCTCTCACGTGCCGGTGGCTTCCGCGCGCTAACTCTTATCAGTGTCGTTCTTCCGGCCCCGCCCGCCGTGCCGCGCGGATCTCCCGCCCCCTTCCCTTTTCGGCAGTGTGTCCAGACTGCCCGCCGGCGCTATCTCTTCCCGCCGGCGCTCCCTTCCTCTTATGGCCTAGATAATGTGACCTTGCCTTCTCGCCGGTGCTCCTTCCTCTTATGGATCAGATAATGTGATCCTGCCTTCCCGCCGGCGCTCCCTTCCTCTTATGGCTTAGGTAACGTGATCCTGCCTTCCCGCCGGCGCTCCCTTCCTCTTATGGCTTAGGTAACGTGATCCTGCCTTTCCGCCGGCGCTCCTTCCTCTTATGGCCCAGATAATGTGATCTAGCCTCTTCTTCTCGCCACCACTCCTCCTCCCTTTCCGTTTTAGGTAACACAGCCCAGGCTCCCCGCCGGCGCTTATGTTTGTCGAGCCATGGCTAAGTCTCAGTGTACTTACCACGTGTACATAGTTACTATTTCAATGCAAGGGGTGTATTCTGACACTCATAGTATGTTGCTGAACACATGCATAGATGATAGAGTACCACAGGAGCAAGCAGACCACAAGAAACAGCGAGTCATACTAGGTATGTCACGAGCACAGGCGAGCACGACACTCAGACCACCACAAAGACACGACACTCAAACCACCGCGAGGATATACCAGCCCCTATCCACCTCGAGTCCTACTGCCAGTGAGGGCCCTGCTCCGACGCGCCCGCCTGCGAAGGGGCCGACACACCCGCTTGCGAAGGAGTCGATACGCCCGCTTGCGAAGGAGTCGACACACCCACCTGCGAAGGGCCCTGGTCCGACACGCCTGTACGCGAAACGCGGCGACGCTTGCGCGATCGCGGCACGGTCTCCTTGTCCTCGTCTTCCTCGCAATTGCTCGAGTCGTCCTCCTCATCACTCGCCTCATTCCCGCCATGTTTGCCCTTCTTGCCACCAGTCTTGCACTTTGCTGGCTTCTTATGTGAGCCGCCGATATCCTTGCGAGGCTTGCGCGTCACGACCTCGCCAGTGTTGACGCGAGTGTCATACGCTTTCCTCCGCGCCGCGACTTGCTCCGCGCTGAGACGGACGAACTTGCACGTCTTTGCTTCGAGTGCTTCGTGGAGGGTGCGAAGGAGGGGGAGGCTGTCCGAAAGTTCCGAGGGGTTGACGAAACGATCCTTGCCAGGAGTCCAGCCTTCAATGTTGATGGCGTACTTGAGTACAATCTCGCGTTCAAAGTTCTTGTAGTTCATGGTAACTTTAGGGTTTCCGGTGATGTTGACTGCAACTGGTGATTAACAGCAAGGACACAGTAGCAAAAAACTCACCGAGGGCAGTGTGAATCATGTCACGGATGTCGGTCTTCAAGAAGTTCGCTTGATCCTTGGATGTGCGCAAGAAGGCTACGTAGTTTCAGCACTAACTCGGGACAACACTTATTGATGTGACTCACTCATCCAGTCGCATCCGGCCATCGCGAATGCCTCTGCCAGCAAACCCATCTTCTCCGGATCGAAGCCCTTGATGTTCAGACGGAGGTACTTGCTGAGTTGAGAAGAGCTGAACCAAAGGTGAGGAGATACGTTGTACTCGGTATTCGACCGCACGAAGCAGAAGAAGCCTTCGACGCTGACGCGCGCCTTCAGACCCTCGATCTGTACATGATAAGAGAGGAGAAAAAGCGGAAAGAAATCAAGGACTTACCAGACAGATCATCAGGTTGATCATTGCGTTGAAGTCGAGTATTCGGCTTCGCGCGCTGAGACGCACTCCGCACTTCCTCAATTTCCTCATGTCCTTGAGATCTTCAATAAATTGGTCTTTCTGTTGCTGGGTCAATTTGTTGTAAGAATCGCGGTATTCGGACTGCAAGTCCAGGAGGCGGGACACGTCTCCGGGATCTGCGTCTACGCAACAGCATCGCCATCAGTACTGCGAGATGTCAGAGAGAGACAACACACCTTCATTTGCTTGAGTGGCCAAAGCACTCAGCCACGTGTTCCAGGCCGTCGGCTTGCAAGAATGCATCCACTTGTCCGCCGACGAGAACATTTGGTTCATATAATGCTGAGCCTTGTTGCTGTACTGTTCTGCAAGGCTGTTGGCAAATGCTTTGCTGTCACTGTACTACTTGGCTATGGCTGCGTCAATCTCTTCATTCTTGATCTTGTTGCGAGCTGCCATCTCTCGGACTGTGGCGGCGTCACGGTTGACCTTCTTCCTTTTCTGAGGAAGCTGCGGCCTCGCGGCAACTGCCACGGTCGATCCGTGTGATACATTCGAAGGCATGACGTGAACGCGTGGCAGCGCTCAGCTGACCACACATTCACGGCCTGGAGGCGTCGAGAGTGTCGAAGACAGTGCCAAAGAAGAAGAAGTCGAGCTATCGATAGGATGTGGGTGTGACGTGGTAGGGGAGGCATGACAGTCAGCATTCTATTCAAGGAGGCGTGAGTACATTCACGTGACGTTAGCAGGTTGTTACAAAGTAATACTGTCAATGCTTTCAATACTGCAAGATATAGAGCTAGAGTACACGACAGAGCAGCACGACAGAGTAACACGACAAAAGCAGCACAGTGTTCAGAAGCAACCACCATCCTCGGCCATCGCATCGACTATGTCCTGCGCAACCCGCATGGAGACACCCATTCGCGCAGCAATCTCTCCAGCCCACCGATCCTGCAAGAACTGCTCCTCGATGGCAAAGAGGTCGCGATGGAAATGGTCGGGAAGATCATGAGCACGCAGAAGCTTAAACGTCTCAGGCCCGAAGGAGTCGAGACGACATTTGCGATGAGCAGAGGGCAACTGGTGCATGTGTTGCGGCGTAGTGGGAGTCGCAGGCACTCGACCCTGCACAGAAGCCGACCCAGTCGGCATAGACGGTGCATCTTGGCTGACCCTAGGCTGAGGAGTCGTCGCCCTCATCGCTGTAGATCTCTCCCGCGATGCCTGGAGAATAGCGCGTTCGCGTTCTCTTGCAGGAGTCGCGCCACGCGCAGCATAGACTAAATCGTTAGTCTTTGTGTTTGAACACACTCGGATGTACTTACTGTGATCGAAACGAGAACGCTGCAGCTCCATCATCTCAAGTGCCTGCCTCTCGAGGCGACCTGACATCACCTCGACGAGCTCGTTGGTACGGTGCTGTATGACCTTGGAGATTGTCGTGCTCGTGCTGCAGCGCACCCTTCTCCTCCTGCAAGATGCGCTTATCGGCCTCGAGTTCCATAATTCGCACCTGCAACTCGGTGATCATCTGGAATGACCGCTCCTCCCACTCGCGGAGCTCCTTGATTGTATCGCGGTCACGGTCGCGAGTCGTTACACGAGAACTAGGCGCAGTCGGTTTGCGTGATGAGGTGAGTAGAGACTGACTACCTTGTTCAAACGACTCGACAAGGCTCTTGAACTTGTCTTGTGGGTGGCCCCAGAAGACATAGAGTGCCTTCTTCGGCTCAGGGTTAGGGACGAGAGGCCGGGCTACAGGGGTGCACCTTGGATAGGGCTGCGACCCTTCCGTGTATCGCCATCCTTCGGCGAGGAAGGCTGCTCCCCACCGGTCGATCCACATCAGGGCGATTTGCGTCGCGAACTCTTGAACAATACGAGCAACAGTGACCGACGTCTGGGGGTACTCCTCAAGCATGGGTGGAGGGCAGTAAACATGCACCTTGATGTTCTCGGGTGTGTTCACAAAGTCGGGCCATACGCTACCATCGATATGAAGCAAGATGCTGAGCCCTCCCGTGTGCCGATCTAGAGCTGTGACCTGTGAGGGATCTATTCAGATGATGACAATTGCTAAGGTAGGATTGACGTACCGCATCGAGAGCCAATTCCTTCACTCCCTGCGCAAACTCCTTCCTACTCTGATGTGCCTCCTTCGTCATCGCGCAGTGTTCTCGCCCTTTCACATTCAAAGAGTGGAATCGCCTGCGTGCAACACTGTGATCGCCATCTCGATGCATGCCGTGCACCCGCATGGCCTTAATGCCGGCGTCGAGTTGTTCTTTGTATTGTGTGATCGGCGGCAACTGCTCGGGCTGTCCGAAGAGGTGATAGAAGATGGAGTCTGCCCCGAGCCTATTGAGCTCAGGATGAGTGAAGCAGTGTTCAAAATCGAGGATACCCGTGGGCGGCGCCATGACAGTGGTGGTAAGTGGAAGAGGCAGGCGGACTGCAAATGCGCGGCACACGTTGAACAAGCATGTGGCTGAACCTCGCACTCACGCTCGGTGCGAGTGCAGGCACATATGCGAATATCAGACTCGTCTCCTCTCTCTACACCTCACTCTCTCTGACAGTGTATCTCGATATCATGATTTTGTTGTGAGGAACGTGGAATTCGTGAGATGACATTTGTACAGACAACAGATACAGGTATATTCAACTACTAACAGACCGGCCCAACTCGTCCATGTACCCGACCAAAGCATCCGCCATCTCAGAGCCCTCGACACCGGGAATAGGTGACTCATCAACATCGCCGTTACCATCGTCATCTTCGTCGTCAGCTGCTGAGCCTGTGTCGGGTGCTGTGTATTTAACCCAAGAAGGGAGTGGAATATCCTCCAGGTTGGCAGGATCCCGACCGACGTGCTTGCCATAATATAGCTTACCGGAGAAGCCAGGAAGCTTCGACATGTCGTACAACTTAGCAACGATCTTGCTGTTGATGCAGTCGCGGTATGCGTGACGTCTCGATAGCTCTTGCGAAAGGTCCGGATCGACTGGACGTGTCTTCTCGATCGCGCGAACGAAGTCTACGTGCTCGTCGACCATGTTGGTGAAGAGTCGTGCGCTCTCGATGTTGCAGCGGTGGATCTCCTCGCGTGCGCATTTAATGTTGAAGTAGGCGGCCATCGCCTTGCGATTCGTATGCTGAGCCCACGGGAGTCGACGGATGTCCTGGCGAGTGTCGCGCAATAAGTCGAATTCCGACAGGGTAGCCATTTCCATGAGTTCATGCCAGGTGAGTGACGGAGGCGGCGGGGTGAGACGAGCAGCTACGCGATTGTACTCCGAAAGAGCCTTGCGGATGGCTTCGGCCCGCGCCTTTAAAGCCTTGCCTATCTTCTCTCGCATCTTGTATCCTGTATTGACTTAACTAGATGTCTGTGTTGCAAATATTCGTACTCACCTATTCCGCTCATCCTGAGCTTCGTAAGCTCGAAAAGGCGTTGAACAACGACACACTCAAGATTATCGAGAACTCAACGATACTTGCGTTCATTCAGCTCTTTCACGGCTGCTGTCCATTCCGGGGATTGGGGCAACCAACACTGCACGATCGACAGCTCCTCCTCGAGGAGGCAAACTCCCTGGTCAAGCACCTCGTATCGTTCATATCGTGTCCTGTACAACGTAAGGATTTTGTTCACGTCTGCGTCGGTGCACTGCTGATACGTCCGATAGAAGCCGATCTTCTCGTACTCGGTCTTGGCGGCTTGCGCTTGAGCACTATCAAGACAACCCGTTAGTTGTGGATGTTCCGCCGATCGTCTACTCAGACATACCCGGTGTCGGCCAGCATCATCAGCGCTTCAATGTAGTCGAGTCTTCGCGCGACTTCAGGTGGTTCGGACTTCAATCCCTCGAGGTACGCACGTTCCTCGACGAGGTACTTCTCGTAGTCAGCTGGGGTGGTTCCTAGCTGCCGCCCGAGGACTTCGAAGACCTTTGTTTCGTTGCTGATGATTTTGAGAGCTTGCTTGTAGTTGTTGTATAGAAACTTCCCTAGCACACATTTTAGTACGTGTGAGATATGTCAGAAGACATGCACTTACCTGACTCGGTGTGCTTCTGCTCGCCCCAAAATGCGAAGTGCTGTTTGATTGCTTGAGCACGGTGGAAGGCGGTGGCGAGACGTGTGTTCCCGGCGAGGGCATTCGACTCCGAGAACAGTCGTTCGCATCCTTCGAAATCCTCCTTGCCCACACCCTCCAAGTACATTGGATGCCAGTGCAATTGGCACCAGCAGTTGTGACTGTATCCATGGAACGCGCAGACAACGCCGCGCAGATGAGCAGAGCGTGCCCGCTCAGCCAAGCAGCTCCGCTCGAGAGTCTTCCAGAACGCGCATGCAATGTCGTAGCCAACGGCAATGTCTTCGCCATACACCTCGATCAGCTTGTTGACGATCGCGAGGGGGTACTTCATGCTGTAACAAGATAGTGATCAATACTGCAACTGGAAGATAGCCGTACACTTACAGTTCGCCGCTGCGGATCATATCGCAGCAGGTGAGAAGCTGGCCGTGTCGACAGATACACGCGAAGATCCCAGTGATTGCAAAGAGTGAGAACATCTTTTTGTGAGCCTCGGGACCCGCGTTTCTCCACCGTTCAATGCAGACGGCAACTGAGCTACCGAGCGCCTCATTGTCGTCGGGCAGCTCGATGTCATCAGCCTCTGCAAGCGATGACGCTGGTGCCTGACAACCAATCATTGATGATTGAACGCGATGATCTCGAGGCCGCACAATGACGTACCTTTGAGCCGGCCTCATCTTTGAACCGATCGACCTGCCCAGGGGAGATCCAAATGTCCGTCCGCGCCGTTCGATCGTCGATCCGTGTGGTGCCAGCCCTGAATGCTTCGTCGACCAGCTTCAGCGACTGGTTGCCATCCATGCACGTGAGTATCTTCGGCTTCAGGGGTTCCTCTTCTTCGAGAGAGTACAAACACGGGGCACATGCATTGAGCATGCACCAGTTCGGCGTGTCGCGGGCGAGCGCCACGTTGACAAGCACATCGACACCATGCAAGATGTCAAGATAGACGTCAAACACGACGTTCATTTGTTCGACGAGGGAGCGGTTGAAAGGGACCTGTGTATAGCATTAGTACAGCGGAAGCTACGAATACTGTACGTCGTACCTGATGCAAATGACATAGGGCCTTGACTTGGGCTTGAAGACCGAACCTCGGGCACACGCGATGCTGCTGTCGATAGGCCTCGAGAACGTCGAGGGACACGGCAACTGATGGTCGCAGTGGTGCCCACCCAATATAGCCATGGCGGAGGAGGGTGGGATTGATGCGGTCTGCAGGCGCTGCTGGGCGAATGAACCGATGAGAGGTGCCTACGAGCTCAGTGATGAGAGGCGATCGACCTCGAGATGGTAGTAGACATACTAAAAAAGTCAACCATAATGAAATCCCACTGCTCCAGCTCATCGCTCTCCATCGGCACCTTGCCGGTTCGGTATTCCAGATATGCGCGGATAAGCTTGTGCCGCTGCGACATCCAGTCATGGTTGCGTACATGGACACGATCGTGGCAGGCCCGGCCGTCTTTTCGTTTCCTATTTGCTCGAGATGACATGAGAGGAGTTAACGAGGACAATAGGAGACGTACCTCGACTGGTCATCTAAGAATATCGTAGTTATGAGTTCGCTCTCGCCTACTTCGTGGCTGAGAAACATTGATTCCTCGCCAGGTGGCAATGGAATGTCCTCCCAGCCTCCTGTCTCAGCGGTGGTGCTCATAGAGGGAGCTATCTCACTGATAAACTTGCGATCTTCGAACGACATCCCTGCACACCTGTAAGACTATCAAGACGCGTGGAAAAGCAGACACTCACCGCTCAAGATCTCCGCCCGAGTCTTCTCATCCGTCCGTCGACACTTCAACATCGTACTTATATGCATACTCTCTGTCTCGCTCTTCCACCCGATGCCCCGCCCATACATGAGGGTAACCCTTGACGAGAGACTGGCCTTGTTCTTCTTGTTTGTCATGATGACGAGAAGCAAAGGGCCCCGTGTCGGAGCCCCCCAGCGCGTGCGAGTGGATCGAAGAGACGGTAAGCAGGATGGAAGTTGACACGCGGTAGAGGATGATGAGGGGAACGCCAGCGGGAGGCTTGGTTTGCTGTAAAAGGAAAGGGAGGAAGAGCGCCGGCGGGAAGGTTGCATTGGATCACGTTACCCAGTGCGGAAAGCGGAGGAGCACCGGCGGGAACGGGGCGGGGGCGAGATCACATTATCTGTGCCATAAGAGGAAGGAGCGCTGGCGGGAAGGCAGGATCACATTATCTGATCCATAAGAGGAAGGAGCACCGGCGAGAAGGCAAGGTCACATTATCTAGGCCATAAGAGGAAGGGAGCGCCGGCGGGAAAGGGGAGCGCTGGCGGGAAGAGATAGTGCCAGCAGGCAGTCTGGACACACTGCCGAAAAGGGAAGGGGGCGGGAGATCCGCGCGGCACGGCGGGCGGGGCCGGAAGAACGACACTGATAAGTGTTAGCGCGCGGAAGCCACCGGCACGTGAGAGAACGAAACGGGACACATGCGGGAAGGCGCAGGGCAGGTGCATGTGAGCTATCCCTTTGCAGCGAGAAGAGATGGCTTAGATCTCCCCGGGTTTCTTGGGGGGTTTCTTCACGGGTAAGGGGAATGGGCAAAGGAAAGGCTAATTAGCCCGATCACACCGGGGTCTGTGACGTGGCTAATTAGCGGGTGATCGTGGGATGATCAGGTGTACCTGCTGTACTGTGGCCCCACTAAAATGCGGAAAATTCCCAAAATAATCTCTGTGATAGGTATGATGTCATAGAGTCTATAGCTGCTGTGACTTGCCCATTACCTTCACTGGTCATGGCACAATTCACAAAACAAAAAAACATGCAAATGCCTCTGTGCACATGAGTGCATCCCTTTTCACCTCAAAAGTCTCTCTTTTGAAGCCTATATGCTGCCCACAGATTCTCTGACATCCCAAACCTGCTAAATAGGGTAGCTGACCTTCCTAAAATGGTAATTTTGCTTAACCTGCTCAGTCTGGGCTCAGAAAATGCAGATAAAATCAGGGAATATTATGTGTAATCAGACTCATCTGTATTGCCTTGTATATGAAGGCAATTCATCTTGTATGGAGGCCCCCACAATATATCACTAGTATGACTTGCCCAGTTGTTTGAAATTCAGGAAACAGAGAAACACATGCATGAATGTGGCATTTGACTGGGATACACTGACTGAAATCTAATCAACTCTTATAGAGGTTATAGAGATGATAAACTCATTTGATAGCCCATCATTTCAAGGGTTAATCATACATTGGAGGAATGAAGAACAAAGGACAACATTTAGAGAATCACAAGTGACTGTGCCAATATGAATGGCCTGTTGCCCCTGAAACACATTGCCTATGACCTGTATAGATATGTGCATAGTTTAAAATGCATGGATGTGTCTGGAAGTTGCACAGCACAGCTATTGGTGGGGAAAAATGGTAATAACATGCATGTTTTGATGTCTCAGCACTGAATGACTATATAGGGAATGTTCTCCACTTGTAAATATGCTCAGGGATGCTCCACATATATCCTGGAATATTGTCTGATTAATCCGCATTTTCTTGACCCCAGAACAAGTGAATTGTGCTGCAGTAACAGTGTGCACTTACATCGCTTACTAAGCGCTCGACTAAGCGCCCGTTGCCGAAGCGGAGTCGTCGACAGGCCGGAATTCCGGCCTGTCGACGACTCCGGTCACTCAAAGGGGATTTTGGAGCACTCCCATTGGCTGAAATGGTGACAAAGATTCCCTTTTAAAGTAATCTTTCAGTCTCAGCTCTTCATGCCGAGTTTTTTGATGGCTTCAAGCCACACTAACTGAGCTCTTACTAGAACCCCATTAAATGCAGAAAAATCCCAAAATATTGCTTCTCCATGGAATGCCCCTTGAGTACTGACATGGGTGCCCAGATTAGGTGATACTGGGGATATAAGCAAATGTTGGTGTGTGTATGATGCTTGTACAAGACAGTTCCACATGTATGGGCTATGTGAGATGGAGGATATCAAACATACAAAACTGCCATATATGGTTAGTCCCCTGCCCATTTGGGAAGTTGGCCATGCATGGCCTCTGCAGGACTGGATAAATAGCAGGAAAATCAGAGAAAAATTAGATAGTACTATGGATTTGTATTGGGTTGACTGTTGAGGCCATATGGCAGAAAACATATAATAATGCAGAGTTTCCCATGCATAGCCTGATACAAGCCACTCTTTCAATGAGTCTTGGTCCATCTTGTAAGCACCATTATCACCTGGAATTCTCAGGGACTGGCAGCTCCAGACAGGTAGGCTATTCTGTTCAGTTCAACTCTTCAATAGGCCCTGTAAAATAGGTTATTGGGCTGAGTTTGAATGCAAGCCACAAGCTCATCAGTGACACTGTATTTACTGTGCTATGGTCTCCCAAAAAATCAAAAACAATTGGGAATATTCCCAGTCATGTCTATGATGTCAGAGAGGCTGTACATAGTATGCCTTCCCATGGACTCATATAAACATGGCACCCACCATTCACAAAGCAAAATAAAATACATATTCCTCTGTACACACTGGTTCTTTCACTTTGTTTGTGTTTCCTGTGATGCTTGCCAACTGCCTATGGATTGTGTGGCTATATGAGACCTAAATGAAACCTGCCATATGTGGTACCTGACCTTCTCAAAATGGAAAGTCCGAGTTATCTGCTGTGTCTGGGCTCAGAAAATGCGGATAAAACAAGGGAATATTCTGTATGATTCCACTCACCTTGTACTGCTTGCTATAAGTATTGATTGGCTCATGTCTAAACCCTTTGGCAGGCAATGGCATATGCAGAAAATGGTGAACACCTGTGGCACAAAGGCCACAGTTAATGCTGAGTATGTTCATAATATTGGCTTTGTCTCACATGTGAATGGCATAGCTATCAATATTATGGGTTGCAGAGCTTGATGACACAGTACTGATCCTAGAAAGTGATAGAAAGACATTGTACAAGTTGTGTTGTGCATCTACTACTGTTGCTAGAAAGTCTATAGGCTAGCAATGTCATAAAGTAGGGACACCACACATAGGTGATCAAATGCTTTGATGGTCTCTGCAATGCTAGATAAATGGTAGGAAATGAGATAAAATCAGCTGACTGTTGTAGGCCAATGCATGACAGTACATCTCAGATGTGCTCATGCAGAGTTCACAGCCTGATGTCTGCAGCTCTATTGTCCCAGTCCAGTATAAGCATGTCTTTGACTGATTGTATCAATATGAAGCAGTGCCAATTATACAGTATGATGGTGCTATGCTTGGTTGTTAATTGCTCATATAATTTTTGCCTGGAGCATATCTAATGTCTGTATGCACTACCATCATCCTATTCTCATGCAATGGCCCTTGGTATGTGAAGATAGAATACACAGCTCTTGGCTTGTTCATATGGGAAAAATGTATTGACAGTGGTGTCTGTTAGTGCAATGTCTACTATCACTCATATTGCAGTGTATGCTGTGATTTCTTCCTGATTGGGCTCAGAAGAAGTCATGGTTGCCATGGAAATAATGCAGACTTGCATTGCTTACTAAGCAACAGTGAAGAGGCCATATTACAATGGATGTCTGAGCCAATATATGGCTGTCCTTTTATGGATCTCTAGTCAATAATATGACTTTGGGAGTACTCTCATTTGCTGCAACTGTTTCCTTTTACATGTGATGATGAAATATCAGCTACTCATGTTGGGTCCTTTCATGTTATATGGAAAGTGGAAATATAACACTTTAGACCCAGGTGTGAACATGTGTGATATTTGAACAGCATTGGAAATATGTGGCAGTGTGCCTACCAGTACACCATTTGGCAGTTGATCCTGGGGGTATCTGCCATGCCCAAGGAATGTCAACATGAAAAATATAGTGTCTAATCCAAATATATACCATACATTGTATGTGCACACAAATAATGAACAGTCAGCCAGAAAATGACACTGGTGATTATCTTGGGAGTATGTCTGAAGATATAGAAATCCTTGGACTTATGATCAGAGAGCATGACCATTGATAGTAGGCATTACTAGAATACCCAGGAAAGGCCCATATGCAAGTCTTAGTATGCAGTCTGTTGTTAGGGACAAGGCATTGAACCCCTTTTTCTACAAGAAATTCCATAGATATGGTCTTTGAATAGGGTAGGCAGCATGAATTGTTATCACTCCTGGGCTTTGTTATCTTTATTGTAGATCCTTTTAATGGACTTCATTTGGGGTTCACAATGCTTTCTGACCAGATTTCAGTGATCTTTTTTCCCACATTGTTATTCTTTGTGGCACCTATTGGTGTATGTTCTGACTGGACTATTACCAAGTTTGTAGTGCTCTCCTTAGACCCCTTGTGACCAGATGCTTTGAAAGATATTACTGGGGTTCTATTAGCTCAGACTATGTTATCTATTGATATATTATCCCAGCTGGCAGGCAATCTATGAGTGACTAGTGTTCATAAGGCTGTGCTAGTGTTTCAGGACAACATGCAAGTGGTGTGTCATGAATC